TTTGTCAAGAGGTAAAGCGCGGCAACGACTGGAAGCTGTGAAACGCACCAGAATGATTGACGTTGCGCGCGTCCCCACGTGACCTTGCGCTTTGTGAAAGGCAGCCTCACGGTTGGTCGAGAGCCTGTGGAGCCCCGCTCTACATGGAGCTGGCACTGCATTGCCTGCCAGTGTGATGCCGCCCCTGTTGGCCCTGTCATCATCCCACTGCTATCATCACGGGATCCAACATCTTGACAGCTGGCTTTTGGCCACCATCACGGCTAGCAGATCTGTCACTCCTCGTACTCTTGTCGCGCGCACGCCATGATCTAGTCATAACTCACTTTCTGTACAAAACGTCACCCGTATACCGACATAATGTCTAATATTGCCGCAACGCTGAAGCAGCAAAAGGAGGAGTTCGTCTCGGGCTTGACTGGCGGTTCCGTCAGTGAGATCAACGCCGTGACCTCTGTAGCAACGGTACCATCCGCACTCGCGCCGATGCTAGCCAAAGAGAACGAACACTAAGACACTTTCCAGGTCGCAATCGTCTTGTGGTCATTACTGCAATCCAGGCAGTCCTTCTTCCAGTCCTACGGTGCCTTGGCCTTCGTTGTGGACTACTCTCTCAACGTGGCGGCCATACTGTTGTCTGTCACACTCTATTCAAACTCGCCCTTGCTGCTATGCCTCTTACTCGCGGCACCGGCCACTGTGGTGTATGCGCTTCCGCCCAACCGCACGTCGTCGAGGCGAAAGCCGCGAGTGCCTTCTCGTGCCGGCTCCAAAGCCGCGAAACAGCTGGACCCCTTGCCGCTGAAGCCGTTTCTCACAACGTACCGAGCGTCGATGCTCGTCATTACGTGCATCGCCATTCTCGCCGTGGACTTTCGGATTTTCCCGCGCCGATTCGCCAAGGTAGAGACATGGGGCACGTCCTTGATGGACATGGGCGTCGGCGCCTTTGTCTTCACGGCCGGTCTCGTGGCTGCGCGACCCGTTCTCAAGGAGCGAGCTGCTGGTCGATCGGTGCCTGTCATGCGCCGTATTGTTGGGTCTCTGCGTCACTCCCTGCCTCTGCTCGTGCTGGGCGTCATCAGGCTCCTCAGTGTCAAGGGATTGGACTATGCTGAGCATGTGACGGAGTACGGCGTCCATTGGAACTTTTTCTTTACGCTCGGACTGCTGCCGCCATTTGTCGCCGCCGCGCAGGCTGCGTTAGCCTATGTGCCCTCTTATGCTGCACTGGCGCTCGTCACTGTGGGTATGTATCAGATGGCGCTGGAGACAACGGGTCTGAAGGCGTACATCCTGACAGCGCCGAGAGTCGATCTCATTTCTCAGAATCGCGAGGGCATCTTTGGATTCCTGGGGTACCTGGCGATCTTCCTCGCCGGTCAGGACCTGGGAATGTTTGTGATCCCACGAAAACTCAACCCTCGCAGCAACGCGGCGCCCGGCGCGGAGCGGAACACCTTGTTGCTGACTATGGGAGTCTGGGCGAGCATTTGGTGTGGTCTGTATGCTCTGTCTACAAGCTACTCCTACGGGTTAGGTCTCGTGGTCTCGAGAAGACTAGTCAACCTGCCGTACGTGCTGTGGGTTGCTGCCTTCAATTCGGCATCCGTGTTAGGCTTTTGCATCGTCGACACCATCTTCTTCCCCGCATTCTACAATGCTTCAGACCCAAAGACTGAGCGCGAAGCTTATCTCACAGCCACGAGCCGTGTGCTACGCGCATACAACCGCAATGGTCTGGCGCTCTTTCTTCTCGCAAATCTCGGTACTGGGTTGGTCAACATGACGTTTAATACGCTGGAAGCAACACGCCTCGCCTCTATGTCCATCCTGGTGGCGTACTCATTCGTCCTGACCGTGGTCGCTGTTGCTCTCGATACGTACGAGATCTCCATCAAACTCTGACCTCGTAAGTTTGAAAGGTCCGAAAATTCACGTGCATCACGGCTCGCTCATTTGCATTTGCACGAACGCGACGGGAGTGCCTGAAATGATGGTTACGGCACAAGTGCCTGCGCGGCTGAGGTTTGAGCGCGTCTCAGGCGGGCCGGTCTCTTTGTCTCACGACCTCGCAGTGCACGTGTCGTGAGCTGCACGTTGTTCCGTTGTGGCAACTTTCACGATCTACCCCTTGCATCGGTAGCAGCATGCATCTTGAGCTCCTCGCATTCTGTACCTCATCTCGATGGTGCCTGCATTTGGATACTGCAGGTCGGTCGGCAGTTAGTCTCGATTATGAAATTGCTTGTCTGAAGCTGCTGCCTTTACAACAATACCGGAGGACGAGGCAGACCTTGCCAGACCGTGTAGGAAGACTGGTGTATCTTCACTACCTATTGAATGCTTGAACCCAACCTCCCAGGAGAGCTCGATACTTTGGTCTTGCGGCATGTGACTCCTGCAGATTGCTATCAATGGCTCATGGTGACTGGAAATGACCCGGCGTCGCACGCGGGACACGACTCTATCTGCCCTTTCACGTTTCATTTGAAGCTAGGTCGTGACAAGCGCCACTCTCAAGCTGCAAGCTGCCATATCCATGGATCCAATCATTTTCCATAGCGTACTTCTTTCTGATTACAAGTACTTCAAGAGGAGATTGCCCGGATATACAGGTGCCCCGTAGATCCCCTGATCCCAGCCTCGTGGTGCAGCCTCGAGGCTTGCGCGTTGGACGTTTCTTGAGATACGCAGTGTGCCGTCTCACGTGTCTCAATGAAGTGAAACAAGCGCCACTGGTGCAAAGGCGACATGGCTGACAGAAAATGCATGCAGTACTACCTACATCTATCCGTCTGGTATATAGAGAGAGTGCCGCGTGGACTGGCGACAAGAGATGTACTATGTAGTTGTATCATGATGGACGTTGCGATGGCGGGGTGAATCATCGGGGTTAGTATTTAACGGGCGGCTGTTGATACGTACCCACCTGGCCGACGCGTTGACCGTGAGAAAGCTGCGCGCGTAGGAAACGCGTGACATGTGTCAAGTGGCGGGTACACAGCTTAATGCTACGTCACACGCCATAAAAAATAGAGCAACCCAATCAATGGACTCATTGGAAAGCAGATATGGAAACAAAGAAACTAACAACGTCCCAGGGTAGGCGCAAAAGCATCAGTGGCAGCAGCTGGAGATTATTACCACAACAACATGAGACGATCAGATATCCCGGACCAGGGCGCTGCTTGCCAAGCCAGGCCAGCGTTGACTGCATTGCTGCTGCGTTGTGATCTCCGCGTTGCCGTACTACGTACAGTCGCGAGCAAACCATGCACGTAATCATCCTCTAAAGAAATGATTATCGCGAATTGCATGGGGCAAAAGCCGAGGGGCCAGCGATGCTCCCATGGATCTGTTACCAATTGTCTGGACAAACATTCCCAGGAAGATGGCGCCGGGACGCGGTAGTATCACAGCCAACAGGCCGGATGTCCCTGGCACAACACCAGCCCTACGCGTCCCGAAGCCTGCTTGAGTCTAGTCTTATATTTTAAGAACAATCAATAATATCCGGCCCGCCTGCCGTGCCCTGATCGAGCGACAAACAAGCGGCGATGCCGCGAGGGCGAACTTGGATGTATCCGTACGTAGCTGGCTTTCTGGAGAGCGGTTCGGTACAGAGGCCGTCAGCAAGTTGGCAGGTTTTAGCCAGCTCAGAGTGGCGCCCGTCGGAGGCAGAGAGATTAGATTACTTCATGCTGCTGCAAAGCGTCGTATTTTCACAGTCACCAGCTTCCGCATAAAGAACATTAATGAACGGCCGCCGTTGTGAGCGAATGCCGTCAGTCAATGCAACCAGATTAGATGATAATTGTTCTCACCTACCGAGTGTCGCCTTGTCATCGGCGAAACGGACATCTTGGGCCTACGGATACGGATGATTAACTTGTTTAGTTGCTTGCCTAGCGCGGTAACGGGCCCGTAGGCAGGTACCTCGCTCTGGGGCGGAGTGGGGCACATGTGCTCTGAAACAGACACAACTGCACTTGACAGGTACGTGCGACAGGTACCTGAGCTGATGTTGATTAGCGCCAAAACATGTCCCGGCGTCAATTTTGGGCGACACACCCCACTGCGACGTGCCTTCCTGTTCGTGCTGTTGCTGAAGTCGCAATCTCCCATTCCACTCGGGCAATGGGTCCAATGGAATCCTCCTGACCCATGCTTCACTCACTCTCATTCTACCTCACCTCCCCACGCTGGCCATTGTCTATCCTTCCCTCCATCTTCCCTCTGGTCGGGTCGCGTTTACAAGTCCAATAGTCAGCTCGTGTTGACTGGCGGGAGCAGCAGCCGAAGTCGAAAAAGAAGGTCGCGAGCTATCCATCCCTTCTTCCCTGCCCTGCAGCCGGGACCTGATCAACCAAACGCGCGCCAGCCACCTCACCGCGCGCGCTGCGACCAGCTCCCTGGCCCATTGCACGTCCAGTCAACTCAGTCAAAGAGTTTTTCTCTCACCGACCGACTAGTCTAGTCCCCGTCCACTCAGTGGCGCTGCAAGACAAAGGACGGCATTGCACCGCTGCACTGTCCAGTGGTGACCGCCGACCGCCTCTTCAGGCCCAGCGAAATCTTAATCCCAACTGGCGTGTCGAGCCACACAATGAGCGCACTCCAGCTCTGATTAATGACATTGGAATACTAGCTCGCTCACTTTGTGCGTCCGTGTCGAGACGAGGAAATAGCAGGATCAAGCCTTCCGTATCTCGAATATTGTACGAGGCGATCAAAGCCCCTGAAACAGCCAGTGCGAGCGAGATTGGGCTTGATGCAGCTGCTGCAGGCGTCAGATCATCGCCTTGCATAAACTCGCCTACCACAAGCCTTTGATTGCTGGAGGTCTGAAGGGTTGCATCTGGATGCACAAACATCCGACTGTCTTGCTTTTTCCTGCTTCTTGCCAGCCCGTCCTTTTGTTTAGGTGCCCATCCTAGCGTCTCGCGTCAACGGCATTCGTTATATTGCCGGGATCAATACGACAGCCAAATCAGAAGATGTCGTCGGCTGCTTTGCAAACAGCGACTCATCAACCAGCGAACTTGTCGACTCCACCACTGGCCGCGCCACCGAACCGACAGTACGCGTCCTCGCACTCTTCCCCGATCGTCGAACCGAATAATGCCCACCAGTCGGCTTCTGGTGTCGCGTCTCCATCTTCGAGACGGCCTCCTTCCCGCAAGGCGAGCGGTAACAGCCCTAACCCTGTCCCCGAGGTGACAGGGCGAACCAGCCTGCAATATCAACCACAATCACAGACTGAGCGCATCGCCAACATGCCTCCTATCGCGCCACCGCGCACCTCCTCGAACCAACAAGGCGCCAGCTCCCGCCGCTACGAAAGGACGGCGCAACCTGCGTCCTCTAGGCCAAGCCAGCCCGAAAACTCTCGCGCTGGGTCATCACGAAGCGACGCAAACGTCGCCACAGACTCTGGGCACCGCAGCAAGCGGGCAGCCAACACACACTTCGCACAGGACTTGACGGGGCGACAGAATGAGAACAGGGACAACTGCGGGTCCGGCACAGTGCTGCCAGTCCGGACAGCACAAGGCTCCTCGAAGCCTCCCGTCGACAGGGAAGAAAACATTCTGCGAGCGGCCAGCAATGCTGAGGACCCTAGCATGCGTCCCGCTCTAGACGACGCGGCGCCGCCCCCTGTTGTGGGCATGAGCCCTCAGAATGATGAGCGCAGGACCCGGAGCCGACACGATTACAGCAACCGGTCACATAAAGGCACGGCCAAATTTGGCGACTTCATTCTCGGCAACACCATTGGTGAGGGTGAATTCGGCAAGGTCAAGCTCGGCTGGAAGCAGGACAGCAACGCGCAGGTAAGTCACTCACAAGGCCATGAAGCGTTCATTTTCTCATCTTCACAGGTTGCCATCAAGCTCATCAAGCGAGACGTGGTGGGAAGCAACCCGAACCGCCTTGCCAAGATCCGACGCGAGGTTACAATTCTTCGCGATTTGCAGCATCCCAACATTGTGCAATTGATAGACATGGTGGAGGCAGACAGGTACATCGGCATCATTTTGGAGTACGCGTCGGGCGGCGAGCTATTCGATTATATCCTGAACCACCGGTATCTGAAAGACCAGTCAGCCCGCCGATTGTTCGCGCAGTTGGTTTCGGGAGTTGGCTACCTACACAAGAGGGGCATCGTACATCGGGATTTGAAGCTGGAGAACTTACTGTTGGATCGGAACCGCAACATCATCATCACCGACTTCGGATTTGCCAACACCTTCGATCCGCACGAGGAGCTGTCGAACGAGGAAGAGCTCAACTTGGCGGACCGCGAGTTCGTCAAGAAGTCTGGGCTCGATAAGATCAAGCCGAATGGAATGCGCAAGGGCGATTTGATGCAAACGAGCTGCGGCAGTCCCTGTTACGCAGCCCCCGAGCTTGTGGTGAGCGATTGCCTCTACACGGGACGCAAGGTCGATGTTTGGAGCTGCGGTGTCATCTTGTATGCCATGCTCGCAGGATACCTGCCCTTCGACGACGATCCGGCCAACCCCGAGGGCGACAACATCAATCTTTTGTACAAGTACATTGTCAATACGCCACTCACCTTCCCCGAATATGTCACGCCACATGCACGAGACCTCTTGAGGAGAATTCTTGTGCCTCAGCCCCGCAAACGAGCAGATCTGTTCGAAGTTGCCAGACACAGCTGGCTGAGCGACTATGCCCACGTGGTGGAATTCATCACAAGCTCGACAACTCTTCCGGATGATGTGCAAAAGTCTATCACTGCCCCCGAGGAGCCGGAGGCCGGTTTGACGCGCAGCAACTCTGTGCGCGAAGCCCACAAGCAGAAGGCGCACTCACCTACGACCGTCGGCGGCCTTTCCAAGGCATATGGCAAGATTGATCATGACGCTGATGTGGGGCCCCGGACTCCCAAGGAGTCGAAGCGCCGCACCGTTCAGGTCGAATATGTTGCACCCACAACACGCACCCAGCGAGGCGGTGAGGAGGACAGCGCGCGGCCACAGCCAAGGTCGACATCGAGGGGCAGACAGGAGCCGTACCAGGCCATTGCGCAAGACAAACCACTGCCCCGCGATCCGCCGGTGGTTCGTGATGCCGCTGTTCCTCCATCCGCTCGTCCCTCGAGCTCCAGGCGCCCTCAAAGTTCCCACAGAGCGGCTGCACCGCGAGGACCTCGCGAAGGACCAATGCGCCCCAATACCGACAATGTCTACATACCTACTACCAGCTCGGGGGCCCGTCCGCAGACCGGCAACTCAATGTCGTCTGCAGCCTCCATGGGTCTGCAGTCTATGGGACACTATGGACAGCCTGTGCCGCCAGCAGTTGCCGATACGAACGCTGAGGGTAGGATGGCGCAACCTACCCATGGCGAAGAAGGCGAGCCTCAAAGCCGGCCCAACACCAGCGTGCCCCCCAAGTTTGCCAAGATGACTGGTATGGGTGAGGGTCAGCCTCCTGGCGGCCGTGGACACAAGCGTTCGAGCACGTTGGGAGAAATCGGCTCCAAGCTCCTCGGTCGGAACGGATCTGTATTTGGGGGACGTGGCAAGAAGCGCTCGGAGCAGCAGCCGGATAAGTCGAGGAAGTACCCGCCCGTCAGCATGCAGCAGCCCCTACCAGCAGACAACGAGCCGCCGGTTCGACCGTCCATGGAGTCACGGGCGTCGAGGCGGTCATTCTCATTCGGCCTGGGCAAGAAGCGAAGCGGTAGTGTCGAGGGCTCACAAGGCTCCTCCGACAAGGCTGACCGCCGCCGCTTCTCGCTAATCCCTCCCTCGTTCTCGTTCAAGTCTGGTAGCAAGGACCCTGGGACGCCGCCTTCCGAGTACGGATCTCAGAACAGCCTGTCGCTCCAGAATCCGCGTGCCGACCCGCCACGAACCTTTGCTGCTCACGGCGACGCCCGCAACGGTAGTCCGACGCTTGATCCGGCCTACAACAACAGTAATGTGCGGCCTCACCCGCCCATTTCGAATCAGGCTCGCCACCAGAGATATGCGTCGGCACAGCTAGACGGCCAGCGGCCGACCGCCGTGCCGTCCTACATGCAGAGTGGCAATCAGTACGCCGCGCGACCTGGGTCATCTGGCCAGACGCGCAGACCACCCACAGAGCCCCAGGCGAGCTCGCAGCAGTATGGACAGCAGCCGCAAAACTACCGACCGGACTATGCTTCGCCTGACTCGCGGAGAACCGAGACGCCCAGTAGCAACCAGAACTCTCTGCCTAGGCAGCACAAGAAGTTCACCGACGGCTACCAGCAAGGACACGGCGGCAGCAGTGGCGCCGCGAAGCGGGTTATGGACCTTTTTAGGAGGAGGGGAAAGGCCCGCGGCGGCGAGGAGCGGTAACGAGCCGGCAGGCCGGTCCCCAGGCGTTCATGGCGTTGACCGAGGTCTTCCGTTGAGTAATGAGGTGGCGTAATACGGTGCGCTTTGAAGATGACACTCGGATCACCAGCAACAAAACCGCCCGCAAAAACTGATCGGCAGCACCATCACCATCACCAGTACCAACCCCTATCCCCGGTAATCACGGCCGATGCTTTTCTACGGATACCTCATGGCGCGCGCGTAAGAACCTCATACATATGTTTTCCTGATTTATCCACTTTTCTCTTTTCTATGTCTTTTTCATTTGTTCTTGTTCTTCGAGAGGCCTCTTTGTTCTGGGATTTGCAGACGAGGGGAAAAGAAAGGGGGCCGTGAGCAGAGCGAGACAGTATTGTATTTGCGTACAAAGTGTTCGGACAGAGAATGAGGACTGGGCATCGATACAGCCCAAGGCTTCTCCACTTATTACTTGTTCTTTCTATAAATTGAACCCCATGGACGATGTGGACACATCCATCCATCTGTGCTGCTTTGTGCCCTCGGTGACGTTGCCGAGACAGATTCATCGGCGACACCAAGCATGCCGTGGTGTTGGAAGCGTTGCCGTGTTATCAGGCGGGAAAAAGGTATGCAAAGCGGATAGTCGGCTTGATCTGGTGTGATACATTGACGCCAAACGGCGGGACGAACCGACTAATCTTCATGAGCCGCCGTCATGTCCATCCCTTGGCAAGGCCAGTGTGAATCACAGGTCTAGCCTGCGCGCGCTAAGAGTCAAGCTAGACTGCTACCTCGCGCATGACGAGTACGACAAGTCTCCGCAAGTCCGTCGTCATGTGAGACTCGCTCGTCCCTTGTTCCAAGTTTCATCCACTGGACTGGGAGTGCCGAGACCCCGGCTATTGTTGCTACTGTTGTCCTATGACTACCAGGCAGGACAGAAGATGTGCACTCTAGCAGTGAAACACCTCGAGCACAGCCCTGGACGTCCTCTACCTTGACCTAGTATGGCCGACCAAAGGTAAACGAGACAAGGGGAGCACATTGTTTTGCGCCGCGTGGCCCCTCGAATAACAACATGTGCTCCCTTGAACTGAGCTTGGTCCCCCTAACCCCACGAGCTGGATGATACATCTTACGGTCTTATCCGCGTTGACACCCTCCAGGCGGTACTTGGAACTTGGTGTCTTGTTTGCTCTTTTTCTCTGTTACGCCACGCCAAGTCATCCATCACACACTCTCATTGCCACTTGCACATGTTCGTGCCATTCAACCACGAGCATTTCCCAGGTCCAAGGGAGTCTGTCTTCTGCCAGGTCACCATGGCTGAGAGCGCGACGGCTCATACTTCTGTCGGTCAGGGGCAGCAGCACGACAATGGCACCATATGCGCGGTAGATCTCCACGACGAGCCGAGCTCTGTTGAAACTGCTAAGAAACCGGGCTACCTGAGGACGATCTACCTGACAGTCCACCATGTGTTGACCTACAACCCACTGATCAACATTCTCTACGTTTTCGTGGCCGCAGGCATCATCGTGGCCCAGTTTCCGAGTGTCCCTGGCGGCATGGTGTTTGGTCTCAACTGCGTTGCTGTCATCCCGTTGGCAGCATTGCTGGCACATGCGACGGAGAGTTTCACTGGTGAAATGGGCGATGCCTTGGGGGCATTGATCAATGTCACTGTTGGAAATGCCGTGGAACTGATCATCTTGTGAGTGTCCCTTCTCTCTCCTGCGCTTGCTGTTAATGCTGACCATGACAGTGTGTAAGTGCTCGTGATCATCCCCAAGTCAAGCAGGATCGATTTACTGATGGAAATGGGGCGTGGCAGTATCGCATTGACCAAGGTCTGGATCTCCTGTGGGCAGTGACGGAGTGCTTGCTTTGCTGACCTGAGGACAGAACGAGATCCGAATCGTTCAAGCTTCGCTTCTAGGTTCCCTGCTAGCCAACTTGCTGCTCATCCTGGGTCTGGCGTTTTTCCTCGGCGGCATGCGCTATCGAGAGCAGCTTTACAACAACACGGTCACGCAGATGAGTGCCTGCCTGCTAAGTCTGAGCGTCGTCAGCCTCGTTCTTCCGGTATGTTTCATGGGATGTCCTTATGGGCTAGGACTGAGATACTGACGCGGCAGACCGCGTTCCACGTCTCATTCGAGGATTACCATCGCGCGGGTGAGCAGTCACTCAAGATCAGTCGGGGCACCAGCACCGTGTTGTTGGTCGTCTACGTTATTTTCCTCGTCTTTCAGCTCAAGACACACGCTTATTTGTACGAATCTATGCCGAAGCACATTGTCGACGCAGAGGCTGCCCCTGGACCTGTGGCGGGTTGGCTTGACAACGACGACGACGAAAATGTTCCCCACGAGGACTCGGGCATTGATTCAGACGATACGCGTGTCAACATGCGCCACAGAATGCGACGAGCAACCAGTAAGAGTAAGAGACGCAACATGTCACCTACCTTGGGCCCCGGCCTCGGCTCTCGGACGTCATCGCAGACGATCGTCGACGATGACGATGCTTTGCCCAGGACACGCGAGGGCGAGGGTGAGGGCGGCAAGGACGCCACGGAGCTGAAAATAGAGGAGAAAAGGTCAAAGAGCCCAAGAGACCGTCGTAGGAGACGGAGATGCCGTAATGCAGAAGGCGAAGACACCGTGGAAATAGGAGGTGACGCGAGACAGGGACACCAGAGGACAGCCAGTGGCCCTTCCCAGCTGGAACTCCGGCTGCCCAGCAGCGAGATTGCACCGTGGACCCCGAAAAGCCCGTTTGTCAGATTTAAGAGCTTTGCACCGGTGCTGTTCCACGAGACCGATCCAAGTGACACGCGCCGACACTCGCAGATGGCCCAAAATGCGGACGTGCCAGGACGTTCCGACAACCGCTGCCCATCACGCCTCTCTGTGGCCACGGTGACAGATGGCGTTGCTAAAACCATGGCCGATGACGAGAAGGGACCTGAGGAGTTCGAGATGTCGCGGATTGGCGCCCTCGTTGTACTTCTGCTCGCGGCCACGCTGGTGGCGACGTGCGCCGAGTTTCTCATCTCGTCCATCGAGGCGGTCACGGCTTCGTCCCCGCTCAGCGACACGTTCATTGGACTCATCGTGCTGCCCATTGTGGGCAACGCGACCGAGCACATTACGGCCATCAGGGGCGCCATGCGGAACAAGATGGACCTGGCAATTGGGGTGGCGATTGGGTCCTCGATCCAGCTTGCGCTCCTCATCACGCCGCTGGTCGTCTTGCTCGGCTGGCTCCTCGACAAGCCCATGGGTCTGTACTTTACACTCTTTGAGACGGTGTGTCTTTTTGTCTCGGCTTTCATCGTCAATTTCCTGGTGCTGGATGGCAAGAGTAATTTCATGGAGGGCGTCTTGTTGTGCGCGGTGTATCTGGTCATTGGGATTGTGGCATTCTTCTACCCCGAAGGGAACGAGGGGAACGAGGGGAGCCACTGGGGGGTTGGCGAGGGTGATGTTTCATTTTGATGATCTGTAGCTAGTTAGCTTCGAGTGGTCGGTTCCTAGGTTGAGGCGTTGAATCTGAGCTTGGCAGCAGTACATACCAAGACTGTAGTCCGTACACGTAGATCATGTGAGGCTTGGCGCCACATGCGCACAGCCACCCTGGGTACCTTCCAGTCATCATTCATCATCACCAACTTCACTCAGTCAACCTTGCGAGCTTGTCGAATGATCTTACCCTGTAATTGACAGACCCCCATTGGAAATCGCCCATTTACGCTACAACATCCTGGAGGTGCTTCCAGTCCCGCGCGCCAGGTCCTGGAGAAGGCTCTCCAATCTCCATCCTCTCGAGTCTCGACCCATCGCCGTCATCAGCCTCCAAAGTCTACCGTCATCCACTGCACCTTGATAGCTGAACCATCGACAGCATGTGCTTTGGGAGTAAAGACGAGGCTCACGAGGAGCAGCAGCCTGCTCCTCGCCCGCATCCCCGTCCATCATCGATTGACAAGGGCGCCTCCACGTCGAAAAAGAAGGCTCCCATGGCTCCCTACCAGGATCCACCATCACCTACGACTGCTGGACCGTCATCATCAATACCGTATCCTCAGCAGAACAGCTACGCACCACCCTCAGGAGCATCTCCCTCGAAATCACAGCCGTATCAAGACCCCCCCTCAGGTGTAGCCACGTCTTCTCAACCACCACCCACAGACCTGCCTCCATCCTACGGCGACGCAAACCCTCAGCATGACTGGGCCGCCGCGGTGCCCGACACATCGCTCTTCCCGCCGCCGCCGGCCATCTTCTCAGGCTTTGAGCGCTCGCCGTCCTCCAACGCCAGCGAGGAGGAGGCCATTGCCGGCGAGGTCTGGTGCGAGGACAACCCCATGACGGCCCCCATGATGCTCGACGACGCGAGCAAGGGCGCCCTGCACTTCCACAATATTCGTCTCATGGAGCCCGCCGGCTTCAACGGCACCCTGCAATGGAAGGGCCCTGGGGAGTGGAAGGCGACGACGCGCAAGAACAGCCCGGACCGATGCCTCATCAGCTACCCGCCCCTCTACGCGGTCCACGAGCACGGCCCCCTACGGACGGGCGCGCCGAGGACAATCTACTACGAGGTCCGCATCCTCGCGGCCTCGCCCACGACCTATGTCGGCCTGGGCTTCACGGCGCTGCCCTACCCGTCGTTCCGCATGCCGGGCTGGCACAGGGGCTCGCTGGCCGTGCACGGCGACGACGGGCACAAGTACATCAACGACCGCTGGGGCGGCAAGGCGTTCACGCAGCCGTTCCGGCGGGGCGAGACGTACGGCATCGGCATGACCGTCAAGCCGGCCGAGGCGGGCCGGCTGCTCGTCGACGTCTTTTGTACGAGGAATGGGTCGCTGGCGGGTGGGTGGAACATTCATGAGGAGACGGATGCGGAGGAGGACCTGCCGGTGGATGGGCTCGAGGGGCACCATGATCTCTGTGCCGCCGTGGGCGTCTACGACGGGGTTGAGATCGAGGCTGTCTTTGCGCCCGAGAGGTGGATGTACCGGGACCTGTAGAGATGTGTGTTTGTTGTTGTCTTGGGTTGGGTATTTCGGAGCGATTTGGAGCCCAGCCCTATACGCCGTAATCTTGTCGATATGCCCCTGGCTTTAATTCTACGAGCGTTTCACCGCTAACATGCACGTTGGAACTCTAGTGGGAGACGGGCACGGCAGGCAGCAGCCATCCCAGAAACGAATGCAAATGTGTGTGTATCGCGACCTGAGATGGTCAGCCTGCCCGCATGCATGTCTCAGGACGCCGGATCCAGGGACCTGTCTCAACGAAAAGTCAACCCCGCCCGCGACAACGCCAGATACCGTGATAGATGAGTGTGATCGGTCCCTGGCAGCAGGGTATGTCGGCGACACCGCGATTGAGAAGGCGTCCACGATTCGCGAGGTGGTTGGGTGGCAGATGTGCGCCAAGATGGGGGTCCAGCTCGCTACCATGTATACTAATCAGCTCGCTTCGATCTGGGGCGCTGGTTCATGAGTAGCTAGCCTCTGTCTAGTTGTGCTTATCGACGCCAGAAAGAGGGGAGCGGGAGACGGGACAGGATTGGGGGAAAGCCAGATGCGCCGCCGAGATCCAGGACGGCAACAGGATGGGTGGGTGCCCGCACACTGTCGGGTATCTCGAGCACCATGCAGCCCCCGATGCTGTTCGCATGCAGAAATTCACCGACAACTTGGCAAGTCCAGTGTCAGCTGCGCGATCCGCATGTTCAAAAGTGCGCGACGGCGGTGAGATGCGACTCCAATGTAGGTAGGCTGACGAGTCGTGATAAGGAGATGCCGCCCCAGACACTCGAGTTGGCGGCGCATCTGCCACGGCACGACGTTGACGGTTGTGCTGTTGAGACTGGCCTTGGCAGACTCGACTGTGAGGAACCGTTCATTATTGGGGCTCGAGCCACCATTGTCTGGGGACCGACCGGACAAGCGAGTGTGATGCCAAGCGTGGGTGATGGGATCATGGTGATGTCTGAGCTGGCTTGAATGGTTGGACCGTTGGAGGCCCATTTGAGTTCGACGTGAGGTGACGGTTGGCGGGGTAGCGGTGCCTGTAGCGTCCAGGCTGCAGTCCGCAGCAGCGACCGAGGGTGGCCTCCAGGGAGATGGCGACTGGACTCGAGGCGGGAGGCCATCGGGAGCCTCATGGACGATCAGACGCCTGATCAGAAGATGGGCAAATGAGTCGGGCATGGCAATCTCACAATGGCAGCCGGGACCCCTTTTCCCCTTTTCTAGTACGGAAACCCGGACCCGTTGGCGACTTTGAATTTTTCAAACATTGCTGCCCCGTTTCACCAGATGATGTTCATCTCCCAGCCGGTGATCCCTTCTCAGTAATTACTGTTGAATTGGCGTATTTCGGGGCACCGGGTAGGCGCCCTGACGCTGCTCAGGGGGACTGGACACAGTTCTGACTGGAGCTGGCGGGGGGTCCACTCCACTGGACTGGACCTCACCCGTTAATATTAGGCGACTGGAGCCGCTGGAGGTGCTGTAATTACAGCGGGTAGCCCGACTGGAGTCGCCGTGGGCTGGTGTGGCTTGGCTGCTACGTACGTTCTGGGACTTTGATGGATGTCGGCCCGTAATCGTGAGATGAGGGCGCCCCCTCGATTGTCACCCGCTGGGCGAGAAACGACATGCGCCATATCCAGTCGAGACAGCCCGTCCGCTCGCATCGGTCTGCCAGAAGATAAAGTTTGAGTCCACACGTAATGACTGTACCATGTGCGTGCCTTTTGACCACGTAGGGAGGAATCCATGATGAAAGCACTCGATGGCCCTGGATCCTGGTGTTGTTGTCTTCCCCACGTACAATCCACCGGATCCGGCTTAGGCGGTCGCTTGGCAGGCTCAGCGCCCAGACGTGATCAAACCAAACCAACCGGCTGTCTGTCCGTGATTAATCAAGGATACGTAGTACGGCTGTCCTGGCTCCTCCTGCCTGTTCATCTGTTTGTTTGATTGCTGTCAAGAAGGACAGGGACCCTCCCCCATTGCTCAGCCCGCAGACACGTACGACGCCCCCATTGACATGCGGCGTAGTCATTGCTTGGCACGACGCTCAGATCCGTGAAGGCCATCTCCCTGTCTGGCTCCCTCTCATCTCTCTCATATCTATCCTCCACGTACCTGCGCAAGTACAAATATTCACGACTTGCCTATTTCCTCTTTTCTTGTTGGTCGTTGCTCTCCTGCGTGCGTTGTTTGAGGCGAGCGTGTCGTGTTCTGCATGCAATCAGCGACTAGGGCGGGTTGGTACAGCAGACGCAATCGGCGCCCCCGGGTCTAGTCTATCGGTCACCGCCAACCCAGACTCTGGTCAGATTGAGTAGAGCAGAGCACATCACTTGACATTGCTCGCTCACCATCGCCCGCTGCATCCGACAAGCCGCCTCTGCTCAGGGTTCGTCCCTTTTCTTCGACAGCAGGGTTTCGTCCCTCGAGGCGTGAACTGAGCCAAGCAAACCAAAAGGCAACGCCAGGTCCCAACCGACAAGACAGACCAGCCTGAATAGCCTCACTTGCTCAAACTCACGCTCTCACTCACCCACTCCACTCCACCATGGCCGCCGTGTCGTTTAGCACCCGCCATGAGCATGGGGGGGCCAAGATCACAAAGTCGCGCACGCGCAACAGCGTGAAACCGATGCTACGCAAGCTGCAGTCGTCATCCTACTCGGAGAAGAACTCGCTGGACCTGGACCGTGGATGGGACGAGCAGCTGTCGCCTCACCTGGGCTACGTCGCGCCCACCACGGACGACTACTACTACAGCAACAGCAGCAGCACGGCCACCGCGACGCCCGCCTCGTCAAAGGCTAGTCCGGACGATTTGCTCAACAGTCATCCGTACTACCAGCACTTCGCCTCGAGCTTATCGCCAGCTGACCTGAGTCTAAGCCCAACAAATGGCGCCATCCACTCCATCGCCCTCTCATCGCCCGACGCCACGCCCGCCCTCACCGCGTCCTCAGCCAGCACAACTATAGACTCGCCCTCCAACAACAACACCGCCACGACAGCCTCGTCCGCCTCGCACGTCCGCTCAACCTCTGGCACCTCGCAATTCTCCATCGCGACCAGCACAGGCAGCGCCGGCACCTCGCGCAACACCAACGGCGGCTCCTTTGTCCACCCCTTCCAGCAGACCCCGCGGACGTCGACCCCCCCGCTGCTCTTGTACGCCAACGGGCGCGCCTCGCTCGACACGCTCAACATCATCACGACGACCACGACGCGCGACTCGCCGACGACCATTGACGAGAACGACGGTGAGCTGGAGCAGTTCCCCCTGCCGACGCCGGGGAGTAGGCCTCTCCAGAACAGCATCCACGCGAGCAGCCATCGACGGCCATCGCTCGTGGCCGGAGGCTCCTCATCACCGCAACAGCAGCAGCAGTATAGCGAATCCTTGCCGAGATCATCGACGTCCCGCCGCCCGACAAGGTCCTCCGACGTGCAGCAACTCAGCGCGACACCCTCCGTGACGGTCGTGGAGGACTCGCCCGTGGCCCAACTACCCGCCTCCGCAACGGCGACCAACAGTCCCCTCTCCCCCTTGCGATCGTCGCTCGACATGGACAATTTTCGCATCCGCTCGCGCAGCGACGTCGACACCTCGACGCGGCAGGAGCAGGTCCGCGCGGCCCGTCGCAAGTTTGAGGAAAAGGAGCGCGCCAAGCAGGAAAAGTACGCGCGCGAGCAGACACGCAAGCAGCATCAACACCACCACCACAAGTCAAGAAAGAGCTCACTGGGTACTCGGTCCTCTATATCCGAGCAGCGTCCCGGCCCCCTGCCTCGAAGGTCCACCGCCCACGAAAAGTCGGAACTGGAAGCCTCCAACGGTCTCTTCTCACACGAACCCGAGGAAGAGGAGGAAGAGCAGCGGCGGCAATCGACCGCGACGGCGACGCCAGGCTCCGCGACCAGACCCACGGACATGAACGACGTGCGGTTCGGGCCCAACAACCGCCGGCGCGACGCGAAGCGTAAGACGACGGGCGCTTGGACGGCGTTTGTGCTCTGGTTCCGGACGAGGCTGCTGAAGCTGGGCCGACGGTAGGACCGGGCCCTGAGCTAGGGGCGGCGCCTCACGAGACGATATCACGGGTTCTTGACATTTACGAGGAAACATGACGCTCCGTCTCTTCTGCTTTTCTACGACGGCGATACCACATCATGGGCGGCATGCACGGAGTTGGGGGGTCTCTCTGTCTGTTTTGTGACGAGGGGCCAAGAAAATAGCGATGATTTTTTTTTTCTAACGTCTTTCCTTTTGTTAGCGACGAATTTACTTTATTCACACGCACTATGGTAGTTACTGTGACAGTGCGCACCGGCGAGGAATGGCCATGCCGCCAATGTGATGAGTCTTGATGTCCGAAGCGAGCCGTCATACGTACGTCTGCCCAGAGGGAGTGACGAAAGGCGAGGAGTTCATGTGGGGATCGAACGAGGCTAAGATCGACTGACTCCCGTTCCAAGGTTGCAGGATCACCAGGGGTAGAATCGGGGATGACCGATCAATGGGATCATTGGTGGGTCACGTGAGTGGGAGGTGGTAGGATGGACAATACTGATTTATCAATGATCTTGGAGAGACATGGAGACGGGAGTCGACTCACGATTTTCAAAGAGTCGAAGGCGATGGGAGCCAAGGATGCCGGGTAAGTGGGCTGAGAGCCGCGACGAGCAGGGTTGGCTTGGCGTGACTAGTACAAATACAGCAGTCATTGCGACTGCTTGAGGACATGTAATCTAAGTTAGATATCTGAAACAACATTCAGTCTTGATGCTGCAGTCACCAGCATAGCCGAGTGCAACTGAAGCCGATGTCCTGCTGGCTGCGCGAGACGCTGCGGTGCTACCCCAGATTCCTCGGATACCGCTAAACCTCGGTCCAATGCAGCCCAGCCCCTCACCAGATGCATCCGTGTAAGTCAGCCTCACGCTCGTTGTACGCAAATGTATATCACTAGTAGACAGCTCCGGTCAATCATCATAAACACAAACCAAGCAAGCCATTATCATATCAACTAGACCTACCACCCAAACCAAACATGCCAGACCTGCCCCCCAGCTACAGCGCCCTCTCCCTCCCGGGCATCCTTCTCTCCCACCACCCTGCCTCCTCCCCAACGCCGACACCCGTCATCATCCTCGCCCTGCACCGCCCAGCCGCCCGCAACGGCTTCACCGACGAGCTCGCGGCCTCCCTCATCACGGCCTTTGACACGCTCTCCCGCGATGACAGGGTCAAGGCCATTGTGCTCACCTCCTCCGACAAGACCAACAGGATCTTCTGCGCGGGCATGGACTTCAACGCCAAGGGCGAGCGAGTCAGCCCAACGGCCCGCGAGCACCGCGACGGCGGCGGCACGGTCACCCTGGCCATGCACAACTGCCACAAGCCCATCGTCGCCGCCATCAACGGCAGCGCCGTGGGCGTAGGCATCACCATGACGCTCCCGTGCGCGATACGCGTCGCCAGCAAGGACGCCAAGGTTGGCTTCGTCTTTGCGCAGCGAGGCTTCAACATGGAGGCCTGCTCGTCCTTCTACCTCCCCCGGCTCGTGGGCACGTCACGGGCGTTGCACCTCGTCACCACGGGCGCCGTGTACCCGGCCACGTCGCCTCTCTTCTCGGAGCTGTTCAGCGACGTCGTGCCCGCGGACGAGGTCCTTCCCACGGCGCTCGGGTACGCGGAGGGCATCGCGCGCAACGTGAGTACCGTGGCGGCGCGGGTGATGCGGGACATGATCTACCGGGGCCCGCGCTCGCCTGAGGAGGCGCACCTGCTGGAGAGCAGGGTCTTCTTTGACCTGTACCATGGGGCGGATAGCAAGGAGGGCGTCGCGAGCTTTCTGGAAAAGAGACCACCCAAGTTCGGGATGAGCATGGAGAGGGATGCGCCGAGCGCGTGGCCGTGGTGGGATGCGCTGGAAGTCAGGTCTAAGGCGAGGCTGTAGGCTGCTGCTGTGAGCTGGCTCTAGGTTCGAGAGGTGCTCTATCACTCGGGCCCCCCCTCTGGCAAAGTGCTTTGAGGTTGCAAGGGAGCTTCTGAGAGCTCGACATCATGCCTGAGAACCATGCCTCGTGGGAATGTAGGAACAAAAATACATGTAGACATGTGTTGATGTTTGTTCTGAAGAGATCCTGAGGAGCTCCAGAGCTCTGACGTACGGTAGGATACTGGCGGCACTGTGCTGGGCACAGGGCAGAGTGGCAGCGTGTGGTATCCTCACTTACTACATCGACCACAACTGATGAGACGCAAGGTAAAACCGAAGACATTTGCCATGGACTTCCAGAATAGCAGATAGAGATACATATACAATAATGGAGAGCCTTCGTGGATTAATTGCTCATCTACTCACCTAGGTACCTTGACATAAATACGCCCGCACTGTGCTCAAATAAGCTCGGACCACCCTGGACCCCAACGCCATCAAACCTCATGCCTGCAATTCTGCATCGCGACACCCACCTTGGCTCTCGACTCCCAACCCCTTCCAAAGGGTCGAAGCCTTTCTTTAAAGCATCATCGTCTTCAACTCCCCCCCCGCGGCTACGATGATGGCTCGACTCCATTGCCATGTCCCGGCCAGCGCCGTCCGCAGCTGGCGTGGCGCCTCGCTCGCCCCGTCCACATGCCCATCCTCTGCCACCCGAACCTACGCCACCGAGATCGAGCCCGAGCGCCCACGTCCTCCCCGCCAGGCCAACGACCACAAGCTCGGCCGCTCCTTTCAGGGGCAGGTCATGGGCTCCATCTCCCAGCGTCTCAACCGCGAGAAGGAGCAGCGCGCACGATACGAGGAGTGGCGCAAGCAGGTTGATCCCGCGCGCAACTGGTCCACCACCTTTATGTTTGTGGCCTCGATCGGCATCGCGTACTGGGCGGGCACCTACTGGGAGCGCAACCCGGACACGACGTCGACGACGCCCCTGTCGCAGGCGCCCGGCGTGAGCCACGACACCAGGCTGGAGAACATGCAGGCCGCCTGGGCCGACTTTGTCAAGCTCGTCGGCAAAGACAATGTGAGCACGGTGGAGGATGACCTGTCGGCGCACGCGACGAGCGACTGGTCCTCGCACAAGGCTGGGCCGGACGAGAGGCCCTTTTGCGTCGTGTACCCGGCCACGACCGAGGAGGTGTCGGAGATTATGAAGGTGTGCCACAAGAGGAAGATCCCCGTGGTCGGCTACAGCGGCGGGACGAGCCTCGAGGGCCACTTTACCCCCACGAGGCAGGGCATCTCGGTGGATTTTGGCCGGATGGACAAGATAATCACGCTGCACAAGGAGGACCTCGATGTCATCGTCCAGCCGGCCGTCGGGTGGGAGCATCTGAACGAGGAGCTCTCCAAGGACGGCCTGTTCTTCCCGCCCGACCCAGGCCCGGGCGCCATGATCGGAGGCATGATCGGCACCGGCTGCTCCGGCACCAACGCGTACCGGTACGGCACGATGCGGGAGTGGGTGATTAGCATCACGGCGGTCCTAGCCGACGGTACCATCATCAAGACGCGGCAGCGCCCGCGCAAGAGCTCGGCGGGCTACGACCTGACCAAGCTGCTCATCGGGTCCGAGGGCACCCTGGGTCTCGTGACCGAGGCGACGCTCAAGGTGACGACCAAGCCGGCCTCGACGAGCGTGGCCGTCGCATCCTTCCCCTCGATCCGACAGGCGGCCACGTGCGTCGCCAAGGTGGTCGGCGCGGGCATCCCCGTCGCCGCGGTCGAGATCCTCGACGAGAACCAGATGAAGTGCATCAACGAAGCGGGGAGCACGTCCCGCGCGTGGACGGAAGCGCCTACGCTCTTCTTCAAATTTGCCGGCACGCCCAGCGGCGTCAAGGAGCAGGTGGCGCAGGTGCAGGCGCTGGCGAAGCAGGCGAGCAGCAAGACGTTTGAGTTTGCCCGGAACGAGGAGGAGAGGGACGAGCTATGGAGCGCACGCAAGGAGGCACTCTGGAGCGCCATGGCCGTCAAGAGGCCCGGCGACAGGGTGTGGACGGGCGACGTGGCCGTGCCCATGAGCCGGCTGCCGGACCTCATCGAGGCCACCAAGGAGGACCTCCGGCGGAGCGGTCTGTTCGGGACGATTGTGGGCCACGTGGGCGACGGCAACTTTCACAGCATCATCATCTACAGCGAGGCGCAGCGGCAAAAGGCTGAGACGGTGGTGCACCGCATGGTGAAGAAGGCGGTCGAGATGGAGGGCACTGTCACGGGCGAGCACGGCGTCGGCCTCGTCAAGAGGGACTACCTCGCGCACGAGCTGGGCGAGACGACGGTGGACGCGATGCGGCAGATCAAAAAGGCATTTGACCCCCTGTGTCTGCTCAACTGCGACAAGGTGGTACGCATGCAGAAGCCCAAGCGCGGTGAGGTCGAGGCGTGGTGATTGTCTGAGTGGGATTGGCCAGCACTGTATGGATGTTTGGTTAGTAGGCGAATGTATATACTGTAATATCAGCTAGAGCTCTCGTGGTGCTTCACTTGATGGCGCGTAGGGTAGGCATTTTGCATAGGTAAGATAACTTATCGTCCCTTGGCGCGTGTCTAATGACGTCAGGTGCCTCCCCTGCCTGCCTGATCATCCCGCCGCCGCTGGCTTTGCTTTCCGCGTTCCTCTTTTCCACTTCCACCTTTTTGTCAGCTAGATCATTTCGATCGTTGGCTTGCGTGGACTTGGTTATCGACTGTGAGGATAAGGAAGCAAGCAGATCTGGTCCAAACTGCCTGCATTCCTGGGACTTTTCGTGCCATTCACCTGTTCGTCAATTGTCTTCCGAGTCGCGATAATGCCCCTGAGGCTGAAGGCTCAACGACAAGGTGAGAGGGACGAGTCGCCCGCTCCCGAGGCGTACCGCCATGAATGGGACCTTCCCCACATTGAGCAGCACGAGTCGTTCCAGGAAGTCATCAAGAAGCTTTCTCTGTATGTGGAACCCTATTCAATGCTTCTACCCCGCCGATTTAAGCTCTCCTAACGCTAGTCACGTCTCGAACAATAGCTTCTTTACCGATGTAGTAGACCTCCCCAGCAGCTTCGAACAATTGCGAACAACATCAGCCGGAGATGGCCTCATGGCCCTGGTCGAGCACCTTGGTCATACATGCACGAACAGAACTATCGTCAGCGCACTATTGTACGTCCATGGCGTTCTTCTCCCCGGTGACTCCATTTGACCTGATGTCAAATGCTAATATCTTTGCTGTAGGTCGCTGCGATGGCATTACGTCACGGATAAGGAGCACAGGGGGTTGAGTGAAGCTCGCGGAAACGCGTGCGAGATTGTAGCATGGCGCTTCCTCACTAGTCTTTCAGAGCGAGAAGCAGTCGACTACTGCCTCTACGAGATCCCCGGTAAAGAGGCGCTCGACGCAACGGCGCTCATGTCGAGCAACACGTTTCTATACCGCAACGAGGAATCGACCGAGTACTCTCCACTGTTAGGGAACAGCGCACTGAACGGCTCAGGAAGGCCGTCTGTAGGCTCGAACAGACGTGCCCAGCTGATGCAGGCGATCCCAAAACTTACCATGGTGGCCGATGTCGATTCCGATTTCGAGAACAACCCCGGCGACTTGAATGGTGATAACGCAGCGTACAACCCGTTAACGGGGCAGGCGGACCCCAATTCCACATTCAAGAACCTTAACGCGCTCGAGATCGCAGCCATCGCAAACGCAAAACGGTTCTTGAGCCAGTACATTGTGCAAAAAATCATTACCGGTCTTTGGAATGGTGATATCATCTTCTGGGACTCGGTGTCAGCGACAGCGACCCGGATGCCTCGCTACTATAATCCCGGGACAACTGACCCTTACTCCCGTCTCCGAGTACCCAAGTACCTGAAAGCATGGGAGGCATTCTTCTTCGCCATATTTCTTGCCCTCTACTATAGTGTTGTGGTTCATCGCGACCTTACCTCTATCCCGATGGTAGAGGTAGCTTTCTATGTCTGGCTGGTCTCGTTCTTGTGGGACGAGTTCCAGGAGTGGGCCGACGCCGGAATCTTCTACATGACGGACATCTGGAACTTGTTCGACATGAGCATGATAACGCTTGGTGTTACATTTGCCGTCCTTCGTAAGATGATTTCCCACGATCTTGTATCGCATCAGTAGACTCCTGTCTCACTAATCCTCCTCCACTCTAGGTGTCATTGGCATCACGATGAGTAGCCTCGCCGTCACCAACACTGCATTCGACATTCTTTCTCTCGAAGCCCTCCTCGTGGTACCTCGCATCTTCTCCTTCCTCAGTCTCAGCCCCTATTGGGGCACGCTCATCCCTTGTCTCAAGGAGATGGGCAAGGACTTCGTCAAATTCATGATCCTTGTCGTTATAGTCTATCTCGGCTTCTTGACTACTTTCTCCCTCATCTCCCGTGACACATTCACGTTCGGCAATATGACCTGGGAGATCACCAAGATTTTCTACGGCAATACAAACATCGCCTTTCGTATCATGAATGACATTGACGCCAACTTTGGTCCGCCCCTGATGCTTCTGTTTATCACTCTGAGCTCGATTCTCCTCACAGGTACCCTAACCGGTATGCTCTCCAACAGCTTCGGTCGTGTCATGGCACAGTCCCGCGAAGAGTATCTCTACGTGTACAGTGTTTACGTCCTGGAAGCATCGACCAGCTCGCGCTTGACCCATTTCTTGCCGCCCTTCAATATAATTGCACTCGTTTTCTTCAGACCGTGGCGGTTCATCTTCCCCAAAGATGACCGCTTCCGTCATTCTCGCGTTGTCGCCCTCAAAATTACACATGCCCCGGTTGTCCTTCTTATTCGGCTTTACGAGTCACTGTGCCGCAAGATAGCGGGAACGAGTATTTTGGCAAAGGAAGCCGGGCAGAGTTTCTCAGGAGGCCGCACGAGGAGCAACTCGCAAGCTCCACCACCACCGAGACACCGCGATACCCCGGCCGGACGCTCTCGAACCGGAAGGGACCGCGGCTCTGGAGAGCTACCAGCATCGTACCGTCGGCGGTTCAACTCATTGTCAGCGCAGAGACGGCCTCTCGGCTACTCAGAGTATCTTCGCCCAGGGTACCGCCCGTCGCCAGCGACAGGGACCGACTGGGGTGCCGCGGAGGAGGGTGATCACTCCGATCATAGCCCCAGCAATTCTGAGCTTATGCGACGGATCGAGAAGCTTACCGCCATGGTGGCGACGTTGCAGGAGCATCAAAATCAACAAGCTCAGCATCGGACATCTGCATTGAGAAATGAGGAAGAGACCCTTGTTTCTGTGTCGTAGTGGGTAGCTGAAGCCGGAAAATGTTACGACGGTCCCGGGGATGGGGGGGGGGGGTTCATCAGATTATGATGATAAAACAGAATGTTCTCAGATAGGATGAAATAATGACATTAGTTGCGTCTTACTTGGCTAAATGTGAAGCCCGCTCGTATGTACAGATTTCCATGCAGTACGTCTTAGTCCAAAGTTGGTAAGTATCAGGTGTGTTGCATCTAGACTCGCTCGCTATTGTTTTCACCCGCCTACAAACCACGAGACTTATTTCCCACTTCAACGCCCGCTAGACTGATGGCCGATTCGAAGAAAATCCTCGTATCTGGCGGCACTGGCCCCCTGGGTATCGGAGCTGCTGCATCGCCAACATGCAACAATCGTGTACGCGAGAGACCTATGAAAACCCTCGGAAGACGTTGCTTCCCACCCACTACTCGAGGCGCGTACTATCTGTCATCCGTTTATCCAAATGTCAAGCTTTCATAGCACCTCTAGAAGAAACTATGTGCAAGTTGATATCACTTCTATGCACCAACATAATCACAGATCCCATGTCTCAACCCACGACCTGTAGGTAATCAAAGGCGAGATGGAGTCCTAAGCATGATCTCGGTGTACAGGTCGGAGGATAAGTTTAGCCTCGCGAGATCTGCGATTCTGACGGTGGTGAGAACGCTTTATAACAGGGTTTGGAGGAATGTTGTCAACGTTGGGGAGCTTTTTGCGGGACTGGAGGGCGAGGACGGGAAAGGGGATGATGGGCTTCATGACCTCAACACATATAAGACACAGTCCTGTACTGCGTTCCTCTGCTTTTGTTTGGCTGTACTGCGGAGCAATCCAACACTCTACTGATTCCCCGCGTATTATATCACTTGAATTTTGTATCACATTTCTCGCCCGACACATTATGAATATCCCGTCTCCCCTTCGGAAACCTGGATTTAGCCCTCAGTCATTAGGCGTGGATCCAGCATCACATGGCTATTTCTTCGACTCCTCTGAATTTCCTCCTCCCTAAGAGCTCGGCACTGGGAAGATGTCAAAAGTCGTGTCGCGGAGCCTCATCAGACGCATACAGTCCCCCAGATCAAGGCTTGTCTCCAGACGGAGTTCGAATTCGAAGTAACGTGAGCGTAGGAATCTCGGCTGCAGAACTATGCCGAACACTGTCTGACATGCATTATACTATAATATTTCCACACTGAGAGGCAAGTGAAGGATAGGATCAAACAATGGGGTCTGACCAAACGTATCAAGCAATCAGATGTGCAAATCGTCATGTAAAAGAGCCAGAATCGGAGGCTCGATGAGCCCGAAAACAACCCGTTTCATTGTCGTGGCATTGGAGAGGATTGGGGCGTACGAGAAGCGGTATAAGGAAAGTAAGATCATGGAGAGGGCCGTGACGGCGCTTTAATGCGACTTTCTGGATTTTCAGACGAGGGCGGTGGAATTGTACACAGGCTCTGGGTTGAGGAATGTTTCCAAGTCGATCGATTCCGAGATGCAGGTTGTTCTGAAGAATATTGAGGTGCATGAGAACGATCTAAACTGGGCGTCGGGGGTAGCCGCGGCCCAAACCCGGAGGAAGAAAGCGCTGGGCAAGTTTTCTTCCCCTGTTTGCTTTGCCGAGTTTTGCTGGCCTTGTTGTCTCTCAAAGCATGCTCAAGATGCATGCCAGTCGGGCCTGGTGATGTGTGATGGAAATTACCATGGCTTGTTATATGCGAATAGAGCAAGAAGCCAAAAAGAAAAGTGCGGCTGTGGCTCGCACCGGTGCCGTTCGAAGACGATCTAAACCGTCTTCTAGATGGTATTGTACTGGAAACCTTTGGCTGGTCCGTGGGTATTCCGGAAGTCGACGCCGTCCTCAACGGACAGCTCACCGGGCGTGTTGCAAGCCACCAAGCGCCGGCGGGACGGGGCAAGTCTGCTGTCTCGGGCCTTGTTGGTTCGCTAAGCTGCCGGCAGAGTAGACAGAAACATCCTTTACTTCCCGGCGCCGACTTCAGACCAAGAGCAGAATCGCCATGCGGTGTTGTATCAAACATTGTTGCGCCAGCTATTGTCTCGAGACAAGTCGATGTATCCATCCCCTGGTCCTGGAGATCTACAAGGAGAGTATGTAGACATATATGCCGGCGAAGACAGTTTTCCCCCTGAAGAATATAATAATAATAATAATAAATTATACGCCCTTACGGGTGCCTCTCGCGAGCTAGCTAGGCTATCTTAACTAAAAACCTTAGTGCAGTCCTCCCCCCTGAAGAATATAAACTACATGAAAATACACCCGGGTACGTGGAATCAACTGTTATCCAATGGCTGCTCCATAGGACACAAATAAGAATTAAAAGTTTAAGCATTAATTAACCCACACAGCCTGGTTCGCCTCGCCATGCGGGACGTTTCTATCATTACCCACCTAGTGGGTGGCATCCACACTCCACGGATAACGTGGATCTACCGGAATGAAGCCCTAATATCCAAAGCTACGAGCAAAGAGCGGCGTTCTTGATCGAATTGCTAGTTGCACTTGCTGCGGAATACCATCAATGGTCCGAGCTATGTCGCATTGTCGGAAGCCGTTGAGGTTCGGCAGAACAACTGAAGCCCCCGCATCAAGCAACGCCATGGCGATGTCCGAGTTGCGAGCGAACAATGCCAGATGAAGTGCAGTGTTGCCCAAGTCGTCCTGCAGATCAAGAAAAGCGCCGCCTCCGAGCAGCGAACCAGTCGCATCGCCTGCGGACGGGGCCACAGTCAGGAAACAGTGGGCCATCAGGGGAGTGACTCTGAGCCAGTTCGCGCGCGAATTCAAGTCGGCCCTGGCGTCCTTCAGCATTCTGATGGCCATGGCGTTGCCCAGAATCGCGGCCCAGGCCAACGGGGTGCAGGTTTGCATGTGGCCTCCGACGCTGTCCGGCGCCAACATGATTTTCCCCCTTGCTCGCTCGCTTGCGTTTATCGAATCGACAAGGCTGACGTAGCCAACCGCGTCGATCAGCCGCCACGGAAGCGCGCTCAACAGCGCCCGTAATATTGCAAGCGAGTGATTCCCGGCAGCCTCGACCGCGCAATGCAAGGCGGTCGTCCTCCTCTCGAGGCTCGGGATTCCCCAGTACTCCCTCCATCTGCTCACGTACCAGGGTTCACCGGTGGCTACAACTGGCGCCAGAAGCATTTCCGCCGAGTCGACGCAGGAAGCAAGCAGCACCTGGACCCTTTCCAGGTCGTCTCTTTGAATCGCTCTGCAGAGCGATTCCGGGGACGCAAAGAATTCCCCACTGCACAGATCTGGCGGCGTGCCCGGTGTCAAATGTCGGTTGGTAGTGTCCGGGGGGTACCGGGGCGAAAATCCCTGGGTAGAAGATCTGGGGTCGGTACGCAGCGGAGGAGGTGGGTTCACAGACGATTCCACGTTCATGCTGGTGGGAGTGGAATGGGCGACTTCCGCCCTCGGGATCACCAACAAGACTTCCTTTGCGTATGCTGCTGCCGCGCCCGCCGCGTACGCCTGCCAACGATCGTTCTTGTGCGAATCGGAGTAGTCGCATATGCCGCGGACAACAAGGCAAGGGAAGCCAATCATCAGGCCTGCTGCCTCCATCTCGAAGCACAAGACATTGCCAAACTCTGCGCTGATCATGTCCCTCTGCGCGGCATCTCTCATGACTTGGTTTGCCGACGCAATGGTCCCGTAGTGAACCACAGGATTGTCGTGTCCGCGTGGGGGCCTGTCGACCCTTCTGTCCAACTTGCACAGCCGGCACGACGGCCCCCCTTGGTGGTTGTACGCGGCGTCGAAGAGTATGTCGGGTCCGGCAGCTTCACGGCGGAAGTGCGGGAGGCTGTCAAGCCGTGCTAGATGCTCCGAAATCCGGCCTCTGCCACGAAGGTGGTTTGCTCGCACTTTGTTCACGGCACCAAGCAGCACCGGGGGCGAGGAGTTGAGAAAGCCGGTCCGCCGGAAGCCGTTGGGCGTCGCTTTGCCAAAGTCGTACTGGATGACTCCTCCGTATCCCTGGTGTGGCTGGCTGACGACCACGTCTCCGAGTCTGATGTCCGCCTCCCCGCTTGGGACGCCGCCGCCGACCCCAACCATCATGCAGAACCGGACCGATCTGAACGTCGACCGCATCTGCGTCGCCACCGTAGCGGCCGGGTTGTTGCCCATCAGGCCTGAGGGCAGGCAGACGATGACCACGTTGTGGTCGCCGATGCGCCCCAGCGAGTACAGGTTGTTGTCATGTCCGTCCTGCTCGAGGTCTTCGTGCTCCTCGTCGAGCATTTCCTGCACCGCCGCTAGCTCCGTGTCTAGGGCACATATCAACCCTACCGTATAGTCCTGGCGCCGGAGGGGGCGGCGCTGAACCATCTGAGATGGGTACCTGCTCCCGGGTTGGTAGCCGGAGCAGAAGCGGGGATTTTGGTGGGGGAGGCCGCGGACACGTCCGTACCAACGAGCAACCTCCTACAACAGCGTCCAAGGTATAAACTATTGGGGCTGTCGCGGTAGCAAAAGTGGCCTCTGGACTGCAGAGGTGAGTGATTAGAATTACAGTGCACTTTGTGGAATTGGCATTCCGTCCTTTCATCCCCCCCCCCCCCCCCTCACACCCTCTCCCCCAATGTACCCAGTCTCAGCCTCACTCTGTGGCCTGCGGGGTCACATGGCCGAGCATCATCTGCCCTTGCATGCACTGGAAGCACCACATCTGACAGCAAGCCGGCAGACAAAGGCTCTCTTCCTCACAATCCAACTCTCTGTGTCTCGCACCAAACTCTTCGCGCCGCATGGCTCGACTCGACAGCACGACAGAAACGGACTCGCCCTGCTGCACCCGCGTCTAGGCAGCTCCCACCATGGAGAATCTCTTCACAGCCGAGCTCAAGCCAGGGCGCTATCTAGGCTTTCTGAGTATAGTGCTCTCCCAAGATCAAGCCTGAACGGCACTGACAAGCACAGTCCTCGGCGCATCACTGCACGATGTCTTGACCCGCCTCAAGGCAGAGCCCCAGCGGTTCCCCCACATCCAACTCCTCTACGCCCCCAGCCAGCCCATCACCGAGCCCGTGCGTGTATCCCTCCCGCAGAACGGCATGCGCCTGTCCTTTGACGGGCCCGAACAGCGCCTGCGTCTCATCGAAATCCTCGACTTTGGCAAGAACCACATCACCTTCAACGACAGGGACCTCGTGCGCCCCGGCGAGACCATGGGTCGACCGACCTTTAAGCACATCTACAATCGTCTCTTCGGACCGACGTATGAGGGGGAGTTCATAGCGAACGCAGACAACAGCGACAGAGACAGCGGCGGCGCCATCTACGTCCTCTCGTACCCTGGCGTGGCATTCAACTTCCCCCTCACGGCCGACGAGCGCGAGGCGGACACGGGCGCCGTGACCCTGCTGGCCAAGAAGGAGGCCACCTCCATGGCCATCTTCAGCGGACCCTCCTGGGCCGAGTCGAGACCGACGCTGTGGACCGAGGTGCTGCCGAGCTGCAAGGTGACGGGGCAGATCCCCAAGAGCAAGGACGTGTTCCCCGACGAGGTCTCGCTGGCGAGGCTGCACGGGGGCGGCAAGGTCGAGCTCCAGCGCAAGTGGCAGTCCACGGGCGCCTTTGTGATCCAGCTCGGCGAGACGACGCCGCAGGACCTGGTGCGCGAGCTGGGGCCGCCGAGCGCCATCTACCGCAAGAACGACCAGAGGATGGTCATACACAAGATGCGCACGGCGGCCAGCGACGCGCGGGACCGGCCGAGCCACACGAGTCTGCGGCCGGAGGAGCTGACCGACACGGATCACTCGTCGATGAACACGGGCAGCGAGGAGGACTCGGACGAGGAGGCCATGACGGGGGAGGATGGCGCGCTCGGGAATCCGTCGGGCGAGTGCTTCTACAACTACTTCTACCTCGGCTTCGACATCCTCCTGTCGACGCCCGTCAGTCCATCGCCGGCACCGCCTGGGCAGCAGCAGCAGCAGCAGCAAGTTGCGTCCGACGGTCAGATCAAGACGCATCACCCGGACCGGCTGGTCGCGACAAAGATTGTGCTGCACGGCAACATCCCCGGGTCGTACGAGTTCAACCGCCACCGCCGTCTGCGCTGGGAGGTGGCCTACCTGGGCTCGGTCCCGATCACGTCCGAGTCCCCCTTTGCCGACGTGGAGGCGCGGATGGGCGACATGTGGCGGCAGCACATGTCGGAGCGCGGCGGCAAGGGCATGGTCCTCAACAGGGGCTGGGGGGACTCGCCGGGCTCGAGCTGCGAGCTGCTCGGTGGGTGGGAGGACAGCAGCGGCCGGATCGAGGGATCGTCGTCGTCTTCGAACGGGGACTCGACGACGACGCTGTTTGGGTTTCCTGGTATGGTGTTTGAGGTGTTGAGAAATGGATTTGTGAATACCGTGACGGTCTTTTAATTAGGGGTTGGAGTCTGGTGTCTGGGTTTGGTGTCTGGGTTTGGGGTCTGGGTTTGGGGTCTGGGTTTGGGGTCTGGGTTTGGGGTCTGGGTTTGGGGTCTGGGTTCTGGGGTCTGGAGCTATTGGGAGTAAGCGGCATGAGATATGACGGCTTCTATGATTAACGAATAAGGTCACTTTTTTGGTATACCCAAGCGCAGAAGTTCATAGCAATCCAGTACGGAGTCGATCGTCCATGTGGTGATCGACGACTGTGGCTACCCTGGACCAGACCAGCCGCAACCGGTTGCCGTCCGACTCCGACTCCGACTCTGACTCCGACTCTGACGCTGTCCTCCATCGTCCATCGTACGTAATGAATACAAATGGTCCTGGATGGGCTGGCTCCCTGCATCGCATCTCGCCCCTTCGCGCTTCCATCTTTTTGCCCAAGTGCTCCTAGCCTAGCGAAGTCCACTGTACAATGGTCCACGACAGACCGGATCCTTTTGTCGGCTGCCTCCGCGACGACCCACGCCCTGGCTTATGTATCCGCACATGTATGATGGCTCCATTCTGCACCTGGGTCCTGGGGTCTGTCTTATTTCCGAGATCGCCTCCGAGTCGGTCACTTTTGTTGACTATGATTGATTGATTGATTTTGCCGAGTCCCCGAGCGAGCGAGCGAGCGAGCGCGCAAGCTCTGCTGGTCAAGTTCATCCTCGTCGTCTTGCACCCCAGAGCCATCATGACGGACAGCAGCATCATGGGCGACGACGACAAGAGGAGGACGAGCTCGGAGAGCACCGCGCACGACCACGACATTGAGCGCGAGGCTGGCACCGCTTCACAGACGCAATCAACTCAACACCAGGACCCGGCCGTCACATCCAATGCGGAGAAAAACGTCGACGAGACGGATGCGCCAGGCCCAGCAGCAGCAGCAGCAGCAGCAGCAGCAGCCGACGAGCCGGAAGCGCAGCGCACCAAGCTCGAGAACTTCCTCATCATCTTCGCCCTCTGTCTCGCGCTCTTCCTGGCCGCCCTCGACGTCACCATCATCACGACAGCCATCCCCACCATCTCGGCGCACTTCAACTCCTCCCTGGGCTACGTCTGGGTGGGCGCCGCCTACCTCCTGGGGAACTCGGCCTTTGCGCCCCTGTGGGGGAAGATCTCCGACATTTGGGGCCGCAAGCCCGTGCTCCTGGCGGCCGTGGCCATCTTCTGGATCGGGAGTCTGCTGTGCGGCGTCGCCACGAGCATGGGCATGCTCATTGCCGCGCGCGCCATCCAGGGCATCGGCGGCGGCGGCACCATTGTGCTGCCCAACATTTGCATCTCGGACCTCTTCTCGATGCGGAACCGGGGCATGTACTTTGGCATCCTCGGCATGGTCTGGGCTATTGCGTCCGCCCTCGGTCCCATCCTGGGCGGTCTCTTTACGAGCAAGGTCTCCTGGCGCTGGTGCTTCTACATCAACCTGCCCATCTCCGGCGTCGGCATGATCATCCTCTTCTTTGTGCTCAAGCTGCACAACCCACGCACGCCGATGCGCGAGGGCCTCAAGGCGATCGACTGGACGGGTAGCGTCCTCGTCATCGGCGGCACCCTCATGCTCCTGCTCGGCCTCGAGTTCGGCGGCGTCAGCCATCCCTGGGCCTCGCCCACGGTCATCTGTCTCATCGTCTTCGGCATCGTCACCATTGGCCTCTTTGTCATCAACGAGGCCAAGGTGGCCACGTACCCCGTGATGCCCGTCCGGCTCTTCAAGTCGAGGAACAGCGTCGCGAGCTACGCGTTTGGCTTCTTCCACGCATTCACATTCATGTCGGGCAGCTACTGGCTGCCGCTCTACTTCCAGGGCGTCCTACGCGCCACATCCCTCCTCTCGGGTGTCTATCTTTTACCCTTTGTCGTCTCCCTGTCCCTCGTCTCCGCCGCGACCGGCGTCTTCATCAAGAAGACGGGCAAGTACAAGATCCTCATCGTCGGCGGCATGGCCATTGCGACGCTCGGCTTCGGCCTTTTTATCGACCTGGGTCCCCAGCGCCACTGGGCCAAGATCATCGCGTTCCAGATCGTCGCCGGCATCGGCATCGGTCCCAACTTCCAGTCACCACTCATCGCGCTGCAGACCAACGTGGTGCCGAGCGACATTGGCTCGGCCACGTCCAGCTTTGCGTTTCTGCGGCAGCTGGGGACGAGCGTGTCCGTCGTCATTGGCGGCGTCATCTTCAACAATGAGATGCAGAAGCAGCAGGGCCACCTGGCCGCCGTCCTCGAGGAGCCCGGCCTCGCCAACCGCCTGTCCGGGAGCAACGCGGCGGGTAACGTGCAGCTGGTGGCCAGCCTGGACGGGCCGGACGGCGAGATCGCCAGGCAGGCGTACTGGAACGCCCTGCAGACCATGTACATTGTCTACACGGTCTTTGCGGCCGTCGGCCTGTGCATTGCCTTTGGCATCAAGCAGGTGAACCTGAGCAAGGAGCACAAGGAGCACAAGACGGGGTTGACGACCCTCAAGGGGAGGGATGCCCCCGAAAGCAAGTAAAGGCAAGCCTAGCATCGTGTTGAATCAAGTCAAACACCTCTTCATACAATCGCCTGGTCCTCGGAAGGGTCCTCTCGCCTGCGCATGGCAGCATTGTCACTGTCCCAGCCCGATGCAGGCGTCCATCTGGTACGTAACACGACCACGGCTTCTTGCTCGCGCGGCGATTATGTTCTCCGTATCTTGCCCATTAATTCCGGGGTGTCGACTTCAGCCTATATACGTACGCAGCGTCTTTAGCCGCTTCTTGTGACCGATCGGCACTTTGTGTGTCCGCTCCGCCTACGTGGGGAGCATTCGACCGGCTACATAAACACTTTACATCAAATGTGCAGTGTTCCCCCTCCCCCAAGAAGAAGAAGACGTCTGCACTCTGCAATTATGCACTCGAAACGCGCCCCGCCGGTTGTCCGGCACTGGCATGGCCGCCTCAGCCAGATCTGTACCTTGCGTCGACGGACCACGTTCCTCCGAGGACGGGACCGTCAGCCGTCACGGCGTGCAGGTTGAAGTTGAAACGGACATATAAACAGGCGTCATGCCCGGGATGGCGAGCCTTGGGTCCCCGCCTCTGCATTCACTGCCGCCGTCACCGTCACGACACACAGAGATACCATGAAGACTCTCGCGTGGGCATCTACCCTCCTGGGCCTGGCCTCGGCCGCCCAGCTGCAGCAGGTCTCCGACTTTGGCTCCAACCCGTCCAACGTGCGCATGTACGTCTACAAGCCCGACAACCTGCCGGCCAACCCACCCCTCATCGTCGCTGTGCACTGGTGCAGCGGCACCGCCCAGGCCTACTACAGCGGTAGCCAGTACGCCAACCTAGCAGACCAGCATGGCTTCATCGTGGTCTACCCCGAGTCGCCGTACAGCGGTGGCTGCTGGGACGTCAGCTCCGACGCATCCCTCACGCACGAGGGTGGCGGTGACACCCAGGGCATCGCCAGCATGGTCAAGTACTCGATCAGCGAGTACGGCGTGGACGCCAGTCGCGTCTTTGTGACGGGTACCAGCTCAGGCGCCATGATGACCGTGAGTGCCCTGATGTGTCTTTCTCCCAGAACGCTTGCTAACCAAGACGACAGAACGTCCTGGCCGCAACGTACCCAGACCTCTTCCAGGCCGGCTCCGTCTACGCCGGTGTCCCGGCCGGCTGCTTCTACACGGGCACCGTCAATGGCTGGAACTCGACCTGCTCCGGGGGCAACTCCATCGCCACGCCGGAGCAGTGGGCCTCGATCGTCCACGACATGCACCCGGGCTGCCATGGCGAGTATCCCCGGATGTACATCTACCACGGTTCGGAGGACGCGGTGCTCTACCCGCAGAACTACGACGAGACGATCAAGCAGTGGGCGGGCGTCTTTGGGTATGATCCCGACGCCCCCATCGAGACGAGCCCCAATGACCCGGCCTCGCCCTACACCAAGAGTGTGTACGGGGACAAGCTCGTGGGGGCTCTGGGCGCGGGCGTGTCGCACAATCTCCCCCGCTTTGAGCAGGAGGATATGGAGTGGTTTGGCATCGTTTAGGGTTGTAGCTGGCATGTTCGACCTTGTTCGTATCTTCCCAATCATCCATGAAACGTGCCAGTCTATCTTTGCTTTGTCGCCAACGTGAATGTAGTTCTCAAGTGCCACGGGAGACCTGGGGCTGATCACCTGGGGCTGATCGCCTGGTGCAGCTTGCCTGGGCGGCGAATGCCATCGTGCGCTTCCTTGAAAGTACGGCAGGCTGGAACCGTAGAGCAGTATGAATGTATCCAGATGAAAGTATTTTCACGACCAAAGCCTAAGGTAGCTGCCTCGAAAAGAGTTGATGTAATTTCCCGCAAAGGTGCTGACGGGCAAGGACTAGAAGTCAGACACCGTCGTGTCACGTGCGACCGCGACGAACCGCGACGACTTCAAGCTTCGACATGAGCCCTTCAATCCGGGGCCATCGACCATTCTCATCGCATCGCCCCGTGCCAAAGTCGCACTCATCTCGCCCCAATGCTGGAGCTGTTCGTCTGGGACGCTGCGTTCGGGCTGCCCTCGATCGACGCCGAATGCCTCGCCACCATTGCCTATTTGTCCAAGACAGGCCCTGCTTCATCATGGCGTCTCGTCCCAAGCAACGACCCTTCTATCAGCCCGGCCAGTACGTACCAACCTCAAGAATCATTCACAGATGGTACCAGAAGCTCATACATGCAGGCCATTTCCCTGCATTAAATCACGACGGTATATGGACCAGCGGATTTGACAACATCATCTCATACCTCACCTCCCATAGCCTCATCACACCCCTCGACGCGGATCTCACGCCACGCCAAAAGGCAGACAGCAAAGCCTTCAAATCATTCATCGCCACACGCACGGCGCCTCTCCTCGATCTGTCACTCTATGTCTCGGCAGGCAACTGGTCCGCCACCACGCGACCGGCATACTCCAAAATCCTGCATTTCCCGCTGACATGGACCCTCCCGCCGCTCATCCGACACGAGGCTCTCCAGCGGACAGAGCACCTCGGACTAGCAGAGCTCGACACCGACTTCGACCCCAATGCGGGGTTGCACCTCAGCACAGGACGCGAGTCCCTCCCCGAGTCCTTCCGGAGACATCTCCCCGTGGTGGGCAAGAAGACCGTGAGGGAGGAGATGACACCCGAGCAAGCCACCGCCATCCGCCTCTTCAGCCTCGCCGAGACCGGGCTGGAGTTGCTGGAGGAGCTGCTGGTCGAGAACGATGGCTACCTCCTCTGCCCCCAGCTGTCCTCTGTCGACTGCTTCGCCTTTGGGTATCTTGCGCTCATGCTGGACGCGCCCGTGCCAAGGGCGTTTCTGAAGGAGTGGATCGGAGACAAGGCTCCCAGGATCCAGGCATTTGTGGCGTCCATGAAATCGCAGTGCTTTTCCATCCCAGATCAACTTCCAATCCCTTCCCCACGAAACGGGTCCTTCCCGGGCGCCGTTGGACAGATGCTGGATACATGCGTTCTCAATGCTCCGGGCATCGGCGAGCACTACGCGACCGAGAAGCGCCACCGCAGAGAGCAGGGCATCACTGGGGTGGACGGGAGGGCGTTTATGCTGGCGGTGAGGGTCATGGTCACGGGCGTGGCCATGGGCTACGGCTTCATGTGCTACAAGGCCATGCCCCCGTTTGGCGCGCGGGTCCAGACGTGGCGAGCCGCGAGGGGTGGCACCGGACTGAGCCAGTTTGGCGACCTAGGATTCATGCTGAACAGCGCTTTGGGGGCGCAGTCGTCGCCCATGGCGAATGCAGGCAACGCACCGGCAGGCCGGTTGGCGGAAATGGACTCGGATGTTGACTGAACCAAATCGCTTGCTTGTCTTGTATTGTAATGTACATTAGTCTTGTAAGCATTTTCAGATGATACACCTATATCTAATGCCAGCCCTGACGCGTGCGGTCATGCAACCCGTGGGCAACCCTTTTTCCCCCTGCTCCTTCCGCGTGTACTATATTTGCTTGACTTCTTTCCCAACCATCTCTGGTCGCTCTACCTCCCACTCGTCACGCAGCGTAGCAAAGGTGAGGTCAGACACGAGGAGAGACTGACCCAAGCTCCACACCAAGGTGATGGCATAGAAGAAATTGGCATTCCCGCTGCCGGCGTAGATCCAGAGGTGGAAGAACGCGGGGCCCAGGAACGTGGCGTAGGCCAAGACGGCGCCGGCCACAAAGCTGTACCTCATGAGCGGGAAGACATGCCTGTACAAGGGCAGCGTGCCCAGGAACAGACTCGTGTCCGCGATCGACGGGTACGGCTTGAAGATGGAGAAGATGCCCAGCAAAAGCACAATCACTACCAAAGGTTGTGTCCTGATACGGATCGACAATCCTCCGACGTACGAGGAGAGATGGAGCCAGAAGACAGCGAGGAAGAAGGACCGGAATGAGTCGAACATTTCGATGAAAAAGTACCACCACAGGCCGACGTTGGGATTCAGGTCGTTCAGCGTGAGTTGAATGCCGTAGGTTCGACCGAGGAACTCCCACGACTGGTTGTCCAGAGCCCAGGACATGCCCAGCAGCATCCCCAAGACACCAAGGACGATGGCAACGTTTTTGACTGCAAAAGTAGAGGCCGCCTGTGTACGGCCCTTGAGGAGCTGGTGGTCGTACGCCAGGAGAATCGTCGGGGGAAGCAGTAGCAGCGGATACATCGACAGGTACGAGGCGAAGGACAGGGCGACCATGGCGTTGAAGGGAGAGCCGTCAATGGCCTTGGCGACGGCCCAGAGTGTCGCGCAGTTGGTGAAAACGCTCGTCGTTCGGCCGAGACAGCTCGCGATGGACAATGGGTTGAAGAGGTAGCTGAGGCAGGGGGGGGTCAATGCGTGCACTCGGGTTTCGTGAGAGGGGATTGCGTACCATGCCACCACGACCAAGCTGGAAGCTTGCCTTGTGCGCCTGGGAGACGTGAAGAGCCTGGACTGAACAGCCTCCCCCGAAGCGGCTATCCTCATCAACGCCTCTGCGCTGAGGATGTCCACCAAGATGTACAGCAGCGCGGTGAACATCGGCAGTGCCCTCACGTCAGGGAGAAGGGAGAAGAGCGGTAGGAGCAGCGGCGCCTGGTGGAAGACGCCACCGTCGTAGGGCGACACATTGTGATTGTAAAGGAACAGACCTTCCTGCACTAGAGTCGGGATGGTCAGCCAGCAGCATCGGATAGCGCATCGTGAAGCATACACCTCTTGAAGCTTGTGACCGGGGTCGAGATCTCGACGCGCGACGTCAACAAGTCTGGCAGACTCGGAAAAGCCACGAAAAACAACCACCGCAAGAGTGCCGCGCCGGCATATATGCCAGCTTTGCCTCGCAATGTCATTGTCGCCGGCATGACATGGCAGACCTGGTCGAGGGGCAGCAGGCGTTGGTTGTCATCAACAACAGCTGGCCACAAAAGCAAGCCACTCGCGTGGTCGCTTGCTTGCCGACTTGGAGGGATGGTGGATGTGGGTTCAGCAACTGTGGCTTGAAATCTGCATGGGTCTCGTGGCGCAGGCGTCTGGGCGGTGAGCGTGGTGGACCCCCCGATGCGGCGACGCGCTAATCCTTTTTCGTCACCCGGTCACGGCGGTCTACTCTGGCAATAAAATTCGGCTGGAAAAAAAAAGGTCGAGGAAATCTTCCCAGCGAAAAGTGCCCCGCCGCCTATCTGCTGTTCTGCTTTACTTCATCAACCCATTGCGATCGCCCAACAATGCCTCGCATCAAGAAGAAGGGCCAGGCCGGCGCGGCCAAGAACTACGTCACCCGAAACCAGGCCATTCGCAAGCTCCAGATCAGCCTCCCCGACTTTCGCAAGCTATGTATCTGGAAGGGCATCTACCCTCGCGAGCCGCGCAGTAAGAAGAAGGTCTCCAAGTCGGCGACTAGCTCGACCACCTTTTACTACGCCAAGGACATTCAGTACCTCCTCCACGAGCCGCTGCTGCAAAAGTTCCGCGACCAAAAGGCGCTCGAGAAGAAGATCTCCAAGGCGCTCGGACGCGGTGATGTTGGCGATGCGGCGCGGTTGGAGAAGAATGCGGCGCGACCTGAGAAGACGGGCAAGCCCCGCTACACCCTGGACCATGTGATCAAAGAGCGATACCCGACGTTCATCGATGCGCTGCGCGATCTGGACGACTGTCTGTCGATGCTGTTCCTGTTCGCCAACCTGCCCTCGACCTCGTCCGTCCCCGCCAAGATGATCGACCGCTGCTCTCGCCTGTGCCTCGAGTTCCAACACTACCTCATCTCCTCGCGCAGCCTGACCAAGTCGTTCCTGTCGATCAAGGGTATCTACTACCAGGCCAACATCAAGGGCGTCGACGTCCTGTGGCTGGTGCCGTACAAGTTTAACCAGCGCGTTGTGGGCGACGTTGATTTCCGCATCATGGGTACATTCGTCGAGTTCTACATGACGCTCCTCGGCTTCGTCAACTTCAAGCTCTACACTTCGCTGGGTCTGAAGTACCCACCCAAGTTCGACCAGGTCATGGACGAGAATGCTGCCGAGCTCGGTGCCTTCACTCTGGAGGGGCTGACCATTGCCGGCACTGAGAACGGGAAGCAGATCGAGTCGTCCACACACAAGCCTGATCCCAAGGTGCAGGCCGAGGTGGACAAGGTTCTGAAACAAATTGGCAACGGCGAGGCGAACGACGGCGAGGACACGACGGCGCAGGACGAGGCTGCGGAGGAGGAGAAGGCTGCTGGTGAGCTTGACAAGTTCGAGGTCGCCGCCAAGGGTGGTGACGTTTTGCCCCAGCCCGAGGCCAGTGACTCCTCAAAACGGTCGCTGTTTGCCAACACCACCTTCTTCCTGTCGCGTGAGACGCCCCGCCAACCTTTGGAGCTCTTGCTCAAGGCCTTTGGCTGCAAGCGCGTCGGCTGGGATGCTGTTCTCGGAGACGGCGCATACACAACCAACGAGCTCGACCCTTCAATAACACACCAGATTGTGGACAGGCCGTCGACCCAGGCAGCGGCGGAGGCAAGCGAGGACGCCGAGGACAACCAGACCTCGCAAAAGCTGGCCGCCAACAGGAGGGTACCTGGACGCGTCTACGTCCAGCCTCAGTGGGTGTGGGACAGCGTCAACGACGGCGAAGTCAGGGAGCCTCATCTGTATGCGCCCGGCACCTCTCTACCGCCTCACTTGAGTCCCTTTGTCAAGAGCGTCAACGGCGCCTACGATCCCACGATGCCTCTGGAGGGGCAGGAGCCCGAGCTCGAGAAGCTCCAGGCCGGTAGCGACGACGAAGAGGGCGAGGAGGATGAGCTCGCCGAGGATATGGATGTGGCTGGCTCTGATGATGAGGACGAGGAAGGCGAAGACGCCTTTGGTGGGTTCTCTGCAGACGAGGACGAGGAAGAAGAGGAAGACGGAGATGCCTCGGAGGACGACCGCCAAGCTGAGCTTGAAGCGGAGCTTGCTGGCGGCGCCGTCAACAGCAAGTCGGGCGATAAGAAGACCAAGGCCAAGGAGGACGCGCGCAAAGCGCTGGCCAAGAAGTCGCGCGAGGAGGCCGAGGACCTGGAGCGCGCCAAGGGCATGCTCAGCAAGAAGAAGCGCAAGCTCTTTGAGCAGATGCAGTACACCAACAACAAGAAGAGCGCCGAGGACGAGAAGCTCCGTGCCAAGAGGAGAAAGCTGGAGAAGGAGAAGCAGAGGAAGGCCAAGGCATAGATGTGCACGATCATGGAATTTGACACTTGGAACTGTATGGAGTCTAGAGGCGTAATGGATCTCATTTGCACTGTAGTAGGAGCTACGATTGACTTGGTGTGTGATATTCAAGTGACGGCTCCGTGATGTTGTTGGACTTGTAGTGAAAAACTTGACCCTGCCCTCCTCAACTTACATCTTGCCTTCCCACTTGGCTAACTTCAGCCCATTCACTCATCCAAGCAACACAGCAATGCAGGTGGACAGAAATGGCACAAAAATCCATAGACTTCTCGAACCTGGACGACTCGGACATTGCATCGATAGAATCTGACGATTTACACACTCACCGACCGAACCGCTGGACCGGCCCCGCGTCAACATGGCGCGACCTCACCGAGGAGGAGCGTCTGCTCTGGCACGCGTACGAGAAGGTCGAGAATGAGAACCTGAGCATTCATCTCTACAATGTATTCGCGCTGCGCAAGAGGGCAGAGAATCCGGAGACGAGGGATGACGTGACAGTTCAATTGGTGAGTTTGCGCAACTGCGATGGTGGGAACCCCCAAAACTGACGGCAAATTCAATCAAGGACAACGGGTCGGAGGCGGTCTGGACACCACCAAAGATGTTTACCGCGTGGCCACTGATAAGAGATCGCCTGCCCGAGGAACATTTCGTGAAGAGGGAAGACGACGAGGACGAGCCATACACGTACCGCAAGGAGGAAACCAAATATCCCAGCACGGATCTCCGAGAGGAGCTCAACGCCACCATCCTACGAATGGCAAGGCAAAGATTCAGAAAGCGGAAAGCGAGGTGGGATGCCGTCCGGCCTTCTGTCGAGGACGCAGGTGACGAGCTGGCCCAAGCAAGCTCAGATGAGGACGATGAGCCCCTTGCACCAGCCGACTCGCAACAACATTGCGAGCATGGCCAAGACCAAGATGATCGTGATGGTAGTAACGAAAACGGAGACGAAGACCAACCACAGACTGAGACGGCCACTCCTCGCCAGCGCATCCCACCAAAGACGTATGAACCCATCGTCTCCTTAGAGGACCACGCATCCCTTCTCGACCCCATCTCGAGGCACATCATATTCCAAGTCGACAAAACACTGTCCATCCTCTCCGCCTCACGCACCATCGGCCTCGGTGGCTACGATTCAGACTCATCCTCTTCATCCGACACCTCCTCCACCTCCCGCCGCCGCAGCTCCCGTTCCCGCCGCAGCCCATCCGCCACCTCCAACATAAGTACAAAGTCACCAACAACGTCTGGCAAGCGTGGTCGTCCGCGCAAAGTCCATGCGCGCAAGGTCGGAGAGACGGAAGAGGAAATGGCCACCCGTGTAGCCCGCGAGATGCATCGCGCCCTCCCCCCTCCTTCATGCCCGGCGTCTGCCGACGACGACGACGACGACGACGACGACGACTCTGCCTTTGAAGCGTGGCTCAAGACGGAGCAGAAATCGGCGAGGCAGCCCTTCAAGAAACCGCCGCCGAGACTGTTTGGTCTCCGCGACTGGAGCGATGTGGTGTCCTCCGCGGCACTGGCTGGGTTCTCGCCCGACGTCATTGCGCGGACCACTCAGCGCTGCGCGAATCTCTTTGGCGAGGGCATGGTCATGCGCAGTCTACACGAGGTGCCCGCCGACAAGGGCGACGGTGTGGCGAGCCGGGAGTACAGGCCAGAGAGGATAGCCACGTCCGGCATTGACTCGGACGATGACGAGGGAGGATCCAGAGACGGGGCGTCGACTCTTCTACAGCGGCGTGTGGCTTCGCGGCAATCCAGTTTCGCGGCATCCGACAGGTCGAGTCCGTCCCGCTCGCGGTCGAGGTCGGCGTCCGTGGGGACCAACTTCTACTGCCCACTGCCGTCCTGCCCGCGCGCTGGGAAGGGCTTCGCGCGCAGGGCGAATCTGCGTCGGCATATGGAGCTCCTGCATCCCGGGGCGGTCGGGGACGTGCACATGGCGAGTCCCGGGTTGGCGGGGAGTGAAGTCGATTCGGAGGATGAGGTGTACGGCGCCGTGCATGTCGATGGCTTCCTCAAGCCCATTGCGCCGGGTAGAGGCTGGCGAGAGCAGGCTGCGGCGCCCAGGGAAAGAAAGCGTGGGCGGAAGGGGAAGCGAGGGAGAGGCCGTGCAGATAGCAGTGGCAGCGATGGTGATATATCGTCATGAGTAGTGTTACGTTGAATGTGGTATTACTTATAGTCTGGGCCACGTATGACTTTGGTATACTATTTGTGTTGATCTAAACACGACCGTAGTATTATCTCGAGTTGTTGCCGTAGTATTATCAAATCCAACCATGGTTCGCCCGTCACATCAGCTCAGGGGCTTCTCTCAGGTTCCAGGACTTGCCAACCGAAAGCCTGCGTCCACCAGATGCTGAGCTGAAGTAGAACCCCAGAGTCCAGCATATTGCCCGTCCTCAATTACCCATCGGAAGAACCCCGTGACACGGCCCTGCTCATCTACCATCGGGCAACCACAAGCACCATCGGGGATCACCGTTTCCGTCTGGGCAGCGATCTCCAAAGCCTCCTGACCATACCACCACCAGTTATAGACGATACCGTTGATTTCTTCAGGCCAATCGCTCACATTCAGTGGTCTTGGCTTCCAACCGACCGCGATCGCCACGCCTTTCAGGTGCTTCGTCAACGGTGTGCTGAGATAGACCATGTCCCCTATCCTCAATAGGTCGTCATCGCCTGTTTCTCCGAGGAGGCGATTGGGACTCATGGCATCTTGATCGTCCACGTGCAAAGCCTCGTTGACAAACCGACGATCAGCGTCCAGGGAGATGAGAGCGACATCGATGAAGGACAGGTGGGCCTCAGCATAGCCAACTCTCCGTTTTTCACCGGTCTGGCAGCTTCTGAAAGATCATGTTGTCGGGACCAATTCTATGGGAAGCTCCCGTCATGAGTTCAGTGCCATTCCTGTCTCTGACCATGACGCCAGTAGATGAGGACAACGTTGCAGTATTGTCGCGGTCCGAGCTTGCCTTGCTATGCACAAGAACCCCTGGGCGCAGGGTGTCGTAGCATGTTGTATCCACGATGCCTCTGTCGGCATCAGGTGATATCTCACGGTGCGCCAACTCAACACGGCGGAGGTCCCTCTCGAACATATAGAAGCCCCAGCGGTTGGCAATTCGGCCGGGCAATCGCCCATTAAACTGGGCCGGATTCACATCATCTGCGAGTACAATCCGGAGCGCCCCATTACTAGTATCGACAATGTATTCCACGACATTCAGGTCGGGGAAGCGATCAACCATTTCGTTGTGTATCGTCTCTGCGAATTCTGTAAAGTTTCCAGACTCCATGGAGCCGAAAGATCGGTCGATGTCGGGGCGAAGATGGAAGGCGGTATTACCCTTTCCTGACAAGGGGAAGATGAATAATTTCCCTTTGCCTTGCTCATCAGTGACGGTGAATGGCTTGCCGCCGATGGTGAGTGGCCATGGTCGAGGGGGGAGTTTCTTCACTGAGAAATGAAGGTGGATGAAGCAATTAGACACTTCTGTCGTCTCGGGGAAAATTTTGAGCAGAATAGGAACGTGTTTCTGGACATTAGCGTCTGGGTGACTCAAGTCTTCCGAGAGACGGATGTGAAGGGGGTATGGAGGACCGTAGGCAGTTGAGTTTGCCTCTGCTTCGCGTCGGACTTGCTCCTGCCCAAGATCGGCGTTGGGAGGCACTCCGACGAGAGGCTCCCGCTCGAAATCTTCAAGATTCGCAGGCTTCTGAGGAGATGAAGAGGGGTTCTTGTTCTCCATCTTGGTGATTCTCTAGGACAAGTTCACGCGTGTAAGTGAAAGAGGATGTACGCTTGGGTGAAGAGGAAGTAGAAGATTGAGACACGTGCAAATTCTACTTGGGGGGCTGGTTCTACTTGATTGAGTACCTGGAATATTCTGTGACTCATCCCGAAGATTAGATACAGTCAACCGGTGAAGCGCCCTGTGAAGCCAAACTGACATTTGGCACCTTGTTTGCCAACAGCAAGCTCCACATCTTGGATCCCTTTTCAACATCGGACGAACTGGAATCCAAAGGTGCTGAGGCTAGGTAACTAGAGTTTGAAAGGGCAAAGTAAATTTACTACTCTCATTCATCGATACCTAGTAAGGTTTCGCGATTGGTGAGGATATCGTTACCTCATAGGTACTTCGCAAGCGCTGCCTGCGAGGAGCATAAAAAGGGGGCGTGTCACCCTCCTCCGTTTCCAACATTTCTCCCTCCATCATCAACCTGTTGTTGCCACCTGTCCTATAAAACGCTAGTAAACCACACCGAAAAAGACTCGGCAATCAAAATGAAGCACGCAGGGCGGACTTCTCGATGGTCTGCGGACACCACTGCCCGTAACAGCGATTGTACTGTGGTGAATGACGACGATGGCAACGCTTTTCCTACTGCTGTCACGTCTTTCATGACATCTGAGCAGCTGGATATTCTGGTGGCTCATCTCCGCATCCAAGAGATCGTGCGCATTTTGCGCCTTCCCGAGTCTTTTATCACATTGCCCAGGATTTTTCTCGAATCATCATCTGATCCGGAATACGACTGTAGCGGTCATCGCACGAAGACCCCGGCTCAACGTTATCGCCAGGCACTCGAGTCTGAGAGGCATGGCTTGGTCGAAAGGGCGACTGGCCAGCTTCCCTCGTACCATCCTCCAAGGGACTATCGCCGCCCTACCAGATTCTCTGGACGGGTCCAAGTTCCTGCGAAAGATTATCCCAGTGGCAAATTCGTCGGCCAGATTCTTGGACCGAGGGGCACCTCGCTCAAGGAGATGGAGGCGCGTCTTGGCGTCAGGATATTTGTCAGGGGCAAAGGCTCGGTCAAAGAAGGCAAAAGCCGCTCCATTACGAGTGAACCGCTGCATGTACTCATCACAGGCAGCACGCAAGGCCAAGTCAATGAAGGCAAGAAGGCCATTGAGCAGGTGATTGACACGGCCATCTCGAGTCCCGAGGTGAACAACTTCCAGAAGCAGAAGCAGCTTCGAGAACTAGCCATCATGAACGGAACATACCGAGACGACGAAGGACGCCTACGTGGTCCTTCGCGTCTGGTGAAAGCAGCTCCCAACGCCCAACATTCGGCACCGGATCTTTCCCGTCACTTTGGTGATGCTTTTGAGCAGGAATACCGGCAGCTACGGAAGGATGTGTCAGCCAACGAAGAGCAGCCACAGGTCCTGGAGAAGCTGCCTCCATGGAGGGCTGACCGTCTCTGCCAGCGAAGTTAATAACGGGGAAAAACAGGCGGACGCGTATGAGCTGACATGTCACAGATTGAGAAAAGTACCACAGGACAAACAGATTACTAACGCTTCAGGCAACGTACCAGCCTCGTGACAAGGGGTTACCGGCATTGAGCCACTAGATCTGTATACTTTGATTCGCTTGATGACTGTGCATGGGCTGCTCAACTGACCGGTCCAACAGTCAGGGCATGCAGACTGACTTCATGCCCGTTGCTAAAACACACGAAACACGTAGGAAGCGTTCGCCCCGAGGTACAAGATCCAAAACCCCTTTCCCCGCGGACACCACTCTCGCGAGTACCAAGACACGTCACTCACCGTGGATCAGGCGCCTTGTAAGAGCGGAACAGCAAGTACACACTCCAATCCGATCATCATCAGCCCAGGGTCCTGGAATGCTCATCACGAGGCCTTTCCGGATGGCCAAAGGCAAAGGTGTGATTCCATCTCCCACATGGCACGGTTGCACGCACGAGGCAAAGGTGATATTTTGCTGGGCCTCCGCATCCGTCCCCCTTTGTTGATCCTCCGGCGTCGGATCACTGCCCAAAGGCTATTGGGATGCGGATGGGCCCCCTGCCGGCCCTCAAAATAAGTACCGCACCGTACCGTGCGAGCCGAACACCTGCTCGGGATATAGTCAATCAATCCCCTATTCTTTGCCTATCCGAGAACCGTGTTTCGTCTCACCGACGCAAGCGCTGTCACTGCCAGTCACTACAGTAGGGTGCAGCCCTTTCTCCAGCCCACGTACGAACTTTTGGCACGTAAGTTTAGGCCTTGTCGATCATCATTCCCCAAGTCCACTTGGATGGTGCACTGGCGGCAGTCACAAACATGAAGCCTGGCAAGGTGGCAAATTTGTTCATGTTTCGAGAAGATGGTTCATCAGGTGAAACAAGTGAGGAAGTGAATGTGGGAGGTATTCGCCTCCCCCTGGGACTGTTGCCCGCTTTTTCGGGAGCATGTAAACATGAACGGCACGCACGGATCCGGCTTGCCCAACTATTTGCTGGAGTGTGGCGTGGCGCCAGCCAGTGATGCTAGGGGCCCAGCGCCACACTGGCACCACGTGTGAACGGCCGTCCCTCCACCCGCTGGGCTTGCGTTAGTGCGATCAGCAAGACTGGTACGCACAAGCAGAAAATAGGGGCAGTGGTTGGTTTATTTCTTGACGTGCAGGACTCTGCTTGATTACGTCGGCGGTGAGAGGCGCAAGTGCGCATCTAATTTATCATCGTCTCCTTTTCCAGGCGCGGCCAAGGGGGTGCGTGTATCTAGATATACATGTATGTTGCGCGCGCGCAATTATTGACTCTCTGCTGCGAATGCGCCCCCCTTTGCGAAATGCGTCGCGCAGCCTCGGAAGATGACCAAACGCGCGCGCGCTGGGACTAGCTATATGGAATGCAGCAGAGCAAGGCGGTGATGAGAACAGAAACATGGACCCTGATCGAGCTGATAAGATCGGGCATCCTCCGCCTAACCACCGGGCAGCGGACGGCGGACTGCGACGCTGCATGGACGAGAGGCGCCCGCCAGGCACTCACTCATTCATTCACTGGGTGGTGACCGCGTAGGCGACACGGACCGAAGCCGCCCGTACCGAATGAACGCGAGCGGTGCCAACCGTGCCACGTCGTAGTCGGAGAGGACGGAGGAGAGATAGTGGGATGCACTGCGGGGTTGCCAATGGAGAGGCAGTTTACTTGAGACGAGAGCAGGTTTGAGCGTGCACCGACTGATGCTTGGAAAATGTCACGAGGTCAGCTGGTCGGACGATTGACCGGGTTCGCGGTGGTATTTTGAGGGAATTGGAGGTGCTCGGCCCATGCATGGCATGCAGGTGCTGCTGCATCGTGACCCGAGTGTGACGTTCTATATTACGCACGCGTCGGATATTGCATGAAACGAGGGACAAGCGGTGATCGTACATTGTGTGTTGTATGTTGTATGTTTGATGATTTCATTCATGTAGCTCATAAGCACCGAGTGCTCGGTGGACGGTTTAGAGTAGTGACTCCTTTCCCATCAGCCCAAGTCTATGTATGTGTGTATTTGTCCTCAAGCCTCCTAAGCGCAAGTGACGGCTAAAAGACTCCGGGGGTATCGTGAAAAGAGAAAACCAGGAGACCCAACGGAGAGGATCCCTTTCCCTCCTCTTGCTCGTGTTCCGTTGATGCATAAACGATCCGATAATGTGTGAGTAAAAGCATGGTCGTGAAATTAAATAGTTGGTATGTGTCGCCCCACGCGCGAGTGGACTCGGCAGGCCAAGAAAAAACAAAGTTCCCAAGCATGAAGCGGAAAAGGAGGGTGCACGTGTCGTGAATGAGATACCCTCGAACCAGCGAGAGGTGGTCCAAGTGACAGTTGGAAGTGCCATGTGTTGTGACCAGGCCCATTCTGCGGCCCATCGCGGGGCGACGGACCACCTTGAAAAGCCAAAGTCGGTGACGACGTCCATGTTGATTCGGCGGCGGACCAACACGATGCGACAGCTCAGCTGATCGCTATTGCGTCGCGATGCACAATGGTGTGCTCATGTCGTGCCGAAGATGCCAAGGCAGCCTCGCGCCTGCATCGTCGGGCTGAAGTTTGCGCGCTGACGTGCATATGCGTGTTCTATGTTGGTGAGGATGCGCCCTATGAAGATTGCGAAATATGACGCTGCCATGGCAATTGGGACAGATAACCAGGTGTGGAGTATGTGGAAGTTGAAAGTCGATGCGGTCGTGAGAGACAGTTGATGTTCGGCTTTGGCTTGCGCTCCCTTACCGAGGCAGAGGGGGCAGAGGACGACTGGGTGGTGGCCCAGGGCAAGGAGGAAGCTGCGAGGGGCGTTGAGCAGGCATGGCGAGTTCTTGATATGAAGCCACGGTTGCGACGTTGATTGTACTGGTGATGTTGGATTGGATGGCCGAACAACTGGGAGTAGTGTCCGGGTGAGTGCGGTTGTAGTAGGGTTCAGTTGCTGGTGGTTGGCTGTAAGTGGTAGTGGCAGTAGTGGCGGCGGATGATAGTCTTGAGTATGGGACTAGGTTGGCGCTTTGGTGATAATATAGATCTCGAGTCGGAAATGAAAGGCCTGGCATTCCCGAGGGAGGGAGGCAGACACATTTATACATTCCAACAGGCCGGACGCCCGGCACACTTGAGATGAGACTTGTCGCGACATGGCGAGCGATTCCCAGCACCCCCCAAACGAAAAGGAGGCGCGCGTGTGCGCCTGACCGACGGACCACGAAAATAGGTACCATTATTACCGGACAGGGGCAGGGTCGTGGCCCGGAGACGACTGAAGGTACATGTCCTCCCGTAGTGGCCGAAAGCCAAACGTCAGTCAGTATAATTAGCTGGTGGGATGAGTGGGATGTCTGGTTCAGGCGCCTGCACTGTACCTGAGCCACTGGGCCAGGTAGATGAGACGCAATTTCCAGCGCAGTCCTTACCTGCACGCCCCCCCCCCCCCGCATTCCAGCTGTCCACCCCCTGAACAAGGGGGGGGGCTCTCGATCGCTGCTCACACAGTCAGTCTGGCGGTGACGCAAATGTGTACCAAGCCAAAAGTCAGAGCCGTAGCGGGAAATTGAAACAAGGTTTGAGGACCAGGAGCTGTGGGGATCCATTCATCATCTGGGCATTTGCTAAAAATGCTGCCAAAATGCTCACTCAACTACGTATACTCACATCGGATTTTTCAGCAATCACCGATACACGCATGCGGTTTGGAAGCAGCTATCATCTCCCAAACGTCGCTGCAATGGGACATGAGTCGAGGGTAGATGAGCAAGGGCTGACAAGGCTGCCAGAGACTGGAGCCCTGGGTCACTTTTGCTGTGCCTACCTGCCTGGCTGCACACCTGCTTGCTTGTTGATCTGCCAGGCTGCTCGAGTTCACCTGACCCCTTCTTTGTGTTAAGGTTGGCATCAATCCAACCGTCGCCCGCTGCCAGTTATCTTGTCGATCTAGACTAGGCCCTGCCTTGCTGGTGTTTCCCCAGGTCTTACGAGGTTGCGTCACTCTATCGGAGCAAGGTTTGATGGCGTGGAATTGAGTTTGATGCCCACGCCCACTAAGCGTCCTCCCTTTGCCTTCGGCGAATAACGAGCTGGACGATGGAAACCACCAAAGGGCCCAATCGCTCGCGACCACGCCGCCAAGTGGCATCACGGCTTGTGTCAATGGATACCTTGCGTCCAAGCTCATCTCGCGAAGCCCGGAGGAAAATGTCAACGGGATGTCAGTACCCGTCATGCCTAGCCTAGCCCACCGTCGTACCCACTCGAGCGAGCGTTTCGAGTTTTGGAAGCCTCGTGGAAGGAATTCATTTGACTGCTGCAGGCCTTTCCTGGCCTAGGCTTGGCTTGGCTTGGCCTCGCTTGGTTTTCGCTTGGCCCTATCTTAATTACTTGTAATAATACGGACACTGGCACACACGCTGCAGCCGACGTTCGCATGGTGATTGTTTATTGCATTTCGGCAGCATCATGATGACACGACTACGTGTACAATTCTATATTGTCGCCAAGCTTCAACTGTTTCATGTCTAGGTGTAACACCCTCCACGAGCACATGGGGAACTGAAAATCGGTCACCCATAATGCGGAACCGAACAAATCGCCATTATTATCCCTACCTACCGATCTGTTGATGGGACTCATGGGAGCGCTCAGCGGATGAAATGACGATGCGGTCGCCCTCTGGGGCCACTTTCCCTTCGTGCGTCGATCGCCAACTAGACCGCTCCAAGCGGTCAACAAGAAATCCGGCCAGGCCCGCCAGGGGAAGACGAAAAGAAGAGGAAAAAGAACTGCCAGCAACCAGCTAGCCCGCTCCCGAAGCCGACGGACGGACGCCCCTTGTCGGGCTGGACAGACGGGGCTTGGCGTCAATCAAACAAGGAGCCATCCAATCTCGAATGGCGAACCTGAAATTGCCCAGGGCCCCACGGCTTCAACGAGTGGATTGAGAACTTTCACCGCCACAACACTTATTGTAAATTTGGAAGTACGTACCGAGGTAGACAGATTTTTGTTTTGCGCTCGCGTTCCCATTGGCTGCCCTCGTTGCGATTGTATGAACGACGACGCCGCCCAACACGATTGTGAAACAATCTTGAGTACCAAGCATAGGCTGACTGGCTGGCTGGCTGAGCTTATAGTAGGTCTAGAATGATTCACATCTGCCCTCAGCCCTGCTTCACAGAGCTATTGAGCTCTTAAGGCGGACTATTGATGATATGTCTTGCTCGAAGAAGAAGCATGGTGGTAATTACTTGGAGGGCCCGAGCGCCTGGTCAAAGCTGGACTCCTATGCACCAATAGTTCACCGATGCTCAACCAAAGGGCTGTGTCTTGCAGGAAAACGTCAACGTCAACGCCGAATCCTGGGGTTTCCTTGTCAGATGTCGCCCCAGCGCCAAGGTCATGGTCTCCGAAGACTGCCGGTCAGACTTAACGTGAGCGGTGACGATGAAAGCCTCAAATGATTGAAGCGAAGGGTCGACAAATGCCACGAGAGCCCGGCTCGTGTGGGCTGATACCTCAGCTCGTATCGATTGAATACCAAGGATGGCTTCGGGTCGCAGATGGATATGCGGCTGCACACATAATTACATGCACGTATTGGCGGGCGCGTCAGCTTTGTTGTTCACCATTGTTGGACGAACAGCGCCGCATCAGCCGCGTCCAGAGTCGTGATATTAGACAAGGTGTGCATAGCTCATGCAGCAGCATGTCCTGCTGATCATAGGTACATGCCGCTACGCAACGCACGTCTCAGTGGCACTTTGCTCGAGGGTCGCACGAGGGGGCCCAGCCGGTCGGACGTTATCATCGTCAGACACACCGCACACATACTTGTATCCTCCGTACGTCAGTATTATACGTACATACGGAGTAAAAGATGGCAAAAAAGCAACAACAAAGACGCCGACCTGGCCCCTGTCAGCATCGTACTCCGACCACACCTTCGCAGCCCTACGCATGCATGCACAGCGAGCGTGTCACGGCCGATGTCTGCTGGTTATTCCCCTCAAATCGTGCCCGACATTTTTAGGCAGTCACATGGAGATGAAGGAGTGTGTTCTTGGTCCTATGACTCATGAGCGAGAAGAAGGATCCGCGAAACCAGACTGCTCATCGTTGCCCACCGCCTCCCTGATTCCAATGTTGATGCGCCTGCCGGGTGATGCAGAATCGTGGACTCGTGAAGCCATGGTCTTGCAGCTCTTGTACATGTATCTCTTCATTACCCTGGCCAACGCCCCATCGTGAGGCAGGGTGTACTTTAACCACTCTAACCCCTGGTAAGACTAGCACTCTACAAATATTCGGATAGCTCAGCTCGGAACGAGCGCAGCAGCCACTGGACTCGGCCAGGTACTTTGCTACAGTAGTTCAGCTTTACTTATTAAATGGCAAGGGCAGCAGGAAGGGCGAGAACCACGCTGGATCTGATTACGACGCATGATGATTCACAATAAGGGTCCAAGACCTCGAGGCTGGAGGTATAAACTTGTGATTGTTACCTTACTTTTCATCAGCCCCTCGTGGGGGCACCAAAACAATTGCGCCGCCCTCCAGCCCAGTTTCATCTCAGGCTGTGCATACAAGTGTGCATGCGTTTGGGAAATACACTTCTCCGAACATGCAAAAACCTTTTCTCCATCTGGTGCCCTGCAACTGACACTCCGTACCACCCTGGTGGGTTGGGTTGCCACGGTCAAGTGGGTGGTCAGCGTCCTTGTGCTTATCAGCCAAAGAGCAAAAGGCCATGTGCTTGTGAACGCAGCATCCTTGTTGGCAGTGAGCATTTTTTTTTATCATCATTGCAATGTCCTTGTTGAGTCAAGCCAAGAGCCATCTGGGGTCTTATTCCAACGCAAACTCACCACGCGTGACTCACACTTCCAGTCGTTCACCCCGCAATCTCCGCTACATCGTGACCGTCTTTTGTTGCCCACAACAAAGTCTGACTCTGTCGTCATTCAGAGATTGGCACTTTGCTGCGTCGACGCCCCTCCGGAGCCTGCACCCCGGTTGGGCGGTCCGCTGTCATTCTGCTGACTGCTCAGCCCTCAGGTCGTTGAATCTGGAGGGCCGAGTCCACTTCAAACAAATTTGTTTAGCTGTTCATTAGCAGCCAACAAGCGACGCACATTGAGCGCAACACAATCGATCGACCAGCCATCAATTATTGTTTCTTATTCTTCAAAACGAACTATCGGTCTTACTTGCATTAGATGGCTCTCACCGAGGCGGTACCGTAGAGTCGGGTCTCTCCTCGACACGACCCTGCGTACACGCTCAGCCTGGCATGAGTTCATATTGATCAATCAAGGCGCCCGCTTGCCGATTCATTGCTCATACTATTGGTAGTCACTCGGCTTTGCTTCTTCTCCTTTTTTTCCCCCTTCCTTTTTAATTTCCAGCGCCACCATGTTCGGTAGTCGGTCCTAGCTTGCGAGCCACGCGGCGGCGGCAGAAAAGGGTGTGGGCCTTTTGGCCTTCGAGACCCCGTTCGCGGCTTCTTCAAGCGTGGATCACTCATCACTGGAACCAGTAGACCGGGTCGTGTCATGTCATTCTGGATATGGGGACCCGTCCTTTCAGGTACCAGTAGACATCTTGGGCCTCGGCTGCGTGTTCGAAGCTGTGGCGTCCAGAAGAACTGGAGGCGGCTCGTGACATGTGGCTCGTGGCTTCCCTGACTCCTGACTCGACAAAGGTTGAGGTTCCTCGAGTCCACAGTCGGCGTGGTCGCGACATGAACGAGCTGGCGATGGATGATTCTGGACTTGGCGAGAATCATGTGGCGGTGGCAGCACGGCGCTTGCTGTTCGCCTCGAGTCGCATCGGCCGCAAGTATCAGTACCTCCAGCTCAGTATTGGCGGCTGAAGATCGTGGGGGAACATGATTATCCTTACAGGGCATCGGCCTTGTGGGGGGTTAATAGCTGCATCCAGGTTTACCTTCTGTAATTATTACTGTACATGCATTGTCGAGCATCTAGTCTGTATGTCTTTGTGCTTGGGTGTCCAGTTAGGTAGTATTCAATTTCACTAACCCTAGACTACGGGTTTGAGCGGCTGCAGACAAGACCAAGGCTACGTACATATTGTGAAAAATTAAACAGGGTGCCTTCGAGCTGGTGTGATCCAAATATTACAAATGCTGTTTGATGAGCCAACCAACAAGGTGATCTGCCCTAAAGTGCGGAGCAGCTATTCATTGTTCTCTCATGTTGTCTTGACCTTGAAGTTTTGGACGGCAGCAAAGCAAATCATGAGTTGGGACTCTAGACGGATTAGATTCCACCATTTCGTTCGACTTCTGGTGACAGCCATTTCCCCTCAACTCACGCGACTCACCCCAATCAACGAGGATTGCAAACTGACCAACAGCGAACGTTTGATGCTTGAGCAGCAGTCGACGTCGGAAACGATGCAGCAGCTCAGAGCCTTGGGATAGGCCCCACAGCGAGCCGCGCTAGTTGCAGGGCTTGCAGCACGAACCGTCGATCCCACGTGGAACTTACTGGGGGGCAAGATGGATAATTCCTTTGTGCATTCTGATTGATCGTTGAACCAGACCCCTGGCGATCGCACCACGTCCTCGTGATTCGAGGGTGAGGGTGAGTATTGGCTACTCCGGCCCAAGGGATCAACGTGGCTGTCACACCGAAACTTCACCCCAGCAAAGAGATAACCAATGGGGCACGGTGCAGGTACCTGATCGATGTGTAGAATGTAGAAGGTCTACCTGTACTGTATGTATCATGTCCGTTGAGCAGAATCCACCACAGGTCCATCACATCACCCCGCGGGCGGCTGAGTGATCGCCGAGGAGGGAATTCGAGGGGGAGGGTCGTCCGATGAACGTCGGTGACTTGAAAGCTGAAACTAGCGACGTAATGTGGCAATAATTGTCAAATTGGCAGTCACTCACGATGCGCACAGGTAATTAGCAGGCAGCTTGTCAACTGGTCTGCTCGACGACATGAACCCGACAGCTCGGCGACCCTGCCGTTGCGGGTGGCTGACTGGCTGTAGCCGGCCGCATTGCGTGCTGTGGCCGCGTGAGTGGTTCGGACTTCGGGGGTCGTGAGTTGCAACCTGTGACACGTGTCGTATCGTGCCAAGGTGTCACAAAACTGACCTGAAATCAACATATTGGCCAGGAGACGTATCATCGGCTCCCCTCGCGTCAGCAAGGCAGACGCCCAGATAATTAGTTACTCGAGATCCTCCCGAATTATTCCCCAACGCTGCTCGACACCGTGGCAACTGTTGTTTATCTCTTGGACGAGCGTTGCAAATGAAAGACTTACCAGAGTAGATCGACGGTATATGCCTCGCCAAGCCGGATCTCGATTGTCATTAGCACGGGACAATCACTGGTAGTACCTGGAAGCAGGCCGCGAGCCAATCATGTAATCTCTTCTCCGATCGGAACTTGCGTCGATGTGATCCAATTCTCCATGCGTGCTTGACCCCCAGCTTGAGCACCAGTTCGGCTCTTGCTAGTCCTCCGCTGGTTGGACCTATCCTTCTTCCGCACCACGAGGCACAAAACACGGCCGTATATGGAGAAGCCTTCATAGGAGACATCTATGGCCATCTTCTTCTTATCGTCATTGCCATGTAACCTCGCGCTGTCGTCGCCCTCATCCGAGTCAATCTCAACTGCATAGGGTTCTTCGTCATCCATGCCAAACTCATCGTCGTTGTCGTCGGGTTGGTCTGGGTTTGTTTGCTTGCCACGACTTGCACCTCTCCCACCGGCAAGTGGAATATCGGCGAGAGTGGTCACTTCATCGTCGCTCTCCTCGCGCAGGACAGGCTGGTTTGAATCATCGAGATGTACGGGGTTCTCATTGGTAGCCCCTAGCAGCTTGTTCGTATTGGACTTCAGTTTCTCTGGCGCCTTGTCGTGAAAATGCTTATGCTTGGTGAGAATAGAGTGGCGGGTGTTGGTCTCCGTCAGGAAGATTGATACTTCGAAATCATCTGCGTTTGTAAGCGATTGATGCACCTTAAAGAAGCTCCAAACGGAAGAGATACCCTCTATCACGGTGTCTTTAATGCCTTTCTTCTTGTTTGACGACCTCTTTTTCACTCTGTCACGCTCTTCACGAAGCTTGGGCAGCACCCAGGGCCGCACGCTTTCGATGACACGGGGCAGAACCGGGTCGCGTGGGTTAAGGAGCCATGATTGTGCCAACGCGGGATTGTCCAGGTAGATGCGGCACTCGAGCACCGAATACTTTGTGATGCGCAGATAGCGACGGACGGGTGCCATCCTGGATGAACAGTGGAGGTGACTTGAGAAAGTACAGCGACTGGTCTGTTGCAGAGGTCAGAATGCCCGGTGCATCCTTAGCTGCGAATGGAAAATGCCCACTGGTACTTTTCTATCAGCTCACGTCAACCGTCATCACGGCTTGCAGTAAGTTGAGAAGAAGTTAAGAATATCGTAAAGTGACCGCTTGACGCTTATGGTGATGTAACCGCCCCACTGGAAACCCCTAGACGCGCCTGCACTCCAATATCTGGTCGCGTCGTAAATTTGCGGCCTCATGTCACCACGACGTCCACCTGCAACACCTGCCGCCAGTGGCATGGTCCTCATGTCGCAATGTCTACGTCGTGGAAGTCGACACTGAAGCTGCCGACGTCGACTTTTCCGTAAGCTGGCCACTGTCCCTTACTGCTTGTTGCTGGCTGATCTCAAACAGTGTCCGTCCCAACCCCAAGTTACAAACGATATACTTTCGACAATGCACCGATGAGCTGTACGCCTGGCAATCTGCGGAACGAGCGAAAGAGTCCACCTTCATTCTCCACGATGGGCCACCATACGCCAATGGCCCATTGCACATTGGACATGCAGTCAACAAGATCCTCAAGGACATCATAGTTCGCTACCAAGTCCAGCTTGGTAAACGTGCCGTCTACCGACCTGGCTGGGACTGTCATGGACTGCCCATTGAGCTGAAGGCTCTCGGTTCCGGCAATGGTGAAGGCATGGGCCCGGTCCAAATCCGTGACAAGGCCAAGCGGTTGGCCTCCAAGACTGTGGAAGCGCAGACAAAGGGATTCAAGGCTTTTGCCGTCATGTCTGAATGGGACAACAAGTGGACGACGTTGGATAGTGGCTATGAGGCAAGACAGCTTCGCGTCTTTCAGAAACTGGTCCGACACGGGCTGATCTACCGGAAGCACAAACCAGTACACTGGTCCACCACGACACGCACTGCGCTCGCGGAAGCAGAGTTGGAGTACAAGGACAATCACGAATCGACCTCAGCCTACGTCAAGTATCCGATTGTTTCTGACTGGAAAGTGGTGCCGGGTTTGTCCAATGTGCAGGTGCCCTTGTACGCAGCGGTTTGGACCACTACGCCATGGACTCTCCCAGCAAACAAGGCGATTGCCGTTCACGACGAGATATTGTACTCAGTGCTGCAAGTTGGCGAATACGCACTTTTGGTAGCCAATACGCGGGTCGAAGCTGTCAAGGCATTCGTGCCTAAAGCTCACATCTTGGTCGAAGATATTGCTGGTTCGTTGTTCGCTGGCCTGGAATATCACAATAGACTACAAGGCTTGGAGTCTTCAGCCCAACCCATCATACACGCAGACTTTGTCACGGCAGATTCGGGTACAGGACTTGTCCATGTGGCCCCCGGGCATGGCCAGGATGACTACGAAGCCTGCGCTAAGCTCGGTATCGAGGCATTCGCGCCTATCACAGACGACGGGCACTTTACCCAGGAGGCTTTCCCAGAAGATCCCGACCGGTTGACGTCGGCCCCTACCATTCTAGACGGAGGCAGCCAGGCTGTTTTGGATATTGTGGCAGATGATGTACTTGGCACCCAGGTCATCCAGCACAAATACCCCTACGACTGGCGGACTAAAAGACCAGTTGTGATCAGGGCTACAGCCCAATGGTTTGCAGACGTCGCGAATATCAAGGAAGATGCACTCAAGGCCCTCGAATCTGTCCGATTTGTGCCTGAAGTTGGAAGGAATCGTCTTGAACATTTCATTAAGGGAAGGAATGAATGGTGTATATCGCGACAGCGTTCTTGGGGTGTACCCATTCCAGCTCTCTACAGCGCAGACGGAGATGCCATTATGACAGAAGAGACCATCGAACACATTATCGCCGTGATGAAGCAAAGGACATCCCAGGCATGGTTCGCCGACGATCCTGATGATCCGGCGTGGATTCCTGCCAGTCTGCAAGGCAAAGGAAGCTATCGACGTGGGACCGACACTATGGACGTGTGGTTTGATAGCGGCACCAGTTGGACCGAGACGGCGGAGCAGGCCGATGTTTACCTTGAAGGCAGCGATCAACATCGTGGCTGGTTCCAGTCAAGTCTCTTGACATACGTCGCAGCGCAGAAGGCAGACGGCGCTGACCGATCCAACATCTGCGCTCCTTTCAAGACTCTCATAACGCACGGGTTCACCCTTGATGAACAAGGGAAGAAAATGTCCAAGTCACTGGGCAACACGATAGCGCCAGAACAAGTCATGGACGGCACACTATTACCCATGGTCAAGGGGAAGGGCAAAGCCGCCCCCAGGCATGACGCACTGGGCCCTGACGCATTGCGAGTCTGGGCAGCCATGTCCGACTACACTACCGACATTGTGATCGGAACTGGTGTCCTCCAGTCAGCCCACAGCGCGCTGATACGCTACAGGAGCATCATCAAAATGCTGTCAGGATCACTCCACGAGTCCGCACGCAGTGCGCCGCTCACTAAGCTTGACCAGATCGCACTGCTACAGCTTTCTGACACCATGACACAGGTTCAGGGTTCATACGAAAAGTTTGAATTCCACCAGGGGATCCAAGCATTGAATCGGTGGTTGAGTAACGACCTGTCGGCTTTCTACTTGGAGTGCTTGAAGGACAGGCTCTACTGCGGAGACGGTGGAGGCATTATTGAGCCCATCTTCAATGGTCTTCTGCGCATGCTTGCACCTATCACCCCGATGCTAGTCGAAGAGGCTTGGGCCCACCGGCCCGAGTGGCTGCAAAAGGATCAGTGAGTATGGCTCTGCCAGTATGCAAAGACCCTGACTAACGTTTTGAAAGATCCTGTGAACATCCAGCACGAGCATTGTACACGGACCCTGTTGTTGATCGTAGCCGATTGAACTCCGAAGAGTCGATCCTACGTGCAGATTGGGAGGTGCTGACGCCCGTCCGAGACGCGGTCAAGCAGGCTTTGGAGCACTGCCGAACGCAGAAGCTGATCGGAAGCTCCCTTCAGTGCTCATTGGTTATTCGTACCGAGGAGGGACACAATGCTCTCACAGAGTGCTTGAGTCGCTGGCGTGATGAGCTGCCCAGCATTCTCGTCGTGTCTTCAGCACACATTGACCGGCCAGGCCCGACAGAGCCGGCTTGGTCACACGAGCAGGCTTTCAAAGTCGCTGGAGACAAGGCTGTCCTGACGGTGTATCCTCCATCTGCTGCCAAGTGCCCACGCTGCTGGAACTACACGGCGCCCTCGGAAGACGAGCTGTGCAAGCGATGCAACGACGTTGTTGCCGCGCTACCGGTGTAAGTCAGCAATTAGACGTGTAAGATTTGTATAGATTTATGCATGTATATATGGACTAGAGGATCAATCTGATGAATGTAAACATAATTGTCAATAACGGGTGGTGAGCGGACTCAAGTTTGATACTATACGAGTAGAGGCGTAATATCGCGGGCATTGTGTCTAGGGTAGGCCGGCGCTTACACAGCTGATGGTCACGCTAGCACATGCCAATAATTAGCTCTGGGTGCTGTCGCGTCCGACGCCGATTTGGATGGCAAGTTGGTCATGTCACCGCCAACCCATCACCTCGTCATGCAGTATTGATTGCTGCTCATCATCCCACGGTCCGCCATCGCAGTCTCATCGGAAGCTTTTGCCTGCTGAATCCGAGCCTCGTTCCCTGCAAGATGCGACCGACTCTTCTGTTATAGCCCGGATAAGCCATGTGACAAGCATCGCGCGCAATGGCGGACGATGACGAGAGTCAGTTCCATCGACGAACTTCGCGGTACAGGGCCCAAGCGACCCCCACGACACCCGACCGAGCGATGAGATCGAGCGAGGAAACGGGCGAGTCAAGCCAGTCGGGCAGCCTCCGCCGCGTCGCGACACCATCGACCGCCACGACAGACAGGAGCCGCAATGCGTCAGGTAGCGACGTCATGGGTCAAGCTTCCAGCCCGGTTGGCCAACAGCCGGGGGGAGACTCGCTACGAAGTCGACGCCGGATTAAGGGCCGGTCGACTGGTGGCTTCCTCCTGCAGGATAATCCCGTTGAGGAGTCGAGCAGGAGACGTAGAGCGACAAGTCTGCTACGTCCTAGGGGGAAAGCCGTTCAGCGAACGCCAGAACGACCGAGACAAAGCCCAGGACAACATCAAGAACCGTACGGCAGGCACAGTACAACTTCACCTCCCACGCGCCACGATGCAAGCAGGTTATCCCGTACCCCTGAGCGTCAGGCGAAGGACAAAACGACGGAGCCATCATCGAGTAGCCCAGACGGAAGAGTACCTGACAACGAAGCTACTCAGATTGTGAACATGGCCCTGAGCCTCGGCGAGTCTCGAGGTGCCGCGTCCAGACGATATGGGCCCCGATCGAATCCGCCACGTTTGGCACCTCTGCCAGATCCAGCATCTAAGAGCAACCTGCGGCAGCACTTTCAACAACAGCGGAGGACATCTCAAGCCGGGTCGCCCAGGTTAAGTCCAGGGGCGTCATCAAGGTTGCCGTCTGGACACCGGGCCAGCAGCCCCATGCACTCTAGTCAAGACAATGGCCACGATGGGTCTTACCAATACCAATTCTCGGCAGCAACACTGGCCAGGGCACAGAAAGCCAAAGAGCACCTTGAGCTGCTGGCCGAGTACCGACGTCTGTTGACGAGCTTGCCGCCCCTCAGACCCGAATACAATACACAATCGGGGTCTGCCCCTGGGTCGCCGAGTCTTGCACCCAAAGGCTCTTCTAGTACCAGCAAAGGGGGCCAGCTCACCACGACAAGGTCTTATAACCCTTTGCAGTACGTCAGAAACCGAAAGGTGCGCGCACGTGAGCGCAAAGTGATAGATGGAGAGCTTTTAGGGTTTGGCGACATTGAGAGCGTGAGAGAGTGGGTGGACAGGGTCACCGAGTCTGGCTACATAGGTGGACGTGGCAGTGGTGCCGCTTTCACCATGCCTCGTTTTTCGAACAACCAGGAATTGAATCAGCAGGCTTCCACAGACTCCGTACAAGCCATGCGCGTGAAGCGCCCCCGAGTGGACTGGGTCTTCGACCCGAGCGATATGATTGCTGACGCATACTGGCTGGAGCAAGACAACCACAAGCATCTTATCGAGGATCGGTTTTGGCGCAAGATTTTCCCGCCACCATCTCAGGACGCGCTGCAGCCTACTTCTGGCAAAGTCGACGAGGCTGATCAGAAAATGGTGCCTATGTCATTGACTGATGCGGAACACGATGATAAGGCACACGATCTGCGCCTTATCCACACGAATGAAAGTATTGAAGGACGGAGAGATCGCGCAAAACAGAAAGTATACGACATGAGGCCTTTCCATCATCGACACAATAGCTCGGGATATGGTACCCATAGCCTTCTGCGACCAAAAAAGGGCTCTGTCTCTGACCATTCCGGTAGTGACAGTGAGCACAGGCCGGAGCCCAAGCGATCAAGGACACGAGGTCGTCGGGACACTATCACGAGCGACACAAGTGACCTGTTGCAGAAGCAGATGAACCGAGTCATGGCACAAGAAGAACAGGCGGAAGAGCTGGCGCACGTAACAGAAACGGAAGCCGAGCACAAGCTTGATGAGCAAGGCTTGAGCTCGCCAGCAAAGACTCCATCTGCTTCAGGCCAAACACACAGTCACAATCACAGCCGCAAGACCTCAGTGGCCGACTACAGTGATCCCGACACCAGGCTCAACGGCTTTCGAGCCCAGATTGAATCCTCCCTTGGACACAAATCTGGAAGGCTGAGTCTGGAAGCCCCTCTGCATCCGCGGCGAAGTTCTTTGAACAAATATCATTCCAATCCTGCGTCACCCCAGGTGGAGGACGAGAAAGATCTTACATCGCCTCCGAAGATGAACAACATTGTTTCGGCCGCCTCGAGTCGCTCGGGTTCACCTACTCGCAACCCTATTTCCAAAATAAAGAAGAAGCTCAAAGACAGAAGTCGTGACAATGAGGACGAATCGCATTCGGACGCAGAGGAGGATGGGAAGCGACAAGGCTCTTTCATGCCTGAGCCGCCCTCACCCTCGGAAAAGCTTGCCACGCGCCGTACCGACGAAAGCTACAGGGCTCACCGGCCCACAAACTCGATGAAGTTGCGCGGTGACGACCAGGGCAACGGCCTTCGAGGTCTGTTCAAGGGTGGTCCTCGGATTGACACGGTCTTCCGCGGAGGTGTTGCTAAGATAGGTGACATTCTCTGGAAGAAAGACGGCAACGAGAATGAAATCGAGGGAGAAACTTCAGAGGAATCTGATAATGACAATGGGACTGGCCATAGCAAGCAAACCCCCCCCCTGTCTCGTCGACAATCCAGACGTGCGCAGGAAGACTCACAAGGCCCGAACGCGAAACACTTCCTCGACAGCTTGCCCGAGTTCCATCACGTTGGAGAACCATCCAAAAGGCCATCTGGTATTCCGGACTCAAAGTCTGCTGGCATGAGTCTCTCACGTCCTGTTAGCAGACAATCAGCGAAATGGGAACAGCTAAAGCCGCCGCGTATTGACGTGCGGGACACCTCACCCACCGCGCCCCCATCAGTGGTCTTTGAGCAGGGTGAGCACGATGGTTCACCATGTGGGGGTGATCATGGCCATGAAGCTGGTGGGTTCGGGGGCAAGGACGAGACTCTCAAGAACCTCATCGATGCGCAGATGCTCGATCCTCGAAGTCGGTCGGCAAGTCGGCATTGGTCCATTCACGACCATGACCCATCCCCTGAGCGCGCGAGGTTGTCGAAGCGCGAGATTGCCCGCGTGCGCGCTCTCGTACTCAGCTCGGGTATCAAAGCAATGGAGATCAACCGTCGTGCCCACGAGGAGCAGAAGCCACTTAGTCACGAGCACTTGGCCCTCACCCAGGACGACCCTCGAAGCAAGATCGGTGGAGTGACATGGGCATCCATCATGACCCTCACCCCGGATGTGACCGAGTTTCAGGACCAAGCTGTGGCAACCTGCGACATGTACCCACTTGCCTCTCGTGCGCTCGGTGCGACAATGCAAGCCTCGGGACAAAGATGGCAAGCGTCCGCCGACAAATTTACGTCGGAGACGACACCAAAACTTCAAGAGCGGATTCGGAAAGTTTGCTCACGGTTGACGGATGATCTGTCCCAAATGACGCGAAACGCGGCTGATGAAGCCGACGAAACGAGCAAACAACTCGCTCTGGATCAGCCTCTGAAAGTCAAGCACGTTGTCGACACGATCGAGAAACTCCTCCGAAGTCGACGTCGACGTTTCCGCTATCTGAGACGCGGTTTGTGGCTCGCGGTCGAGTGGGCTCTGGTGGGATTCATGTGGTACGTGTGGTTCATGGTGATGGTGGTTAGGGTGTTCCTCGGCGTAGGGAGAGGTGCATTCAGCGCCGTGAAGTGGTTGCTGTGGTTGTAAAAGACGAATCAGTAGTACGTTCACTGATACGAGAACACTTCCTACGGGTATAACGTACCTGGGGTTGGGAATTTGTTAGTACACCTATACCCCCTTCTTTTCTCCTTTTTTTCAATATTGGCATAGCCTCGGAGCACCTAATCCTTTCGGAGTGACACTGCGCGACAACTCTATATTTAATGCATAATATTTATTGTACGATTCACCCAAAAACATGAGTATCCCAAAGGTTTATTCGTCTGAAAGTCAAAGTCTATGTATGTACGTGCATGCAACAGGTGTATTGCAGAACAAAGGTACGCGATCCGTCTATTCAATACGCTTCTTGCCCTCCTCCGCGTTAAGGTACCGAGCGGTGCTCATGCCTCTTTCGTGCTTAGCGACAAAGGGGCCGACAATGGGCGCCTTGGTGGCTTTGGAGTAGTGCTCCGCATACCCTTCGGTGGCGAAGGGTCTCGGATTGAGCCGTGGCCAGTTGACCTGAGGAAGAAGGGTTAGTGAACAATGTCCTCGATGCGGACCAATATTTGTTTCGTAGACTTACGTAAAGCATGCCGTGGTTGAGGATGAAGTTGAAGCAGAATACCGACACGAGGCTCCAAAACAAAATGAACAGGCGGATAGGAATAGCGCTCGACGTAGGGTCGCGCCTGGTGAAGATGCCCACCAAGACGATGAATATGCTAAACGCAAGGAGATAAGGGATGGACTGGATAAGGATGGGCCTCTTGTCGACAAAGACGAGGCTAGTGCCGATGTTGGACACGCCGGGCTGGTATGCGCCGAGAAACAGGTCAAAGGCATCCTGGCGCGGGCCGTCGAGGAAGTTGTTGCGGAAGTACCGTGTGAGGCCAATGCGGCCGTCCTGCAGGGCACCAAGCTTGGTGCGGCTGCCGGTGCGGGTCACGTCGGTTTTCATGGCGCCAGTGCCAGAGTACGACTGCGACACAACGTCGGCGTTGTCGGCCCAGAGGTTGCGGAACAGGAACTCAAAGGCCGGGTCCTCCTCGCGGAACATGGTGCCGCGGGGCGTGAGGCCGAGCTCCCAGAAGACCTGATCGAGCATGTGGCGAGCAAAGTTGCTTTGCACGACATTGGTGCGGTCAAGGCAGTCCATGCAATTGGTACGCATCACGCCGCTCTGGAACTTGCGCGCATCAATCGCGCCGTCCCGGGTACCTGGGGTCTCGACGCCCTTGAAGTAGCCCTGCTGTTCAATCTCGTTCGCCATGCGCTCGATGAGCAGGTAGGCTTTGTGCATGGCCATTCCCTTGGTTTCAGTGTGGAAGTCAAAGTAGACGTAGTGGAGCTTGTCGAATTCCTGTGCCTTGGTTTGAGGAGTGATCATGTGGAACTTCTCGTCAGTGAGACGATCTGTCTCGGTTCGCTCCTTTGGCGCCGTGACCAGTACTTGCATCATCTTCTCATACAGGTCCTTGATGTTCTTTTCGCGACCCTTGGAGTTGACAAGGTTGATCAGATAATTGTCGCCGTAGATCCTGATTTGCTCGTCGAAATGCCTCCGGGCAGCGGTGAAGGCTGATTCAGGGCTCCGGACTTGAATCTTGGGCGTGTAGCGCAAGCTATTGATCTCAGCCCAGTACGATGGCACACTGCCGCGGGTCTGCACGTAGGCGAAGATCTGCATGTCCTGGTCTGCACCACCTAGCTTTCCACTCTGCATGTTGGAGCTGCCCTCATGACCAGACATTCCACTTGTGGAGTTGTCGTTGAAGATGACGATTTGCTCGGTCTCGTTGTAGTTGGCAGCATGGCCCTCTTCGTCTAGACCACGGGTGAAGTACCTTGTTCCTCCCCTGTACCGCGATCGACGGGAGATCAAAATCAAAGAAAGAGGTGTTCCTTTAAACTTGGTTGGCTTGATCTCGAACATACCAAAGATGCATGGCAGGATGAAAGGGTCAATCCCAGTTTGCTGACCAGGCTGGCTCCGTGTGCCTTGTGTACGGAAGTTGATCAGGTCGGTCTGCAAGTACTTGTTGAAGAAAAACCGGTCGTCTGTGCGTGCCCATAGCGGCTGCGACAAGTCGGCCTGGGACTGACGCTGGATCGAATTCGTGAGGTCGATCGAGTATGAGAAGTACATGGGCCCCGTAGCCAGGAACGTCTTCAGAAGTTCGATAAAGGTATCCTCGTCTGGGTCGTGGATTTGGCGTTCGCGCATTGGCAAGATGTCTGTCGCAATGACTTTGTAGACCATATGGCCCTTGAGGCGGCCCATGGGCTTTGCCTTGTTTATGATGATTACATATTTGTCTAGGAAGGGAGCATTAACATCGGTCGGGTCAAAGCGAGAGGGCTGGTCCAGTCAACCCCCTCTACTCACCTAGCCTGAGCTGGATGACGCCCAGAATACCAGCAATGCTCGACACGCGCGTGGCCCGCTTGGTGTTTTGCAATGAACTCTCGCTCAGGCGGACATCTCCAGTGGGCCGATCGAGGATCAAAGCGGGCGCATCCGGCGACGAGGGGGAGGTGAACGAATATGCATCGTTGGTGACCTTTAGGTTGATGTCGCGATACGGCCATTTGTTGGCTTGGGCGAGCGCCATTTTGCCAGCACGACTACGACCGTCGGAACAACACTTGATGTTGGAGAGCCACAGGCCTTAGCGCGCTGACTGTTGGCTTGATCGAGTCTCGAAGCGGCTTGCGTGTTGATGGTGATCGTGGGTGGGAGCTGGCAGGACCCTGGGGGGCTTGTTTAACGTCGTCACTGACAACACAGCCCAGTCGGCAGGGGGAGGGCCTGGCAACGCGTACCAGCCTAAAACCTACTTTAGCTTGCGTGCTGAAGACCTGGAACCGCTGGCACCACCTACGTAAGCCGAACCCCGTTTCGTGGCTGAGACCAATCTGCTGCTCAATACACCAGTTGGGGTGGACTTGGTGGCTGGTAGTGATTGGTAGTCGGGACGTTGAGATGGCACAAAAAACCGCTTGCTCTATGCTCATAAATGCATTGTTTTTTTCGCACCCGCGCAGATACGAAAGCTCCCGGAATACTTTGAGTCGAAGTAGATTCTCTAGATTCTGGGATCGGACGCCATCGTGAGGCAGTGAGTGAATCAATGAGGTTTACATGTAGGTCCTAACGCACTGGCATCTGCCATGCGGGACTCTCTTCATTCGTCCAGATTAGGTAAGGCGGCACCCTGCACTGTGCAGCTCCCCGTGCCCGAACTGGAGGCAGGAAGGTGCCACCTGACGTGACCCTTTTGGCTCCAGGCGTCGTCGTATGAACGAGCCAGGCCGGCAATCTGCAAGCATCATTGCATCCCACCTCAACCTCGATCAAGACATTTGCCGATACCATCGCTGCTTCTCTATCCGCGCCTCCTGCGGACCTCATATACATAGGAATCCCCTGGCGGATCTTTAAGTCATCAACAACGCAGCGGTCGATACCGTAGTTTGTCGAGGGCAAACAGCACTGCGACAAGGAAACTCGACCGATAGCTGATACATCACGGGGCCGCTCACATATACCGCACATCACTTTCGACCAGCGCGATGGCTTCCCGAGGACCCTCAGGCCCGCGCGGCGGCGGCAACAACCGCTTTGCGCAGTTCAAGCTCGTGCTTCTGGGTAGGTCGAGCGACATTGTTGGAGCGATATAGATCACTAACGCCTTCTAGGTGAATCCGCCGTTGGAAAGGTGCGGAGCTAAGATTTACTGTGTGAGGATCGACACTAACCATCTCGGCAGAGTTCTATAGTCTTGCGTTTTGTCAAGGTCAGTAGGCGATGGCATGGTCGATAGGTCGAAGGCTTACCGTGTGCAAGGACCAATTCGACTCGTTCCGCGAATCCACGATCGGTGCCGCTTTCTTGACGCAAACAATTTCTCTTGACGAGACCACGACTGTCAAGTTCGAGATTTGGGATACTGCTGGCCAGGAGCGCTACAAATCGCTGGCGCCCATGTACTATCGCAACGCCAACTGCGCCGTGGTCGTGTATGATATCACGCAAGCGGTACGTGACAAGGGCCAACACAGAAGCCCATGGCTGATTCTTGACAGGCATCACTAGACAAGGCCAAGGCCTGGGTCAAAGAGCTGCAACGTCAAGCCAACGAGAACATTATCATCGCTCTAGCAGGCAACAAGCTCGATCTCGTGAACGAGCAGCCTGACAAGCGAGCCATTCCTACTGCTGATGCCGAGGCTTACGCTAGAGAAGCTGGCCTTCTATTCTTCGAGACATCGGCAAAGACGGCCGAGAATGTCCGCGAGCTGTTCACAGCCATTGCCAAGAAGCTGCCGCTTGACCAAGCTGGCCCACGGCATGCGCGTCCGGGACAACGACCTGGCGTCAGCCTGCAGCCCGAGAGCGGCAACACCAACACTGGCGGCCAGTGCAGCTGCTGAGGCAGTTGTTTCGAATTGCAGTAGAAGCGGTATCTCAACATGAGGCGCAGGATGCGCACCTGACTAGGCATGGTCTGTTGCGATCGGGCTGGGCATAGACCGACAGTCCCGCAGACTTGGCCCACATCATGTCATTACTCTGAGAGACCAAGCATGTCGTGTATCTATTTGGAGTCTTGGGTTCGCACGGTTACTAGTCGATAATGTTCTTTAATTCTCAAAGTGTTCCTAGTTTTCTTTCCACTGTCCCTTCGAGGTGCAGCTGCCAGTGAGGTCCAATTCGTAATTACTCTTGAGGGACGCATCTGCAACCAATGTCATATCTTCCAAAAGAAAGAGGCTTGTATCAGCTCAATGAATGTTAAAAGGCAACTCATTTCATCGGCTGATGCATGTGACAAAAATACGTCTGCCTGATTTCGTCACCCGCTGACGCCAACCCGACGACGGTTGAATTGCCGAACTTTTTCCTGAGTGGTTTTGTCTGGCAGCCACTCCCCGTGCTCGCCCGATCACAGCTACAACACCCAGAGACAAGCACCTTCGCCGCGGGTCATCGTGCACTATCCAATGTTGCGATCATCGCTGCGCTCGGCCAGGGTGCTCAATGGCAAGCCTGGTGTGGCTGCCGCTGGGCGCCAATGGTCACTTGCAGCCACGCGACAGGGTTCGCTTCTAACCAAGGTTCGTACTCGTGCTGATCTATATGGACTCTGTCTCGATGGAAGCTTACAATTGTGAAAGCGAGGCTACGCAGATCAGAAGAAGTCCGCGGACTCGTCTGCGCAACCCATCATCCCTCCTACCGAAACGAAGAGCTCCGAACGCGCCACGCACACGACCTTGGATGGTGTTGGCGAGTCAAAAGCTGCTCCTGCAAGCAATGAGATTCCGTTGACTCCCCCGAACCCCACGACCGGCAAGGAAAAGAGACCTACGCCTCCTGCATCCATTGACGATGTCGGTGAATCCCGGGCTATGAACGACTCGATGCCTCCAACGACGCCTATCCAGTCGAAGAAGCCCGAACCCAACGCGACGATTGACGACGTCGGCGAGTCCTATGTTCAGCAAAGTCAGGTGCCCCCTCCACCTCCCTCGCCGCCCAAGAAGAAAGGGCTCATCCGGAGGTTGAGGAACTTTGTCTTCACTCTGATGGTGCTCGGTGCCGTGGGTTTCAGTGGCGGTGTTTGGTACTCTCGTGTCAACGACACCTTCCATGACTTCTTCATCGAGTATGTTCCCTTTGGTGAGCAGGCTGTGCTCTATCTCGAGGAAGCCGATTTCAAGAAGCGCTTCCCCCATAGCCAGCCTTCCAGGCCCCGCGAGACCGGCGAGCACGTACGGATCCCTGCCCAGAGCGGCGCCTCATGGAGAGTCGCTGATACTGCTGAACCCTCCGCACGCCAATCGAGCGCCTCGCCTTCAGGCCAGAAGCCTGCACCCAACCCCCCTGCGGAAGCGGCTGCGAAGACCGAGCAGCCTGGAGCCACTGCTGCCAAAAGGGCCGAAAATGCTGTGCCTACAATCGACCAAAAGTCCAAGACTGATCAGTCCGATGTGGCTCCACCGGCTTCCAAGTCGACTCCTGAAGCGAACCCAGCCGGCTTCAAGGCTCCTGAGGTGAACGAGCCTTCCAAGATGCCCCCTCTGGAGCCCATCGATCTTCTCAAGCTGGCGGATGCCCGTGAACCTGTTGTTCAGGACCTTGTACACATGCTCAACGACTTGATTCTCGTCATCAATGCCGATGGCGCCCACGGAAAATACGGCAGCACCATTGAGAAGGCCAAGAACGATGTCCAGAAGATTGGCGGCAAGCTCCGGCAGATGAAGGCCAAGGTGGAGCAAGACTCCGCCAAGGAGGTGCGCGACAAGGTCAGCGAGTTTGACAAGGCTGCTACTGAGCTTGTGTCGCGCGTCGAGCAGGCCATGATCAGCCAGGAGATGGAATGGCGCAATGAGTTCGAGCAAGAGATGAAGGGTGTTCGCCAGAGCTACGAGGACCGCGTCCAGCTCCTCCTGGAGCGTGAGCGCAAGGTCAACGAGGAGAAGCTGCAGAACCAGCTCCTTCAGCAGGCCGTGGCTTTGAAGAAGGAGTTTGTCGATGAGGTCAAGGACCGTGTTGAGAAGGAGCGCGATGGCCGTCTGGGCAAGCTTACTGAGCTGTCCCAGGCTGTCTCTGATCTGGAGAAGTTGAGCTTGGGATGGAACGATGTTGTCGACACGAACCTCAAGACACAGCAGCTTCACGTTGCTGTGGAAGCTGTCCGCGCCAAGCTGGACAATGCTTCGCACCCTTCGCCCTTTATCAAGGAACTCGTCGCTCTGAAGGAGATTGCCAACGACAACCCTGCTGTCAATGCCGCCATTGCCTCTGTCAACCCCGTTTCCTACCAGCGCGGCGTGTTCACCACCTCGCAGCTGATTGATCGTTTCCGGCGCGTCGCTAGCGAGGTTCGCAAGGCTTCGCTGCTCCCGAGTGATGCAGGCGTCGCAAGCCACGCCTCGAGCTGGGTCCTCAGCCACGTCATGTTCAAGAAGGAGGGTCTGGCTGAGGGGAACGACGTGGAGAGTATCCTCACCCGCACACAGACATTCCTTGAGGAGGGTGATCTGGACAGCGCGGCGCGTGAGATGAACGGTCTGGACGGATGGGCCAAGACCTTGAGTAAGGACTGGATGGGAGAGGTGCGCAAGGTCCTAGAGGTCCAACAAGCACTTGAGGTATGTCATCTGCGCTTTGCTCCAGCCCATGTCACTAACGATTGTCACAGGTTGTTGCCACCGAGGCTCGGCTGCAGAGCTTGAGGGTAGAATAGATGGGGGTTCACTTTGTTTGTACGTTGCAACATGTCTAGAGAAGGGCAGTGTTGGCCCCGTGTATTAGATAACAATAGACAACGCAGGGTATTATATCTACGGACGGCACCTGGGTTTGCTTATTCATGCCAATGCCGTTCCCATAATCCCGAGGCTGCTTCTTGACCGTGTCGCTACCTTTGATGTCTTGGATATAGCCTAATTGCAGAATGCATTGCAGTCCTCCGAATGTCAAAAGCAGGACTACTACTACGTTGTGTGTCGAATTGGTTCCGTAGCGCTGTTTTCTCTGGCGGTAGTGAAGGCGTGTGCCATCACTCAGAATGCGCAGCCAGTCATGAAGACAACTACCACCTCGACTGATCACCTACATGTATCTCAGGCTGAGCATTGCACTCCTGGGCTGCACGTTGGAAGCACCACTCGCTCCTCTTTCCCGGTGCTTGAGTGCATCGCGCACAATGCCCTCACGCAGTTTGACATCGTCACGCGTTTTGGCGCGCCGCATTGTCTCATCCAGTCACAGCTGCCAAAACCTCAGGTGCGCAGCCTTGAGTCGCGAGGCAGCCAGGAAACCGCTACATAGCAGCCAGCACTTTCGACGGACAGATTCTGAGAAGAAACATCCGACGGGAAATAAATCAAGACAAGCCACTGGCTCCAAGGAGGCAGTGAGGCATTGGTCCGGCGGAACCCGCGAGGCGAAGGGTAGGACATATTCAGATGCCCTAGAGCGACTCGACAGCCTCACCCAGAATCGTGACATCACCAAAGCCTTCGATGGCAAGGATTCCAAGGCCGCCAATGAGGCGGCTATCCCCGAAATGGTCACCTGGCTTCAGCGCGCAGGCTATACTACAGACCAACTATCTCAGATGCAGCATATCCACGTTGCTGGCACGAAAGGGAAGGGGACCGTGTGTGCATACGCGACCAGACTTCTGATCAACAGCGCGCAGGGCAAGCGTGTAGGAACCTATACAAGCCCACACCTTGTGACTGTCAGAGAGCGGATCGCCCTGGGCGGGAGCCCAGTGTCGAAACAATTGTTCACAGAAGCATTCTTCGAACTATGGGACCGCCTTGGGGAAGCTGCTCAGAGAGAAGGCCTCTCGGAGCGATCGGCCAGGCCTTTTTTCTTCCGCTTCATGACGCTGCTGGCGTGGCACATTTTCATCAAGGAGAAGGTCGATGTTGTCGTCATGGAATGCGGTATCGGCGGCGAATACGACGCCACGAATATCTTGCCGCCCGCGGCGGTGGCCACGGCGCTCATCACACATCTGGAGCTTGATCACACAGCTATGCTGGGGAACACAGTGGAGAGCATTGCATGGCACAAATCAGGTATCTTCAAGCAGGGCAGGCCAGCCATTGCCTATGCTGGTGACATGGCCGAGTCCGTCAAGAATGTGCTGGTGCAAAGGGCTAAAGATAAAGGTGCAAATCTGTATCTGGTTCCCAAGGAGGTCTTGGATAGGGTATGCGAGCAGTCGCCAGACGACGTGATAGCTGTGAAGAACCACATGCTGGCGGACATGGCTGTCATTGCTCAGTATCAGGGGCTGTCGACAAAGAGTATCAGCGAATACTCCAATCAAGGCAGCGAAGACTTGCCGCAAGTTTTGGAAAAGATGCATGTCCTCGGCCGAGGCGAGGTTCTCCAAGTGGACGGGAAGACGTGGTACCTGGATGGCGCGCACACACAGGATAGCATCGCGAATGTGGCAAGTTGGTTAGCCGCAAACGTCTTCGGAAACGACAAGCTGATTGTCGTTTTCAATCAACAAGAACGGGATGCCGTAAAGCTCCTGAAGCACCTCGTCCAGTCAGTGGAAAGCTATACTGATGAACCTTCATGGTGGACTTCCAAGTCTCCATGCTTCATCTTTTCCCGAAACGAACTCCTGGTGCAGACCAGTGATGAGCTAGAGCAGGGGACTAGAGACCTAGCTGTTCAAGAGGAACTGTCACGTTGGGTGCGGAGCCCTGCTGGGGTAAATCTCATATCGGCAAAGCCACAAGTCACGGTATTTGATAACGTCAACGACGCAGTCGCGCAAGCCAAGGAGATAGCGGCTGGACACTCGGAGGCAAAGGTCGTTGTCACAGGCAGCATGTATCTCGTCGGCGCCGTTCTCAAGACGCTGCAAAGAGGGGCAGGGGATGAGACGGAGTGATGTCCTGTTGTTATCACTATAGGGCATCTGCTTGTTCCAACATACCCAAAGCGCCTCCAACGAGGTGCAGACTTCCCGTGACCAAGGCGTCTACCTTGACATTTTGATCCAAACCTGACCCCTGCGCTCGAACCTGCTCGATCGCCTCTTCAATGGTTGGCACGACCCGTACCTTCGCTGTGGGCTCCATAGCCGTCCATTTCTCCTCAAAGCGATGCTGGACGACCATGTCGTGCACCTCGCGAGCATCAGCCTGGTGATTCACAAAGTCACGCTTGTAGCCCGTCTTGATATACGTGACATTGGTGCAGAAAAGGACCAGGTCAAAGGTTGGTTTGCCCTCGCGCTTTGCTGCGCTGTGAATCGACTCTAGAAAGTCGACAGCCTCTGTGCGTCCCTGCTGGTTGAAGATCAAAGCGCGAGGGCCCGTACTAGAAGATGTCAGATGGGAAGTGTAAGCACACAGAAATAAACTTACCGTCCATCCACCTCCTCTGTGAACCATTTCGCTGCCACCTTGAGACTGTCTGCCGTATGAGCACCATCGACGTGCCATATGACCCTCTCCTCCTCCTTGACCTCACACCGGCCTCGGAAGATGACGCCCTCAAGTCCGTCGATAAAGGTCTTTGCTAAAGACGTGCCGTCGACGTCGCTACTGCCAAGCTTGCGAAGTACCGTCTCGGCCAGGGCGATGCCGAGGGTCGCATTCTTCTTTTGAAACAGAGCATCTGGTCGGACTCTGACGCCCTGGAGTCGAGGATCAACTTTCAAAACCTTGAGGTCGACGCTCTTCTCAAGCGCCCGGTTAGTGAGCACAACTGCTGCGTCTTCGCTCTGATGGATCGTGAACGCCGGCGAGCCATGCTTCATGATTCCAGCCTTGTGCCACGCAATCTTGTCCACGGTATCACCCAGCGCGAAAACATGATCGATGCCTAGGCTCGTAATCCCAGATGCCACTGGATTCTCGACGATATTCGTTGCGTCAAACTCGCCGCCGATGCCTGTCTCGTACACAGCAACATCGATACCTTCTTGCAGGAACACATGCCAGCTCATCAGCGTCAGGTACCGTGCATAAATAGGCTTAGACCCCTGTGGAACTGCCTCATCTACGGCTCCGGGGGACTTCTCAAGACGATCCCACACGTCGAAGAAGTACTTGGCGAATAGCTCCTCCGAGATGGGCTCGGAATTGATCCGGATGCGCTCCCGAACTGCGATGAGATGAGGTGAAATGAAAAGCCCCGTCTTTCGTGGTGAGCCATGCATGCGGCGATGTTCGCCCAGTATGGCGTCGACAAATGCACATGTGCTGCCTTTGCCCTTTGTGCCGGCCACATGGACGATATTGAGTCGGGTCAGATCCGAGAGCTGCGCGAGTTTAGCACATGCCATGGGCAGAGTCAATGCCAGGGGAATGGCCGTACTTTATAGCCAATGCGGTCCAAATAGACCTTCATCTCCTTGATGGAAGAGGCATCTGGCCGGATTCCCGCCTTCCGACGCTGCTCAATAATGTCGTGCGGCGTCTGAAGGGTGTTGAGCGCGTCAATGGCGTCCTGTGTCGACGGTCAGAGCATGCTGGAGCAGCAACACACAGCGTCAAGCTTACATTGTAGGTCCGCCCTGCGGTCGACATTGCTCTGAATTGTGCAAATAGGCCTATTGATTGGGGGAATTGTCGAAAACCTGCAAGCAACGCATGGCGCATGACTTTCCGCTCGGGAGAGGTGAGATGCTAACGTTACAAGTAGTAACGTGGGAATCCGTGACGATTGGAAGACCAATTGCGATCACTCACGTCACAGAGATGACACAATGACTCACTTTCACATACTCAGTACTGACGCCTGTGTGTCCTAGGAAAAAGTGACGACATTATGGAAAAGTTCATATATATTGGAACGATGATTGCCTGTCCGACATTGCGTTCCGTTCTGTACAGAGTGCCGGGTGTAGGGTAGCTTAGATCTCTCGCTTGAAGTGCATTGACCAGAACACAAGGTACATGTAGTTGAACATGAGCTGTAGCGGCAGTTCAGCGTGAGTAAGTCCACGGCGAAGTTGACTGAGCCTCAAGAGCACTGGGCAGACCCAAGTCGTTGCAACTTGTATCTCATCTTATGCAACACTGTGGCCAATCTCCTAGAAGGTCAAGATGCGTGGTCAAGGCCGCAGATTCCGGGTACCCACGCACGCACTATCTGCATCTTCATCTTTTGTGGTGCCCTTGCGCTACCCGGACTTCGACCGGCGCGCAGTGACCTCACACAGGCCCAACCTAGAAATTTTGATAGCGCCCTCTACATCAACAACCAGGGTCTCCTCGCGCAGATCGCACAATGGAAGCCGCCAAAGATAGCCTCATCGACCTGGAGAGGCATCGGCAACGCTTAGAGCAAACAATCAAGGAAGTCAAGGACTCACTCCAGTTCTGGCAGAGTCTCGACAGCGAGTACGAGTCACTCAAGGAAGAGGTCGAGGCCGTAGAGGACGACGAGCCTGCAGCGCTGGCCCAAATCCAGTCGAGTTTCGAGGGGGAGGCGATTTCGCAAAAGAACCTGGCTGAGATTTTCGGCCCGAAATCGTCGAGATCAAAGGAGCAGATTGTCAATGTGCTGGATCGGCGAATAGACTATGTTACCAAAAACATTGAGAGCTTGACCAAGCAACTAGAGATTGCCGAGAACAAACATGCAGCCGCTCAGGTCATCAGCCAGCCCGACATGCGGGACGAAGAGGGCCAGCCTATCACGGAGATTATGGAGGAACTCGACGACAATGGTAATGTGCTGTCTTATAAACTGAGTCGCCCCGGCGAGACGCTGCCGCAGGTTCGCGAAGCCCTGAAGAAAGCTGGGATTAAGGATTTTCCAGAGGTCAACGACGAGGTGACTGTGGATGGTGATACAAAACAGCCCAAGGAAAAAGCTACCTCATCACCACACTCAAAACCTGACACGACGGAGGATGCTACTCCTGTCACGAAGCTGCCTTCAGCACAAGAACAGACACTTTCCATTCGGCCTCATTTCAAACGTCCAGCGGCAAAGGATTCGAAGGCCGTGGCAAACCAGCACCCGGAGAAGCCTGCAAGGAAAGGAGTGTCTTTCGCCGAAGACACGAAACCCGCGGCCGACGAGGACTTGCCACCCATCTCGCGGAACGCCATACGGGTCGGGTCCATCATGAAGTCTGCGAAAGAAGAGCAAGAAGACTTCACTCAGCAAGCGCCCATGATACCCGAGGACGAAGACCCCGAAGAGGCAGAGCTGCGAAGACAGATGCTTGAGTATAGTATGGGGGGCATGGGCGAGGTCGGGGCGGTAGTCGCGGAGCTCGATATCGAGGAAGCGTCCGACGAAGATGAGGATTGGGACTACAGCGATGAGGGCTTTGATGAGGATGAGGAGGATGAAGACAAGTACGGCCGCTACACCGGTCGGGTCGTCACAGACAAGTACCGCGAACGTATGCTGGAACTGGAGCGCAAGCTCGGCATCAAGTCAGGCTTTACAAAAAATCTCGACAAGGAGGACAAGGAAGATGACAGCGACGATCCTGGTGGCGAGGATGAGCGCCTGGGTCGTATCGTCGTCAAGACCGAGTCTTCACCACCAGCGTCTGTGTCACAGCCGCCACCAGCGAAACCAGCACTCAAGGGAAAACGCCCGAGCGACGACTCTGCCAAGAAGGGAGTTCGCTTTGCCACGAGTCTCGACATTGCACCTGATAGCCCTCCAGCTGCCGCGTCCCCGGCCGTCACGTCTGATGTCTTGGAACGTGCGCCGGTAGTCGAGCCAGTCAGCGACATTGTCGTGGAACGCACAAGCAACACTCGAGCGGAAGAGCCGAAGCCAGCACGGAAGGCATCCAAGTTCAAGAAAGCCAGGGACACTGCGCCTCAAGCGGGCGGGTTGCCCAAGGGTCCCATGGACGTCCCGGCGCGCTTCTTCGGCGAAGACCGACCGACGGCTCCGACAGGACCTCAGGGTACCACGCTTGCTGATACGCTGGTTGAGCACGACGCAGTTCGACCGGTGGATGATGTCGAATTCGAGACGTATGATGACCAGCAAGAGCTCGCCAATGAGCATCAGCGACTGCGCCGCAAGTTCATCAACCGCGAGGGAGGATTTTTGAAAGAGGATGAGAACCCTCTTCAACCCCTTGACGAGACTGAAGGCGGACCGCCGCGGCTCAGTCGCTTCAAGGCCGCCAGATTGTCCAAGCATTGATAATAGCTAGATATGATGGTTGTCGGCAAGAAATCGAATATACGTTACCGAATTTTGACTTGAGTCTTAATTGAGTAAGGGAAAGAAGCTTTGCCAAGCCCGTGCCCCCTATTTTTAAGGGACAAGCTACTGCGTTCTTAACTTCCCGAGCGAACCGCTTATTGCAAGTTTGCAACATCTTGACATTTATCAAGGCACTTCTCGGAGTCGGGAGCTCGCTCATCTTTGAGACTTCGTCCAAGGGGATATCGCCGCGCTATCCGATGTGTGCTGTGCAAACGTGTATATCTGTTAATGCACTGATAGCACAAACGTGATCAAAATGTCCGGACCCACATCACTAGCGTTGTTTTGATGGGACTACAAAATGCCAGCCACGCGGACCGGCACTTGGAGACGTGGCATTGCTACTCTTCCTACGCACAAGCCATGGAGATGGATCTTCTACGTACGTAGTACTCACGAGGTACTGCGTAGCTTGAACAAAGCTTCAAGGAAAGAGAGAATCTAATCCAAGATCAACATTTCTTTTCATTCGCAGTTTCCCCATTTTGTCTCGCTACCCAAGCTCTTCCATGCACGGATACGCATGCTATATAGCCTAGGTACTGTGTACTGGCTCGTAGTAAATACACCGACGGACCGCTTGCAATCTGACAATTGATGGGTTGCAGCTCCCTCATCTGCTTCGCCATTACTAGCGGCTCCAAGATTGACAAAGAAGGGCTCTCTGGCACCTTGCCCCGATCAATGGCTTTGGTGGTTTCGTTTCACCCTTCACATGCCCTGCCGCCTACGTATTATCGTCCTGACCCTCACCCTCACCCACGCGCAGGGCTGCTCGGGCGTTCGGCACCCGACATGTTGGTGCGTTACGCGGCCAGCTTGCCATGCCATCTGCCTTCATCCACATAGCACGCATATCCATGCGAGGCACACTAGACTCTGGAGTAATACGGGCGTATGGGCCGTGAGGAGACAGCGCACGATGCCGCGGACCGGCACATCGGCTGCCAGGGGTCGGTTAGAACGGCTCTTCACGCAATGCGTATGAGGCGGCGAGGCCCAAGCCACCAAAGCTCGTGAGGCCTCACTCATGACAATGAAGACGTAGCCATAAATAAGGATGTTCTCAACACGTGTGTACCGTGATTCCACCCGAATCATTCCCTAGTCACCACTCTACCCACGTCACGCCATGCCTGCCCAAACAAACGAGCCAGAGCAACAAGCGCCCATGACCGATGTCAACACTGACATTGTCTCTGAGCAGCCAGTATGTCGTGCCCTCTACTGACCTTGACGTGTCCTGGACTGACTCCGGATCAGAAAGCCGAGCCTCAACCCGATATGACGATGCGTGGTGGTGAGGAGGCTGGTTGTGAGGTTTGCTGTGGACTTTGCGCTTGCCAGGAGGCTTGCTGTTAATTCAAATGGCATTCACGGCAGGGTATAGACCATCAGACTTACCCCTTTGCCAATGATTCCGTTATGGGAGCATTGTCCTGCTCCGTGTGAGCGAATCACCTGTATGTTTATGCATGTTGACCAAGACCGTCTCAAATAAGCATTGTACAGTGATATACAACGTATAATACACCTTTTCCTGCCCACGCATGGTGCGTCGCTCCGTTACCGCCCCGTGAACTTGGACCAAAGCTGCTCGGCAACGGTCTTCCCTTCCACAACGTCCTTCTCCTGGCGCTCCTCCTGCTTCTGCTTCTTTCTGGATTCGTAAAAGTCTTTCATGTTCCTCGCCACATCAGACTTGGCCTGCAAATCCGCCCGGAGCGCGGCCTCCTCCGCCGCACGCTCCGCCTCGGGCAGCTCCTGCAGTTTCTCGTCCCATTGCTTCTTCACCTCTTCAGACGGCTGGACGCGCGGTCCTGTTGGTCGTGTCGCAAGTCGCGGGATGACTGGGTCGAAGACGGGAACTGGTGTGCCGTCCTCGCGGGCCTTGTTGACTGCTGCTTCGTGGGCGAGAACGCGCTGGTAGAGGGCGTCGGCGTGCATCTGGATGTCTTCGTCGACGGCAGCCGGACGGTCCGCGACCGCGCCGTAGCCTAGTGCTCGTAGAAATCGCTACGAGAGTCAGTTCTGCCGCGAAAAACAAGCATAGTTGTACGGAAACCCACTGATTGTGTCTGATAGCATTTCTCAAACGCCCTGACCTGGTGCCGACAGAGCTGTGCTTGATCTGACCAGGCGCCATGCTTCATGCAATTGATCCACGCCTCTTGCGCCTCGGCGCAGTTCTCCATGGCGATTTTAGAAATCTGCTCCTTCCTCTGCGTGTACCCGTCTAAGACGCTGATCAATCTGTCGTGGTCGGTCATGGCGTCCGCCTCGACCTCTGCTTGCGGCCTGTACCCCTTCCACAAGTGCGCATATCGTCCATCTTGGTAGAGGGATTCGGCGGGGACCTTTGACTTTGCGTCGAAGTCTCCCTTTGTTTGCGCTTCGGCAACGGCTTTCGAGACTGTGGGATGTTGTACTGGGTGCGACGAGGATTGTCCCTGTGCTGGCGTTTGTTGATACCTGACGGGCGACTCCTTCTCAAGAAACTCGCGGAGTTTGGGATCGAGGTTTGAAACCGGGTCGGCCGAGGAGGAGCCTCCTAATATCGATGGCCACCATCCCATGTTGTCAGTGGGAGTGTAGAAATTGTAGGTGGTGAGGATGGGTCCGGAGCTACTGTCATTCTTGGAATTAGAAATCGAAGAATTCCGCGTTGCCGCGAGGTAGGGGTCCGGCGGGCGGAATGCCGCCCCCTCCACGGCCTAGCCCAATATAAAGATAAACAATTGAACTGCATCGTCATCCAGTATTAATGTACAAGTGAGTTGGTTTGTTTGAGGCATTTGGCATGGATATTCACGATAGCTCACTAGACTCGCTACAGGTCAGGTCTCCTGCTTGACGCATCGCGCAGTAGAGCCGTGGCGTACATCATGATCACGGTCACAACCACACGTCGACCGCACCATCCTTCCCAAGCTTGACGTCACAAAGCCCGTACACACATCCGTAGAAAGAGCACCTTGCTCGAATTTTGGTCGCATTGAACGCCGTCGTAGCTGTCATGAATCCTTTTATTCGCGATTGCATATACCACAATCAATGAAAAGCAGCTTCCGGTGCCCAGCCCGCCAGTGGGAAAAACGTTCCGATTGTTCCCCCCTGATGTATCACGCCTAAAATGCCACAAGAAAGCCCCATGATTTAGAACTTGCTGAACTTCTTGACCGCCTTGCCAGTTCGGGGCAGCACGCGCAGGACGTTGAAACGGACCTGACATCAGGGTTAGCATATCCGCTGGCATGGACACTCGCTCTGAGGGGATCACGCACGGTCTTGGAGAGAGGACGGCACTGGCCAACAGTGACCTGGTCACCCTCCTCGATACGGAAAGCGGGAGACACGTGGACGGCGAGGTTCTTGTGGCGCTTCTCGTAACGGGAGTACTTGGGGATGAAGTGGAGGTACTCGCGGCGGATGATGGCGGTACGGTGCATCTTAGTGGAGACAACGGTGCCGGTCAGGATACGGCCGCGGATGGACACGAGACCGGTGAAGGGGCACTTCTTGTCTGGAGGAGAAAATGTCAGCACGTCGCTCGTCCCGCTTGTTCGACAGCATCTCGAAAAGTCATTCGTTCGCCGAGCCCTGTGATTCCTCCCCTTCCGTACTGTTCCCCCCCTCTTGGTGCTCTCGAAGCCCTTTGCTCAAAAAGTTTCCATAAGTTGCTGTCGCTGATCGAACGTACCGATGTAGCTGCCCTCAATGGCGGTCTTGGGGGTACGGAAACCCAGACCAACATCCTTGTACCATCTGCGTCCGCCCTTGCCCGGTCGGGTGCTCTTGGCCTTGGTCTTGGTGTTCTGGAAGATGTGAGGCTGCTTCTGGAAAGCGCGCTCGGACTGGACGGTCAACTCGGTCGCCCTGGAGAGAAAAACGTCAGCATTTCCATGCTCTCGGAGCTCGATCGGTATGCGCGTGGACTGACATCTTGGATGATTTGCTGCCTGGCAAGAATTGGGCGTGTTGGGTGGAGTTGGCGAGACGTAGGTTGAGGTCGAGAGGTATGTTTTGCGAAAGTAGGGCAGTCACCGCACCAAAATTTGCGTGCACTTTCCCACCTTAGGGCTCACAAAAATTGGATTGGCTGCCTGGGGAGGGTGGAGCATACTCACGTGATCTTTGTTAGCTGCCGCGGGGGATGACTCAGCTGGTTGCCCCGAGGGGTACGTACCGCGAGGCCACTACGACGAAAAGGGAAAGTAAACAGACGCGGTCTATCTTTAACGAACGCGCCCGCAATCATCCTGACCCTCGTCGATTCGGCCGACCTATGCACTTTCACGACAAAACGACCGCAACCAGCGACCATGGCTCCCACGAAAGACGCGACAATGCCGCCGGTGCGGCGCGCTAGGAAGTCCATTGGAACATCTACATTCGGCCGGAAAAGCCTCGACAAGGAGAATGCGACAATAGACTTGGGCAGTGCCAGCGCAACAAATCGCAAGTCAAGGAGCAAGAGCATGGGCCCTGGCGGGCTAGATGCTTTGCAACAGGCCAGTGGTAACAGACGCGCGGTATGTTTGTCGTAATACTTGCTCGTATTAGAACGTAACTAACATACCACAAGTCTCTAGCTGCGCCCCTCAAGCCGCGGTCGATATTGAAACCCACCATCACGGCACTCCCAGAGATACCCTTACTCAAGAAGAAGCTTCTTCCCGATGCGCCAGCCAGGAGCAGTTCATTATCGTCGGCGAACGACGACTCTAGTAGATCAAAAATAGCCCTGCGTACAGAGGAGGAGCAACAGGCAGCTGCGCGAGAGCGAGACGAGCGTCAACGTCGCGACGCACGCAGAAAGTCACTGGCGAATCGCCGTGTATCGTTTGCTGCCGAAGCCACACTGCATACCTTCAGCATACCGGACTTTCAAGACACCACAGCATCTTCAGAGGCATCCAGACGCGCCTCCGCTAAGGCCGCAGCAGCAGCGGAATCCGATGAACAACCCGCAGTGGAACAAGCTGGAACATTGGAGGCCCACGGGGAAAGTCAGCAAACACGACGTCGGCGGAGCTCGGGGCTGCCACAATTTCACGACAGAGCCGACGATACAGCGACGACCTTGTACAGTTCTGACTCTGAACCGGCTGATGTGGTTGAGGAGATCGCATCCGATGAGGAGGAGGAAGTGGATTCGAACAGCGACTCTGCCGACGATGGGACCATGATGACTATGGTCACAGAGGAAGTGACCGGTACCACCAACGCGTCAGATCGTTCAGACCAATCTCTCGACTCAGAAGATGAAGCAGAGTCATCGACTCTCGACGAAGTTCTTCGACAAGCTGCTCATCGTGCTGGCATGCAGGACCTGACAGAATATCCAACGGCATACGGGCAAAATAACCACGACTATGAGGAAGACGACGACGAGGAAGTGATCCCGTCTTTTGGGTGGATCAAGAAATCAAGCGCACTGCCTACTGCAACTGCGGCTGCCAGCGGATCTGACCGCGCGACTCCTGATGAGACAGATTTTGCAGACGCACGTGATGGCGATACCCAAGCATCGCTAGGCATGGAGATGGATATGACATCAGCTATTGGAGGTGTCTTGAAGCCAATGCCTGTGGAGGAAGAAGAGACTGAGATGGACGAGGACATGTCCATGGACGTGACTAAGGTGATCGGTGGCATTCTCGGACAGAATCGAGTTCAGCCGGTAGACGACGTGCCAGAGGCAGAGGACGAGGAGCAGCCCGTGGAAGAAGCCACCATGGAACTCACCACAGCGATTGGTGGTATCCGTTCCGCACAGCATGACGACTACGAGACAGATCACGAAGGCCATGAAGATATGTCAATGGAACTCACAACGATATTGGGCGGCGTGCTGGGCAAGAACAAACGTCCTACAGCCACCAATACTGGAGCTGTTGCAGACGCGACAATGGATATGACCACCGGATTCGGGCGTATCGTCATAGAGAGCGATAGGCCAGAGAACAATGATGGGGAGTCCACCGTGGGAATGGATGTCACAACAGCTATTGGAGGTATCATAGGGTCTACCAATGGTGGATCTCCCATGCGCGATTTGGGTCGGAAGATCATGGTAGAGGAAGCCGATACACCTAATAGTCCGGGCAAGGCTATCCGGGCTGTTGTGTCACAGGCGCCGGCGAGCCGCTCAAGGTCACCACTGCGCCAAGACGAGAACGACGAGAACGCAGATCCTGGACAATGGGCGTTTGCTGGGCAAGGCCTTCGTCGTAGTATTCGACCGCCTACTGCTGTAGAAGTAGCGGCAGCCGCTCCTAGCTCAAGGACGCCATCGCCGGAGAAGTCAGCGACGCCACGCTCGCGATCACGCTCACAATCGACTTCACCGAGGAAACACGTCCCCGTACAGCAGCAACGCATCACACGATCTGCGACTAGGTCCAAGTCCAAGTCGGTATCTCCAGAGAAAGTTTCCCGGCAGCCTACTGCTGAAGTTCTTACCCCATCACCAACCGAAAGACCTCGCAGGCGATCCTCGATAGTTAGCAATGCTGTTGCAGGAACCCCGGTGTCTCAGGTGACATTGACTCCTCAGAGACCGCTAACTGGGGTTGGAGCCGATCGCAGCGGTCTCGGGTCACCCAAGGTCGCTGTTCTCCTCGACCGAAGGGAATCTCTAGGGAATGCTGCTACGGACTTCGTTCCACGGACAAGAGCAGTGACATTTCAGGACCCCCGGGACTTGGCAGAACAAGTCGACCGTGAGCGGCAAGAAGAATTCCATAAGGAAGATGACCACACAGCAGGGCAGGATTCAACATTCAACTTACGAGGGATGATCGACAGCCTCAGTCCCAAGCGAATGCCTCTCAAGGGTCGTAAAAGCCTTCACGTGGGCAGTGCAAATGGCCTGTTGGGCAAGCGGCCAGTCGAGCTGGATGACGACGACGACAGCGAGGCAGAACCTCGTGATGGCGTCAAGAGGCTGAAAGGCCATCAAGGCAGCCCTGTTAAGAACGTTCGCCTTCAGAATCCCCCGTCGAGGACCGAAACAACAGGTGGTCTGATGAGATCATCTCAGATGAACCTGGAGCAACCCGAGACGACACCACTTGTGTCATCTCCTGCAAAAAACGGCCAGTCCGAGATACCGAGACACCAGCTACGCTTCCAAGAAGCTGAGGAGGATCCTACCACAAGAGAGGTCGACTTCCACCACTCCCCAGTGAAAGATGCGGCGCAATTAGCGAGGGCAGCCGAGGAAGGCCGTATCCATCTTCAAGACTTCCTCAATATGACCTCGATCCGATTCATGGAATTGACGACGACGAAACGCCGCCACACTGCTGCCCCGGCCTCTTTCAAGAACGGGCACCCCGCTAGTGGCGAGGAGGACACGTCCCTTGAACGCTATGTGGTAGCCGGCGCGTGCACCGTTCCCACACTCGAACTGTACCAGCACTGCTGCCGTGAGCTGAAGAAGTATATCTCGAAGGGGCGACGGATTGTCAAGGACGTGGAAATCGATACCTTCAATGAGAATCCTCCCTTGTTCCGGGAATATGTCACAGCGACCCCGGATGTCAAGGCGCTGATGGACAGCCAATTCAAAAACGTCAAGACGCACGCTCGACTGCTCAGCAAAGCCAAGTGGTACGAATGGCGTATGATGGTGCAGGATGGGCTGAGGCAGGGGCTGTTCAAGATCTCGGAGGATATGGAGAGCGACGCGCAGCTTTTGCAGAAGCAGACCGATCTCATAGCGTCAGTGCTACCTGAGCTTGAAAAGCGCCACCAACGTCTCTCGGAAGAAAGTGCCGACCTCGAAGAGGTAGCGCAGCAACTGGCCGAGTCTGATCCTGCCGTTCTCGAAGCTACACGCGAAGACCTGACGGAGCTGGATCTGGACATTGCTCGCAAGAGGAAGATGATTGCTGATCTCCGTCAAGAATACGAGGAATCGGAGGCCGAGGTTCAACTGCTATCCGAGAAGAAGGATAGCTGTCTGGCAGAGATTAGTCAGTCGGAGAGGATCCGCGAAGCCTGCCGCGGTTGGACAAGTGCAGACATCGACACGTTCAGAGGTGTGTGTTGCAGCGTTCACTGCCATTCCGCCATCGCTAACAGTTTCCAGAACGGGTGGAGGCGATCGCACAAAAGCACGGCTGGGCAGTAACGGGCATCACAGGAACGAATCTCTCTATGGCCTACAAAGGCGAGGTCCAGTTGGATTTTGACACCGCGACCCTGCAATCCGCCTCTCCTGACTCGCGTCTCGAGATAAGGTACATTGGCGATCAAAAAGAATACAACGCTGTGGCCCAGACACCGGAAAAGGAAGCCGTCCTGCACTGTATTCGGAACCAGGTCCGAGCTATGGAGCAAGATCGCAGAAGTCTCGCCAAGGTGCTGTCACTTGTAGCCGCCGGATGGCACAAAGCACAATACGTTGGCTCGCAGTTGCGGAGGATAAACACAACCCTCCCCACGACAGTGGAGAAAATCTCAGGCACAAGCTTTCTGGTGAAGACGTCAATCCTCTTGGTGCCGCTAGAGACTCGAGTGGAGATTGTGCTCAGCTTGCACGGTCGCGACAGCTCGGAACGAGTCGACTTCGACATCCGTCCCGCCGCCAAGGTTGTCTATGGCGAACATTTCAACGAAGACAAAATCAACGAGTACCTCACCACTCGGCTGGGTGAATATGTTGGTGCACTTGAAGAGGATTGGAGCGATATTATTATTGAGCTACGCGACAGGCTTATCGCGAGAGGGCAGAAACAATGACGAACGAACATATGACACTGGTAACGAACTAATGATAGGAGTGGCTGATGCGGCGACTGGAGTTCAATGTAGCATGCAATAGCAGCATGTTGAGCGCTGCGATTGGTGAACGGAAATCACAAAGTGGCGTTTGAGTATTAACAGCCTTTGTTGGTCTCCTTGTTTTCCTTGCCGTTGCTGCTGCATGTTATGAAAGAAAGGAGCCGAGGCCACCTGAGTCTACACATCGCTCTGACCAAGTCGCAGTCACAACACGAACGCATCAACGCGTGAGCGTAACTTTGATCTCTCCTTGCTGAGCTCATAGTCTTTGCTTTCTCCGCTACATGGGCCGACATGATGCTCTTCGGCTCTATGTGCGCGGTCTTTGTCCGCCTTTGTGTCACTCTTCATGGCAATGCCAGTCGACATCTACACGCCTCGATGGTCATGGAGCGACCATTGATAAATAAGGCATGTCCCTTGTGTTGCGCCTTAATTCACATCAAGCATGTTAGGCAAACGAGTGTCATATGGTACGCATCGCATGACAAAGTTTGTTACGCAAAACACGTGCATCACGCAGTACTCACAGAGACATACTCCTCGTCATCACAGCTGCCTTTCACTCTGATTCGGAGTACGGTAACGAACTGATTCGCCGTCCGCGGCCATTGAAAATCTTAACATTGTCCTCCTCCCTTGGTGTAACTAACCACAGCATCTAACACAATAGCAACGATCGCTACCCTCACGATGAACGCGATATACGCACCAAAACCACCTGACCTGGATAGCTTCCAGCACAAAGTCTTCGACGCACTTGCGCTGACCATCATGTGGTCATACTACACTCTTGAATTTGGCTGGCACAAGGTCATCTCGTACGACTACCAGGCAGTTTCGTGGCGGATGTGGGAATCTACCCAGTCTACGCTGGCAGAATTCTTGACGATATCCGGATGCATGGAGTACCTCAAGCGATGCCTGGCTCACAGCCTTCGCAAGGTTGGCTACAGCAAGACACAGGGGACAATGCTTGTCCATGACTTGCAGAGGTCCTTGGGCAGTCTACTTTACGACACGCTGGAGAGCCTCCGCGTCGGCGCACGTCTCGCCAATCTTCTCGAATCTCTTTTGGAGGCCAAATTGCGGATGGCATGGGTGCTGTCTAGCACAATCGGCCTTCTCAAGCCCGTGTGGGAGACTATGTCCAGCATGGATATCAAGTGGCCTTTCATCAAGTTCCTGGAGAGCCTGAAGAGCAAAGACATTTATTTCTGGGAGGCCGTGTTCATATACGTTTGGTGCTCTGTCATGGTCCTCTCACTATCCTGCATCGCCATCACCTCGCTTCTCATGTTCCTGTTCTCGTATTACCGCCGGTTCTTTGTGTTCTACGACTCGTACTTGTTCTGCGACCCCCTTGCGAGAGCGATCACCGGCCTTGAGATTCCGCGCCACGCCATCGAGCACATCTACTATGTAGGGGACTTGCGCAAGAGCATGCCGTTGGAGGCCTTTCGACTACTAGCTGGGGGGTTGATCTACCTGAGTAAGACTTTCGCGCCCGTGGGCCATTGCCTCGAGACTTGGTGGGAGAAGTGGCAGCCAGCAGTCCCGCATGAGGATAATGAGGACGAAGTGCCAAGCTATCCTCCAAGTGATGCTACGAGCCCACTGATGTCTACTTACCCAAGCTACCCTCCTACACCATGTGTCGAGGATTGTGACAGCCAAGCCCCTGGCACAGACGACGACGAAGTTCCATTCTTCAGGCGCTGGGGCAATCAGCCCACCAGCGAGGTTGCTCAGGAGGCTCCTGAAGACAGCCTGACACCTGATTACGGCTACGGCGACCTTGGAAGATCTGGGAGATTCAACTACCGAGGTTCCACGAACGGTGCGACAGTTGATGCTGGGGATTTCTTGAGATCACCAGCCTGTGCCCTTAACTCGAACCAAATGGAGGCGGGCAGTAACCTCATCCACTCTCCAGAGGTTCCCGAATCAGAGTCAGAGGAGGGAGATAAAAACAGCACGATACACCACCAGAAACCATCGTTCTTCAAACATCAGGCTCCGACAGGCGAGGATGACAACAATGGTATTGGTGATGACGAACTTACCGACGAGGATGGCTCACCTGGCCCACATGGTTCAGGGGCCGCGACCAGGCAAAGTTCACCTACGCAAGCTGTGTCTGCACCTACGTTACAACGACCGAGTTCCATCCTTGCCGCCTCAGAGTCCCAAAGGGGTTCGCAGGTCTCACATGATGGGCCTCCTGCAAGACCCACGAGTGTGACTTGGGAAGAGCCCCTGGTATCTCCATCAAGCCCACCCAAGACACCGTCCCCGGAATGCGAGTTGCTACCCGCGGACCTATCCCCCGACGAGACTGCCCCAGCAGGACAAGACTTCAATACGCGCCTCGCTGCGTTTCGCAGAAATGGCGGCTGGGACGGCAAGAAAGACAAGCGGACTTTCATTCTTTGGGAAGCCAATGGACGCCCAATCACAGAAACGCCTGCATCTCCAGATGAAGAGTCCGATATTGCTTGTGACACGATGTGCGAGGATGCAGCCGTTTCTGAGGCTGCACCACTTTCTGAGGCCCGCGCTACTCCCGAGCCTTCAGACACCCCTGAGCTGGGCTTTGCCAAGTCTGGGGAAGTAGCACCATCTTCAACACCTCCCGTTGTTCCGGCCAATCATCATACGAACAATCAACAGGAAAGAATAGAAGGCGCTCGTGCTTCGGTAGGTCACAGCCCCGAAATACACCCTTCGACTACCCAAGCCGGACACGAATTGGAGCGATCTACAGATGTCGAATCACATAATGAATTTGGCAACGTGGAATCTGGGACAGCTTACCAGGAAGACGGTGATAATGTGTTCGCTATCACTAGGCGTCGTCTAGATTTGTCACCTGCGACTTCTGATCTGGCGATTCTGGAATGGGCTAAGATGTTTGACAAGCTCAACGAGATAGCAGGTCGCCCAATGATTGGAGGCGTCCTAGGGTCGGAGGAATGGTGGAAGACGTACTGGGAGACTAAGGACAGAGACGCTGCAACGAGGGCCGAGACGCTGCATGAAAAGACCGAGGTGGCCGGTAAGCCAGTATCGGGATCAGAAGAAGAAAACAAGACGGCAGATGCAAGCCCTGATGCCGTTACGGATACTGGCCGCATGTTGGGGGAACAGGAGGCTATGAGCAGCACTACTCAGGACACTGGAGCCTCCCCGAAGAGTCCCGAAGAAGCAACGGAAAGCGCCAGGCCCGGCTCTAGGCAAGCGGATGCGGTTGGTGATCGAATGCGTCGACTGATCAACCGAAAGACGGAGGCAAAGGCAGCAGAGTCAAAGGGCAAGCCCAAAAAGCTGGGAATTGCGAAGAAGGCAAGAATCCGGAGGTCTGCTCTCTGGGAGAAGCTTGGCGGCGTAAGACCACCCTCGACGCCCAAGACTGAGGCACAGCCTGCGGAAAAGTCACGATCAGCCGATGCCAGTCAAGATGCATCTGAGAAAGCTGCGGCTGAAGCAGAGCCTGGATTGCGGAGTGGGATTACTCATCAGGAGGAGGAGGAGGAGAGCAATCTCGAAACTGCGGACCAGATACATGTTCCGGAAGCTGAGGAGGGGAGGAAAGCTGAAGAGGAGAGGAAAGCTGAAGAGGAGGGGAAAGCTGAAGAGCAGAGGAAAGCTGAAGGCAAGAAGGTTGAAGAGGCCAGGCTGGTTGAAGAGTCCAAGGAGGCTGAAGAGGCAAAGAAGGCTGAGCAAACGAAGAAGGTCGAAGAACAGAGGGAAGCTGAAAAGGCTATGAAGGCCGACGAGGCCATAAAGGTTGAAGAAGCTCAAAGGAGGGCTGAGGCAGAGCGCGCCATCGCAGATTCTTCGAGGGCTGAAGAGGAGAGAAAGATTCAACAAGCTCAGGAAGCAGATCAAACAGGGCTAATCAATGCTCAACCGGACGACAGCAATATGCAATTTGAGGCCTCGGGAATGCAGGGTGTTGAAGCAACGTGGCAGACAGGCCAGCAACAGCCGGACGCCGAGGAGGCAGATATGTCGATGACCGACCTCCTAGGCTCTGGTCATCTCTACGATTTCGACATCCAAATGGGCGATATTGAGTCTGCTGGCCAGCCTTTCGATTATGTTGATAAGGATGAAGACGCACGTATGAACTCCCCGGAACCAGTGCCACTCATGGCGACACAGTCCGCGCCGATGCCCTTGACATCGACGCCCTCCACATCCATGCCCGGGATGCAGCAGGCTGGGAGCCACGGGATCGACATCCAGGTGTTGTCCAACGACGCAATCAAAGAAGGCATGATGTCAGTGTCTGGCAATGACTGGCAAGGCTTCTTCGACGAATACAATCGCCGTCGGCAGTTTGGGCTCATTGAAGACGACTACCCAAACGACACAGCTGACGAGGAGATGATGGACAGTGCATATGATGAGTGGTTCAACACTCCCCTTCCACAAAGACAATTCGAAGATCCATATGCGCTTTCTGATCAGCCACTGGCCTTCCCCCAACCGACCGCAGGACAGTTTGCAGAACCCCTTGCATTTCCAGAGGGCCTGGACCCTGCCATACGTCCAGAGAGCTTTGGACAATTGCACGATGGGCAGATGGAGATCGTTCAGGAGCAGCCCGATATGTTTTTCTTGGATCACACAACTCAAGACGCCAACGAAAGCCCAGATGTTCAGTTGTCACCACCACGCCCATATTTCTCCGAGACAAACGACAACAGCGACATCTCGTACACGGACCAGTTCCAGGCGGACTTTGACTACGCCAATCCTGGTGACGTGACCGGTGACTTTGGCCTTGGCGACGTCTTTGGGTCGGGTAACATACCATCATTCTCGGGAGAGACACCCAGCTGGCTTACCACCACTGACGATGAAGGTGAGCAAGATGAAGACGCGATACTGAAGATGCTGCCTTCGGCTACACCCCTCGAGCACTTCCAAAACTTTGATGAAGATCAATGGCAGGGTCCGGTCAATTGGACCGCGGCTTTGCCACCATCCGTTGGTATCCCTTCCCCTTTCCACAGACCAAATGTGCCGGAGCAGGTTCCCCAAGCTCTTAGTTCGCCTTCGCACATTCCATTCACGCCTGTACATCCAGCTCATCCTTACGGACATCAACCCGCAGTGCATGGTTCGGTGCCACCGTGGGAGCATATATCCCCCACCGCCCCTAACCGTGTTCCTCGACCCATAGCGCCAGTGGAGGCTACCCCTCCGGCTGGGTCAAACATAACGCCACTCTATGATCCGTTTGCTGGAGCATCTGCGCCTGGCCCTAGCACGCCATCGCCCATTAGGACACGGGCAGCGTCGAGGGCTCCAACCGGACCGAGCCCTTTGAGGAACTCATTCACTCCACATGCATTTTCATCGAGTGAACGAGACGATGCTTCGACCTCCGTTGAGGACCCGGAAGGCCATGATCACTCCGATCACTCTAAGAATGAACAGGACCAAAACCGGCTGAATCAGGACGACAACAGCTCCGCCAGTGGAAGCAGCCTCGATGAGCTGGTGGAGGAGGTCTTCGTGCAGGATCACGGGGAAAAATATACAGTGTACCGCCGACGACGGCGGGAAGCTCGTGTTCAAGCGAGGGCGGGAGAAACGACACCCACGCCGCAACGTCCCGATCCTTATCATGACCTTTCAGCGGAAGCTAGGTTTAATTTGCGGGATACCGCTGGCGATGACGAGCCTGACGAGCCACAGTCCATGGCAGACAACATAGCCGCCGCAGGAGCTGGTCCCCGAACTCGCTACTACGCTCAACCCACCACTGCCCCCGAGATTCCACCAGACAGGCGCGAGGAGATGGAGGAGCCAGAGACCTTGGACACGCAAGAACAGATCAACGCTCGCCGCAGGCTTCAAGCGAGAAGGTCTGGGCCTATGTCTACAACACAAGTTGCCCTAGCTTCTGGGTCGACCGGAGCCCCTGGGCATGTACAGCAACTCCAACAGACACAGCAAGCTCCGGAAAGACCTCGCCCATCGTCTCTGCATACCGACTTATCTCGGCTAAATTTCGAGGGTCTGCGGCTGCCGGGCTCCAACACTCCTTCGTCGTCTTCCCCCATTGGAAGCTTCTCCTTCAGTAATAACAACAACAACAACAACAACAGCTCCTCGCCATTAGCACCTCTTTTGGTTGGGTCATCGCCTGGAACACACCTGCTCTCGCAACAAACACCCACATCGACCCGGTCACCAGGGGGTCCCTCAAGACCAACGGCCACCGCGCCCGTGGAGGAGCGCCCTATGGCCACGCCTAATCGGCGAGGTCGAGTTAAGCCCCCGTCCGATCGGGAGGTTGAGTCGGCAAAGATGAACGCCATGGCTAAGAAGAAGTATACCAAGGAGGATGTACAAAAGATGATGGAGGAGGTTGATGCAGAGGACGAACAAGATGAAACACCAAGCTGCACCCCTCTGCAGCCTCACAACAATGGCAAAGCCCCCGTTGGGCCGCGTTGGTCGATTCAGCATGAGCACGAGTCGACGGGCCTCTCTGGCAATGCGCCTACCACACCGACTCCGGGGCCATCGTCGTCCACCACTCCCCAGCAAATCACCACGCCCGCCGGTGATCTTGAGGTCCAGACACCCTCCTCACCGGGGACTGGCACTTTAGGAGAGTCTGATGATCAACAAGAACCAGCAGATGAGCCTGGCACGCAAGATGGCCATGCCAAAGGCAAGAGAGCCATGGTTAAAGACGCCGACAAGATGGAGACGCCGAAGCAACCCAAAAAGAAGAAGTCGAGGAAGAAGAAGAAGAAGCAAAGGAGAGACTGAATTTGAGTGTGTCTATAGAATATAGATTCATCTGCACCACGTTGGAATCGTGGTTTGGGTCTCAGGATGAGCTGTGCGGGTTTGGATCTAGGTGCCATAGAATCTGCCCGAATTATGATACCAGGCGTTTGATTTTGTCTTGCTTAATGTCAGCAGCCACTGCATGATTACTTAACCTTGGTTCATCCTCTAGACGTGCGCGTGAGCCCTGTGGTGGTCGTGGTTTCGGTTTCCATCGGAGTGACTTGCGCCGGATCAGGCACTTCATCCACCTTCCAAGCTTCGTCCTCCAGCATCTCCCAATCCGGAGCTGCTGCATCGCCAATCAATTTCCTCTTGAGTTTATCCGCCAGCTTCAGCGGGCTGGGCAACTTGAAGCTCTTGATTAACTCCGTCCCCTCTGGTCCGCCAAGGAAGTAGTACATGGTGCCGTGAGAGTAGCGCCCTATCCATGTTGGACTTGATGAGTCTCTTCCCGCGCTGGCATTCTTGATCTTGATGGCTTCTGGGACTGGCAGGCTCGCAATCTCCGCGCTGTTGCGTTGTATGAGGAGGTTATATAAGTTGCGCCCTATCTGGCATACCTCGTCAAAGGGATTCTTCTCCCCTACCATGATCCCCTGGGTGCTGCATAGCCAAGCGATGTTGTAAGCGAGGAGAGCGACTCCTTCCAGGAAGTAGGAGTACGCGGCTGGGTCTTCCCTCAAAAGCTGCGGAAGCGGTTTGCTCACATACAGCGGGCGGGCATGGGGCAACGGCATTGCTGTTGGTTCGCTACCAGGGGCGAGAGCAGTGGGTGTCGTGGGGCCAGAATGCCCAGGAAACGGCAAGTCCGCATGGCGGTAAGAGTTCGAGAGGCTGAGTATAGTTGGAAACGGATAATCGCGGTGAGGAGGTGTTGTTTCAGCGGGCAGCCGAATAGAGAAGTAATACGTCGCAATCAGCAAGATGTGAACAATATGTCCTAGTGAGGTCGTGATCTGCTCTGGGCTCGAGCCTTTGAGGTGTCAGGATGATACATATATCCAGAGGACTATGAGACGAACGAAAAGGGTGACGTACTGTTCATCGAGACCAGATCTACCGCAGGCACTCGACCCACGTAATAGTCATAAGCGCCCCTGCTGCCCTTGCGAGCAACTCGCTTCAGACCATACAAGTTGGCCGCTTCAGCCCCGAGAAATGCACGCGTTCCAGCCATGCTCTCGGCAGATTGTGACCAGTTGAATCGTTTGGTGGCGATTGCTCGCTCTTGGTCTGTTATCAGCTTCGACCTGCGCTCTTTAGAGCCGTCGGCCATGGCGGCGAGGTCTGACTTGCGCCGGGATAACGCTGCCCTTCTCTCCTGTAGCTCAGCCCGAGCTGTCGAAATATCATTGCGAAGTTTGTTGGCGGCATCAAGTATCTTGGTTGTGTGCTCCTCAGTGATCATCTGTTGATGCTTCAGGGTGATAAGTTCCGCGCTGCTTGGCGCTGCTGGCTCCTTCAGCGAGTCCTGGAGCTGCTTGCGCAAGGCATCGGTCTCAAGAAGAACTTGTACGTGTCTCATTCGAGGCTCGTACAGTTGGTTGCGTCCGTCAGTAGCGCAAAGGAAAGGCAGGCGCTTCGGATCGTGGCCTCGACGACATATGTTGCATTCCATCGTCAGATCGCAGGGTCACACCCGTTGTGTTCGGTGGCATATGTAGGTGTGAGAAATTTAGTCAGACAGATTTGGCAATTACTGAAATGATCTTGTAGTGATAGCATTGGATTTTGGACCGATGCAAAGATTACCTAAGTAAGTTGGTAGATGAAGAGGACATGTGACCGTTAACATTGACCTGGGATTGTGATGTTGAGTGAAGAAGGGTGGCGTCACGAGGTGGTGTGAACGCTGGGCGGGCGCTGTGGCGGGCAATAGGCGCAAACCAGCGCTGTGGATACAGCATAGCGGTCCGTTATACGCGGAAGGCGCGAGCGTTCGGACGTGACGCGCATTCTTCCTGCGCCGAGCAACCTGTGAATTGGGCACCTCTCATCGTTTTCCACTCCATGGCCTCGTCCTCTTTCACTTTCATACGGTACTACCTATGGTTTGGTGTCCACTGAACGTCATATGCCGTTGACAGTACGATGGAGCCCCGGTCCGAAACAGCGAGCGGCGAGCATTCGCCCAAAAGCAAGCTACAAGACGAAGAAGAGTCGCCGTCGCTACCTGAGGTGCCCGAGGTGCTAGAAGCTGGACCCCAAGCAAACGGAATTAAAGTTGCCGACAAGACACCGGAGTCAGATAATGTCGCGAGTGGCAGAACCTCCAAAACACCCGATTCACCTGACTTGCCTGCCGTCTTTGATTGGGACGACTTTGAGAGGCGGTACGAAGACGCACTGGAGCAGGCAGACGCACGTGAGAAGGAGATCCTGAAAGAGGCAGAGGAGCTGTCTAGAGTAGGCCGACCTTAATCTTCTTTGACAATCCGAACTGACCTCAGTCCAGTATTTCCAAGCGTGGGCCTCCGCGGCGTCTTCACACGACGATGAACGCGCAGTGAAGAGACTACAGACACGCAGACGCTACGTCAACTTGTCAGAAACTGCAATGGAGCGTAAACAAGACCACTGTAAGGAAATGCTTCTATGTTCCGCACGGAGATATGCTCATCCTTCAAGACGAGCAGGTTGTCCAAGCGTTCGAAAGCGCGCTGGCACTTCTAAGGAATTGATTCACCCCACCCAACGCTCGCCACAGCACTGTTCAGTCGCCGCAGTACCGCTCAATAATATCGGGGCACCTCTTTCCTTGGTGTCTGGATTTTGCACGGAGTATTGCGAGAGAAACTGAAGTCCCGGGCTGAGAGCTCTGGCTTGTCGCGTGAGCGCGTGCACGTGACGCGTTCCAAGCTCGCGCCTGGCGGCACTCAACCTGACGCCGTGCGCATGGACTGCGGCGACCAATTTCAACCATTACCATGTCATCGATCCAAGCACCCAATATTGCTCAAGTTAGTCATCTCCCTCAAGACGACAGACGAAGACTAATGACATAGCATGAGCTTAGTGCCTTTTTCGAATCTCATTTCTCAGACCCGGCTGTCGCCCATTTTGAGGGTACATTTGTGAAGCCTTCGGCTGTCGACGCCACTAATCATCAGGAAGATGATTGGGCAGAAGAAGAGCAAGATGATCTAGGCTACTATAATGATGGCGTCAAGCGGACTTTAACAAATGCTCAAATAGAGATGTTCCGACATTCGGAACTCAAAACTCTCCGTCGACAACTGGAGAAGGATGCCGCAAAAGCAAAGAACCAGACAAATAGCACAGCTGCTGAGGATACGGATGTTCGGACAGACTCGACGCAGCTGAAGGAGGCAGATCTGCCAACAAATTTCAGAAGCAGCAAAAAGCGAAAGAAGACCCGGAAGCCAGCTGAGCCGAAGCCGGATCTACGCAAGCGAACGTGGGATGTGGTCGACAAGGGCTTGGACTCGCTCGAGTACGATTGACGATTGACTTTTCGCGGCGTTTTGGGGCAAGCAGACCCTCACTCTTGAAGTTGAACAAATGGTTCGATTTACCGCATGTAAGCCTCCTTCTCCATTTCTTCTCTTTGATATGATGAAAACCATTCGTATCGTCATCCTTAGTCGGATCGAGGTTGAGGATGGAGGAAGCACTAGCTTGTCTAGTGTTGACGTCCTTGCAGCCACGACATGTCGAGCAAATAATCTTCTCTCTGAAATTACTCTGTCTACCATTCAAGCTACACATATACTTTGGGGTCTGTTGACTGACGGCGCACAGGGTCAATGATTTTCTGAAACCAGTATTGATTCCGTGTTGGGTGGCATAGCGATGGCGTTCCAGACTCTTTCATTAGTTCGTCCCGAAATCAACTAGGCCGGCACCATATTCTGCTGCGACTGCACCTTAATTAGTGCTTGACATGTACCTGTTGTGAAGTTAATGGCTTTATTTAGAAACAGCTTGCGAGGCAAAGGGCTTGGGAATAGTGCCATCTGACCGCCGCAGACCTGCATTTCAAATGTGAAGGGACCAGACTTTGTTAGCCCAGTGCCAGTCGGCTAGCGGCGGAAATAAATTGCACAGCTAAGGTACCTTACCTTATGATATTCAAGCCTCGCAATTGCTTCCGAGCTTGATCAGTTGATATAGAAGCCACTGGAGGGCGAGACCGTTCTTATCTACTTATCAATGGGCTTATCGGTGTAATCACGTCTTGGCACTGGGCCGCCCTGTCCCTCCCTCAGTTCAGCCCCTCCACCTGGTCAGGCCAAGGTGACTGTTGTGCCCGGTGGAACTCGAGCTGCATTCGTTGACCACCCTTCCATCACGTTCATTGCCAGCATTTGCTCATCCAACGCGGGCTGCGATCGGCCGTGTTCGCTGAACATATTGTATAGCAGCACATCACGCGGTGTAGCGCACAAATTTTAATACACGACGTGAATCATCACCGCTGGTGCGCGCCCCTCCGACGACTGCGATTGCCCTCTTCCAACCAACACAACAACCCGCCTTAAAACGACCCTGCGTCGCCGCTGCGCGACGCCCACCCGACAAGATGGCGCGGGTCTACGCCGACGTCAACCAGAGCATGCCTCGCAGCTACTGGGACTATGACAGTGTTAACATCAGTACGTGCTCGCGCGTCCCGCGTGCCCTCCAAATTTGCCAATTAGACTGACCCCGCAAATTAGGCTGGGGCGTCCTCGAGAACTACGAAGTCGTCAGAAAGATCGGTATGTTTGGGTTCCTCGTACTGTTCTCCCCTGCCTGCATCGGCGTGATCTGTGCAGGCAGGGTGCCGACATTATTTACGTGGGGTCATCCCGCTGACGCAATTCGGAACAGGTCGGGGAAAGTACTCAGAAGTCTTCGAAGGAATCAACGTCGTCAATTATCAAAAATGCGTCATCAAGGTCCTCAAGCCGGTTAAGAAGAAGAAGATCAAGCGTGAGATCAAGATCCTCCAGAACCTGGCCGGGGGTCCCAACGTGGTTGCGTTGCTGGACGTCGTACGGGACTCACAGGTGGGCAAAGAACAACGTACGATCAAGGAAAAACTCGACTAACTCGTGGGTAGAGCAAGACGCCGTCTCTCATATTTGAATATGTCAACAACACCGACTTCCGAAGTCTCTATCCCAAGTTCAACGACGTCGATGTCCGCTTTTATATCCTCGAGCTCCTGAAGGCGCTGGACTTCTGCCACAGCAAGGGCATTATGCACAGAGACGTCAAGCCACACAACGTCATGATCGACCATGAGAACAGAAAGGTCCGAATTTACTTCAAATCTAGCGAAGTATTCCTATGCTGACCAAAACAGCTACGCCTCATCGACTGGGGTCTGGCCGAGTTCTACCACCCCGGGACTGAATACAATGTCCGTGTTGCGTCGCGCTACTTCAAAGGACCAGAGTTGCTGGTGGACTTTCAAGAATATGACTACAGCCTCGACATGTGGAGTCTGGGAGCCATGTTCGCATCTATGATCTTCCGCAAAGAGCCTTTCTTCCACGGCCAAAGCAACTCTGACCAGCTGGTCAAGATTGCCAAGGTGCTCGGCACCGATGATCTCTTTGACTACCTCGACAAGTACGAGATTGAACTAGATACCCAGTATGACGACATTCTAGGACGTTTCCAGAAGAAGCCATGGCATAGCTTTGTCACGTCGGAGAACCAGCGTTTCGTCTCCAACGAAGCGATCGATTTCCTCGACAAACTCCTTCGCTACGATCACCAGGTAACCAATGCTCTTTGAGTGGTATCTGCGCCCATTGCTGACATAAATGCAGGAACGACTCACTGCGAAGGAGGCCCAAGGACATCCCTACTTTGACCCCGTCCGCGACACTGAGGCATTTAAGCAAAGCCTGACGAGCACAAACGGATCTGCGAGCAAGGCCTAGAAGAAACCCGCCGCTGTGGTCTCTAAGTCGGGAGGAAGCGCCTCGACTGTGCCGTCTACCCTGCCGCCACTCAATCTTCCCAACCCTTCCCCCATGGAGTTGGGCTGAATGTGAAGATTTTGGCACCGTTATCCTTGTCGCCAACAACGCGAAATTGTAGCGTGCAGCTACGTGATACTACAAATGGCCGGCGTTTGCCACCTGAATCATTTTGTAGTATCTTCTTCTGGCGGTGCAGACGAAGAAACCCACGAGCAGCATCCTCTTCCAAATCCGAAGCTCAGACGCTGTCTAGCCCGAAACCAGAAATACGCATTGTGTCACGGACGAGGCAGCACAGGACAAGGTATTATCGGGGCGTTCTGGACACCGGCGCAGCGAAGGTTCGGCCACTGAGGGCAAGCTTCAGGTTTGTCGGTTCTTACAGGAATGGTTTTTTTATTATTATTGCTATTGGTGAGTGGTCGTGCGGTCACTGGAGAAAGCGTTCAATACATGATTTTCAACATCCTCTTCATGCCGGATTGTCAGCGTATGTTTAGTAAAAGATTGGTTGCTTTATTGTAAGCACGTGAAACAAAAGTCTGTCTCGCATCGATACCCGTCCACGCCACAAGTTCTCTGCCCTTTACTAGGGTCCTGCGCCATGCTGGTAGGCACGCGGTCTCGTTTCCCTTTCTTTCTGATTGGTGTACGATACACCTCTGTGGTGAGGATACTAGGTTTCCAATTACTCTTGATGGGCGTGACGCCTTTTCTGCCTCCCAGTACCGCGCTGTGGCCAACAAGAGGTGATGACACATCGCTGCGAAGCAGCTCGTCCTCCTCGGCATCGGCTGTTGATAGCAATGATACGAGAGATTGTCGAGATGAAGAAGCACCCTTCGTCTTTTTGATCGTACGATGTCGGGGGGTAGATGGTTTCGCTAAGGATAGGCGCTTGAGTCGCCGTGACGGACTTGACGATGCAACGTCTGAGTCGCGAGAAGGCATGAGGTGGTTGGGCTCCATGCCAGGTTCCAACGTTTTCTCGGGGTTTGGAGACACCACAAGAGGGGGTAGCTGTGACCGCGCCGTATCTGGGTCTTCAAGCTCATCTGTTAAGAAGGGAGGCGGGTCGTCAGAGTCGAAGATGGTCTGCTGTAGACCGTCTCCGTTGGTTTGAAGTTGTGGTGGGAATGAATCGGGCTGCGCTTCGGCAGCAGGCCCAACATCCGCATCCTTAATTACCTCGGCATCAACGGTGGGAGCTTTGTCGTTCTCCAAGATAGTATCCTGTGCTCCTGAAGTAGTCTCGGTATCTTCAGCTTCAGTGACATCAGCTGCAGCAAATGTTACATCCTCTATCGTGAGTTCACGCAGCTCGGGAGTGCCGTTCAACATTGTCTCAATGTCATGCAGATGCTCCGCGTCTGGCTCAATGAGCGGTGTCGAGTCAACCGGAGTTTTCAACAATGGTGCTTGCGGCAGTTCCTCTTCCGGGATAGCCAACGACTGTCTCGGTCTGCCCCTTTTGCGTTTTGACACCTGCTCAGATGGCGGTGGAAGATCAGGCTCAACTTCTGGCCCAGTAGGTAAAGATGCCGCATTGGTTTCACTGCCACTGCTGATGTTGACTGAGAGTGACTGGTTCTTCCTTGGTCGGCCCCGTCTCCGGCGAGCTGGAGACCTACCGGTTTCCAGAGTGGCATTGCTCGGCTCGCCAGCCGGCGCATTGTTGGCTGACCTGGAGCTTGTGTCCTCGTTCTCTGTGGCCTCATCAGGTCTTTGGTGGTCCGCCAGATCTTGGTCTGCCACGTTGTCGTCAGGTGGAACCATAGCCATCGAGCTCGCAGATTCAGCACCTTGGCTCACGGACGTTTCCGCTGCAATGGGTGTATAGCCCGAAGGCGAGTCAGGTCTCGACGGGGGAACTGCTGGATTTGTAGGTTGAGTCAAGTGGCTCGTGTCTGACCCAGAGGCGTCACATGGCGATTGGCGTGTATTCGCGTCTAAAACAGACAGAGGCTCAGACTCGGAATCAGGAATGGTCATTCGCTCGACAGAGACATCTTTATGTCCCATGTCCACATATGATGCTTCCTGACTGGACTCGGGAGGCGTTGGGGGGGTTGAATCGTCTGGTATGTCTTCAACATGTTGGTACTCGTCGCAGCGAACTCGCGTCGGAATAGCAATCACGAAGCAAGACGACCCGACCAGATCACCATGTATAGCGCTTGCGTTGCAGTCGCGGTACTCTTCGGGGTCTTCATTGTTGCCAGCGCCCCTTGTCGCTTTCAGCTCGATAGCGTTGGGCTCTCGCCTGTTACACTCGGAATCGCCAGTGTTGCCACTCCTCAGAGCGATGTCAATGACATCTTTGCTTTCTCGCTCCTTGCGCTTGGGCCACGCGACCTTGCCCAGGAACTCAACTTGTCTTCGTCCTCTCCCCGATCGACGGAGGCTTTTTGAATTCGCATGTACATCGTCCTCTGCGGAGTTCTGGTGCCCACCCTCGACCATATTTCCATTGATATCTGGGACAGGCTTGGGCTTGGAGGGGGATTGTGCGCGATTGTCCATGACCCGTCTTGGTTTCGAAGATGCATCTTTCCGTAAATTTTGAGTAGTATCCGCCGCCCGGGTCTGCATAATTGGTTGATGCGGTTTGCTTGCAAGTGCATATTCCGCATGTGATCCTATGCCATTTGTCTTGAGATTATCAGGGTTCTCGTCAAGTCCAGTACCGGAGCCTGCGTCCCGGTCGGTGGCAGACACCCGACCATCTTCATCAACGTTTGGCATCGCCATGGCTCTGCGCGATTGCCCCATTGTGCTCTTCCGTCTTCTCGGATAGGGCACCCAGTCATCTTCGTCGCCGGCCTCGGGTGCCCAGATCGATGTTGCCCCGAAGTCTTTCGCGGATTTTGCAGGTCGACCTTTCCGTGGCTTTGGCTTTTGCATGGTATGCTTTGGTCGGCGTTTTTCCGATACCGATGAAGCAGTTTCGAGCCCTCCCAAAAAAACACTGTCCGCCTGTTGAGTTGCAACAGCTGGCTGGTCGCCCCAATCGTCGGATATGTCGCACAGAAGGACGCCCTCGTCCTTGTCCTCGCACTCATCTTCGCCTGAATCGTTCTCCATTCCGAGATCAGTGTCGTATCGCATGTTTCTGAGGTGGCCACGGTCGACAACAATCGCTCCTGTACTGAGGTCCAGCTCATCGCCCACGTCCTCAAAGTCCCGGCTGTATTTGGCGATAATCCCAGCCATCGCTTGCTCATATCGCGTCATAGCTCGCGCTCGCTTCCTTTCGAGAACATAGTCGGGGTGTCGCATCTCAGACACCTCCTCCGGTTCCAGCTCCAACTCGTCGCCTTCATCTTCATCACTTGGGTCCCTCTCGTCGTAGGGATCATAGGCGGTCAGCTTTAGTCGCTTCGCCGGTGGTGAGTCCATCGTGCGACATGAGTAGCGGTCCCACACAAACGGCTTTGCAAAGTCCGAAAAAAGTCCAGTTTGGATCCTGCCATTGAAGACGAGTGAAGGGGCGTGAGTTGTAAAATCATGGGCGGTTGGACAAGCAACGACGCGAAAATACGCGGGTGAACAAGGGGCAGGCGCGTTAAGAGGTTGCAGTAGCCTCCTTCCTCATAACGTCACGCCAGTGGGGCGGCGCTCCCCAAGCTCCAACTCAGAGTCTCCGATTCGGTCAACTTTAGGCAGCTCCTCCAGCTTGAAGCCACCCGAAGTTGACCTCTTCCTACACGCGTCACCATCCTACAAATCGCTGACACGCGCCTTCAACCCGAACGTTTCTATCGTTTATTGACAATTTGGAAGCACGCGGGCCTACCATCAGAGCGAGTACCCATGCGAAGAGTCACATCACCATGTATTGTCAGAAGTGCCGCCAGCCACTGAAGCTGGACGGGTCCCTCGAAGATCTTAATCCAGCTGCCTACGACCTCCTCATCTGTCCGTTCCTAATTTCCTCTTCACCTCCCATAGTCCCTGACATCTCTGCCAGCTTCGAGCACTCCACAAGACGAAAGACCGTCTACGAACCAACCGTCTGCAAAGCCTGCCGCCCAGGCATCGGCTCGCAAAGCGCTTTATGACAAGGTCTCCCGCAATAACCCACAACCAATCTTCACGCGGAATCATGGAGGCTCTCGCCGCGACTCCGCCATGTCATTCATCTACCTGACCGAATCCCAAGTCGGGCATTCGCAGATGCCTCCCGAGCCAGCGACCGTTCCCCCACAACTTGCACAGGCGGACAGCAACCGCGCTACAAAGGATCGAACGCCGGCCACCGATATGGGAAAGATTGATCGTTTATTCGAAATATTGTCATCACGGTCAGACATAGATCATCCAATATGTGTCGACTGCGGAGACATGCTGGTTGAAGGGTTCCAAAAGCGACTAAACACAGCGCTCAAGGAGCGAGATTCCTACGTGAAACACTTGCGACATGTACAAGCGAACAAACCAAGCAAAGAGAATATCAAGGCACAGCAAGAAGCGACCAGAAAGGCCCTGACGGACAAAGAGCAGGCTACGACAGAGCTCAGGAGATTGGAGGCTGAAAAGGACACTCTTGACACTGAGATTCTCGAATTGGAGGAGGAAGCACGCAAGCTGGACATGGAGGAGGAGTTGTTCTGGCGAGAACGCAACGACTTTGCTGCCAAAATGGCCGACTTTCAAGCAGAAAGGGACAGCGTCAACGTCAAATACAGCAACGACTCGCAGCTCCTGGAAAAGCTGCAGCGATCCAACATCTATAACGACACGTTCTGCATCAGCCACGATGGTAGCTTTGCGACGATCAATGGCCTGAGACTTGGTCGGCTGTCTAACAAACCAGTCGACTGGCCGGAAATCAACGCCGCATGGGGCCATGCTCTGCTTCTCTTGGTCACTGTTGCAGACAAGCTCGCGTACAAATTCCAGGGTTACGAAGCCCAGCCCATGGGCAGCACCTCTAGGATCATCCGATACGATGTAGCGACTTCCTCATCAAACAGGAGCGGAAACCGCGGCACCGTGCAGCCGCCACCCAAGAAGCATGCACTTGAGCTGTTCAGCTCTGGCGACATGCCTCTCGGCCTCACATTCATGCACCGAAAATTCGACAATGCCATGGTAGCCTTTCTAGAGCTAGTACGGCAATTGGGGATACATGTCGAGCAGCAGACCGAAGCGTCTGGTAACATGCTGAGCCTACCTTACCGAATTGATGGGGACAAGATCGCAGATGTGTCCATCAAGCTTGGCATTGCGCAAGACGACGGATGGACGAAAGCTTGCAAGCTCACGCTGACCTGCTGCAAGTTTCTTCTCGCCCACGCCGCCCACACAAATTCTTCTGAGACGAGGGCGTCTGGCTGAGAGCGCTGCGGGAGAGGTGGGTGTCCAGTCCTGGCTGACAGCAAGGCGTCCACCTTCGATGCAAGCGGCATGCAGCCTGCAGCCCTACTGAATCAAGATCTGCAACTAGAGGCCTCGAATCTCACCCGAGCTGAAAGACACTTGTATAGTGTAGCAACTTCACCGCAGGCTACAGCCAGGTTATGCCCCGCTTTGGCTGCCTGGAGCTGTTGTACTTGTGACTCAGTTGCTGGCAGCCGAAGCATACGAGAGGTCCCATCTGCCGCTCAGCCCTGGTTCGCAAACCGGTTGTACGCCCTCCTGGTCATTCATCAAGAAAGCCTCCTCGTTCGCTTGCATGCATGTTCCAACGCTTCGTTGTCAACCAATCCAAGACGCACTTTGGTCACCTTGGTGCAGCGACAGGGCGACTGGTGCCTAGAACTGTCCTGTCCACACTGCAGGCTGCAGCAGATACGGTCTCTCCTCGGCTGGCTGCGACTATATGGCGTTTCTCATGGGTATGCTGGGATGGTCTATATAATGAGCTTCGTTCATACCCCCATCGTCTTGTCCCGTTTTACAGTTGTTCTCGACGCAGCAACTCACCCTACATTGTTTGCTACATGCTGCATCCTACTGCCGATACGATGGCTACCGAGCGCGTGCAGGTCTTTGGAGACTCTGAGGACGACAGTGCCTCGGACGTGAGCTGCTTCTCCGATGCCAGTCCGCCTCGACAACGCCGTCGACCTCGCCGGATGCAACACTTGTACCCTGGCTACATTCAAGTGGATGGCAAAGTCCCTCCTGTGGTCCATACGGTGGAATATCTTGGGCGCCGTAACAGAATGTTCGCTCGTAAGTCCCTGCCTCCTACGCCATTTAAGTCGCGTTGCTGACATGGCCAGTCCGGCAAAGCACGAAGCCTTTCAACCGCATCCTTGAATCAAAAATCCTTGCCAACGATCACCCACATGTTGGCCAAGGAGATAGCGAGAACGCTGAGCCAGAACAAAGGCCGATCATCGAAATTACCACACATGTCAATTCGCGCCGCGATCCGGGCCCCGTCCGTTCTTATCGTCGTCGGGACAGGGTGGTCCGCCAGCCTGTCACTGCGGCTTTTGGCAACACACGCGACTATGCCAGCGGCTCAGAGAGTGAGGTGGACGAGGTGGTCTCCCCTTTTGTGGTCATGCGAGATGCCGAGATGACAATCTGGTCCGAGCATCTCAAGAGCGCCCTCAAAGCTGTCGTAGCATACTACCCGTTCTTCAAGCTGTCAGAGGAGACACTAAAGATCCCCTCACCATACCGTATCCTCTACCACCATCGCCAGGAACTGTCTACATATCGCAACAACCAGCCTGAGACACATTCAGCAGAGTACGCAGCGACCACGTCAGCTCACATCGATGTACTTCTGAACTTCCTGGAAACAAACCAGAGCTCCGGTGTCCGCAAAGAAGAAGAACTCCACAAACTTGATGTGCCGTTGGCCACATTCAAGTACTTCTGGCTGCTTCTCAAGCCGGGCTCTGTCGTCTACGCAAAGCGTTTCAACGTATGGACTCCATATATTGTAAGCCACATTATCTGTGGCGGGGATGCCGATCCCATCAAGGTCAATGGCTGGCTTCTTGAATCTGGGGGCGCCCGAGTTGAGCGCTTCATGGAGTCTTTTACCGTCCCACCCTGGCTTGGTGAGCAGGCCATCAGTACGCTGCCCGTTGTTCCTGCTGCCTATTGGAAGGAGGATCTTGAGGCGCAAAATGGCCTGCCCATGTATGATAAGTGTCTTGCCGAGGGCAAGATGTACTGGGACCTTCTCCAAGGACCAAAGTACATGCAATATGATGGACATCTCGTCGAGTCGGGTGACAGAGCTAGACATGCTGGCGGGCCCTGTGGCTTTATGTCAAGCCGTGTTGTCTGCGACATTACTGGTCTCGAGAAGTTCATGAACATGGGCCCACCGTCTATGGACGTTGACATACCGTCCCCACGCCGGGAACGCCCTGTTCGCCCACCCCCAAAAGACCATCTGCCAAAGTCTCCTCCGCGCTGCACATGTGACAATTGTGCCGACGTGAGGCCAGCTGGGGAGAGTTGCAGCCCCTGGTTTGGATACGAAGACCTTGATCCAACCAGGGACACTCCTCCAGATGATGATCTGTTCTATGTTCTGTTGAGCAACACTGTTCCAGGTTTCATCCTGGGCAATCGCCGGTGGGGCCACCTCAACATCGCCCATCTGAAGCCTGTTGAGACTGATAAGAATGCGTTCAAGTCACTGATGATCGATGAAGACATTAAGGTGACAGTCAAGGCTCTCATCGGTCAGTTTGCAGCCAATGCCGACGGCATGATCAAACCATGGGGAAACGACTTTATCAAGCATAAGGGCGATGGTCGGATCTTCTTGCTCCACGGCGAGCCCGGCGTCGGAAAGACGTGTACCGCTGAGTGTATTGCAGAGCTCACGGGCCGACCTCTGCTATCGCTCACTGCTGGCGATCTAGGTATCGACTCTTGGCGGGTGGAACAGAATCTCAACTACTTCCTCGACCTAGGCCAGCGCTATGGAGCCCTCGTGCTACTTGATGAGGCGGACGTCTACCTTGAGCGACGACGTGCCCGTGACATTGATCGCAATGGACTCGTCTCCGTTTTCTTGCGCGCTCTTGAATACTACCGTGGCTGCATCATCATCTCGACCAACCGCGTTGGCGCCTTCGACAAGGCCTTCATGTCCCGCATCCACGTCGCCCTGCACTACAAGAACCTGCGCAACGAGGACCGTGAACGCATCTGGGACAACAATTTTGAACGCCTGAAGCGCGACTCTGGGGGCAAGGTGCATGTCTCGGTGGCAGCCAAGGACTATATTTGGGAGAGTCGCGACGTGCGCGACCTAACCTGGAACGGCCGCGAGATTCGCAACGCAATGCAGACGGCTCTGGCACTGGCGGAGGCGGAGGCCGCGGAGGAAGGATTGGACAAGATCACGATCACGGAGAAGCACGTGCGGGCAGTTGTCAAGCTGAGCGCCTCGTTCAAGGATTTCATCAGGGATTCGATGCCCGATGACACGTTCAGCTCTTGAGAGCCGTGCGAGATGTCAGGTTCTCTCAGCCTCATGCGCGACTGATGAAAGGGCGTGTTATCTTTGGTACTACTTAACAGATTGTCCATCAAATGCAACGACGACTTACTTATCTGACATGGAGAAGCTTAACTAATGAAGCCCTCGCCAATGTTTATTCACACTCCAAAGATCTCTGGATTACAAATCCTTGGCAGGGTCAAGAACCACGCCGCATAGCTGCATGCCAATGCTTCGTAGCTGCCCCATGCTCTGTAGTAGCCAAGCTTCCTAACGGATCTTTCCGAATCTGGGCCTGGCCGAGGCCCCGTGACGACTACGTGGTTCCTTTCTCAAAGAGTGGCTGTGCAGAAACCAGCATCCCCTGAAAAGGGAAAAGAGCCAGTTTGGTTTGGTAAGAAAGCTTCGAGGACTGCCTTGCGCTCTGTGGAAAGATGGGAGTAAATAGATGAGCGGCATCGGCGGATGTTCCTCAGGTATTGTAGCTGACCCGCCCACCCCCTTCCCACTGCTCCCTCCCACGCACATCACTAACAAATACTCCCCTGGCCTCCCATTGATGCATACAAAGAAATCGGGATACACACATTGAGCTGCTCAGCATGGCCTCTGAAGACCACAAGGAAAAGGAGCGCGCCTCCTTTTGCAAGTCCCTGTCCTCCATGTTCAAGTCGCCCGCGGCCAAGCGCTACGACCGCGTCCTCGCGCGGACATACGAGCAACAAAAGGCCACGTAGCCCAGCTCGGCGACCCAAGTCGAAGAGCACGAGCAGAGCGAGAAGCAACACATCTCCGACAAGGAACGGGCGAAAGCCCTGGTGGCGCAGCGGGACGCCCAGTCGCCAGGCGGACACTTTGTGCTGGGCTACGTCAAGCCGCTGAGTATAGTTATGGGTACGCTTCTGCCGGCGGCGGTGAGTGCTAGTCAGGGTTAACGCCTCTATGTATGCCTCAAACGCGCCGACCAGCCGTGACTGATGACGGCTTTGGGTACCCAATTTGGAAGTCATTGGGTTCCTGTTGGTTCAAGATGAGGAAGGGAGTGGGAAATGAATTGATGCAGTAGTATTACTGTCTAACTTTCCGGTGATCGAAGCGTCTTTATATCTCTCCATATACAGTCTGCCGCAATTTCTCCTTTTCGCCATTCTGTTCGCACATGTCTTTGAATATGCTGCCTCCTTCTTGCTCCCAGAGCTCCTTGGGTGTGCCGAACTCGGCTGCTACACCGTCCTTGAGGACGAGGACACGGTCGAAGTCAGCAATCGTGCTGAGACGATGCGCGATGACGATGAGGGTGCTCCCTGTGAACTCTTCGCGGATGCTGCGCTGGATGAGCGCGTCGGTCTTCATGTCGACGGCGGAAGTCGCCTCGTCTAACAGCATAATCTTGGGTCGGGATACGATGGCACGAGCCAGGCAGAGGAGCTGCCGCTGGCCCTGCGACAGGTTGCCTCCCGATTCAGAGACGGCACTCGACAGGTCGCGGAATACGTTTGTGTTCTGGAGTCCAAGCGTCGATGCAGCGGCCGAAGCTGGTCCGTTGGCCGGCGTAGGGACGGCCGAGTCTACGAGGTGTACTCGTGCTAGTGCCTCGCGCAAGTCGTCATCTGTGCGGTCATTGAATGGGTCGAGGTTGCTCCGGATGGTTCCAGAGAACAGTACTGGGTCCTGCAGTCAGATCATTAGTAAACGCTCGTGATAGATGTGTCGCGCCAGAAAGCACTAACCTGGGGAATGATGGCCAAGCGCGACCGCAATGCGTGAAGATTAATCTTTGAAATGTCGAGTCCATCGATAGTGACAGTGCCCGACCTCGCTTCCAAGAAGCGGAATATGGCCAGTGTCAAGGAAGATTTTCCAGCGCCCGTACGACCAACAATGCCAACTCGTTCATTGTTCTGGACGCTGAAAGACAACCCCTTCAACACCGGTGGCAGGTCAGTCGCGTAGCCTACGACAAGATTATCAACCTCCACACGCCCTGACGTCGGCCACGCAGCTGGTGGTTCCTGGCCGCCCTGGGGCTCCGTTTCCAGTTGACAATACTCAATGACGCGCTCCGTTGCGTTCATGTTCAGTTCAAGACTGGTGTAGGTGCGAATTGCCATGAGCATGGTGCCTGAGAAGGCGAGCGCGAAGGACAAGGTGAATCCCGCCATGGCCGCGTCCACTTGAGGGCTGACAATCACGACGATGCCAACAGTCGTGGTAAACACTGTCCCAACAAGAGCCATGCGAAACCCAACCCATCGCGTGGCGTTCCACCTGTAGAGGCTGACAGTGTCCCAAATGTCCAGGCTCCGGTACATGCGCTCAATGTAAACATCTGTCTTCTGAAAGCCCCTGAGAGTAGGTATGCCAGACAGGGTGGCGTTGAACAGCTCAAAGACGGGCGATTTGCTCGTACTCTCCAGACGCTTCAGCGGACGGGCGCATTCCAGGTACTTCTTGCCTATGGCGCCTGACAGAATGATGAGGGCAGCAGACAACGGCAATATGTACGGCGAGACAAGGGCGGCCGCTACGCAGACGCCACCGAGCATGAGAATGTGCGTGAAGAACATGCCCAGGTCCATGGCCAGCCGCTGGTCTATAATGTCAAAGTCAGAAGTCAGCCGGTTTAGGATGCGACCAACAGGGACCGTATCCAGCCATCGGAGCGGCGTCCGGATCACAGTGTGCAATATCTTACTGAAGAGCACACGTGAGCCCCTAATGCTCAGTGCAAAGCCCCAAAAGAAGCGCAATGTCCCGATTAGTCCAGCTCCCAAAGAGAGAGCGACATATATGGACAGGTAAAATCCAAGGTCGCCATTGGCTTCAGCCACTAAGGGGCCTGAATAGGCGGGGAATGTCGATTGTTGGAGCGCAAAGCCGTATTCATGCCCATGCTCTTCATGGACATTGGCGGCCGTCTGCTGGTGCTGCTTCCCTTGTCCACCGGTCCAGATTCGTACCCACCAGCTTCTACCGACGTTGCCTGCCTCAAAGGCAATGTAAACGAGGGCCAATATCGCCCAGAGGAACCGGCCACTGCAGTCACGCATGTAATTCAAATACACATGAGACTTGACGGTACCGGTCTCGCGGGTCTCGTCCTGGATAAATTTCTTGGCCACTTCATCGGTGGCATTGTCCCTCTGTGCGGGCTTGCCGTCGACCTCGCCGTGATCATCGGGAGTCTCGGTAACGGAGGTTTCTGAGCTGACGACGATATACGACCCGGCAGTACAATCCTCTTGATCCGACCCCTTTTGCTCGTGGCTCTTGACTCGCTCCAAAATCCCCTCCTCTTCCAGGGCAGACGTCAAGCCGACGTGAAGAACGCAGCCCTCGCCAAGCACGACGAAAAGTTTAGTCAAAGGCTGCACGAGGGCGAAGTGATGAGTGGCCAGGATGCGGGTTCGGCCCTCACAGATGGTCCCTCCGATGCACTTGTCGAAGATCTCGCGCCCGACGTGGGCGTCCACAGCGCTGAAGATGTCGTCCATGATCAAGATCTCGGCACGCGAGTAGATGGCCCGAGCCAAAGAAATCCTCCACTTCTGGCCTCCGCTTAGGTTGATACCGTTGGCGCCCAGCTCAGTCTTATCTCCGTCGCTGAGAATATGCAGATCTTTCTTGAGGGCGCACACGTCAAGGACCAGGTTGTAACGTGACTCGACAAAGGGCAGACCGAATAGAATATTGTCGCGCAACGAAGCGCTCTCCAACCACGGCGTTTGGGCGACGTATGCCATCGAGCCAGGGAGGATCCAGTTGCCGGGGTGTGCGTTCTCGTCATGCCGTTCTGTGGGTGCTACAGTAGGCGGCACAGTGACTTTGCCGTCAACGAGATCGACCTCGCCGATGAGGGCGGAAAGAATCAGGCTTTTGCCAGTTCCTGTCTTGCCTGAGACGACAGAGAGCTCTCCGGATGGGAATGAGAAGTTCAGGTCCCGGAGGAAGAATCGGTCCTCCTCGTCTACCTCGTCATCCACAGGCCAGGCAATTGTCGCATTCTCAAAAGCGACGAAAGGTCCTTGAGACACGATCTTTCTCTTCTCGGGGCCCTTGAGATACTCGCCCACGCGACGGACCGACACAAGAGTATCAAAGCCCACGGTCAGAACCTCGGGTAGTGCACCAAGAGTCATTTCAAGGGAGTTGAAGATACCAATGCTGACAAAGGCAATAGAGGGTGTCAACCCACCGTGCAAGAGGGAGTAAGAGGCCAGTGCAGCAGCTGCGAGAAGGATGGGACTAGCAACACAGCAGCCAAAGATCACAACGTCACCGAGAAACATGCTCCAAGTCACGGCCAGCTCTTTGTCTCTCATGTCCATGATGCGCTTCTCCCATTGTTTCTCAAGGGCCGCAAACTTGATCTGTCGTATTCCCAGCAACGCTTCATTCAGCACAGCAAGCTTGTCGTCGCGAACATGCATCAATACCTGCGAAAGTCGCACGTACCTCTTGGCAAAGTACGTGTTGAACGGCAGTACTATGGCCCAAGCGGCCATGCCGACGATGAAAGGTATCCAGCCAAGCAGTTGTATAAGAAACCCGGAGGAGACGACAAGTTTCCCAAGACTGCTGATAATGAAGAATTGGATCGCGCAGAAGTCGGCGATGCGTCTGGTATCCACGCCCACCAGATTGACAATAGCCTGGCGCGACTTGAGCACACCGGTCTGATCAGGCGAGGATGGTGGCTCTTCGGTCGACTCTGCTACAGGCACGGCATCGGAGGGCTCTTCTGGCTCCTCCCCAACAACAAACGGAGGGGCTTCGGTCTCTTTCGGTTTGTCAGCAGCTTTGACATTTTTCCGGCGGAGAGATTTCTCGTAGACCAGCGCAGACAATTGAGCCTTCAGGGGCTGGGAGATCATGGCAACAGAGTAGTAGTGGACCCATCCATCAATCCACTCTCCGGAGAGAGAAAACACGCCAAGCAGAATGACGAGGCCCCAGAGAAGGAGAGATGGCGAGCCTCCGCCGCCCCGTTCCTGCAGGAGATTGATGAGCTGCAACATGGTCCAAAAGGGGCCAATTCCCAGACCACATCTGAATATAGTAACGCTCCATTGCAGGGTAAAGCGCCATCGGTAGCAGTGAAGTATCGACCATATCAGCTCTTTTGTGTAGCCATGTGAATTCCACTCCGCCATGACCGCATCCACACGGATAGTGTGATCAGGTTGGGGTATGTCTCTCTCCTCGAGATCACCCTTCTTACTAGCCAAGTCAATGATCTGCCGCACCCATGTCCAAGTATAGCGACTGAGCACAGTGGTGGTCCGTTGAGCGTCCACAGGCTGGTCGCGGAAGAATACTTCGGGTCGTCGAGGGATCGAGATACTGACAAAGAGCGTGGCGAGAGCTGCTACCACGTTGATGATTCGGAGGACCAAGGCGACATTATTCTTGCGTCTCAAGTGATCGCCCACGTCAAACGCTTGCAAGACAGCCGTAATGACCGTTACCAGGGCTGAGCCGAATGTCCACACCCCGAGATCGTGGGCCTCCACCGGGGCGTGAATGGCCCAAATTATCGTTGCTTGCTGGGACACGAGGCACCATGAAGCGGAAAGGAGCCAGTTCTCGTAAAATAAGCCCTCGCGTGCTGGGTTGAGGGCTGTGAGAACAGCGGTGGCAATGGAAGTACCGAGCCCAACCGCAGAGAAGAAGAGGACAAGAGCTTTGGGCACACGGTTCGAGAAATTGGCAATTGCTTCGGGAGAGCTTTTCCCGTCCTCGTCCTCGTAGAATTGATCTCTTGGAGCGCCTTTTCGAGTCTGTCTCACTATAGCGACAATAGCTGGCACCGTGAACAGACCAGTGAGACCAAGGCCAATCGCAGAGAATGGCAGTAAGGCCATGTGCTCCGCCGGAACCATAATGTGTCGATTCCCGTAGTTTCCAATCATGCGGACCCCAGTACCGCGTGCAGCATGAGGAACGAGTGTATTGTATATTAGAGCCGCTGTGTCAACTGGGAGAACTTCCGTCGTTCCACTGGTGGTTGGCGCGCTCAGTAACAAATGTAGGTAGAAGACGCGTCGGCTCGTTGACGGCGCTGAAGCAGCCACGAAGATGAGCTGGAGCCAGAAAGAAAAGAATGTGCGATAATATCGTGATGAGAAGAATATGGCGACGACAGGGGCGCGCTCGCCCTTTAGCTGATGAAGATGACCGGCAACTCCTTCCAGATGGCTAGTTCTCACTCACGAGCTCGTTCACAGTCACACCCTTGCTTGTACATTTGAATCACACTCGGGATGGGACGGCGGAAGCGACTGGACCGGGCTGTCTCTTTCTCGAGACCTTGCGCCATCTGCGTCGTGTCAGTACTTTGAACCACATCGCGCATACGGTAGAAACAGTGCCGGAGCCACGGTGACGGGCTCGTGAGCGGCACCTCTCCGCACGATGGTGCAGGCGCGCGCAGCTGGAGCCTGGAGCTTCCTGCACGAGGAAGACTGCCTGTCTGGATCGAGTACTGCCTCTGACCTAGTCCTTGAAGCTCGACCTGCTAATCACAAGTATTGAAGGCGGTCGGGGTGACTCATGAAGAAGTGGCTCAAAATGCGAATTGGCCTATGGTTCGTCGAAGCGAATGCGAACAGATATTTGGTCTGCCGTTGCACCAATCGATCTTGCACAAGGTGCTGCCGGTATGAATCACCGCCGGCGCCAAAATAGAGGGGGGTGCCTCGCGACAAGTGCAGCGTGAAGGAGTGTTGGGTTAATGATCTCGTCAATGACCAGCAGAGCATATTCTCCGAAACAATCTCTACCAGCCCCTCGTGACGTCTGTTGCTGCCTGGCCTACGAGTGATTACAGGCAGGCAGGCACGGTTATATCTGTTCGAGGTTGCACTTGCTGGCTGCAACTCGTCAGCATGGCCATGTTCTCTGATGATTCAAGGGCACCACCACTACCACCACTACCTTATTATTACTGGTATGCTAATAAGGTAGTAAGTCAAATAGTACTCTGCCATCCTTCCCCTCCACTCGTTGCTTGTGCAGTCTCCGTGACCAGACCAAGGCAACCTTGCAGCAGAGAGTCCAAAGAGCTGATGCAACAAGAAGCAAGGTATGGAATCCCCCAGGGTATGGGCAGAACGAACCCTGCATGCCCGCCAGCCACAGAGTCCACACCTCATCGCATGAAAGCAAGCCGTGGGTAAGACCCGCGATAAGCCTACGTACCTGACGGCATTAGGCATCCTACAGGACAGTGATGGTCCATGTGTAGTGGTGTGTGGTGACCATGTCTAGGCAAACCTGCAGCCGAGCTTCCAAAGCCCCCGAGAGGCCAGGCCTGATTCCAATTTCCGCCGGCTATGTACCTATTTAGTGAACGGGGGCAACTCGCATACCAGAAGCCCTGTTGTGCATGAGCTGTGGTCGTGGTGACCTATGGTCTCCCGCAGTAGGCTAACAGCGGCAAACAACTTTGGTGGTGGATTTGGGTGACGCGCATGGCCCCTCAGGGCGCTGGAGGGCCAATCCCAACTGCCTGAAGGTCATGAGTGTGCGCGCCTGCTGGGCCGGCTGGGGGAATCGCAACGATCCCGTCCGGACCGTCACGACTTCCGCGAACCCAGAGCCTTGACTTTGTTCCATTGTTAGACTGCTTCTCAAAGCTGATTCCAATCTCATCTTCCGTTCTCAACTCTAAATTCAATCGACTTTTGACCCGCCAACAACCCGCGACCGACCCCCCTCCAAAGAACCCATTCCAGGCACTGGCGCCAACGACGACCGACGGTCGCCTTGAGCTACGACGCGCTACGCGGTCTCGATACGCAGACTGATGCCGCTGGATGAATTAGCCAAGCCCCAACGATGAAGGCTGCGCCGCTGATCATCAATTGGCACGACCAAAACGCCCCAATCTATTCGGCTCACTTCGAGCCCAGCGGAAAGGGGCGTTTGGCCACAGCGGGAGGCGACAACAACGTCCGGCTGTGGCGTGTTGAGAGCGACGGTCCCGAGCGCAAAGTAGAGTACTTGTCGACACTGGCCAAGCATAATCAAGCTGTCAATGTCGTACGATGGTCCCCAAAAGGTCACTCACTCCCCTCACATGGCCTCGTAGACCATAGCTGATAGCTCTTCAGGCGAGATGCTAGCTTCGGCTGGCGACGACGGCAACGTGATCCTATGGGTTCCCAGCGATACACCGCCCACCAACTTTGGCTCCGAAGATCTCGAGGATAAAGAGTCATGGCGTGCCAAACACATGTGTCGCTCGAGCGGTGCCGAAATCTACGATCTGGCGTGGTCGCCTGACGCAGTTCACTTCATCATCGGGAGTATGGACAATATTGCCCGCATCTATAATGCCAGCACAGGTTCGTGCATGCTCCTCGCCCAGTGTTGCCATGCAGCCCTCTGATCTTTTTACTAGGGACGCTAGTTCGCCAAATAGCAGAGCACAGTCACTACGTGCAGGGTGTCACTTGGGACCCTCTCAACGAGTACATTGCGACTCAGTCCTCCGACCGATCCGTGCACATATACTCCCTAAAGACCAAGGATGGGCAGTACACCCTTGGAACGGAGGAGAAGGCGTTGAAGCTGGCGAACCACCTCAAGGCCGATCTACCACCTCGCCGCATCTCCTCGAGCAGCCCGGCTCCTCCAGATTTTGGCCACAGAGCTCAGCTGTCCGTCCTCGAATCGTCAGTGGGATCACCGCCGACACTATCGGCCCCTGATACACCAACCTCCACCACTCTTCCCATGAACCCACCAAGTGCTGTCAGCCACAGCAGGAGGTCGTCCTTTTCATCGTCACGACGCAGTGTCTCGCCAGCGCCGTCGATGCCACTTCCAGCCGTCATGCCCATGGCCGTGGAAGCATCACCGAAGCCGCACAGCCTCTCCGCGGCCGCTACTGTTGGGAATGGCATGAAGAATGCCAACTTGTACGCCAATGAGACGTTGACATCGTTTTTCAGACGCCTCACCTTCACACCCGATGGCAGCTTACTACTGACGCCTTCGGGGCAGTATCAGAACCAACACCATTCAACTGACAAAGACGTCAAGCCAAGCACAGAGGTCATCAACACTGTGTATATATACACGAGGGGCGGAATTAACAAGCCGCCAGTGGCCCATCTTCCAGGTCACAAGAAGCCTTCGGTGGTCGTCAAATGTTCTCCGATCATCTACACTCTGCGACAAACGCCACCCATCACAAAGCACATCACTATCGACACTTCATCGGGAGAAGATCAAATGCTGTCGCTGCCGGAGCCTGTATCGATACCAGCTGCCAAGGTCTCCGTCATGGATCCCCCGCCGCCTCCTCCTACAGCAGCGGCAGAGACAAGCGCTCCAGCAGCTCATGCCCAGGTGTCGGACACTGAGGCATCTGAGGCATCCCATGCAGGACCAAAGTCAGCTTTCTCGTTGAAGTACCGTGTAATCTACGCGGTCGCAACGCAGGACGCCGTGCTTCTGTACGATACTCAACAGAAGATGCCCATCTGCGTGGTGAGCAATCTACACTGCGCAACATTCACTGACCTCGCATGGTACGTTGACCTTTTTGATATGACGAAACTCTGTGCTGATTTGAACAGGTCAAATGACGGCCTAACACTGCTCATTTCATCTTCTGATGGATTTTGCTCCACGCTGACATTTACAAACGGCGAGCTGGGTGAGGTCTACAAGGGTGAAATAGGACCGCCCAAGCCTATCGCGGCCACAGCGGCTTCATCTGTCCAAAACACACCAACACCAACGCCGACAACGCAATTCGCGCCACCTTCTCCATTCCAAGGTCATGGTAGTCAGCACCGTGGAACCTCAAGCTCGTTCACAGCACCTTCACCGCCATCGACCACGGCGTCGGCGACAGCTCCGCCACAGCAAAGGCCACACTCGCCGGCTCGTTCCAACTCGACGTCTTCTGTCGCGACGCAGTCCTCAAGCGTGAAGAACAATCCACCACTCATCGGCGGCAGCGTACCCGGTATTGCCGCCACCAACTCGGGTAAGGTGACTGGCGTACCGATCACAACCCCACCCGAAACGCCCAGCAGCCTCGCTGGTAGCAAGCGCGAGGCAAGCGAGAGCGAAAAGGAGGATACCAAAGAGCCCAAGAAGCGGCGGATTGCGCCGACACCGGTGGAGAAGCCTTGAGGCCACAAACGTACGAGTGATTTTGCTTCAGCAGGGTATTAGCGGTGTATCAAAGGCGAGAAGTTGTGTCGGAGCTACACAAAAATGGTCTGGGTACTCGGAGTTCTACGGCAAGGTCATCTGGCGTTTGGGCTATACGGTCGAATTTGCTTCATTTACGGACACAATCCGTTCAACGTCCTGCATAAGGGTAGGATACACAACATCATGTCAATCAACTCGCTACAATATCAGTGTTCTCTCACTTAAGTAAGGACTGCGTTCCAGCCTTTTCTCTGTACAAAGTCCTTGACCCCTTCATCGGCCAACACATCAGCGCCTGTTCTGCCCGAAACGATGCTCCTTTCCCCCTCGACACCTCTGACGTAAAATGGATATCGTAAACGGCATGCATCGGCTTCGCCCTCGCTCTCTTGTTCGACTGTGTCGGCTACCCAGCGCCTCTTGTCTCCAGGCTTGAACCCACAGCCCCGCCGATCCAGGGACAGATACCATCTGCGCTGGTGTACAGAGCCAATGGTATTCGAAGCGCCGATGTATGCATTTGTCCTCCTCACCTCTTCATCTTCCATCTCTCGGATTTCCCTCTCCATGGCGGGAATGTCCTCTCGCGCCTCTTCGCCCTTTGGGACCAGGTTTCCATCCTCCGATTCGGAATCATCGTCATCGCTAGTCTCCACGGGCTGCTTCCAAGTAGTCCTCGGTTGACGTTGGCGACGCCGACGACGGACGGATAGTTTCCTTGCTCTCCCAGCCTCGTCTTCTGTTTTGGTGAGGCGCAGGTTGAGGACATAGCGCTGGGGCAATCGAGCACCGTGGAGTTGCAGTCTGATCTTGCGGTTCTGGAACGCCTCATGAAGGAGCTGCTGCTGTGTCCGATGCGGCGATGGTGATTGCGGTGAGGCTATGGGGGAAGACGGATCAACCTTGGGTTCATGCTTGCTCCGACGTGGGAGGACAGTGTACGTCCCCGTGTCCCAGATGAGCAAGGAGCCTGTTTGGCTCGAAGCTGTCTCTATGAGGTGATTCTATTCCTTTCGCTCAGCATGGGAATCCCGTGTTTTTTTGTTTTTCTCTCTACGATCAGCTTACCCAGAGACAATGGATCCGTGTTTCGGTGGCATTTCGATTCAGCCTTGTGCTGTTCACGTCTCCTGGCAACCCGTACATGATAGCCCAGCTGACGCTGCTCGTCTCGTTGATCTGCAGACGGAGGTCGTAGTGTGTGCCAGCGATGGGGTGGTCATGTTGATGTATGACAAAGTGCGCGCCGTCCGGTGAGCCTGCATTAGATGTGTAGAGTGATCTATACGATTGAACGGACAACGTAGGGATTCCAGGACGTCCGTGAGCTGCGATAGACTCGGAGAATATCCCTAAATGGTTCGAGGTCGATTCAGCACCAGATTCTATGCCTGCTGTTGTGAGCTCTTCGTCTTTGTGTGAAGCTGAAGCTGGGCGTAGTAGCCGTTCGTTGTCCAACACAGACACTGTCCATTCAAGGTTTCGTTTCTTCACAAAAGGGTTTGCGATGATCTCTGGGCTTGCTGATCGTTTCAAGCTCATGTTGACGTCGGTGCGATTGCGACGGTACTTGGATGAACGCAATCAGATCTGCAATGACTGGTGGGTTGGGAGGTGTAGGGTAGTCGTAGCCATCCTCACGAGCAGATGAGATCGTCTATTAGTAGACTACTACGTAGACATCTGCTACGAAGGCCAAGCGGCCTTCATTCATGTGATCGAAGAATACTTTCCAGACAAGGCAATTGGTCGTCTTTGGAGTTTCTAACCTCAGCGTTGCGGTCTATTTGCAATAAACGAGTTTGGTGACAATTATCGTCAACAGTGCAAGCTCACTTGTGAAGAGATGTCATCCCTCATCAACATCGCCAGCAATGAAACGAACATGTCAGCGAATCGCAGTGCAGTGTGCGCCACCATCACCTGGCAGCTGGAGTCTTGGAGCGAAGAGCCTCGGTAAAATCATCGATCCCCCAGGCCGAGGAGGGCAACGTTCATGAGAGGCCATTGATTCCCCACATTTTGCCTTCCTCGGGCAGGGAAGGCGCGCCCCAGTCACATTGCTTGGCAGAACCTCGCATCTTCAACTAGTCAGTCAGTCAGTCAGTCAAGTCAAACCGTCCTCCTCACCCCATACATTCCCTCCCCCACACGTTCTTCGACATTTCTATCGACAACGACGTCAATCAAAGACCGCGAATCTTCCACTTTAGAGCCTCAACCGTCTTTGGCAAATGTACCACGTCTGATCGCATACACGTCCGTGCGCTGGGTTGATCCCGGCTTTTGGTCCGACGTCACCCCGGTGGCAACCAAATTCCTCTCTGGTGTCTGTGCCGACAGAACATCGCAATGGCCTCACCTCCGAAACCCTGGGAGAGACCTGGCGCTGCAGCGACTGGTATGTTTGCGATTTAGGAAACCGAAAGCCGTGCCTTTACTGACGTGCAATCCCAGCTGCGACGCCCGCACCAGCCACAACGACCGCGGCGACGCCGTCCTCGACAGCCGCTGCTCCCCCAGTCCCTGACAGGCCCTCCTCACTTTCATCTTCCGTCAACCAGAACGCGTCGGCCTATAGTCGCATGAACACGTCGCCATACGGAACAGGCGCCTATGGCGGTGCCTACTCGTCACCCTACTCAAGCCCATACTCGCGTTTCGGCGGTGGCATGGGCGGTGGCATGGGCGGCGGCATGTATGGAGGGGGCATGTACGGTGGCGGTTACGGGGGATACGGCGGCGGTGGCATGTATGGGGGAGGCATGTACGGCGGTATGCCCGGCATGATGGGCAACCCCAATGATCCCAACGACCCAAACAGCCTGACCAACAGGTTCAACAACGGAACTGCTGCCACCTTCCAAATGCTGGAGGGTATCGTTACGGCCTTTGGAGGATTTGCCCAGATGTTGGAGAGCACGTATATGGCAACGCACTCGAGCTTTTTCGGTACGTGAATATCTAACCTGGGGTGGGTGGTGGCCATGCTGACAAAACCCCAGCCATGGTGTCCGTTGCCGAGCAATTTGGACATCTACGCGATACGCTGGGGTCCATCCTCGGTATCTTTACTTTGATGCGCTGGATTCGAACGCTCATCGCCAAGATCACAGGGCGACCACCGCCCGCCGACGCGACGGCCCTCACTCCTGCCGCTTTCGCCCGCTTCGAAGGCCGTACCAGCGTGGGACCTAATGGCGAGCCAGGCCCTGCCAAGGCGAGCCGCAAGCCCCTGGTATTCTTTTTGCTGGCTGCCTTTGGTCTGCCATACCTCATGTCGAAGATGATCCGGGCATTCGCCGCATCACAGGAGGAGGAGGAGAGGCGCATGCAGCAGCAGGCTTTGGAGCAACAACAACCCATTGATCCAGCCAAACTCGAATTCTGTCGCCTCCTGTACGACTTTACAAACGTGCAGAACCCAGGAGAGCTGGAAGCTCGCAAAGGTGATCTCGTGGCTGTGTTGAGCAAGAACGATCCGTCGGGCAACCCTAGTGACTGGTGGTCGTGCCGCGCCCGTGATGGACGCCAGGGGTACTTGCCATCGACCTATCTCGAGATTCTGAAGCGCCCTGGGCAGGATCTCAAGCAGATTAAGGCCACGGCCGCGAGCGACAGCAGCAGAGCGAACTCGCTCACAAGCAGCGCTGTGCCCGAGAAACCTGTCCTGCCCGGAAAGGGGCAGGAGAAAGAGTTCGCGACTGTGGATTCCATGCAGAGAAGCCACTTCTATTCCTAGAGGGAGGGGCGTGGACCTGCGGCTGGGAGGCCGTCTCACTCGCTCGGAACTCATACCTGCGTCGAATATGAGACCGTCCGTTCTACAAACAGGAAAAAGCCAAAGCCTCGCACAATGAAGTCTTCACACCGACGTGGGCTCGTTCGCGATCCAGGTACAAGGCCCGGCTGCTGGCGAGGCTTTGCCCCTTTGCGGAACCCAGGAGCAAGACCTAAGCGCGACAGTGGCTCCGATACACTTATACCCCATCCGTGATCATGCACAATTCAGCGCGGTTGTCTGGCGGAATCGGTAGCATGCTGTCGCGGAGAATAGGATGAGGACGTCTGTGTGGCTATGGGCTGTGTACATTTTGTTGGAAAACGCAGGCGGCAACTTGGGCGTCTGCACGGTATACGGCGTTTCCTTTATTTTTATTAATGGCATATGATTGCGATGCATCGTGTCTTCCCTTTGGCAGTGCACTTTATTCCGCACCGTACTGGAGGATGGCCAACGCCAGACTACATGACTAGTCTGTGCGTAGCTGTGGCTCTATTCACACGACAGTTCAACCAGCGTGAAGTATAGGGGGAAAGTATGTTGTTTGACTTTATTCCACATGGCAGCACCTCGTGGGGTTTTAATCCATGTTTAGGGATAGGTATTGTTGGCCTTTGCAAGATCGTCGGCACATCTTGAGTATACTCCAGACTGAACCATCAACCACCGACTTATCTGAATATCATTGTAGCTATTGCTACTGTTTCTTGCCTGACCTTTCCAGCAACGGCCGCGAGAATGCCAAACGTCCCCCCCCTTCATCATCTCGAGAGCCACCCTCGAGTATGTCGGCTTCTCTGCTGACAGGGCAACAATGGTGTGGAATGTCTGGAACCAAGGCCCTGAAGCATTTGACAAAGGAGAAAATTCCTTTATCACCTTCATAACACGGCTGTTTGAGAACCGCAGTCCATTCGTGGACGACGACGACGACGACGACGACGAAAAATGGCGTCAAGCCATGACCGCGCTCGGTCTCAGGACTGACGTCCAAGACAAGATTATGCATCCCGCCTTCAGAGAACTTCGCCTCACGCAGTCATGCGGCTACTGGTGCAGGGATACCGTCGAGATGCGATGCGAAGCTCTCCGGTACACTCAGAAGCCACGAGAGCACAGTCGCCGAGCATCATCAGCACCATCCATCTTTGACAAGTGCGAGTCACTCACCCACATAGCCGCCCGGGGTACCAGTGGCCATACTGCACTGTTCAAAGACATTGATGAAGCGCGGGCGGATGGCTTCCTCGACGTGCAAGGCTCTATCCAGCACATGAGTCGGATTCTGAGCTCGAGCCCATCCGACTTTAGCTCTGACCGGCCCTTGTTCTATTTCCACCCGGAACTCGCGACTGCACAATGCTACGCTTGGTATGCCAAGCAACGTGGCACGGACGAAACCAACATTATGATTGTATGCGTCGCGATCCCCAACCAAGTCCTCCAGGGTCTCCTCCTCACGGACCGTGCGCTCCAGCGCCTGTACTGGCCTAGCGAGGCGTGGAAACAATCCGTCGCGTGCAACCGCATTCGTCACAGGGTACCTGTTGAGCTCTGTCGATTTCGACGAGCCACGCTCCTGATCGGCTCGACGGCCAAGAGCAAGGTTACCGGTCCTGGAGGCGTGACGGAGGACACTGTTCTGATGATGGATGGACAGCCCGCTGTCCAATACGCGTTTGATGGCAGCGAGGAGGGCCAGGACTTTCTGAAGAAGAGTATCGCGCAGCGGCCCTACGTTTACCAATTCCCCAAGGGAGATCGGAGTACCTGACTTGCTGAGTTTGAATCTCGAGATTCTGGTGTTCCGAGTGCAGTATGAAAGAATAGCTGAAAACCAAGTTCAACTCGATAGAATAGGAGTGCAACAAGGAGAGCCTGAAACACCTGCAGGGCCCAATAAACATGAATACACAGCTCACTATGCGCCCCATCTATGCTACAGGCAACGTACTACACCCTTTGTCGTATACTCATCATCTCTCCCCATCTCTATCTCTTCACCCCTCCGCCTCGTACGCGTTCGACTTGTGCTTTGGCTGGAACTTGAAGCCTGGATGCACGGGGCCCAGGAACATTTCGCTACACAGATTTGTCAGTCCCTTTCCATCCACAAGCCCAGAGGGAAAAAGGGGGCACTCACGTAATTTTGATCCAGTCCAGGTAGTTGTTGGACGCCATGAGCGTTTCCAGCTCGTCGCGCCCCTTGTACGCGGGCGGCCGGTCGTTCAAATCCGGGGGCAGGCGCTCGAGCAACCCGACAGGGATGTAGCGGTGCGTGAAGCTCAGCCACTCGAGCAGGAAGCGCCGTGTGAACTGGATGCCGAGCTCGTCGGAGCCCCAGGCGTCGAGGCCGTACTTGACAAATTTCTCAATGTAGCCGAGGCGCTCGGTGGAGGACTTGTCGAGGTACTGGCCCTTTTCAATCTCCTCAAAGAGCCAGGGCTTGATGAGGGCGCCGCGACCGATCATGACGGAGTCGACGCCGGCGTCGGCGACGTGGCGGTGGTAGTCCTCGTGGGAGTAGCAGTCGCCGTTGCCGAGGAAGTAGAGGTGCCCACCGTTGGCGAGGGTGCTGGGGTCGGGCTCGGCGGCGGTGTCGGTGAGGCTGTCCCTCTTGTCGTTGTAGCCCTGGATGAGGGCGGCGCAGTCGGCGATGAAGGACCAGTCGGCCTTTTTGGTGTAGCGCTGCTCGCGGCTGCGGCCGTGGAGGGTGATGGCGGCGCAGCCGGGGGCGCCGAGGCGGTCGCGCTGCTCGCGGGATCCAAAGGCCAGCTTCTCAATGACCTGGTGGGCGGTGGGCCGGTTGTTGCGGACACCCGTGCGGATCTTGGCGGTGATGGGGATCTCGCCCGAGAGGGTGTTCATGCCGCGGATCATGCGCTCGAGCTTGCCGTGGGACTCGAGCAGGGCGGAGCCGGCGCCGTTCTTGTAGACCATGTCAATGGGGCAGCCGCAGTTGAGGTCGATGAGGCGGAGGTGGGGGACGAAGCGGTGGAGGACGTCGGCCACCTTGGTCGCTATCCAGGGCTGGTTGGCCGAGACCTGGGCGCCGAAGCGGAGGTCGCGGGCGTGGTCGTAGTCGTGGACAATGTTGGCGGTCGGGGAGATGGTCGGCGGCGCAATCTCAGACTCGTGGGCCTTGAGGAGGGTCCAGTCGGCCTTGTAGCCCTGGATCATGGGCATGCCCATGGCCATCTCGGAGTAGGTCAGCTGGGCGCCGAGCTCGACGCAGAGACGACGGAAGGGGAGGTTGCCCTGGGTCGTCAGGGGCGCGAGGGCCGGCGTCTCGGGGCCAAAGTACAGGCGACGCTTCTCGGAGGGCTTAAAGGGGGGGTCGACGAACCGGGCGCGGATGGCCTGGAGGTCCTCCTCGGTGGCGTCCCGGCGGGCCTGGTGGTACTCGTCGGTGGTCTTGGACTGCTGGTTGAGCCACTGGATGTACTGGTCGGCCTGCTTGAAGTCGGTGCGCTTGCGGTTGAGGTCGGTCTTGATCTGCATGTCGACGACGTTGTAGACGTCGGGTCGCTGCTCGTCGTTGGCCTGCTCGTCCTTGGGCTCGCCCTCTCCTGGCGGCGCCTCATTGTCGAGCAGGCAGAGCTCCTTGCGGCCGTCGGTGTGCTCGACCTCGCGCATGTGGCTCTTGACGAAGCGGCACTTCCAGCCAGAGGGACACTTGCCATGCGCGGCGTAGACGGGGCACTGGCCGTCCCATATGGTGACGTCCTCCCGGCGGCCCTCGTCGAGATACTTGCGCAGGTCATGGCCCATCTTGCAGCGATCGCCAAACTTGCACTCGCGCGGGGAGAACTCGTTGGACATGGCGCGGCTGTTGCAGAGTCGTATGGCATCCGCGACGTAGCCAAAGGAGCGTTCCGTGTTCTGCCCGCCCTTTGACTTTTTCTTGTCCTTGCCTTTCTTGCCGCCGCCGCCGCCGCCGCCATTGTCCCTGTCGTCTCTGGCGTCTCGAGCATCTGTCCGCCCTTCTGCCTCGTCGTCGTCATTGTTCGCGGCCGTGCCAGCAGGGAGTGCGCCCGTGCGCTCAATGATGTACTCCTTCTTGACGGGAGCGACGTTTGTTTTGCGGTTGTCCACCTTGGGGGCATCAGCGTTGTTCTCCTGCTGAGCTGGTGCATCGTGGAGGCCCTCTCCCGGCACACTGTGCTCCATGGTGAGGTCGGCCGTGGCGGAGGGCTCTGTGTCGTTGGTCTTTTGCCTCTTGGCAGCACGTTCGTCCTCAGCGGGTGGCGCGTGTTGCGAGGTCAGGTTGCTGGCATCTTGAGCAAGCTCTGCGTGAGGCTGCTCGCCCTGGACTGAGCCGTTGGTGTCTGCCATGTCCAATGCAGTCTGCCCTGGCTGAGTGAGATGGGAGTGAGGATGCGCTGAGGGTTGTTGAGACGCATGGAATTATTTCCCCAAGACAAGAGAGACCTATCATGTCTATCCGTAGGTATGAATGACTATGAGCTGGTGAAATTCTCTAGTGAGGTTCCACTTTTCGCTGCACCACCATCATGAAGTACATGCATTCTATCTATCTAGTCGAGCCATTCACCGCGGTGTAGCTCCATGTCCTTCACTCGTTGATGTCGTCGAGATGCAAGACCAGAGGCTTGACCGCTCCATCCACTCAATCTCCTCATCTTGTTTGCCTTGCCTTACCAGACATGTAGGTCCAGTCACCGGCCGCGGGCCCAGTCCTCACACAAGCGCACGGGGCTATTGTTTGAGAACTGTGGACGACGGGGCTCGATGCTGTCGCGTGCACTCCACGCGTGGCTAGGCCCAAATCGCGGTCAAGTGTATTGTAGGACAAAAGAAAACAAAAGACTATTATCACATTGTGCTATTGAGCTAGTATTCTTGATTGACCCTGGCCGCATTGTGGGGTGGTAGAGCTCTACGTACAGTCCTACCAATTCCTCGGTCGCCTGGAAGAATGCGAGGTGGCACGGCGTCATGATTGAGCTGACCTGACCACAGCTGACCACAGCTGGCCGACCTGACCTGACCTGACCTGATCTGACCTGACCTGAGCTCTCCTCAGCCTCCGATGCTAGTCTATCCGTACCTGATCGAACTAACCCCATGCATTGCAGCCCCAAAACCAACAGACACATCATCCACCCTACCCGACTAGCTGACCACCTTCATCCCCCTCCGCCGAACCCGACATCCAGTCCTCCCCTCCCCCCCAACGTCCTCCCCCAGGCCATGAGGAAACCCACAGAGTACCATGGCGGACTCGGGCAGGCCGGTCGATAGATCGCCCCTCAAGACAAAGGTCGTCCGCTCCCAGAAGATCGTGCCCAGCTCGACGAGCTCGACGCCTAGCACGGCCACCGCGACCACAACCTCGACAACGTCCAGCACGAGGACCACCACCAGGAGGGCCACGACCAGCACCAGCACCACCGCCAGCGCCAAGAGCACCGACGACTATTCGGACGAGTCCACCGACCGAAGCCCTCTGCCTCGCAGCCACACCCCAGGTCACCTCGCCAGCAAGTCTGTCGCCAGCCCCGGGCAACAAGCTCGACGCGTCACGTCCGAGCTCAGGCAACGCTCCCAATCCGCCTCACAAACGCCCACGCGGCCCTCCACGAGCACCGGCAGCACGCCCCGGCCGCCGCCCCCGGCAGTCGACGCCGACAATGGCAATGGCAATGGCAAGGACAAGGACAAGGACAAAATTACCCTCCCCGTTCGGCCCGCCACCAGCGTACCGAGCAAGCAGCACGCCTCTCTCCATCCCGCGACGCCCGTCCCCCGAGCCCTGACCAGCGTCGCCCGACCACCAAGGGGCACCTACTCGCCTCATCCACCGCTCCAACGCCCGAGCGATGGGCCCGATGTCCTGCCCGCCCCCGCGTCGGGCATGTACTGGTCCAAGGCCCTGACGTCCGGCACCCCCGTGCCCTCGCTGCGCGCCCACACGACCACCCTTATCGGCTCCAACATCTACGTCTTTGGCGGCTGTGACTCGCGCTCCTGCTTCAACGACCTCTACGTCCTCGACGCCGACGCCTTCTACTGGTCCCGCCCCCCCGTCGTCGGCGACATCCCCATGCCCCTGCGCGCCATGACCTGCACCGCCGTCGGCAAGAAGCTCGTCGTCTTTGGCGGCGGCGACGGCCCCGCCTACTACAACGACATTTACGTCCTCGACACGGTCAACTTTCGCTGGTCCCGACCCCGCGTCGTCGGCGACAAGGTCCCCTCCAAGCGACGCGCCCACACCGCCTGCCTCTACAAGAATGGCATCTACATCTTTGGCGGCGGTGACGGCGTCCGCGCCCTCAACGACGTCTGGCGCCTCGACGTGAGCGACATGAACAAGATGACCTGGAAGCTCATCTCGAGCCAGGACAGGACACCGGCGCCCGGCACAAAGGACGTCCGACCACGGGCCCGCGGCTACCACACCGCCAACATGGTCGGCAGCAAGCTCATCATCTTTGGCGGCTCGGACGGCGGCGAGTGCTTCGACGATGTGTGGGTGTACGACGTTGAGGAGCACATCTGGAAGGCCGTCTCGATCCCCGTCAACTTTCGCCGCCTCTCGCACACGGCGACCATTGTGGGCTCGTATCTCTTTGTGGTCGGCGGCCACGACGGCAAAGAGTACTCCAACGACGTGCTGCTGCTCAACCTGGTGACCATGACGTGGGACAAGCGCAAGACGTACGGCCGTGCGCCTACCGGACGGGGCTACCACGGTGCACTGCTGTATGACAGCCGGCTGATCCTCGTCGGTGGCTTTGACGGGAGCGAGGTGTACAGAGACGTTCTGATCCTCGAGCTGGCGGTCCACGCGTACTACTCGCAGATCAGCCACTTTACGATTGAGGTCTGATGAGTACAGGACAGACAGCTCTGGTAGCCACGGGCCTGGGACAAAGATGACGATTATGATGGCATGCATGCTTCACTGCGATGGACATGTTCTGTGGAATAGACTATTCCTTCTTATCCTTTCCTATTACCGTGTTGTCTGGGCGGGACATGGGAGTTCCAATGCAATACAAAGAATAATCAGCAATACATCTTTCTATATTGACTACACATGTAGCAGCCTGCCATGCTCTTGCGTCCGAGTCCCGCGAAGCAAAATACCCAAAACCCGCAAAACGCCATTCAATGCAAGTCAAGTGTGTGTACAGGAGGGAGCGGCGTCGTTCTATTACATTGTAATGATGGTGTGGCGTGGTGGTGGATGCACGTTGCTCATGCCTCGGCCTGCTTGTCATCGGCCTTCTTTTCATCAGCAGACTTCTTGGCCTTGCTCTCGGCCTTCTTGGGGTCCTTGTCTTCCTTCTCCATCCTCTCCTGCTTGGCCTTCAGGCGCTTCTCCTCAGCCTCGACCATGTCTGTCAAAAGTTAGCTGATGTCGCCCATGGAGCGAGAAAAGAACATACCCATCCACAGGTCCTGGCCCTCGTACTCCTCCTTGTGGATCCTCTTCTCAATGAGGTGCTTATGCTCGGGGTCATTGGGGTCCACGACCTTGACCGTCTCCCAGCGACCGCCGCCCTTCTTGGCGTCGTTCACCTCAAAGAGGGCCGACGCGATGAGCACGGCGAGCGTCAGGCCCTGCGCGTACACACGGGCCTGGACCACTTTTTGGCTGGTGCTCATGGGCGCGCGGCTGACGAGCGCCATGGCGACGCCCATGGACGCGATCCAGCTGGCAAACACGATGCTGTACCGGTTCTCGCGGCCCCAATCCATGAAGCGCTTGTACGCCGTCTCGTTCTCGCGCACAATCTGCTGCGCCCGCGACGAGGCGTCCTGGTAGTTGGCCATGGGATCTTTGGCCTTTTGAAAGGCCATGCTGAAACGGTCCGCGTTGATAATGGCACCAAACGTGCCCGACGACGTGACGAGGAAGGCGCGGAAGGGCAGCGTCAGCTGGCGAAAGGCAGGGTACCGGCGCGCGGCGAACATGACGCCGCCCACGCCGGCGGCCAGACCAGCGCTGCCGCCAATGAAGCCGCCCTTGAGAACCTGATTGTAGTGGGCCTGCTCTTCCTCGGGGGACATGACCTTCATGATGGGCGGTTGGTGGTGGTGGTGTCGCAGCTATGTGTTCTGTCTGATCGCACTTGTGCAGATGTCGTTCAATGGATATCGGCGAGCGATGGATTTGTTTCTGGAGCTAATTCGTACAGGTCGGTGGGTGCGCAGAAACGAAGTCCGACAATGACGGACAGTCGAGGCAATATGTATATGTACGGGCAAGCAAGTGGTTGACGTTGCTCCGGGCGGCGGGAATAGCAAACATGATGTCAGGCCATAATTTTCTGGCAGCTCCGGCCGGGCCCTTGAAGGCAAGCGTGCAAGCAAGTACCATTCTCACCCAAATTGGGCGGGTGGGTACTTCAGACACCGAGAAATTGCCGGACCAACCCGAATTCCATTATTAATGAGCAAGAATCGCGAGCGTTTCTCGGGATGCTCAATTCTCTCGAGGCCTTGCCAGTACTGAATTGTTTCTTTGTCCTTTGCTTCCGACATACGGACCATTGCGGATGGGACTCATTGTCGGAGGCGCTGACGTTGGGGTGAGGTATCAGTCTCATCGTCGGCGAGGCTTGCAGTGCTGTCACAATTAGTGCACTGATGACTAACCGGTATTGAATTGTCCAAACTCCAAACACTCGGCTTCAGCCTTCGAGAGGGATGTCAAGCAATGCTACTACCTCAGTACATGCGTGGGGACGAACATCCGAGTCTCCGTGTTCGACCTGAATGCAGCCTCATCTCGCGTGCTCGATGCTCGTGATGCACCGTCACTTGGCCAAAGCGCCAAAGCAATTTCTCTTCTCAAGCTGTGTGACAACCTGTTGCAGATCAGTAGTTCAGTACGCTGCGTCAGCCTCACCACAGGCATCACTCACCCGACTTCGTCTCACGTTCGTTCAAGAAGACCGTGGCGTGAATGCCGGGCATAGGGTCGGCTGTAATCTAGCCACTGGCCGACAGCCGGAACAGTTCACAGAACCACACATGGGAAACGTCCTAGAAGCCCCTCGGGCACCACGGCGACCTGCGAGCTCCACGCTTACAGACTGTATGCACCAAGAGACTGGAACATCATGCACACATCGACATGCACACATCGGTAGTGAAGCGGCCCTGTTGGAGGAACAATCTGAGAGCACGGTGGTATGGTTCGCCGTCACTCTCGGAGGCTGACAGACCACGTGCCACAGGGGAGAGGGCAGAACGCTCAAAAGATACCCTCAGATTGGCCAGATTACTATACACCAAGCTATAAGCGCGAGCAAGCCGTGGACATAGAAGCCGCCAACGTCCCGCCCGACAGAAGTCGGATATCCGAACTCGGTATGCAGCAGCTCAATGACGGGCGGCATCTATCGACTTATCTCGCCTATCTCGACAACACAAGGGAACAAACAGTGTACGACGCCTGGTGGGATCAGCGCAAGGATAATCGCAGACGTGCACAGGGGAAGCGTGAGAGAGGGAGTGCAGCCTGCACCAATCACGTACGATGGTGTTGGATCGACGAATCGTGTGCCTTTTCTACCGTGACCGATCCAAAAGCTGTCGGCCGCCATGGGATATGGAGGAACAGCTGTCTCTGGCCTGTTGGCTGCTTGTTCCTGAGGATTTGTCCCAGCAGTTCGGCACTTTACCGTCACCGACAAGATTGTCGTCAGCCTCGTGGACCTCAATGACTTCATTCGTCTACTACGTATTCGGCAGTTGTGGCGGCGCCAGTTTCATCATCCTTGTTCCTGACCCCAATGACGGGAACCTCTTATCGCATTTTGTAGCGCCGCTTCTTTCTTCAAGCCGTCGGGTTGTTGCTGACTCGTGAGAGAAGGCAGCTATTCGCCGTATACTTCGAGCCAACCCGCCGATCTCATAGGGTCAACGACAGCCGACCCCGACTGCGTACAGTATCTGTATGCACGGCACTTCGAGAGGAGGACCTTGTGTCGCGATCTCGCACGCGTCTGGCGAACTGGAAATCCCAGCCACATAGGCATTCTCGCAGGCCTCACGCCAGGATCACCGTGGGAACGTCGTTTGCCAAGTATCCATCTCCTCGAGTCCTGGGCGGGGTGGAGCGGGGCGGAACGCCATGTGCCAAATCAGCGCGCCATCTTGTCGGTGCATGCGCATGCCGTGTAATCACGGTACGTAGTACTGCTTGTTGACGTAGGTGTATGTAACCTATATGTATACCTGTTAGCCTTTCCTGCGCCCGTAACCGGGGCCAGCCCAGCCGCGTCTGCCATCTGGTGGCTCTGCCTACTAAGTTACATGGACACTAGACTAGAGGACCCGGGACCGAGCTACTAACCAAGTCAGTGGTTGGCGCCTCACATTGTCGCTTGTGCCTGCCTCAGCGCCCTTTCGAGGACGTCTTGGCGCTGCTGGGGAGCAAGGATATGGCTTCTTGCGACTGTCATCCGTTTTCCTAGCGTTACAGTGCTCCGTCGCAGCTCACGCCAGGTCGTGAAAAAGGATAAATTAATCAAAAAAGCGCCCTTACTCAATCAAATCCACATCGTCCGCGGTCTGTCCGGGTTTTCCACCGATGCACGCCAGCCGCGGTCGATTTGGATGAGAATACGGTGCTGGAGGACGGCGAAGCGCAGCAGTACGTGTACAGCGTAGCTGTGCTGGAAGGAACTCTGCATACATGATCTCGCAGATTCCCCTACAAGTTGTGATAGCCCCTCTTACGACTGATGGTCCAGTATGGCAGGTATCCGGTAACCTGTCAAGGCGCTAATTAGGTATCCAACAAGACGGGAGGCTCCGTTTCCTTAGCGCGGCGTCGCCGTCGCTACGCACTCGTCGATCGGCAACAAGCACACCGGATCCGAGTGAGCGGCGTGATGGAGTCTCGGGAAATCAAATCCTACGGCGTGGGATGTTGGCCAAGGTAGGTAATAGGCATCCGTATTGTTATTTTGCCCACAATCTGTAGTATGCGCGCTTAATCGCATTACGCAAACGGCCTTTCTGATTCCGGCCCCTGCTGTATCCAGGTGGCTGCATCTCACTGCTGCGCAGTGCCTCAAAGAGTCATAACTGGCCATGCTATTACAAGTAATGCCATCTTGCCGCGTGGCAAGCTCGGTTCAGCCGCCCAATCCTGGCAAGTGTCAGTCTGTCCGAGAACCGGCCTTAGTTAACTAGTCCTTGGCTTCCAGAGACATTCTAGAAGCCCCCCGTTGCGTCCCTCAACTCCGTCCGTCCCTCCGCGTTAGCTTTTCACGTGCCTGTAGGATGTCGGCAGTGCGCCTGGCATCCTTGTACGAAAAAAACCGGATCAGCATCTCCGTTGGAGAATTGCTGCGATGGCCTCGTGCCGTCGATGATTTGTGGCTGGCTAGGTACAAGGGCATCGAGCTAGACGGGGTATGAGTCAAGAAACGCTGGCACGTCTAGCCACTCAGACGAGTGGCGTCGAGCCCTCGCGACACTTCCGAGGTCCACTTGGGCTCCCGGCGAGTTGCCCACTCCGTACTTGCTAACTAAATCACATAGGGTAAAACAGAGGGAGCAGACAGCCGCCGCTTGCACCATCGTGACATCCAAGGTCTCAGGTACTGCTTGGAGGGTGCACGGTTGGTCAAGAGATGTCGGGGTCACGTCGATCCCAGAGACCGTGCACACGACTCGCATCTGTCGAGTCAACGTGAATTCGCGCGCGAGTTAGCAACTACCCACAATATAGTAGATGACTTGCAGTGAGCAGGCGGATCTGTCAAATAATCTTCTGGCGGTGGCGTGCCCCCCCTCTTTACTCTGTGTGGCTCATCGTCCGAGTTCACAATAGTCTCTGTCATCGGTACCTGGCAAGCCTCGGTCACCCATAATGCCTCTGCTATCCACAAAATACCTCCTCTGTGTAGGAGCGAGGTGTGGTCCGCGCCGAGGTGTCGGGTCGGTCTCAGACATGTGGTGCGAAGTGGTGGTTCAAGTCCTTAGGGCATATAATGTACATGGACGTTCGCTCACCAGGGATCTTGCTGGTTTGTTAGGCGCTCATTATTAGCATTGAATGGATCGCTAATATGCAGCATAATTACGCCTAGTCACTTTACCAGGGGATCATGCAGTTCAGCAACTAGCGGTCACGGGCATGAGCGCATGACAAGATATTAGACAATCCTCACAAGTGTACATGTTTGCAGACGTAGCTTCCGGAGCTTGCAAGCCCAATTTGCTCTACTGGTTTCAATACCTCAATCCCAAAATATTCCTTCTTCTAGTGTTCTTCTAGTGTAAGGTCGCCAGCTGGTCAGCAAGCGAGGGATGAGCTCCATATTGCCCGAGCTGCGTGGTCGATCCTCCAGAAATTGTGGCCTTCCTGCATGAGTGCATGTGGTGAGGGCATTCCGTCGCTGGCGGTTTAGCCTTGGCCACCCCAAAGCATTGAAGCCTGGACGGGCCTTTTGTTGTGCAAGCTGCGCTGAAGCCTGAACACGTAGGACTGATCATTCTACAGGCTAGCTCTAAGAATAAAAAAAGAACCTCACACTGACTGGGTCCCGAATTTCTCAGGGTCTCGAAAGTGGCCCTCTGGGGTTCCTCGAGAGCCGAAGCGTTGCTATAAAACATGAAGAGGAGACTGGACAGTGCTGCAACAACCTAACGCAACTCAGGGAGCTTCTTTGGAATCTTTCTGCTCTCTCAGTACACAAAGACCCGGCGTTGGCGTGCTTGGGGTAATAATAGCTTGTCAGTTCTGGTTGAGGACTAATAGCTACTCACCTTACCTTATGAAGTTACATTGACACATTGTGGGCCGTGCATCAGCTTGGGCCCTGAGTTCGCGACAGTGGGTAGTTATCACGTACAATTGTTTCCTGCGCCCGACGCTGTCCATGGCTACAGGTACACATGGTTGAAGCTGACCTTGAGATACGGCCAACAACTCGATCCAAATCACAGCATCGCTGCTACAGCAGTCGCGACACCGGTTCTTGACAACCAGACTGGATCATGATCCGGACATGTTAGCCTGCAGTCGATTGACTCCGCGTGGTGTGTCGGAGCCAATAGGGTTCAGGCGACTGCACTGGAGCCACTAATCGCCTTGCCTTAGGTGCGTCGGGGGCCTGGTTCGTGCGCACTTGCATGCCATGCATGGCTGGCTCGAGTCCAAGGCCGTTATTATTAGTTGCAGCTTCAGCGCAGGCCACTGAGGCCAGGCAGGGGACGAACCCCAGCAGGCCAGTCGCACTTGCCCATTTGCAGCCATGACTGTACTCGGACGGTTGTGGGAAGGGGCGCTGCACCGTTCCGTATGTGCCTGAGTAAGGACGTACCTGTGCGTATTTTAGTTCACATTGTCAGCGACGTGAACATGCCCGCGAGATGGATGAATGCCTTCACAAAGTCATAGTGGCGTGGGAACCGGGATCGTGGGGAAGCGCCTCGCGGCTTTGTCGAAAATAGAGTCAATGCGAGGTCACCGAGGCGGAGGCGACAATGAATAATAAATCATCATGGTCTCGTGCAAGGCACCTAGGTGTGTCTCGATGTCCGAAAGGGTAAAGTGTCGGGGTCTTTGATGCGCTCATCTCACCTCGCGCCGATTCACGTCTGGCTCTCAGGCTGGCTCCGTTCCGGCCACTGCCACCCAAGCAAGGCCAGGCCTGTTGTGTCAGTGTCGCCCGAATAAATAAGTCGGCGCTTGGCTTCTATTATTCCGTTCACCTACTGAGTTAGTACTTACGTATCTCCTTTGCTTCGGCCCTCACGTCAACCTCACCTTTTGCTCACCTTCGTTCCTTCTACGGCTCTCGCTGTCGCTACTTTGGCCTCAGCCACCTAAACCTCTGCTTCCATCGACCCCGTATTTCGTAGACCGCACGAACAGACGACCGCCTGTATATATTCTACTCTGACCAGCTGCTGCTGCACCCGCACCTTCACGACTACGATCACCTACAAACCCTCGTGTAGCTTTTCCCACACGACACGGTCAAGTTGGTCTCTCATCCCCCACCTGCTCCTGACTTGGCCAACCCCGAACGATTGCGCTCGTCCGAGACACCCCGCGCCTCCTCGTACACCACCGATCACCACCAGCCGATCGGCCACGTCCTCGAGATGGCCTCTGGGCTAGGAGTCGATGCTTCTGCGGGTCGCGGTCGCCAGGGCTCCTTTGTGAGCGCCGGCCCTCGACCCATCCACAATAGCAACCAGGACAGAGATAACCTCAACCGCCACCGCCGCGAGTCTCTCGCCGGGAGCCTCATGGGAGGCGGCATCAGCAGCTGGGGCGGATTGTCATTTGGCAGCTTCGTCCGCGATGAGTGAGTCCCCACATCCATACCATCATTCCTCGGCTCGGATCGAAACTGCGTCGCTCTTCTCTCGTGCTCGAGTTATCCAAGGCGTCAGAGAGCTGTCGAGATCGCCACTGTCCCGCATGTCTCGAGATGGCCCCCGAGACATGCCGGGCCCTGTGTGTGATTTAGGCGGTCCGCGACACCGCTCGGCTTGCTTGCCTGCTCCCGAGGCGTCGGCAACATGCGTTATGTTCTTCACGCGCTAACATGGACATTTTAGTATCACCATGCAAGGCACATCGCCCTTTGGCGGGGTGCACCAGTCCCCGTCCTTCCACTCCGGTAGCTACCTCCCCAAGTTGGAGGCGAGCTTTATGAAGGATTTCACCTGCTGCGGTCAGAAACTCGACGACCTGCATGGGCTCCTTCAGCATTACGAAGAATCGCATACCGATGCCAACCCTGACGGCGGCTGGAGGAACAATAACTTTGCTGCCTTCACGCCCAATACGGGACTTCCGGGCAATAACAACCTCGCATCGAATCCGCCAACGCCTGGCCAGACCACAGCTCGTCCATCGCCGACGCAGGTCGGTGCGCACATGCCTGGTGGGAATCTGCCGCTCATGGGGGCGGTGCAGCAGAATGACGACTTCAACAACGCGCAGTTCGGAGGGCTAAGCACCAACCCAGATCTGGACGCCGTGGCCGACATGGAAATGGACGATGCGGTTGGTACAATGGAGTTTGATCAAGGGAACCAGCAGCGCATGCACCAGACCCGACATATGTTCGGCCAGCAGCAACGGCCCCAGCTCAACATGGACACATCGGGTATCACCCAAGGCCTTCGCACACCTCAACCCACAACCCCGGCAGCATCCAATTTTGGCTTTCAGCACAACCCTACCGTGTCATCTGTCAACACCCCAACTCTCTCAACGCACCAGTCACAGCAGCAACAGTCCATGGACATGGACAGCATGGACGAGGACCTTCCAGGTATGCCCATGGGAGGCAGCAACGTCGCCATTGCCAATGGCAACTTTGGCAATGCCAATGGGAACACGGGCAATCACTCGAATGCCAATGGGAGCGGTACGAACGGTAACAGCGCCGACCCGAATCTCTGCATCAACGATCCGGGCAGACATCTCTTCAGCCCCAATGGTACTTTCCCACAAGGAGGCAATCGTGCGATTCAGCAGCAGCTCGCACAGCTGGGCATTCACCAAGGCCAGCAGATGAACGACCCGCAGGCGAACCAACTCCTCATCCAGCGCCTACAAAGCATGATGATGAATGAGGAACACAAGCCGTTCAAATGCCCTGTAATTGGCTGCGAGAAAGCATACAAGAATCAGAATGGCTTAAAGTGAGTGCTACTACCACACCTTCCCGCGTCCTGCATGGAGCGTGGCTGATCACTGACTCGTCGCACTAGATACCACAAGTCCCACGGCCACCAGACCCAACAGCTACATGAGAACGGAGACGGGACGTTCTCAATCGTCAACCCAGAAACTAGTGCTCCTTACCCGGGCACTCAGGGCATGGAGAAGGAGAAGCCCTTCCACTGCGAGACTTGCGGCAAGCGCTACAAGAACTTGAACGGCCTCAAATATGTGAGTACCTACACTGGCCACTACTATCAAGCTCCCCAGCTCTAACGTTGCCCAGCACAAATCGCATTCGTTGCCCTGCAATCCTGATTTCAAGCTGCAGGCTGAGGCTGCCGGGATCAAGCTCCCACAAATGGGCCTCAATGGTGTTGGCATGGTCTCTAACGAGTCGACACCGCAACCACAGGCATAGGTGCTCTGAATTATGAGAAAGCCTCTTGCGATTGGCATTCGCATGCCGTGAGGACCACAAACACTCAACCAATGTGGATTGAGATGTATGAGGTCATCAGCTATCCGATCGCAGATTGCTGGTGACGTCGTAGCTCGAAACGCTGATTACGCTCGAAAGCGGCAATCATCCAGTTATCACAAACGGATCGCCAGCCGCCGCCGCTACCGACCATGGCGGCATGTCACATCGAGGAGCGGATCAGCTACGATGCGAACACCCCCCGATCCAGCGCACCATGGAGATGCGCGCCCAACAACAACACCCAAAAGTTCTACGATTTTCGATTTTCCTTGCATTTCGGTTACCAACTATATTTTCTGAAGATGCCCTTGGCGCGTGGATGATGGTACAGGCATCAAGGGGGCGGAGAAACCACGGCGTTCCGGGTTTGTACTAGGACGGAAAAGTCACACCGCTGGAGGTGTGACACGACTGCGCGGGACTGCCAGTACACTTAAAGATCCACGTTGGAGAATGCCAGTGTCTCCTGGGTGGATTCAGGGCTAAAAGCCGACCACTGCAGCCACCTTTGTGCCGTCAAGCCAGAATACCTACCCCACCAACACCCCCACCTACTTATGCAGCCCGAGTCGACCCCTTCCCCGCGCCCGCACCGGCCGGCTCAGCGTTTGTATCTGGGTGAACGACACAGCGACCGGCAACGGGTTCTAGTGTCGACAGCACCAACAAGCGAGAGAGAGAGCGGCATTTGGGGGCCTCTCCTGGAGCGGTGACTCACCCAATCTACTACGTGGGCCGCCGGTTCTTCCTCATTCCAGGCCCCTCGTCTGCGTCAGACAGAATGTAGACGAGGCAGATCTGGATAACTCGTCTGCTTTGAGAGGTGGCTTCGTTGGCTGGACATCCGGGTTGGCAGGGTGCACAGTACCCCGACCTGGTGTCCTATATTAGAGACGGGGAAGCGCACATACGCAAGTTGTGGTGTTGCTACACGGATGGATCTCATAACTCACCTTGTGCTTGCGATTTTGGCGCTCATGACCGTTGCCGTCGCTATTTGCTATTCGAACGCTGTTTCACTTGGTCGTCACACTGTCTTGAAGTTTGTACAATGTACTCTTGGCAGTATATGGACGCATATGGCGATTTATTCCTGTGTCTTGGCTTCACTGGTTGACATGTCAAGGTGCAAAGGTTTCTTTATAGATTAGTCATTACTGCCGATAGACTTCAAAGCGTTCCGAGCGTCACATTCTGCAACCTTGACCGATGCGAGAAATGAATGCTTGTACGCCTTTAACAAGGAATAACTCTCTCTCACATGTAAACTACACTAGACAGCCACTGCCCCCAACACCACGCAATGCTAAACCCGAAAACAAGGAGATCGCCGATGCGCCATTGCCGTCCTTGTGCTCAGTTAATTCATCTCCATACCCTCATCATCCTCGCCCTCTGACTCCATCATTTGCGTCTGATTGCTTGACACACTTTGCTTGCGAGGGGCCTGCATCTCCCCTGCGCTCATGCTCCCCCACTCGAGCTCGTCACCTCCGACGATGCGGCCTTCCATGTCAATCTCCTGGGAGAGCTCTACCAGAGCACTGCGCGGAAGGTTGAGAAAACCTTGCGTGCGGACAATGCGGCCCCAATGGGTGAAGCAGAACGTGCAAGCGCGCTTCCTTAGCCATTCCTCTGACGCAAGGCCGGCACAGTGCCAAATCACACATGCGTGCTCCACGTCCAGCTCGCGTGCCAGCCTGTTGACACAAAGAAGACGCAAGTGAGGAATGTTGTAGATGTTGGACATGACAAGCAGACCAGCCACGTCAGTAAGGGCGGTTCTGCCGTTACTTTCTCTGGCGTCGGGGGTGCCTTGAATGGAGTCTGTGTACAGGTAGTAGAGGAATGCCTTGACGACCGAATAGGGCTCCGGGATGTGCATCTTCTTCGTGTGAAACTCAGCCATCTGCGCATTGTAGAGGCGTGCGAAATGTGGCCAGCGTGCTAGCAAGATGAGCTTATGAACGTGAATAGGTCGAGACGTAGGTGCATCCGGAGACAGCCAATTCGGGTCTTGCGACATAGCGTCTCGAGCCTTCGAGTCAGGATCGAGGCCGTCGTCCTCGTCTACGTCGGCTGCAAGTGCCGTCACGACAAAATCAGTGCCGCTCCCAGATTCAGGTGGCTGGTCGAAGAGTTTAGCAAGATCACCGCCCAACCCCTTTGACGGTTGGTCGCTGGGCCGCACAGTGGCTGAAGGTCTTGCGGTTGCACGTGGTTCTGGAGCCATATTGTTCCCGAGGAAACCATATTTGCGAAGGTCAACCTCCATAATATCGCTGCGAGGTCAGTCGTCTAGTAGATACGCTCGGAAACGAAAACTCACCTCAGGTATTCTTCGTATCCGTTGGGACCTAGATCAGCGGACGCTGGATCGGTTGGACATCCAAGTAGCCAGGCTTCAGTCCCGTCATCATTGATGGTGCAGTATTGCCACCTATACTCAGACCGGAAGATTTCATGCCCCTCTGCAAGCTTTTGCCATCGCAAAGTATTGAGGTCTAAAGAGGACAGAGAGCATTCGCGCGGTGTAATTGTTGCCGCAGGGGTGACAAAGTCCAGTAACGATCCCGAAGAATATGCATGGTAGTGAATGCCTGACCCTTGTGAAGGCACTGCCGGGCCAGAGATGAACTTGACAGAAGAGATTGAGCCAGGTGCTACAGGCGCATAGGACTTGATCTGAAATGAAGGCGGATTGACCTGTGCCGTGCGAGAGTTGGCGGCATAGCCACTTGTGGTGCTTGTCGAGGATGCAGGCGCCATGCTGGTATACGGTGGCCGAGAGGCATGGCCAAGAGTGCGGCTGTTGGATGAGTTGCGATCAAACACCCCCACGTTTGGGCGCGAGTCAAATTCGGGGCTCCCTTTCAGGTCCAGCCACCAGAGATCGCTGACCTTGTCCATGTCCTCGCTCAGCCCACCGAACACCCAGACCCTGTCCGCCCACACATAGGCAGAATGATCAAACCGCCCCACGAACCTCCATGACTTGGACCAAGTGAATGTCTTCAAATCGAGAAAGCAGATGTCATCGAGCACGTAGTTGTTCTGGCCAGTGATGCCACCGATGATGAAGAGCTTGTCCTCGTGCAGGATAGCGGCGTGCCTTGCGCGACCCTGGGGTATGGGGCCCGTAACTGCCGGCTGAGTCCAGTGTGCGGTTTTCAGATCAAACATGATCAGGTCCGCCAAGTACGTTCGATGTTCGTTCTCGCCGCCGAACACGAGCAACTTGTCGCCCTGATACAGTGTTGCGGTATGACCCATCCGAACCCCTGGTATATCGCCGTAGTTGTCAACAAGCGACCACTGGTGGCTTGTCAAGTCTAATTTGAGAACATGATTATAGACCTCGTCCGTGTATTGATCGAATCCTCCAAAGGCGAAGATCTGGTTGTTACCGCAATACGTGACTGAAGCGTTGACAAGACATGCGGGTCTCTGTCCCCTCGTGCGCGTGACCTTGGGACGGTACCCGCCGGGGGCAATCCGATTCTTGGCTGGCGAGCTCGGCAAGATGTATGTGTTGTTTGATGATGCAGCAGATCCGGGTGTGGGGATCCCAGTGGGAGTGTTGGTGCCTTCGGTGGACATTGCAACAACAGTGCCGGCTGCTGATAATGTCGTCGGGGCGTAAGATGCAGTGCTTCCCGTGTCCGCATTGGAGGTCGATGCACTAGGTCCCCCAAAAATGGAGGCATGGAAGCTCCCTGGTGTCGAAGGTTGAACCATCTTGACAGGCTACTGTCGGGCTCGATGGCGCCTTAATGGATCATCTCAAGAGAGGTGCACGAGGAGACGACCGAGTCAAGAACAGGATCTTGAAACATTCAGTATATCGGCTTTTCGGCTGTGAGGATGGATCAGGTGTGAATACACTGCAAAGAGTGCCCTGACTTCGAAAGCGGTCGTCTAGCTGCACTATGTCGGTCGGATCAGCCTTGTCGTTGTGGATTGTGGAGGAGACCTGTGGATAACTAAGATGGCAGTTGGAGTTTGATGCAATTTCGGCAGGGGGGTTTTCAGCGCTAATCCTTGACTAGACTAGCTCCACCCGCGCCGGCGGCGGATTTTCGACAAGCCGCAACAGGCTTCCTGTTGCCGGGCCAAAAGTCAAGTGGGGCGTATTGTAAACAAAAGGCTGCCGCTTGCCTCCCCTTCCATGAACTATGAACTGTCTCTTGCCTCCCAGCTACTACCTACAAACAATCCTCTTCTCCGACTTCCTAAGGTACAGCTTGGGCTCTTCTCTGGCTCTTGATGAGCTTCTGGGTCATACGCAGCGCTTATTATTGAAAAGATTTTCGATTCTTTGAGCAATCATTGGTCTCATCTGCAAGTCTATACCGATAGAGTCAGTTCAGTCGTCACCATGGCATCTGCAACAGTATCAACACCGATCAAGTCCCACAAGGGGCTGTTCAACACCCGCACAGCGGGTGGACGAATGCCTCTCACCCCATCACCCAGGCGAAACTCCAACACAACCACCATCCCCGTTAACCTCGACTCATCGCCCTTCACTCCGGAGAAGCCATCCAAGTCCAAATACGGTGGCGGCCTCATCTCCCACCTCTCCAGATCGACATCGAAGCCCTCGCAAAGAGACACCACCCGCAGCAGTCACCGTGACTCACCCAAGTCGAACATTGCCCGTGTCGTCCACACTCCCCGCAAGGCCCTGGAGCTGGGTGTGTCAGACTTTACCCTCACAGGTACGGGCAAAACACCGTCCAGCGCCAAGTCAAAGAAGGCTCCCCTGCGCAAGAAGTGCAGCAAGAACACTGTGTCCTATGGCGCTGATCGCTTCATCCCCAGCCGTACAGCAAGCTCAGGAATTGCCAATGCCGGCTCCAGCAAGATCGATGCGGCTGAGAAGCGCCCCAAGACCAGCAGCGGTTTCAGCTCTTCTGTTCTCAACTCAGCTGCGGACGATGCTGCTGCCGCTCTCGAGGGTCTCAGCATCAACGACGAGGAGGGCACTGACTATAGTCGTCCCTCTCCCAACACTGTCGCCTATCAAGACTCGCTGGCAAGCGCTTGCGGGGTCAAGCTTAACACACGCATTCTTGAGTTCAAGCCAGCGCCCCCCGAATCATCCAAGCCCATTGACCTCCGCAAGCAGTACAACCGGCCGCTGAGGCCTGCTACTAGCACCTCGGCGCAGCTACGACGTCGCATTGCGACCGCCCCTGACAGGGTTCTCGACGCCCCTGGCCTAATTGACGACTACTACCTCAACCTCTTGGACTGGAGCTCGCAGAACCAGGTTGCCATTGGACTGGAGCGCAGTGTCTATGTCTGGTCCGCGGACGAAGGCAGCGTAGAGTGCCTCCTGGAGACCACACCGGACACCTACATCAGCAGTGTCAAATGGTCGGGCGATGGTGCCTACGTCGGCGTTGGTCTGGGGACAGGCGAGGTCCAGATTTGGGATGTTGCCGAGTCGACCAAGATCCGCAGCATGTACGGCCACGACACCCGCGTCGGTGTTATGGGGTGGAGCAAGCATCTTCTCTCCACCGGCGCGCGTAGCGGCCTCGTGTTCAACCATGATGTTCGGGTCGCCGAGCACAAGGTTGCCGAGCTTGTCTCACACACTTCTGAGGTCTGCGGTCTGGAGTGGCGATCAGATGGTGCGCAGCTTGCTACTGGCGGCAACGACAACCTAGTCTCCATCTGGGACGCACGCTCTCTATCAGTGCCCAAGTTCACCAAGACCAACCACAAGGCTGCGGTCAAGGCCCTCTCGTGGTGCCCGTGGAACATGAACCTGTTGGCCACTGGTGGTGGCTCTTACGACCGACACATCCACTTCTGGAACTCGACCTCCGGTGCCCGCGTGAACAGCATCGACACTGGCTCTCAGGTCACCTCTCTACGCTGGAGTCAAAATTACCGTGAGATCGTTAGCTCGAGCGGATTCCCCGACAACTCTCTCAGCATCTGGAGCTACCCAACTCTGGTCCGCAATGTGGAGATCCCTGCCCACGAAAGCCGCGTGCTGCACAGCTGCCTCAGCCCTGACGGACAGATGCTCGCAACGGCCGCCGCCGATGAGAGTCTGAAGTTCTGGAAGGTGTTTGAGAAGAAAGCTGGCGCGCCTGGCAGCATCAGCGGCTCAGGATCCACAAGCAAGGCCGAGATGGCTAAGAGCATGACCATTCGCTGAGAGGAGAGGTGGGAGTAGCTGCTGCAAATGATCCACGGTAAGTACCACCTTTTCATAGGGCGGCATTCTGCTTGAGCGGGTTGGCGCGCGGGCTGGGGGAGTTTTGCTCTTCAATGCTCGTGGTACGAAAGTGCTTCACCACGCACGAGTGAAATGATCTGGATGATATTGAGACAGGGCCATGCCCGGGACCGAGACAGTCTATAGCGTTTCTGGCGGAAACTTTGTGGAAATAGATAGCACGGCAGGGCGTTTGCTTGGGGTAGTCATAACAGGCCTTTCTAACACATGCCCCAAGGCTGGCGTTTGTGATTATAACTTGGGAGCACTCACACAGGCTCGCCTCAGTGCCCCCCGCGGTGAATGCGCCAGTCAACCTGAGAACGCAGTAGATACGGAAGCCACTTGTAAGATTTGGTCGTATTTGCGATGATTACCTGGATTAAAGCAAGGCGAGAGCTCGTCAAGATTGAATTCTCCGGCATTCCGGTGGCTGTCGGATGACTAATCCGAGCACGGGGCGTCGGCGATGTGGGTTATAGGGAATCTAGCGATCGCAGGCAACTTCGCCCATGCATCCAACATTGAGCGACTGCGATATCACAACAGTGACATTCGATCGAGTGTTCAAGCACAGTCACTTTCAGAAAAGCCTACGCAATATAGCTTACGCATACATCGAGCGAGTTCAAGTTTTGAAGGCCGAGCGCAGCTAGCCTCGTGGGCTTAACAACACCGCTGGTTGACCCAACCAAGCACAAGCATTTGACGACGACAACTCCAGTAGATGCAAGTCGTCGACAACTCCGAGTAGTCCACTGTGATCACGCACACCACTTGCGCCAAGTCTCCGTCTCATCGACCGTCCTCACCATGTCGAACCAAGCCGTCGGCAATGTCTACCAGTCGGTCATCGACGAGGTGATTAACAGTTCCCGCGTCGATTTTGAGGAGAGCGGCATCGAAGAGTCGGTGCTGGAGATGCTGCGACAGGTAAGCAATTGAGTTTCCTTTTCTCCGTGCGCTGAAGTCCGCAACCGTCCATTCCTCTTGGCCGGGGGTAATGCTGCGGGTGCACCCATCTTCCCCGCGCGACCGAACGACGACGGCGGTTCGCAAGACTATCAATGGTGCGGCGACCAGTGACCGCAAAAAAGCATCGAAAAAGTCTGCGTGCTTAGTAGCATGGCCAGTCATCGCTCCCACGTCCACGCAATGCCGTCTGGTCGCGATACGTTGGGGTTGTTTGGACCGCAAGCCAGTCGTGTTCTCGCAACCTCGCAATGGCCTGGCGGCAGAGTGGGAGGCAGCGTCCGACTTGTGGGAGGAGGCAATGGGGTGCTCCGCGTCCCTTTTTAAGCCAACTGCACTGCGTTTGGCGGCCCCCCCCCCCCCCCTCCGTCCTCCTGCCTCTCAGAGGCCACTCTGGCCGCCTTTCTCCACATTTCGCTGCGACACTTGGATCACACGTTCACACTTGTTACCCTACAAACCTCTCCTTGCCTGGTCTCCTGTCAAGGCAGCCGCACTTCTCACTCCGGAACTTATCTAAATCAAAAGATGTCTTTCATTTACTAACACCTCGATTTCTAGGGCTGGCAAAAGAAGCTTTCACAACTAGACGTAGCCCGTTTTCCTTGGGATCCAGAGCCCCAGAAGCCTGAACCCCCTCCTCAACCAGTAGTACAAACTGCTCCTCCGGCCGTACCAGCACCTGTTCATTCACAAGCAACTTTCTCACCACATCTCCCACAACCCGAACCGCCCAGTGCTCCTCAGAATGGCATCAAGCAGGAGCCCCATGGCCAGGATGAGGCGGGACCCGCCATCAAGAGAGAACCAGGTCACCACCTTCCCATGCCACCCCCCATGACCTTTGGTGGCATGGACAACAACGTGGCTGCGCACCGAGCTGCACAAAATCTTCAACAACAGTATGGTGAGCGAGCCGTCAACTCTATCAATGCCATTCAGCAAGGGCACCACGCGGGTCACCAACAGCAGCAGCATCAGCATCAGCATCAGCAAGGACAGCAAGGACAACAAGTCGCAGACCCACAGGCAGCCTATCGTCAACAGATGGCTGCGGCCACGGCTGCTCAACAACACGCATCGAATGGACAGGGCCACTTGCAACATTCTCAAACCGACGGCGCTGGCGAGGCTGACAGTGATGGAGAAGAAGAAGAAGAAGACGACTTTGACGCCATTTTGTGTCGCAAGAACGAGGCCGGCGAGTTGCAGGCCATGGGTCGCGTCGATATTGATCGCATTCTGCACAAACAGTTCGCGTCCAAGGCCAAGGCTATGGAAGGCGGCGGTCTGATGCTGCCCCTCGAAGAGGCCACCCGCCACAAGACGATGCCGGCCTCCAAGCGGAAAGGCAAGGGCGTTGCTCGGTATGACGGCGACGACGATGATGAGGAAGACGACGAGGATGCGATCAACTCTGATTTGGATGACCCGGATGACGTCGGACCCGACGACGACGGCGATGAGGATGGGCTAGGGCATATGATGCTTTGCATGTACGACAAGGTCCAGCGGGTCAAGAACAAGTGGTTAGTAGACCGTTCTTACAAACATGGGCTTCGCGCTAACTCTTTTACAGGAAGTGCACTCTCAAGGACGGCGTGCTCACAGTGAATGGCAAAGAATACGTCTTCCACAAGGCGACGGGTGAATATGAGTGGTAAACGCTCACCCTGTTCGACGGTGCCCGCAGACACGGGGGTGCCATGAACGCAGAACCTTGAAGCCTGGCATGGTCTGGGTTATGTGGTGGCGGGCAGGCTACTGCGAACAAGGAAATATTTCATCACGGGGTCGTAACGTACTTTTCAAGTCGGCAAGGCGCGTCTCTGTCCATTCGGACAATTGGGTGCAGTGAGCGGCGATCATGGGAACATGTCGTACGCACACCGCCCGAGAGGATCAAGAAATTGGTAACGCGCTTGTTACTATTTTCTTCATTCTTCAACATCAGAATACCATCAATATAAGCGGACTTTTTTTCTGAGTATCTAGGTTCTCGGGCGTGATTGGGTGTGTCGGATCTCTGCTGCAGATGTGGTTATCGCACTTATTACACGTAGCAGCTCCTGTAAAGTAGTGCCTCTAAAGCAGACTATCTTGTGTGAACGTGCATAAGAATCGCGACTTCGGTTGGTTAGTGAGTACCACTATGGGACATGTGCTGTAATTTTACTGCAGTAAGCCCTTACATGGCGAGCCGAATCTGAAGTCGCGTCCGCGCCAAAGTTCTGTACACACGGCAGGGGTCACTGCTTCCGAATGCAATCAATCAGTATTCACTGTCTGGCACCCAGAGAAGGCAGGCTGAGCCACTTCATGTTCTGGGGGACTTCTGTGTCACGATATCGCTGTTTGGGAGGTATGCTGACCTCCAAATTCCGGGTTTCTCGACGGCGGTCAAAGAAGCTAATAATACTGTGTCCTCGCTAGGAGTCCAGGACCATGGCCACGGGCGCAGAGCCCGCGGGCCGCAAATGACCTGGTCCTAAGAATTAATTTACGACGTACAAGATCGGGGTTAAAAAGAGTGGTGGATCCCTAGCCCGCAGATTTGGGTCCCGACAGACTGGTTCGACCCCAGCAAGGGAAAACCAGGCAGGGATGGGTTCCCAAGCGTGAGACCGGTGTATGCATGATGCGCTGTCTGTCTTGAGTCGTCCAGCGACCACGTTCTCCAATTCGAGCACTGAGCTTTCTTCAGGTTGACGCGATTGATGTCTCAAGAACCAAAGCCTGCGCTGGGGCATTGAGGTGTCCTCCGCGGATAGCTCACTTCAAGGTTTCCAAACCCCTACCTTTTGACTCTGCAAACGTTGTCTACCGAGAATGAGGACCAAAAAGGCAAAAGTCGCGGGTGAACATCATCTCCGTAACTTGCTCACCATGCACTTCGGTAGATGTAACATTGTTGACAACACGAATCTTGCGCGCCCAGACGGCCGACGTCACTCAAATAGATCGGCAGTCTCATGGTGGTCAAAGCGGACCAGGTGATTCGTTCACCTGCTGCGGGCAGTGTGTGTTGGCGCGCCGCAGGATGGTGATGGTCCGAAATGATGTCCCAGAGCGCCGGGTCAGGACTTGGGGGCCGCCTGCCGACTGACAATTGCGCTAATATAACGTGACATGTTGGGCAGGGACGAGCATAAACCGGCAAGATTGCCGGAGACCAGCAGCCCCTGGCGTCCTCAGTTGATTTCGAAGAGCACTACATGCTAAACTGTCAAGGACGCGACGAAACTCAATTGTCGACGTGTTTGAGCCTATGAGGCTGTACAGCAGTAACCAGGGTGCCGTCTGGCACCATTTTCGTGCGTGCATGCATCTCCGACGCTGTCGCAAGGTCCCGGTTCTCAGCTGAGAATCGCGGGCATGACGCCCTGCCAGGTTCAAGGGTCCGTGTTCACTGTATACGTGCCTCGAGGCTCGGCGACCACAGACAGAACACCCGTGGGACTGTAGTAGGCTGTTATGTCGAGACAATGCAGACGGCACCTAGCGGAAGGTCCGCGGGCGTGTGAGATGCATCGTGTTGCACAGATCACTCGTTGCGGGCAGGCTTTCCAGTACGTAGAGCGGCGGAGCGATTCGTACAGCGGACCGAGTACGTACCGAGCACCATGGACCAGTCTGCGCGGGCGCTAGTAACTAACGGTACGACAAACCGGGTCGTTTCCACGGCCTGGAGTGGTCCGGTTTGTTCAATTCGGGCGATCCCGTTGTTTCGTCATTGCGCGGGATCATGACTGGTAGTGCTCGCATGCTTCGAAGGAGGAGAGATGTTCGTGGGCATCAAAATTTGAGGTGCAGCCTGATGGCCAAGGGCCAATCAGCAATGAAAGCCGTTGTCGTCGGCTTGCAGGCGTGAAGCGCACCCGGGAGCATATTCAAAATCGCTCGCACTGTGGACTGTGACACAGCGCGATCAGGCTGGACGCTGGTGGTGCACACCGTGCAATGTCGGGCTAGGCAAAAAGGGAGCTCCATAGCATTAGCGACTAGTAGTTGGCTAAAGCGCGCCAAAAGCCGGGGTGTTCCTGTAACGGCGCGGCTCGAGCCTTGGACATGCAGGGAGAGAAGGGCTGCCCAGCGCTGCGGGCGGTCGGGTTAGTTGCGTTATTTGTGTTGAGCGACGGCGTCCATAAACATCGCCCGAGACAGACGCGAAGAATCGCTGGCCTCCTTTCTTGTCGATGCGCAGTTGGCCGGTCGGCTTATAGCAAACCTGGAGTGATTCCCATCACATCCTGGCGCCGGACACGTACACTGTAATAAGGTACCTCCGTAGGCTGTTGGTTCCGTGAGTGAAGTGGCTGCCGGCGCGTGGCTATCCCGCAGCAACAACAAATAACAATAAGGGTTTGGAGACCGTAGACGTACCTGCTGGGCGAGAATCATCAAAAGAGTTGCTGTGCCGTATAGACCGCGCGCCAAAGAGTGACAGCCCGCTCGGCGCGTATATATAGTGCTGAGCAAGCGCCTCTGGGCAAGGGAGTGAGGAATCATTATGAGGGCGTGTCGAATGGACTTTTGATCACGAACTGTTGGTTCGAGTGTGTTGATGGCGCCAAATGCCAGACCGCTGATCGAAAAGGACGGGGCAGGTGGCCGACCAGACTGGGCCTTCCTTCCTCAGGAGTCCGATGGTCGCACACTTGCCCCTCCAGGCTCAGCTGTCAGCAGCTCCAGTCCGTGTTCATCCAGTCCAGTCATTGCCCATGTCCAGTCGAAGCCAGTCGTCATCATTATCGGCAGCAGAATGACATGCAGGACGAGCAGCGCACATCAGGTCGGGTACCTGAGGTACCTTAGGCGCCCAATCCAATCCCGCCCACCTGATGATGCCTGGCCAGTGCGGTCAGGAGCTTTCCATCCTTTTCCTTGAGGTTGGCTGGTCCAGTAATATTATTATGTCTTTGATTAGATTCGTCACTTCAGGCCAGGTCGTTGAAAGAGCAGCTGATAGATGACACGAGCCCGGCAGCGAGGAGGCTCTTTCCCGTATTCATCCAGACTGGCGGCAGGCACTTTTTGTTAGGGCTTGATACCTCAAGTGAGCAAGGTACTCGTACCCTAATAAGTACCTTCCCTTACCTCAATAATACTTGCCTTACGCAGGTACAGCAAACACCTGCTTAATGAATCACTGCCCATCTCAGAAGCCGTGCGCACACTGTGACACGCCTGGCCACTCTCGCTCAGGCTGGCTTTCGACCCCATGCATGAGCATTTCTTCATTCTGTCTCCATAATAACAAGTACTTCAGACAATGCCTGCTGCAACAGTCGGGTGATTGCCCGCGTTGATTTTGTGTGTGCTGTTCTTGTGTGCATCAACGACGTCGGCTTCACCGACCGCACGCCAGCTCTCCAGCCATTCATTATACGTTTTTGCGTGTCTCGTTATGGACAACGAACTGCCGAGCTTTTGCGTCGCTCTATCTGCTTTTTGGATCCCCTGACCAAGGTACTTATTGATACTTGACTCGCGTCTGCTACTGTAAGGAACAATGACCGCCTCACACCCTGTTTCCTATCCCGGCTGGCCTCGAGATGGCTCGCGATGGAGGTCTTTCGCCAAAGTCGGTGCCCGATCAGATCGACATCATTCCCGCTGGCAAGTCCCCGACACGAAGAAGGCTTTCGGCCCAGTCAATGGCTTGCCTTGCCTCGCCTGACTTGACGCGCCGCCGAGACAAACGGGCCGCCTCACAAGAGGCCTTGTTAATGACATATGCAAGGCTAACGACGATGCAGTCGCCAGCGCACAATCTTGTCACCAACAGCATCAAAACATCGTGGGCTACGAGACTAGTCTGCTAGCCGTCTTCGCCTGCCAGAGTCGAATATCTCTCATCACCTTGTTGTTGACACGCCCGCTCGGAGCCCTGGGGGCGCGCATCTTCTTCTCTGCCTGCCGTCCAGCAATTGCTTGGGACATAAAGCTTGAGCTGCCGCCGGCTCCTCTGCGAAAATCTCAAAGGTACATTGCCTACTTTTGTTACTGCTTTGTTGACTTGTCCCGCCTTGCCTTCCATGTTTCGGGAGCTGTGTCCTCCCCACGACCTCGACCGTCTTATATGATTCTCTCCCACTTTAATCGCCCACCTCGCTTCCTGTTCGTCAGACTGGCAGACCGCCGAAATTCTGCCTTACATTACCTTGCCTCACAATCTGCATCATCACAGAGCGTCCCCGCCTACATCGACTCAGCACTATCACCTGGCTCGCCGCATGCAAAAGGGTCAGGGCGTTGCACGCACGCACATGTCAGGCTCCTGTCCCGAACCTACAGTGCGCAAATCTTGCCCTGCCCTGCTGCTACGGTCCAGTCGTGTGAGCGCGCTACCAGCTGGGTTGCCCGTTGCCTGCTCTACAACCAAATCATTTCGGCCTCCAGTCGTTCTAGGTCATACCTAAAGTAGCCGGTCGAGGTAATAGCGTCCCTCCCTAGCCCTGTACCTTGTAAATGATTCCCGCTCCGGGGTGTCCACCAGGATCATCACTGACACCCACCCTTGCTCGTCATCTTAGCTCCGTTATTGATCAAACCGTTCCCGCTAGATCCTTGAAGACTCTCTCCTTGGCCACTGGGATTATTATTCGCGTCGCAGACTCGCAAGGCCCGTCGTTAACAACACCAATAACCACGACAATCCTCCTCCTCCTCTTGGTCCTTGACAATCACCAAGTCATTTGCCGTTGGCCATATTACTTCAGAGCGCAATTTTTTCTTTACAGGTGAGTTTGCCCATCTGCAGCTTGAGCACAGCCCACCCCGAAGCCAAAGTTAACGCCATGACCGTACAGTCCCCTTATTCGTCTACACCCACAGCCAACATTTCGGCGCTGGCTGTTGTGCAACAACGGACTGTACAACAATTCCACACGCAAAGACTCGACCCGAAAGTGATCGGTAAGTCATTCTCTGTCTGATGTCCTGTCGGGAAATTATTCGCGGACTTTCTTCCCTATGAATGTCTCGAGGTGCCGCAACAAGACAGAGAGTGCATGGTGCAAGTCAAGTCGTTGCAGGTGCTCCGGGTCGCGGGGACTATATGCCCATGCCACAAACAACCCCATACACGGCGAATGCGCTGGCCTTGGGACCCCTCAAGTGTTTGCATATGCCGTGGCATGGTCTTTCTTGCATCACATACTGCAGATTGGTCTCAACAAGTTGCCCAGATAGACTAAACATCAAATCCAGGTGACTGCACGTTGAGCAGCGTGGCTGTGCTCGTCAACAGTCTCAGAACGGGAAACAACGGCAGAGGCAGCACGGAGCCTCATGAGGTGTGCTTCGGTGTGGCTGCTGCACCCAGATACCAATCCTTGGTCAAGGGGCCAAAGGAGCAACCACATCATGTCACAAACGTACGTCTATAGGCAATGTGAAGGAGTAGTCATTGCTAAACAGAAGAGCAGCCCTGTCGGTCCACAGTCTGAGGCGGGCGACGTGGGGCGGCCACCCTATTTGGCTGACTGCGACGAATATGGCCGAGGGTTCGGCAGACACAAGCATGGGAAGTATATCTTCCCAGTTGATGAGGTACTGACTCACATGCTACGCTACCTCTTGTCACCATAATCTTACTAACTGATTTTGCAGGGAGAAAGACGGCGGATGGATCTTGTGCAGAAAGTATTTCTCATGGTGAAAGGTGGCCTCGAATACGAGTTCCCTGCGGCAACAGCCGATGCAGCTAAGATTTTGGATCTCGGGTCAGGCACGAGCATCTGGGCTTGCCAGATGGCCGAGTAGGCGTTCCCTCTCGCAAGCCAAGCAAAGTACATTTCTAACAAGCACAGGAGGTACCCAAATGCCCATGTCATGGCTGTTGACTTGCACAACAGCTCTCCGCGCATGTGAGCATCCTTCTCAAGCGGGCGGATGGCCCTGGTGCCATACATCCGTCGTTGAATCCAACAGACTGCTGACTTGTATGCCAGGATCCCTCCCAATGTTGAGGTAAAGCAACACGATCTCGAGGATCCGGACTGGAGTCCACTCATGATGGATTGCGACATGGCACACATTCGTTTGTTGCTGGGGGCGGTAGAGACTGACATGTGGCCCCGCATATACCAGAACGTGTTTAGGTATAAGTTCCCCGTGCTCTCTTTGACACGAGTACTCACTGTTGGACAGGCACCTTAAACCTGGATCTGGCTTTATCGAGCAGACCGAGATCGACTGGCGACCAGGGTTCGAGCACGAGCGGCCACAACCCACGTCGGCGCTCGAGGAGTGGTGCGAGGGAGTTCTGTCCGGGCTCGAGCGCGCCAACCGAAGCGCACACATCCGACCAGAGTACACAAGAAGGATGCTGGCAGAAGCGGGTTTTGAGCACATTGAGCAGGTCGTCGTCCGCCTTTACCTCAGCCCCAGCCCCGCCGCGGCCGCAGACGACCAGCGCGAGCTGTCAAAATGGTTCAACCTGGTCGTGACACAGGGCTTTGAGGCCATGGCTCTCGTGCCCATGATCCGTTATGGCTCGGCTGTTGATCCGGAGCAAATAGAGGATCTGGCTCAGCGTGCGATGACTGAAGCATGCACCCTCAAGTATGGTGCTTATATGAACGCGTACGTTGATTTGCTCTAGGGCTTCCGCTGGTTCACTCATACTGACACCCAAGGACAGCTACATATGGAGAGCACGCCGACCCCTAGGCACTTAGATGTCCCAAGGTCAAACGGATGTGGAGGCGCAGGCACGGTACAGTCCCTCAGCGCAAGACGATCTGGAATACAGTTCGCAATGGGCTCGAGGTTTCTATGCCAAGTAGCGCCTACGATGAGCGTCCCTACACTGTTGTGAGCCTCCGCACGCGCAGAATCAAGCAATGTGTGTTGAATGGGAAGAAATGATCTCTTTGTTGGTTTGTTGCAAAGCGGCCAGTTGCATAGCCGTGCGTTGTCATAGATCGGGATCGAGTTGCGATGGATTTCGGGGTGGTAGGCACCATGCAGTTCTGCAAGACCCCATTCTTCTCGTCTTATAGCGGTAGCTCCAGTCATGTCGTTGGAGAGCGTACGGGCTGAGCTGCCATCGGGTTCCTCATGAGCAATGTGCAGCGCGGACCTCACGTACATCAACCACAGTGTGTGCGAGCAAAACACGGGTTCCTGTTCGGCTTGTTTGTACAGTTTACTACAAAAGAAACGTAAATGACCTTGGGCATTGGCCCGGGAGACGACAGAAGAGGCCTCCATTGTCCAATAGACAATGCTCTACCATGCCTCCCCCATGTGCACACTCTTGCGTCTATTGCGTCCTCCTTCGTCTATCGCCATCCGCTCTCGTCAGTGCCGCCGCCGCTGCCGCTGCTGCTGCCCGCTTGCTCTCAAATCGTACATCCAATTCGATCCTTCTTGTCGGCGGAGACTCTAGTGGTGGGCACCAGTCTCGCCGTGGTAGCCAACGAGCTTGAAGCGGCCAATCATCTCGCCAACGGTGAAGAAACCGAGGCACTCGGCAGCGACAACACCGCCGGCGACGATCTGGGCCGGGCCAATGTTGCGGGCGCGTTGGAGAAGGCCTTGTGCGGACTGGCCACCGAGGGAGCCGGATCGCAATGACTGGAAGAGGTTCTGGTAGTAGGTCTGGAAAGTGGCAATGGATCTGAAATCTCGTGTCAGCTATTCTGCCTGTCGAGGACGCGTGGCGTGCGTGATGACTTACGGAGGGCTCATCTTCTGGCCGTGGGCGACGTACTTGGCCATCTCGAGGCCGACCTTTGAGTAGTAGACGACAAAGGGTGTCTGGCCTATAGAATTCCCGGCGTGTCGTCAGTACTTCTGCTTCCCCTGTGCGGAATTGGGCGCCCATTGTGGGTGATCAATTTACGTACGCTCAACAAAGGCAAACAGACGGCCAGTTCGTCCACCAATCTTGCCGAGCGCGCTGGTGAGACCCTTTGCGGCACCGCCAGCCGCGCTCGTGACGCGCGAGAGACCCTGCGAAGCCTTGCTGGTGGTCTCCTGAGCCGTCTCCTGTGCCTTGGTGGCCGACTCCTTGGCGGCCTCGGTGGCCTTTTGGGTGGTGGTGCTCTGGTAGCGACGGGCAGCGAAGCGCAGCGCTGACGAGCGGAGGACGGGACGGGCGGCCGCGGCGGACATGTTGTCAGCTGTGAGTTGTTTCGTTGACAAAACGAGAAAGAGGACCGGCGATTGATGGGGAGAGGAAGACGGGGCAGGTGAGGTCGAGCCGGGGGGTCGGTGGGATCGCAAGTGGGAGTTGGACAGTCGGTCGTCGTGATGGCGTGGTCGTAGGCGGTTTGAGGGACTTGCCTTTTCACTGGACGGGGCAGAAAAATCTCGGGTGAATTCGCTGGCCGTGAGTGGTCGGCGATACGCGCTAGTCCTCTTTGGGGGTGGCCATTCTGAGAGTAGCAGGCCAAGGGGAGGGAGCTCTTGTCTTTATTGTGTCCAGTCGCGTCCGCCGCTCACACGGTCACGTATCATCAGTATCGTCCCCTGGTGGTTCCTCACTTTTGCCTCATACAATGATTTCTGGATACACCATGCTCACAAAACCAAAGTTCATGCATTAAATTCACGTCCAAAAAAATAAAATAATGTGGCGATCTATTTGTTGCCCCCAATGAACCCGCAACTCCTGTTACCCCCGAACCTGATGCCGTTGATGGGAGCTCCTATTCCAGGCTCTGGATCTGCACCTTGATCGCGCCGCTCTTGGGATCCGCCGACGTCTCAAACGCCTTGATGGCGTCTTCGAGCTTGAAGCGATGCGTCACGAGCCTCTTCATGTCGATCACGCCGCTCTCCACCAGTCGGATCGCCCTCGGCCAGGTGTTGCAGTAGCGGTACTGCAGCTGGATGTCGACCTCGCGCACGCTCGCCCTCATAAAGGGTATGTTGATCTCGTTCTTGCCGACGCCAATGATGAAGACCTTGCCGCCAAACTTGCTCGCCCAGACGGCGGCCGCGATGCTGCTCTCGACACCAGTGCACTCCATGGTCACGGCGGGCTCGACGCCCCCAAAGGACTCGACGATGCGCCTGCCGGTCTCTTCTGCCGTGCCGCGCTCGACCTTGTGCGTGATGACGCGCGGGCAGATGGACTTGGCGAACTCGAGGCGGGACTCGGAGATGTCGGTGATGACAATGGGGCAGGCGCCAGCCGCGTCGACGCAGAGCAAAGTGATGAGACCAATGGGCCCGGCACCGCAGATGAGGACGGAGTCACCGAGCTCAATCTTGGCCCTCTGCATGCCAGCTAGCGCCACGCTCAGAGGCTCCAGCATCGAACCGTCCTCGTATGACATGTTTCCAATCTTGTGGCACCACACGGCCGGGTGGTTCACGTAACGACGGAGGAGACCGGGCACCGGTGGCGTCGAAAGGAACTGGACCTTCTCGCAGCCGTTGTAGCGACCGGTCAAGCAGGGCTCGCACTCGTTGCAGATGACATTGGGCTCCACGGCAACGCGGTCGCCAACCTTGAGGTGTGTCACGGACGGGTGGACGGCGATAATGTCACCCGCAGATTCGTGGCCGAGGATGTGGTCGCCGTCAACAATCATGGGGCCAATGCATCCCGCATGCCAAAAGTGAACATCGGAGCTGGTTTCTGGGTTAGCCCATGCGCAATTCACAGCCACCTCCTGTCCATCCTCGCTCGTTCACTTACCCACAGATTCCCGTGCTCCGGATGGCGATGGTCACCTCGCCATGCTTTAGGTCAGCCCCGGTCTTTGCGTCCTCCGCACTCGGCTTGGCATCCGTGATCCAGAGGTCGTGCGCAGGATTGGTGTAGACGCCAATGTTGGGCTTCAGTTGCGCCTTGCTGATGTCCACGCTGGTGGCGTTGTCGACGGCGGAGGGGCTCATTCTGGGGGCGTTTCTGGTGTTCTTTGGACGTGGGAGAAAGGCACGACGCGAATGTCAGATACCTGTGAAAGCAGCACCTGGGGGAAACAACGAGAGGATTGAAGCAGCGATGCGCGGTAGGCCGGAGCTCGTTCCTATATACGCCGCCACCAACCCCTCGGCCACGAACCAGATGACGGCGCATCTGACAGTCTCCCCCACGTACGTGTGTGAACGAATGTCGTGTCACGGCCTTGGGTGGAGTGCCCGCTTTGGCTTGAGGGGCAGGAATTTGTTCAGTGAGGGCCCCAACGTTAAGAGCGGGTGTGGGGTCAAACGGCCCCAGGGCTCGGGCAGCCTAAGACCGATTAGCGACGCTCAACTTCCGCGCCAATCACCACTGTTTGCGGCAATACACGCGGGGCTGATACTCGGATCCTGGGATTATGGAAGAAACCCTCTGTTCAGCCGGTAGCGCGAACCCCAAACCAGGAAACCGTCCAGAACAAACAGGAAGCCTGTTGGAATTCCATGGCTTGGCTTGCGGCGCATGACATGGCGTTGTCTGCACTTGCTGAACACAAGCGGCCAGCTTGTGCCCTGTCTGTACAAGCAAACGCTGCCCCATCGGGGAATCATTGGGTGTTTCCTAGAAAGGTTTCCCCGAAAGCCGCTGCCCAGACCTCGGGGGTCGCCTCGCACAAGCGCCTTCGCCACGATTTGTTCGAATTTCGGACAGTGGCCTACTGGGCCGGCTATGATCTGGTGGATTGATTGCAATGACACATCTGACCAGGTCGCATCCTATCGCATCTTCTCCGCCCATTGTGAGGTCCGGCGGGGGTGGGCTGGGCGATTGCCCCTCGTGGTTGGCCTCCGGTTGAATCTGTCGCGAATATATCCGGCATGAGAGGAGTTGTCGATCCGATTTGACACGTCGTTTCCGAGGTGATATTGCAGTACTGAATTACTTGCGTATGTGCCCTTAGCGAGGCACCGGCTATTGACGTGTATTCTGCTCAGCCTCCCTCGCCCAGGCTGTGTTGTTCTTGGGCCGCGGCTCATCATCGTCCTTGACGCCTTTGAAGCTGTGCATAGTGGCCAAGACGCAGCGCCCAGTCGGCCCCTATTGCAACAACACGCCGACCTTCTCGTTGAATCGGACGGATGTGCGCTCTCCGAGTTGGCCATGCTATTACTACGGGTCAAGACATGTCTGCCAACAGCATGTGGCCACATGCAGTCGGCGGTTCTTTGCCCAATGGTGGTCGATCTCGAGGCCGGGGCCAGGTTGGCCAGGCATGGTAAGACGCGGGGAACATTTAGTATTATACCCTCACGGCGATCGCGCACATGACCTGATGGAGCAGGTCGAGGGTAGCCGTGCGGGTCACCACGTTGACAGCCGAGGCGCAGTGGCCAGATGCCGCGACGCTACCTGCTGCGTCCCTGTTTCTTCCTCAAAGTGTCATCGAGCTAACTGTTTCAGAATGGGTACTTGTAGCGTGAGTGTCAGACTGTGCGTAAGGCGCACAGCTTGGCTGTGAGGATCGGCGCGGGGGCGGGGACAACTACCTCCTTCGCACTTTGCACAAGCAAACCAAGTCGGCAACGATGTGATTGAACATTGTCTAAGGATGTACTGAGTTGGTCTCCTGTTGCTATGATGGCACGATTTGCCCGCGCCTTGGTTCAAACGGTAGTCACTTCCAGTTACCATCCAGATGCCGGGGTATAGATGGGTGGTCCTGTCTGTTGTCTCCTGGGTTCAACGCCAAAAATATCCCAGATTGTCATGTCGTCGTGATGCAAATATCTCACGGAAATCGTCAAGTGACGAAGTCGCTGGTCTTTCCGTCTCTCCCTCTCTCTCTCTCTCGCTTTGTGTGTGTGTGTGTGCTGATTCTTGTTCCGAATGCTTCTTCATCAACCGACGGAGACGACGACGCCGCCTTTGCATTTTCCATAGGAGCAGCACGCCTCGGGGTCCAAGTCACCTCTCAGTATCGCATCCACTTTGGCCTGTCGGAGTCGGGGTCAGCTTCCTTCCTGTGTTCCCACACATGAGCAATCAACATACATCTGGACATGGCCCTGAGGGTCCAATTGGCGACGCGAGCGTTGTTCTCGGTGCTGCCAAGGGTGCTGCTGACACAGCTGCGGCTGTCGTTATGGCGGTGAGAACGAGTGATAGCTTCATGATGCGAGATTGTGATGCCCAATAGCGAGCGACAGACTGGCCAAAAGTGCGGCAACGACCAGCAAGCAAGAAACGAGGCAGGGATGTAATGAACAGAGTTGGATAGATTGTGGTGCCAGCTGGCAGGTGTGCTGCTGGCTGGCTCTCGCTCAACACTTTTTTCTTTTGAGCGTGCAACGAGTGTGAAGACGAGGTCCAAAATCAGACTCGACAGATAACCTCGAAAGGTCGGTCAAGGCAAGGCAACGCAGAAGATAAAGAAGAGGAAAAAGCGAAAGTGGTATACACGGAAGTGCAGATTACACATGCGCACGTTCCCATTAATGTAATTACCGGGATACCTATCTACATGCTGTGTGACAAGGGAAACGAGTCAACAGCCGTTGCTGACACGAGACCCCCGTTGACGATGCCAAGAAGCTTGATAGCAGCCGCATGAGCGGCACAGAATACGAGGTAAGGCTGGGCGTGCTCAGAGCCAAGAGTGCTGACGGAGCCGGGGTGATGTCAGATTGAAATTGTCCTTGTTCATTCAACGCGGCACTCGTGGTTTTTGGGCGTTGAAGGCATGGATGGGGATGATCGACATTGGGGAGGGATGCGCATGTGAAACGTGGAGGCATGGCAGCCAGACTGCCCGTGGTGACGGGCATTCCAAAACTGCTTCACTGGTTGTTTGAACGGAATGTTTCATTTACTAGGGGGCATTGGCAGGGATGCATGATCGGCCTCGTGCATGAATGAGCCTCGAGGGATTCTCGTTTGCCCTCCTCATCAATCTGCCACGTCGATCCCTTCAACGTCAAACGTGCCAGATCTCGAGGCCCACGCCCCCGACCACAAACCGCCCAGCGTCCTCGTCGTCCAGGAACTCGACATCGCCCGCATCTGCGACGCCGCTGTACACATCACCCGTCTTGGCGACAGCCCTATCGTGCTGACGGATCCACCACGTCTTGACTCGCTGGTCGTTGCTGACGCTCACCACGACAACGCCATCTTGCTTCCTCGTCGCAATCACCCCATTGATGGCCGCCGCATGCGCACTGGGGACGATGCCCCTGCTCGCAAAGGCCAATCCTTCCCCACGCCTTGCGAGAGTCGTGATACCAAGTCCATTGTCGTCGCCTCCAGTGACAATGACCGCCTCAGTGTCTGACAGCGCCACCACGTCGAGACACTTGATGCTACTCTGATGCAATCGCAGCGATCCCGCCAGCGTGTACACCAACGTCGAAGATTCGGCCTCTCCCTCTTGGACAATGGCCTTCCACAGCACCAGATGCCCATCCGTGGCGGCTGTCAGCAATGCCGCCTCTCCCCCCACCCCGAGCCGGCCCAGCTGACGGACCTGGGTGAGACACGCACCCGTGTAGGCGCCCTTTGCGAGAAGCTGGAATCCCGCGGTGCGCGTATACCTATACGTGCGGAATGTGGAGTTGGAGAGGACCAAGCTGAGCACGAGGGCCTCCTCCCCATCCTGCTGGACGACACCACCGTCCACGTCGAGGATGCGCAGGTCCCCCACGGTCGTCTTGTCGTCAAAGGTGGTTTCGCAGATGACGCCCAGGACCGGATACGTCGTCGAGGACGTCTTGAGCGGGCTCACCCTCCACACAAAGAGCTCCTCGTTCGCGGCGCTGCTGAGCAGATACTTGTCGCCGAGCCATTTGACCGACTGGATGCCCGTGACGTGCGTCTTCATGGACGCCAGGCACTGCATGTCCCCGTGCGACCCCCGGTACTCCCAGATGCGGACCGACGTGTCCTCCGCGCCCGTGGCCAGGTACCGACCGTTGGAGCTCAACGCGCGGATCTCCCTACCGTGCGTGCCCCGGCTCTTCAGATGCCGGGCGTGCGAGGCCTGCTGCGCGTACAGACTCAGTCGGGACGCCTTTGTAAAGGCGCATCGCAAGGGATCCGTGGCCAGAGACCCAGGCTGGAAGCTGAATGTGCGATGCGCACCGCCGCAGTCGACGGACAGGCACTCCTCGCGCCGCGTCTCGTTCCATACCACAAAGTGCTTGCTTCGAAAACCATAGAGAAGGAGCTCGGGCGTGGCATCGGCCGTGAAGCACGCGCCCTCAACCATCGGTCCAAAGGGGAGCCACGCTTCGTGGCACAGCGCCAGGCTCGGCGAGGGTGCGTCTGGGGCGTGTGTAAACTCGTAGATTCGGTACTTCCCGTCTCGCGTGGTCAGCAGGATATAGAATTGCGTCCCTGGGGCCTCCTCGCCTGCACGCCTCGGTAAGGGCACTATCGACGTGATGGCGTCCCTGTTGGGGCAGGGGAACTCAAGGACGCGGCTGTAGTCCTGACCACGCCGGCGCAGGACAGACAGCCAACCACTCCGGGAGCCCATGAGGAGGTAGTCTCCTATCTTGGTCGCAGACGTGGTCACGAAGCGGTAGTCGAGCCCAGATAGATCCACCGCATCGAGTATGTTGCCCGTCTGCGGGTCGAGGACTAGGTACTGCGGCTGTACGTGGCCAAACACGTGGACCAAGATGTCAATCTGCGACATCTGTCCAGGCTGGCTGAGGCAGTAAATGTCGGTGATCTTTCCTTTCACGTGCGTTACGTGAGCAACGGTGCCTGCTTTCCCATTGTACAGGTAGACATGGCCCCCGGTCGTGCCCAACACCGCGTTCCCCGGCAAGGCGCACTTGAGCACGTAGCACCCCTTTAGATCCTCTTGCACGAGCGGTTCCAGCTCAATGCGCTCCCACTGACGACTAGAGGAGCCGAGGTCTCCCAGTAAAAGCCTACCGGCGGATGTGGTCATGAGTATCTGGCCAGGGGCTATAAAGTCGAAGCGACCCAGCACTTCTGGCTTCTTGCTTGGTGGCAGCACTGCCGAGTCGACCGGACAAATGTCCCGCACGTCAAGCTTTGTCGCCAATTCATCATGAGAGTCGGGCTCAGGCTGTGCTCGTCGCTCGTCGTTGATAAGCGTGATCCGGCTATCGCCCCCGCCTGTCGCGATGAGGGTACATTGCTGCTCTCTGAGGACCGCGTGTGACCACAAGTGTTTCCCATCGTGGTAGGAGAAGGTCCTGACAAGATGCAGTTGGCCCGTCAGGGGTCCTCCAGCTCCCGCATCATCGGGAGATGCGGGAGGATGTATGACAAGCTGCCACTTGTTCGTCGTCGCGTCCTCTCCGAAGGTGTAAATGGCCATGTCCGTGCTGGGACCAGCGCCAAACTCGACGCCCCATATCCTTGACAGGTGGCCCATGGCCATCGACACGGGCGGCACAGCGTCCATGACGGGCTGGCTGTCGGCCGCCAAGTAGTCGGTAAAGCCAGTCTCCCTGGCCTTGTTAAAGTGGCCACTGTCGTACGTCTTCTTGTTCGCGGCCCTCTCCGTAATGTCCCACACCCTCACCGTCCTGTCGTCGCTACAGCTCGCCAGAAGCCGGACACTCTCCCCGTGGATGTCGATCGCTTCTGGCGCAATGCTGACCCCGTAGATCGAGCCCTCGTGGCCCGTCAAGACAAATAGCATCTCATACGACGAAGACGGATCGCTCGCGTCATGGTGTGTGTAGTATTTCCAAATCAGAATCTCACCGAACGCTGTGCCGGCAGCCACGAGTACTGTGTGCTCATCCAGCCACGCGAGCTCTGCCGAGTAGAGGTTCGGTCGCGCGGGCGAGACCACCGCTTTGCAGCCCATCTTGTCTTCTTCTTCTTGTTCTTCTTCTTCTTGTTCTTCTTCTTCTTCTCCTTCTTCAAGGGCCACAGCCAAGCGGACAACCTCGTTGTGCGCCGTCACAAGCACAGCCGACGAGGTGTCGAATGGATTCCACCGCCCATCGTAGATCCAGTCTGGTGCCACCGCCCTGACCACCTGTGGACGTGTGCCTTCCTCCACGCCCCGGATCTCAAAGGCGGCGACATACTTGGCGCCCCATGCCAGGACTTTCCCGTCCAATATGGACAGACCGTGGACGGGCTGCTCGTGGAAAACAGGGACGCGACAGAGGAGCGCGGACGACTCTGCATCGTAGACCCTGACTTCCGTGTCCTCCCCTGACAGGACCAACGCGCGGCCCCCACGCGTGTGGCAGAAGGCGAGCGAGGTCACAGGGACTTGCGTGAACTCTCGTGTGGGCGCTGACGGCGCTGGGCTTGGGAATGACATGCCGTGGTTGAAATACCCTGCTGGTGGACGCGCTTTTGGAGGGGTTGTGTACCTCCGTATCCGTAGTTCCAAACGCATAGACAAATTGGGTTAGCACACTCGCCGCCCTTGCTCAGGCTTGGCTCAGCCCTAGCGCAGGGACAGGGAGGGACCCGACTCCCAGGAAGAATAGTAGTGGGAGAAGAGTTACATATAGTACATATATACATAATAGTATAAAGCAAAATAGTACTCCTACAATGATGCTATTATTGCCTCGCTTGCACTGTCACAAAGGGTGAAACCGCACGCAGGATAGAGGCTCCCATGCCGGGCGACGTTTGAATCTACCTTTGGATGCATGCATAGGATTCCCCTCGGAAGCCACCCTTCCCATAGGCAAGAGTGCTGACGGGGTTTAAGGATGAGCCATGGTCAGGCTGGATCCAGACTGTAGCCGTAACCATTCTTTACAAGTACATAGTGTCCAAACAGACTGGAAGTATCGCCATGCAGTGTGGGTCTATCCATGAAGCAAAAGAGTCTTGGTGAAAGCGGGAGGCGGTTATGAGCCAGACTGTATTCATATCGGTTTATGAAAGAGTGTTGTGGCTGGTCATAATGTCCTGCAAGCCATTCCTCTGCGGCGTTCAACCCAACATGAAGCCTACGCCTCAGCGGTGGATCTTCCTACTTCGTTAGCTAGCTCGAGGGCTAGCTACACCGGACGCTCCTCATCCCATCACGCACCTCAATCAACAACACACTCCCCATCTTCCATCTACCACGAGCCTGACACCATGCAGTATTCTCCAACACCACTGCAATGGCCCAAGACAAGGAAGTTGTGCAGGGCATGGGGCATTCGATTGCCTACAGTATAGAAATAGAAACAGTCTTCTATTCATAGTAGAGTATACGGGATATGGTCATCAGTAGCCCTGGAGCCTCCGTCATCTACTCGTCGCAAGGAAAGTTGGTCCAAGGCTTGGCACCATTGTACGCCTTCTCCCAGTTGTCCCTGACCTCGGCCATGTCGCAGACGGGGATCCTGAAGAATCCGGGCGCTCGGAGGTCCCGTTCGACAATCGCGTCGACGGCTTCGGTGTTGATGTCCGGGATGGGGCCACCGTTCCTGCGTCCGTTGTGTGCCCACGTGTTGAGGGAGCCCTCGACGACGTCGCGCACGCTGACGTCGTATTCGTTGCTCTCCAGGGAACTGAAGCCGGGCGGCACGTCGTAGGCGGGACAGCTGAGCACGTCCCCTTCGGCCGTCGTCTTGCACTGATTGAACTTGCTCGGCGCGAGGAGCCAGTAGCTCACGTCGTCGATGCAGAGCCTCTTGCCGTAGGCCCCCGAGGTCACCCAATCGACATTGCTGTTTGTCCAGTCGATTCGGGGCCGTTCGTTGCAGCCAATTTCCTCCTGTGCGTGGGTGACGGGTCAGCAGAGGAAGGCGGGGGAGGGGAGACGGACGAGCACTCACTCTGATGATGACGGGATACATGTCCTCCGCCGAGACGCTCCACGTGATGGGAATCATCTGGGCATTGAGTGCTTTGTGCAAGGCTGTCGTCATGGCGGCCTGGTTGACGCCATCAAGAGCGTCTGCTAGCAACATGGCGCCGCCCTCCATCATCAGCGTCAGCTTCAGGTTGGACGAGTCGCTGCCGTCGAAAAGGGTTTCCGTTAGTGTTTGCACGTTGTCTTTCCAGCTGTTGACAATCTCCTTCATGGCTGTGGCGACCGCCATCTTGGTGCCTGCGTCGGTTTTTCTGCGGTGCAAACGCATGTTAGTGGCGGCAAATACCAAACATATGGAGGTTGCTCACGCTTTGTAATGTTTGGCGTAGACATCCTTGGCCAACGTGGCACTGTTTTTGACGAGGTCGTTGACCTCGTCCTTGAGTGTGCCGGCATTTCCACCGCCTAGTCCTGGCCGACGTGACTGTTGGACCACTACACGTGCCGTGTCAGCGAGTCTTGTCAGACGTAGATTGCTGACATACCTCTGTTCCACATGGGGCCCATGACCATGGAATAGCCCATGACCACGACATCGAGGAGAATGGCGAGTGAAGGGTTTGTATCGTCTGGTTTCACGCCAAAGGTCGACGCTACATTGTCTGGCTGAGTGTAGTCGGATAGACCCTGGAGGGCATCGTTCCAGTCCCGGTTGATCTGTTCGTACGGTAGCCAGTCAGCATCATCCGGTCGCTGAATATATGGCAAGTGGGTATGTAGCAACTCGCGCGGACAACTCACCGAAGCAATGTTCCTGAAAGAGTTGAGGATGAAGTAGCCAGCGGGCCACCTGACATCGTCGCACTGGAGAGCGTTCCCTCCGCCGCAATTGCTGCTTTCCCCGAATATCTCGCATCGGAATCTGTACAGGGATGCAATGGTCAGTCAATGTTTGCTGAATCAACCATGCCAGCAGCGAGGAGCAGTCTTACCCTTGAGGACCGTTGAAGAAATCGGAGATCTGCCAAAAAGAATCATTGTCAGCTGGGCCTTTTCAGAAGAGAAGAAGAAGAAGAAGAAAGACGAGCCACGTACCACGTTGGAGAAGCCGGACACATCGCTTTCCGCTCGGTTGCAATGCCACCAGTCGAGTGCCGATCGCCAGGCCCCAAGCGCGTCGAGCCCGCTCCATGCCTTGATTACGTCCTCGTCTAGCGAATGGTTTTCAACCAGGGGGTCGTTGCAGTCAAAGTCGCGGAAATCGCGCGAGTCGCTCTCTCTGTCGCATCCAGGGTGGTCGCCATCCCCTGGACCATCACCGTCGATGGGATTTCCTGGCTGTACGGGCAGTTGGGGGTCGCCGCCGGGGTCGTCACCGTGCGCGTCTCGCAGCGCGCAGTCTTTATTGAACCAGGTCTCTGCCTTGTTCGTCCACGTCCCCATGATGGAGTGCAGGTCGGCGCGGCCGTTGCCGTTGAGGTCGGGGAAGTACTGACAGGTGCCGGCGTAGCTCCCGTCGTAGACGGGATCGTTGATCTTGCGCCACTTCCAGCTGGAGCCGCCGTTGGCGGAAGGGTTGCCGTGCGGGCCTCCGCCGTACCATACGCGTGCGTTGCCGTTGAACTTGTCCACCCAGATGAGATCGTCCCGACCGTCGCCGTTGACGTCGCCCCAGCGGATGTTGGCACGGTCTATGCCCTCGGCCTTCTTGAACTGGACCATGGGCCCGAAACTACCGTCATTGAGCTGGCGACGTCCCCTGACGAGGCCGTTCTCCCTGATACACAGGTAGTCGGCGCGCCTGTTGTCGTTGCCGAGATAGGCAAACTGCACGGCATCTGAGGAACGGGACCCAAGGTCAGCCGCGGCCAGCGCGAAGAGGGAAACCGGGTTCACTTACTATCGTGGATGCCAATGCCGTTGCGATCGTTGCACTGAAGGTCTGGAGGGTTCTGGAGCTGGGTAAAGGCATTGTTCCAGCTCTTGGTCTTGGGGTAGTTGTTGATCCAGACGGTCACGCGGTGGTTTCTCTTGGGATCGGCCCAGATGATGTCGCAGGCTCCGTCGCCGTTCCAGTCCGCAAGGTGTAGCTCCCGACGGTCAATGTTCTGAGGGGGCTTCCAGAAGCCTTCAACCCACGGTTCCCAGAACGATCCGCTGCCGACCTGCGTCACGCCGCGACTTGGGTAGACTAGAGGCAAGCGTCAATATATCAGCGTACCCGCCATCGTGGACACTTTACTCACGATCCATCTCGCCTGTCGACCAGACCCAGACGTAGTCGGCGCGTCCATCGGACCAGCCGTGCATGTTGCAGTACTTGTTGCCGTCGGCCTCGAGCTTGGTACCGCCACCGCCCAAGTTCTTCCACGCACGCACCTTGAACTTGAACTTCTTGTCGTCGCCCTCGGTGGGTTCCATAAAGACGTAGTCCTTGACGGACTGGTCCCTGAACGCAAAGGACTCCTCCCGGCCGTAGATGCGCGCAAAGTGAATCCGTTCGCGGACCTTGTCATCCTCGAGGTCACGATTCGGGTAGACATGTCGGATGCCACCGTGTGTTGAGCCCGAGTTCTGGCCTCGGAAAAAGGCCTGCCGCCACGCCACATTGAGGCCGTTGCCGTCTCGGCCCTTTTGACAGCTGCGTGCATTGGTGTACGTCGTGGTTTCTCCCCAGTAACGACTCAGCCACATCCAGTCGTCACGGCCCTGTAGTTCAAGTTCATTAGCGACACGTCCAAGTCACGCGGAAAGAAAGAAAGGCTCACATCACCATTGATATCCTCAAAGCGGATGCCTTCGTTCCTGCTCGCCGTCCACTCTGAAGTCGTCATGGTCGACCGAATGCCAAGATGCTGCCAGAAGCCTGGCGTCTCACCCGTGCCCGAGTTGCGCCAGAACTCCACGGCACCGCTAGACTCATGGATGACGCCGTAGTCCACCCGGCCGTCGCCGTCAATGTCCGCCAGGCGGATGCGTTTCTGCTCGGCCTTGCCGGTCATGATCTTACCGAGATACTTGAAGGTGGGCAGCCTGCTAGAGCCGCGGTCCCCGTTACCAGTGTTCCGGGAGACATGCAGATCGCCCGTCGGCGAGACGCACACAATATCGTCGAGACCGTCGCCGTCGACGTCTGCAAAGTGCAGGCCACGGGGAATGCAGTAGATGTTGCCGTGGAGGTCGCCGATGCGGGTGAACTTGCCGGCGCCGTCACCCGAGTTCTTCCTGAGCAAGGAATCTCCTGTCAGTGACGTACTCGCTGATGGGAGAAACAAAAGAGGACATACCAGACACCGAAACGATGGTCATTCTGCTCGTAGTCATACCAGCCGAGGAGGTCGTCGTACTTCCTACTAAACAGCCGAGCCCAACGCCATTGGTTTCGGTCCCAGGGGCTCTCGATTTCAAGAATAACCCCTTGCTCCGACGAGAAATGCTGGTAAATGCCATTGCCCTCACCCGAGCCGCGCTGGGTGTTTGCTGTGGGGAGGGCCAGATGCGTCAGTCTCAACTCTGCAACCAACAGCATCATCGGGGCCTTTGGACAAGGTGAAACTCACGTGAGAACTCGCCATTGCCTGCAATCTTGTCACAATTGGGCTGGCCGCTCTGCTCCATCGAGGCTGCCTGTTTGACCTTGCCGGCCCTGAGCGCCCTTGTTATGGCAGCATAGTAGATGTAAGACATCCTTCTATGACCCTCGTCCTGGAGTGGTACTCTTGTCAGCCAGAGCTCGATGGAAGCACCAGACGCATCGCACTTACGTTGGGATGGATGTGAATGGTCTCTCCGGCCATCCAGACGGGCTGGTCCAGGCCAAGAAACCCAGACCCTTCACCCGGTGGCTCCATGTCGGCCAGATAGATGCACTTGCCGTCGTTCGATTTATCCCGGACAACGTTACGGTACGCTTGGTTCATGGAAATGCGGTTGATTCTTCCTTCGCCATGGTTTGTGGGCAGCAGCGTCGAAACAATCACGCAGGTCTCACTCATGCCGGAGCTCCCCCAGATTTTATCAACGATAGAGGCCATCATCTCATAGGCGTTGCTAACGTCTTGGCCGCTGTTGGCGTTGTTGGTGCCGATGTTCATGTAAACAATGTTGGGCTTGTAGGCTAGGGACCTGGGGAGGTAGTTCTGCAAAACCTCGTGGAGCTTCGCGCCCGAGGTTGCTTCGTGGTCCTGTCATGATGATGAATTAGACGTTGGGCTCAGACCCTTGCACTTTATGTACTGCCCGTCGTGGCTAGGGTTCGGAAGGACGGCTCACGTTGTCTTCCATGTCGGTACCGTGCTGGCGTGTGCCAACCATGTTGACCTCATACCCGTCGTGCCGGAGTGCGGCTCTGACGTATTTTCGCGACCTATCAAGTGGAGAGCTGGTTAGCTATGAAGAACGGACTTGGGGAGCTATCGTCCTTGTTGAGCTGTCACACTGATAACGTACCCTGAGTGATGGGTCGATCCGACACCCTCCATGATCGACGCACCGAGGGGCAGGATGCGTAACTCCACATTGTCCTGGCGGGACTTGAGTAGAGCAGGGTAATCAGAGAAAGGATCGGTGCTGTTGTCGGCTTCGGAGTCGAAGACGTCGAGGTCGAGCTCAGCCGGAGCAGGGAATGCCCAGACAGCATCGCCCAGACAGGAGGCAGCAGCCAACGCCGCGGCAAACCGTCCAAGCACAACCATGACCTTGTCAAGGGCAACGAACGCGGCGAAAGAGTCAAAGTGTCTGCACAGGACACAGCTTGTACTCGGTTCTGCAATAGAGTTGGACTTGGACCGCGGAGTTGGGGTGCCCCGGGCCCCCTTTTAACATAGATTTCACGTCGTGCCATTGCCCTGCCGCTTTCTGTTGTGAAGATACGTGGATCCTACAGACGGTCTAAGTCTTCTCGAAGGATCAGGCACAAGGCATGAGATCCATGCAGACCGTAGCACGTGCCGACGATGTATAGGGTTCTTCTTACCTATGTTCGACTGATCAGGGTCCTACTATAACCTTGCCCAGCCCCTAGGCCTGCCAAGTAAACTTGGCGGTCAGCACGAGAAGGGTATGCCATGCCCACGTGCGTCAAGCTTTTGCCCTACTGGCAGAGTTCTCCGAAGGATCATTGCTGGCGCCATGGACAACAACAGGGTACTACGACGTCTGCGTAGTATTCCTGAATAAGGAACCACATCAATGTTGCCAGGGCTGCGGGTCAATCAATCAGGCCGGATCCAGGGGTCCATCTGACAGATTGACACGGCATCTGCACATAATCTGACTTTTTGGACTGATACTGATAAATATGGATTAGATTTGGTAGGATTCGTCCGTGGCCGAATATACTAGGTGATAGATAATAGAGAGGCCGATATGGATAAAATGAGGCATATGGCGATGCACGGTTGGCAGCTGTATGTTGTTATGGGGAAGGTGATGGCCCTGATGCCTGAGTCGACAAAGTTTTACGCAGGTACGTGCCTGGGTACGAGGGGGAGGGTGCGGTCCGTGCGGAGGGGGAAATGTGCGCATTCTCATTGGTGGAGGTTCTGTAAAAATAGGTCCAGGCACCCTGATTAAACACTCAAACGAGCGGCAAACCTAATTATTACATGTTGATTGATGAAAGGCCTCAAAACACCTGATTTTATGACTGTTGTTTGCGAACAAGGAAGATGGACTGATACCGCAGCCCTGAGGCCCTGGCCATATATCTTACTCTCCGTTATCGCCAAGACCAAATGACCCCATCTAGCATCCATGGGCAACAACAGGGTATTGTGTCGTCTGCGTAGTATTCCTGGACAAGAAACCACTTCAATATTGCACCAGCATCATCATCAGGGTTCGCCTGCATGACGCGGATCGCGAGCATAAACAGGCAAGCCTTGCTTGATCCTCCTAGGCTACTGGGCCTACTGGGTGCAAGTGTGATCCTAGAATAGCAATGCAACATCCTCTTCGAATACGCTTTAGGCTTTAGCACGTCCAGCAGGGTCTTGGCAAATACAGACCAGGACTGGTGTAAAAGGATTGGCGGAGCTGAAAGAAACGTGGTCATCGACTCGTCGACACGTCTTCTCGCATCCGCACGTTGGCTTTCAACTCCGCCTGCTTCCGACTACCATGTACCATGCCGTCCCATACCACTTGAAGAAGGAGCTGTTCATATGAGCTGGATACTTACATTGGGCCATCAGTAATTGACTGTCTTGTTCTTACCAATGGGGTTCAGTTTTGCCTTCTCGCATCGTCTCTCCTGTAGGGCGTGCCTTGCCGAGTGCTGCTCCCAGAGCTCAAGGATGGTCCTCATCACCCTGTCCGGCTTCTTCAGTTTGACAATGGTACGTACTACCTGGTTGGACGCGTTCGAATGTACTCATCTACGCAAAATCCGGCATCCAGTTCAGATTGGCGTTGGACATTCTACCGTGGAGGTGGCCATGTTCCCAGTCGTCAAGGCAAAATGGGTCAAGGCACCGCCTGGCTTGCCATGATCAGATGTCCAGGCTATCAGTAATAAAGGCTGAACAATCCGCTTCCGCTAGACTGTGTGCCGATGTGTGGCGGCAGAGGATTAGCCGGGCTATGGTGAAGGGAGTTTTTGCGATCAGCGCACACACACACAGCCCGCCGGGAAAGGTTGTGAGTCTCGAGGAAGACCTCTCATGGTATCTTCAGCCTGCAGAACTAATTATGTCCCGAGTTCATGTCGCCGTGAGAGTTGGAACAATGATATAATATTCTTTAATTTCATGCAATGGTGTCTATCTGAGTATTGTTTCCCCCCCCCCCTCGGGTATCATGGTCTGATCCGCACCGTGAATGGTCTCCAACAAAACAGAGGAGACAACACCGATATCCAATTCCAAATACGCCAGCTGCAAATGCATAGGAAGCCATGTCTTCATCACGTCGTGAACTCGCGCTCATCCGCAATCACCCATCTCTCTCGTCAGTTGCGGTGAGCGTACGGCTCGTAGCCAGCATCCGAGCGGCCACTCGAGCTATAGGCGGGCGCGTGGCTGTAGTCTTGGCCATAGGTGGGCTGGAACTGGTTGTGGTAGGTGCCCGATGTCATCTCGTGATCGCCATTCGCGTGTTGGTTAGTGCCGCCAATGGGGTAGTAACCCGACGCGCGGTTGCCCATGAGCTTCTCGCGGTCGTCCGCGGTGTCGCGGCTCTTGTGCTCGGGCTTGCAGCAGCAAATGGTGAACAGCCAAAAGAGGGAGGCGCCGACGGCGAAGGCGCAGCCGATCCAGATGGTGGCGAGGAACTGTGTGTTGATCGAACCACTGACACCGTACTGCTTCGCCGAGGCCTCGATAGTACCAATGACAATCGCAGACATGGCCGTCGCCATGCCGGCCGCCGCGATGGACAGGACGATGGCGGCCATGCCAATCAGCCACACGAGGCACGAGATGATGCGGGTGCAGCTCGCAAAGATGCCGAGGAAGAGCTCGAGACCGAGCACCGCGAGCGCGACGGCGAAGGCGATCTCGGTGTAGCGGGTCATGGTCGAGAAGAGATCAATGGCATGCTCAACCTCGTCGGGGATCTGGTTCCGCAACGCCTCGCTCAGGTTACTGCTAAGGTGCTTGCTGGCCCAGTCATACTCGGCATCGATGCAGTCGCGCGTGGTGCCGTCGCCGTCCGTCTGCTTCTTGATCTCGCAGTAGCCCCAGAGGCCAATCTCGTACTTTAGACCGAGGTTGAGGTCGTCAGCAGAGACGCTAGCCTCCTCACGCTTCAATTTGCTATTGAGCAGGTCATTGATATCCAAATTGTCGAGGTCGAGCGTGCTCAGGTCAATGTTGTCCAGGTTGAGATCGTCGAGGTTGACGTCGTCGGGGAGCTTGTCCTTGAGGTCGTCGAGGCTGACGCCGTCGGGGAGCTGGTCCTTGATATCGTCAAGCGAAGGAACGTCGATTCCAAAGTTGTCCGCAAGGCTCGAGAACGTGGCCTCGTCGAGCGTCATGTCCTCAAGGTTCACCGTGAACATGTAGAGCGAGTTGTGGACGACGCCAGAGAGAGTAGCGACCAGGAATGCGATGATGGCGCCCACGGTCAGGATGATGGGCAAGGCCACACATGCGAAGCGTCCCGCTCTCATGGTGCCGGCTTGGTTCTTTCGAAGCCGTGGGAGGTAGTACTAGGTGTGGTGGAGAGGGAGGGTAAATGAATACGGTCGTGGGCGAGTTTGTTTGACGAGTCGCTAGCTTGGCGAGCTATCCGATAGGGAGTAAATATGATTGTTGTCGTGAACAAACAAACTGCCAAACGGTAGAGAGGGAACGTGACAGGCGCGGGAGATGGAGGATATTGCTCAGAGGATGCAGGAAGCTGACCGTCTTATAATTGAAACGCGAGGAGCAGTCTCTGGCATGCTGTCAGCATATCAGGCTGACATGGACTAAACATGGAGCCGTGGGAGGGCACTGCAGTGAAGGCTGGGCGTGGCGCAGTACCGGCTGGATGCCCCAGGGGGTGGGGGCCTTGCTGCAGACTGGCTGGGCGGCCCAAGAGGCGCTGCTGGGGAGACGCGTCTAGTTGATGGAGATCTCACTCTCAACGACTGGATAATTTATCCATTTCAGGGAAGATGTGCATGGGAAAGCATCCCGCTTTGCAGGCTGTCGTCAGCATCCAGACTGAGCCTCAGCCAGCGCTGGCATCCTGTACCTTTCTATTGAATCCAATACAGCTCAAGGCGCCCTTCAGTCGGTCAACGACTGGGCCCTGAACGCGAATTTGACTACGTACGTACCTTATACTGTTCGTGCCAAGACCAAATGGTGCCCGTACGACAAAGTTTGATTGTACATCTTGCACCGATGCATCCTCATGTAAAGATGGACCCTGAAACAAGCTGTCCAGGTAATCTCCACAGCAACGTGTGCAGATCTGCTCAGCGCACGAGCGTGATGATCGACGCAGACTGCTCACCCCTGCAATGCTAGCTACACTGAAATCAGCTCCATCGCAAGATTGTCACGGCTCGTCTTGCTCGAAATCGATGACAGCCCAACAATGTGACGACAACTCCGAGGAGGCTGGCAAGGTTCGCGCAGTTGTCTTGGTGGAAGCAGGGACTTACTAGCAATGCTTACACAGCCCGCCATTGAGACGCTAATAAACTTAACTGTGCTAAATTTAGCAGCTCCAGCCGCACGCCTGGGCCTGGCTCGCCGCCTCGATGATAGTGTGCGCTCACAAGCTAGAAATTTGATACGGTCAAGTAATTCGATGGCAGGTCGTTGATGTATGAGCCCGTAACCGCTCTGCGCAGTAATATAGACAATTCCCAGTCATTTTTCTTGATGAGATCCAAGAGTAGCGACCAAGTCCCTGTGACGTTGAAGTTTGACCTACCCTGCGCGTTTCACCGTGACATGCTATTCTCGCTAGCCAGCTATTATCGTACCCAAGTGGTGCGATTGATGCTTGGCCGTTTTCGTCTGTGTCACTCTGTTGCGTGATCCATTGGACGGGGCTTATACATTCTTGGTCCACTGGTGCTCTGTGAATCGTACAGCAAGAAACCACGTTGTCCGCAACACACACACAAACTGATACACTGTCACCCAAACGTTTGATATCTGCAGTCCAAACACATGAAGTAATCTGCCCCAGGAGACTGGCGCAGTCATTGTCAAAGCGCAATTTGGGTGCTGACAACTCGATCGAGCTCTCATTGCTTGCCACATGCCCAGGAATGATAGTATTCGTACAGAAGCGGTCCGGACGTGGTCATGCTACACATCTAACGGTCCGAGTCAGTCTCGAACAGTCCAAACCTTAATCAAATCCCCAGATGCCAAGCAGCCAATCGATGGCCCGGGCCTGGCTCTTCATCGCAACTGCCACTGTGACGATCGCATCCGGCATGCACCACCTTCCAAGGCACGACGAGACATTGATTAGGACCTCCCTACCCCCTTTCAGTCCCGCCCTCCGCGTCTCAGGGCCACATGAACTCCAGAACGGCTTCAGAATCCTGGATTGCAGACCACCAAGGAGCTTCACACACTCATCTCGCGCTAGACTGATTAGACAAGCCTTATCAGTCTCACAGTCCTCAATCCTGCCTAGCCCAAGTGGCCTGTGCTTCACGCCTGTGCCTAACATACCTAACTGGGGCCGCAGGCCTCCTTCACCTGTCCGTCTTCGGCGTCAGTGACGAACCCAGCCCAACACGATTGGAGCGTGAACAGGACGGCCAAGGCACGACTTGACATCTCGAAAGTCACTCGCTTCTTCGACTGCTTCAATACCATTGCCATTACCAACAGTATCGCCATCATTGGTGTTGCTCTGCGCCTTCGTCAAGCGGCTGCACATCGTGCATGTACCATCAGGCAATAGTGAGAGCCGCTGCCACACCACGAGGCAAGCTCCCCGCAGCAGGCCTGAGGTGAACCGCTGAAGGCCGGATTGGCAGGGTTTTCCGTCCACGCCTTGCGAAACAGTCATTCTCACACATCCCATATCCTACAACGGCCGCCACTGTTCCTTTCACAATCCGTTTCGACCAGCCAGCCAGCCCATCCACTCGCGCACACACCCGCCCCCGTCATCGACACCTTTATCTCCGAGCTGTCATTACTACAAAGCCCACGCATATTGTCCGTTAGACCCGACGTCATTGCTGCTCGACACGCCGACGCCGATTCCGCCGTTATTTGTCGAGCCCTGTTATCTCTCGAACCTGCGAGCGATTGATGTCTGATTGCTCAAGACGGGTGCACTAAACCCTCCATCTTGTTTCTCAGACAGCGCAAACGTCGACTAGCTCGTCGAATTACCACACCGAATACCAGACCACCACACTCAGACACGACACTCAGTTCAGCCTGCTCTGCGACACCCTCCGGGGCTAAGACAACCCTCCCGCAATGGGCAACTCCAGCTCCAAAGGCGCCGGGCCAGGCGCTCCCTCATATGGCGACACCTTGCAGTCGTACCCGTCCCTGAGCAAGTCAGACACCAAGGAATCATCCCGCTCTTTCCGCTCCTTGCGGTCCAAGATCCCCGGGGGCTCGAGCAAAAGCGCAGACAGCCCCCGCAACTCTTCGCTCGTGAACGAAGTAGAGGCCAACAAGGCCGCCGACGTCGCTTCGGTGCGGTCGGGACGGAGTGGGAGGTCAAGCCTATCCAGAGCCAACCGAGCAGATCTGCCAACGCTGAAATCTTCGGCCACAGACATGTCGAACCTGTCCATCGACTCCCCCGCTTCAGACGACCAGATGCCGCCGTCGCCCGTGCAGTCGCAATCCATCAAGAATGGACAGCACGCGGACGTGTCGGCTGCCCAAGCATCGGGAGAGGTTGATCACGTGAGTGATCAACCGCCTGGTACCGTCTCACTACCTACAGGGCCTTCCGCACAGCCAGGACAATCGATTCTCGTCAGACGGGAGGGGGCCGCTGCACAACCTCTGCTATCTGCTGAGCCGGCCAGCCCCGAGGCCAACGCGAGCACGACCCCTACCGCCGGTGGAGTGGCCATGTCGGATATCAACGATATTGACATTGATGATTTCATCAAGCGCCTTCTCGACGCGGGGTACGCAGGCAAGGTGACCAAGAGTGTCTGTCTCAAAAACGCTGAGATTGTGGCCATTTGCCAGCGGGCCCGGGAGGTGTTCCTCAGCCAGCCCGCGCTTTTGGAGCTCGATGCCCCCGTGAAGATTGTCGGTGACGTGCATGGCCAGTACACAGACCTGCTTCGCATGTTTGAGATGTGCGGATTCCCCCCGAACTCAAACTTTCTGTTCCTGGGCGACTACGTCGATCGCGGCAAGCAATCCTTGGAGACAATACTGCTGCTGCTCTGTTATAAGCTGAAGTATCCAGAGAACTTTTTTTTACTGCGTGGAAACCACGAGTGCGCGAATGTGACGCGTGTATACGGCTTCTACGATGAATGCAAGCGGAGGTGCAACGTCAAAATCTGGAAGACATTTGTGGACTGCTTTAACACACTGCCAATTGCATCCATCGTCGCCGGCAAGATCTTCTGTGTCCACGGCGGTCTCTCCCCAGCTCTGGTACAGATGGACGACATCCGGAATATTGCGCGGCCCACCGATGTGCCCGACTACGGTCTGCTGAACGACTTGCTCTGGTCCGACCCTGCCGACATGGAGCAAGACTGGGAAGCCAACGAGCGCGGAGTCAGCTATTGCTTTGGAAAACGCGTTATTACCGACTTTCTTGCGGTGCACGACTTTGACCTCATCTGTCGCGCCCACATGGTGGTAGAAGACGGGTACGAATTCTTCAACGACAAGGTTCTTGTGACGGTCTTCAGTGCGCCAAACGTGCGTTCACCCAGTCCTCGCGCCCGACCCTTCTGACACACATCACTAACCGCTTACTAGTACTGCGGCGAATTCGACAACTGGGGTGCGGTCATGTCTGTATCGTCAGGGCTTCTGTGCAGCTTTGAGCTGCTGAAGCCTCTCGATTCCAGCGCACTCAAGAGCCACATCAAGAAAGGGCGCAACAAGCGACAGCAAATGCTTAACAGTCCGGTATGTTCCGCGGAAACACTGACTTGCAGGGATGTGCTAACAGTTGGTAGCCTGCAAGCGTGCACCCCCAGAGCTTCTGAGATGGCAGTGTGATTGCAAGCTTACTGGCGCGGGGGCATGCCATAGTCACCGAACGTGTCGGCCTGTTCCAGGACGCGATACATTATACGAGAACTTTCAGGAAAGCAGGGGCGCTGCGCGAGAAGTGCGCGTACCTGGAGTCCCTCATCACGGCGTGACAGCCGTGGTCGGCCCGCCGTCCCACTCGAGACGAGGCGTGACAACCTCGTCGGCTCTGAAACGAGCGCTCGCCGTAGGATCGTCAAGTACGCGGCATTCATCCAATACAGGTAGTCCGCCGGTTCCTGGGACATGGCGCAGAGGAGTTCAAGTTTTGCGTGGGAAACTACGAGTTAGAGAGGTTTTCGCCTCGTTGTTCGTCTATGTATGGTATTATACAAGGGGTAGTTCTCGGATCTCTTTTTCAAGTGACTGGGCCAGCGAACCAGTTGCCATTGATCTCAAATAGGAATTTATCATAGCTACTAAATGTGGAAACAAATCGGCATGTCTCGTGGTGAAGGTGAAGTCGCCAACAGGGCCTGAGCCTGAGATCCGCGATGTGGACCCCCGGAGCGCGGTCACGTGCACCTCCAGAAATTCTTCCTCGAACCTCGCGTCGACGACCTCGAGATCGCCTTGGCCAATCCGTTTACCTACCCCCCAAACCCAATTGTCGACCACCAGCGCGTCGTGTCGGCGTTGTCTGGATCGACACTTTCACAATGATGCACCGACAGACATTACGGTCGGTGACCCGTCGCACTGCGCCCGCCGACGTCGAATCTCTATCCGCCTACTTCCACCAGAGCTTCTCGACATCCACGTATTTTCAGGCCGACGAGCCTGCGCCATCAGACAAGCCATTCAACGTGCGGAGCAAGTCACTCGCCGCGGCAGACAAGATCAAGAACCTAGTCGGAGGGCAGACACGCCCGGCACCGGCACCCAGGAGTAACCCGGGCGCCACAGGGCCCAAGATTGTCGACATCAAGAGCCTGCCTCGAGGCGGTCTACGCGGGCGAGGAGGCTTCCGAGGCCGTGGTGGCGCATCAGCAGGTGCTTCTGCCGGTGGTGCCGGGGGGGGGCCCAATCGCTTCGCTGGCGCATCTAGGGGAAACGCCGCACGAGGTGGACGAGGAGGTGCCTCTGCCCGCGGCCGTAGAGGAAACGCTGTGCGTAAAGGTCGCAAGAAGGGCGAGGAAGGAGAGGAGGGCGACCGCAAAGACCGGCGATTCGACCAGGGACACGCTGTCGAGCCCGAGGCCCAGGCCTTTATGGACACCATGCGCTACGGCGTGACCACAACCTTCAATCCTTCTGTCACGACCAAGTCTCTCGAGGGCCACTTCCCCGCCGTCCCATCGGGGCAGCACGGTGCGCTGGCGTCCGTGCACCAATCCCTCGCCGCCCTGGGCGGGGGGAACCGCGTCGGCCTCCCCGACGAGCACACGCCCAAGGACAACGCGCGTGACCTGCACACGACCAAATTCCGCTACTTCTCCGACGTGGAGTCCAAAGACCGCGTGGAGGCGCATCTCCAGGCGCGCTACAAGACGGACAAGCAGCAGGTGCTCCCCGCGGACGAGCACGTGCGCAAGGTCGTGTGGGAGCAGGCGGTGCTGGGGAAGCACGAGGCGCCTCAATTTGCGGACGCTAAGAACTCGACGCAGATTGCCAGGAACTGGCAGCTGAGGAATGAAACGTGGCAACCGAGGGAGGCGTCCATCTTTGAGGCAAAGGTCGCCTCGCTGCTGGAGAGGGCAAAGCCAAAAGGCGGCGCCAAGCAGCAGCAGCCCAAGAAGGCATGATCATGACGATGTGGGCGACGGGTGATCTTGTAGTACGTAGACCATGGTTCTGTATATTTGGGTGTAATATTACAACTGTCCTTGTTCTTCCCTTCTCTCCTATAAACTTTTAGTTCCGCCCCAATTGCTTGACTGCCCTAGCTTCGTCGTCGTCAATCTCCTTCATCTTCTTGTTCTGCACCTTTTGCAGCTCATTCTCCGCCTTGCGTAACTCGTCGGCGCGAATCGCCCCCTTGCGCTTCCACTCCTTCATGAGCTTCTCGTGCTTGCCGCGGGCGTGGCGCACGCGCTCGCGCCAGGTCTGCGTCAGGTCCTTGACCCGCTTGATCACGTCCTCCTTGCGCTCCATCTCGACCTTGAGAATGAGCTCGAGGTCGTTCTCGTCCGACCGCTGGGGCTGCTGGTTGAAATCAGGGCTTGCCTGGATGGTGGACAGAATGGGCTTGATGTACTCGTTGTCGTTGACAAGGAGGGAGAGCGTGCGGCCGCGGGGGACGACCTGGCAGAGTTCGCGCAGGGGGAAGTCCTCGACCTTTGTGACCTTGGTGCCGGACATGTCGTCCGCGGGGACGACGGACTTGACGGTGACGGTGAGAGTGCCGAGCTGGTCCGGGTTGAACCGGCCACCGTGGAGGAGGGCCTGCAGCTGGGTCTTGAAGTGCGCGTCGATGCCGGGGAAGGTGGATGTCAGCGGTGTGAAGTCGAGAGGGTCGATCTCGTCGGCGGCGCCCGAGGCGGCGCCATCTTTCGAGGAGGATGTCGGCTCGTCTTTGCGAACAGGGGAGTTGGCAGGTGCCGCGATCTTTCGTTTTTTGTAGATAGCTGGGGTGGTTGTGAAGGGTCGAACTGCTTGGAGGATCCTGCCTTTGGGGAGTCGAATGGGTTGGCTAGGGCAGTCAGCTGTCTGCTCTTTGCGAGAGTCAATTGAGCTTGCCTTTGGAGGGGCTGCCCTAACCGCCTCAAAGGCGTTTTTAGTCGTGAGGCCATGATCTGGGGTGTCTGGAGAGAGTGTATTGTCCCAAAAGAAGTTTCAAGCTCTGCCAACGGAGCTTTCGACGTTGGCGATAAGATAAGCGCGACGAGCCTCAGCTAAAGCACCGGGCGTACGCCGTGCATATTATTAAGGTCGCAATTGACTTTTGATCTATTTCCATACCTTACTATCTAGTAATTAAGGTGCGTCGGAAGCATTATAAGTCCCAAATATCCCATTGACTCTAGGAAGTCCCCTGACGCCTCATTCTGCACAAACTTGAACATTGCTTGGTCATGTAGAGTGGAATATTCCGCTTCGGCACTCTGGTACTGAGGAGTCCATCTAAGGCCATGGCAACCATTGGCTCAAACCGTTTGTTCCGTCAGCGGTACAGAAGCTGAGGTAAAAGGGCAAAAAAGCCACTTCATCCAGAAGGTCAAAATGACAAAATGTAATGATCGTAGCAGGGCTCGAACCTGCGACCTTTTGTGTCCCCATATCGGGTGATAATGTAAGACAAACGTGATAACCACTACACTATACGACCTGGTATAATTTTTCTCAATTTTGGTACTATACAATAATTTGCAATGCCCCGGATCTTCTTTTTGCCAATACTGACGATTTGCGCGCAGGAGTAACTGTGCAGAAGCGTTGATGATCAGACAACACCAGGAGGGAACTGCGGCTGCTACTTTGCCATATGGTACTAAAGACCCATAGGAGCTTTCACAGCCCAGGTCCGGGTCCAATCACCTGCGCCTCTACTAGTGTAAGTTTCTTGCGGATGTCGGCTTTTCTTGCAAGGCCTGGATGCATGCTGCGCCCATTGTTGCTGCCCAGGTGCGATATCATCAGAGTGTGAGTAACCGGGAAATCTGCGTGTTTATCATCCTATCAGGGAACTTGCCCAGTGAAGAAAGGAGATGGTAAGGAGCCGGCTTCGTCGCTGCCGGACCGGTTCCTCGTAGCCGGTCCGGACGCTTCCCCACCCCCTCGGAAGCGTGGTGTGAGCCGCGAAACTTTGAAGCTTGCGCTGTTGAAGGTATTGACAGGACGCAGTTGCCAGTACGTGAATGATGTATCAAATTTAGCAACCACTCTGAGCCTTCTTCACGGGTGATTGCAGCAAAGACGACGCTCAATGCGTACTCTCTTGATAATCACTTCTTTGGGAAGCGATCGCGACTGGAGAGTCAACACGACGTCATCCGCATTTACCAGTGATGCCGGCACAAACCACGACTGACCGACGGCAGCGCTCCAGTCGCTCACCCCTCCATCAGCCAACACACCCCAAACGGGCCCATCTAACGCGAGGTACTTGAGGGGGTTGTGCTGCCGGTTCAGTCTGCTACTTTTTTTATTTTCATAAAGAGGCGACCATGACCTCGACTCTGCTCCGGACACTGACTGCTCCCTCGTCATCCTTGCGCGTCTCACGATATTCCATCCTCTTTGCTCGTCAAGCTTCCACAATGACGCCACAGGTTCGTTGGGACCCCCTGACCAGACGAGTGACTGTCCTCACGTGGCTAACGATACTCACCAGCTCAAAGACCCGTCCCTGTTCAAGCAGAACGTCTGCTACGTCAACGGCGAATGGGTAGCCGCCAAGTCGGGCAAGACCTTCGAGGTCCATGGTGCGTTGTTCCATTCTCGCGTCTCGAACTCACTGCCTACTTCGAACCATGTACTCATAAACAAACAGACCCCTCGACAGGCGATCTCGTCGGGACAGCCCCCGAATTCACATCCCAAGACACCGAGTCAGCGATCCGCGCCGCTGCCGACGCCTTCCCCTCCTTCCGCACACAGACCGGCCGCCAGCGCTCCAAGCTCCTGCGCGCCTGGTACGACCTCATGGTCGCCAACTCGGAGGACATTGCCAAACTCATCACCTGGGAGAACGGCAAGCCCCTCGCCGACGCAAAGGGCGAGGCCACCTACGCCGCCAACTTCTTCGAGTGGTTCAGCGAGGAGGCCCCGCGCATCTATGGCGACACCATCAACAGCTCCGTCCCCGCCAACCGCATCCTCACCTACAAGGAGCCCATTGGCGTCTGCGGCCTCATCACGCCGTGGAACTTCCCCGCGGCCATGATCACCCGCAAGGTGGCCCCAGCCCTGGCCGCCGGCTGCACCGTGGTCTGCAAGGCACCGGGCGAGACGCCCTTTACCGCGCTGGCACTGGCCGAGCTGGCGCATCGAGCCGGCATCCCCAAGGGCGTCGTCAACGTCGTCACGGCGCTCGACAACACGCCTGAGGTCGGCGAGACGCTCACCACGTCCGACACGGTCCGCAAGGTCTCCTTCACCGGCTCCACCAACGTGGGCAAGCTCCTGATGAAGCAGTCCTCGGGCTCGCTCAAGAAGCTGTCCATGGAGCTCGGCGGCAACGCGCCGCTGATTGTGTTTGACGACGCCGACCTCGAGACCGCCGTCACGGGCGCCATTGCCTCCAAGTTCCGCTCCTCGGGGCAGACCTGCGTCTGCGCCAACAGAATCTACGTCCAGTCCGGCATCTACGACCAGTTTGTCCAAAGGTTTACCGAAAAGGTCAAGGGCTTCAAGGTCGGCAACGGCTTTGACGAGAACAACACCCACGGACCCCTCATCCACGGGCGCGCCGTCTCCAAGGTCGACCAGCACGTGCGCGACGCCGAGAAGAAGGGCGGCAAGGTGCTTGTCGGCGGACAAAAACTGCCCGACCTCGGCGACAACTTCTTCCAACCCACCGTCATCCGCGATATGACCGGCGACATGGCCATTGCGAGCGAGGAGACGTTTGGCCCCGTCGCGGGCCTATTTCCGTTCCGGACCGAGGAGGAGGTGATCAAGCTGGCGAACCAGACCGAGGTGGGCCTGGCGGGCTACTTTTTTGCGCAGAACATGGAGCGCGTGTACCGCGTGGCCGAGGCGCTGGACGTGGGCATGATCGGCGTGAACACGGGCATCATTTCCGACCCAGCATCGCCGTTTGGCGGTGTGAAGCACAGCGGGTTCGGCAGGGAGGGGTCAAAGTACGGGATCGAAGAGTACCAGGTGGTCAAGACGTTTACGTTTGGCGGCATGGGCAAGCCGCTGCAATCGTGATGGGATCGGGAATTGAGCATCAGCAATATATGGAACTGGCTCGTCATCATGCGTTCGCATTGTGAATCTGGAATTATGTAACTGTTACCACTTGATGGGGAGCAATGGTGGGCTCTTTGTTTGAATACATCCTGAACGCCAACATCTTTGCCGGAATACCTATTCTATACCAGCCTTGGCTTTCCCTTTCATGGAGTCGTTTGTCGTGTGTCCAGAGGCGACTCTCATCTCACATCACGGCGCTCGTTGCGCTCGCAAGGGCAACTGCCTGTTCAGGGTATGGAAAGCTTGCGTCCTCGGTGTGAAGGGTGTTGCCGACACCAGGGGTTCATTCTTCATGTTCTGCATCTCGACGGGCTTGGCGTCATACCCGTACAAGGAGTCGTTGTCGTCGTCGTCGTCCCCGTCGTTGAGCTCCTTGTTGGGCCACATGGCCCAGGCAGCAAAGCCCAGGTTGAGCAGGTAGATCATGCTAAATGACTGTCAGCAAATTTCGTGGTCGTCGGACTATCAGAAGCCCACGTACAGCATGTAAAAGGTGATGCCCAAGGAGCTCTGCGCGATCTGGCATGACTTGTAGACACCCCACTCCTTGGCCATGTCGCAGCCGTAGCGAAAGTACCACGCCGCGGGCGCCGGGTACCGGGGGTCCGCGTAGTCGGGGCCAATCTGGCCATAGACGCTGACGGTGTAGAGCGCCGTCATGGCAATGTTGATGACTAGGGCGATCAGGGGCAGCCAGCCCTTCATGATAAAGGTGATGAGCTTGACGAGCAGCAGGAAGAGGGAGATGACCGAGATGGCCACGTTAAAGTCGGTCAGTCTGCGGGAGAAGAGGATTAGCCATTGTGCTCTCGCTCACTGGACGCCCATCTCCTGGGACCTACGTTCTTGACCACACCAGGGGAACCTGCGGCAGAGGTTTGTGGTTGGCGTATGCGTAGAGGATCATGTTGGGGTTCGAGTTGAGCTTGTTCTCGTAGCCAATCTTCCACAGGTCGGTGCGGTAGAGGTTGGGCTGCGCGATGCCGAAAATGACGAGGATGGGAATGAGGCCCATTAGCTCAAAGACCATCAGCCACGCCGTCCCCTTGCGGGCGGGCTTGGGCCACTGGCGGAGGAACGGGCGATATGTCCTGTTGGCCCAGGTTTCCTTGAGATTCATGATGTGGTTCGTTCTGCGCCTGTGGCGACTTGGACTGTGGTTGCGGTTGTGGTTGTTGTTGCTCGTAGCGGCCAGCGCCACGGTTGTCGTCTCACATTCGCCTCTTCACTAAAGTATGTTCGCGGCACAGTGCGCTGTTCTCGTCGTCGTTGTCGTCGCCGCCTTCTTAGCTGTCGTCGTTGAAGTTCTGTGTAGACGTCGGCCAAGATCAAGTCATGATAAAGGGTCGTGAGTTGGCCGCCGACAGAGGGGCCTGACGTACTTAACGTGGGCCAAGGGCTGCCTCTTTTCTTGCCCATCTGCCTCTGGGGAGAGGCGAGAGGAGGCCATCATGAGCATCACGCAGCCAATTGGAGGCTGGAGGTGAGGGGATCACGTTAAGCGCCCATGCACGTCCGCCTGGTGTTTGGCTGTGCCGGGGCCAATCACGGGCCTCAGCAGGCGCTCGCTGTCACGCTGTGTGATCAAATGGGTGGTGCTGTCTGTCTGTCCCACCTTGGACGCGCTCTTGACCGCCGATGCCAGACCAATCTTTGGTCTCGAACGGAGGCTCACTTAATAATTACTAAGGCAGCCTCTCATGACATGAGCCTTTGGCGAAAAGCGCCGTCCATGGTGGAGGGTGAGGTGCCGGGCTGTGTCCACCAGGCCGAAGTAGCCGGGACGTGAGCGGCCCCGCAGCGGAGGGACGTTCAATTGGAACTTGGAAGTTCGTTTGGGAATTGGGACTGCTGATGATTGCCGGTGCCGTGCCTGAGAGGCTGAGACGCCTCGCCGTCGTTGGCGTGGGCGACTACAAGTAATATCGAGCGTGACGTCTGAGAGGCACTCGCCACGCTCGATAGTGCACACGCAGTCGCGCGGCGCTCGATGTGTTCCGAGCGTGTTCTATCGAAGCCTGTGGACACTGTGGCTTTCTTTTCCACTCAGTTCACTCAGTGTCGGGATCCGGGGCGTCGAGCCCCCACGCTTGTTGCTGGATGACACGCTCTTCCCTGTCAAAAGCGTGCAGTCATTGTGACCATCGACAAGCGCGTGATGCCACAGCAGTCTGAATGATCAATGCACTGTACGCATTGCGCGGTACTAATCTAGTAAGGACAACCTCAGGCTTTGGTCCGACTCATGTTGGAGCTTTGACGGCTCGTGGGATTGCTGCGGGCCTGGCCTGGCCGATCACGATGGCCACGCGACGACCCAATTTTATTTTTGCTGAATCTTTATCTGTTCCAGCCTCCAGGGCGCTACAAAAAAGAAAAGGAAAGCGATGCCTCGTGGATATCTGATAGATCGCAGACCCCAGCCAGGAATAATAATCAATCTCGAGTAGTCCGTAGATCCGAGGATGATGCCATTGCGCTGTGTACGTAAATTAACTAGCGGCGGATCGTGGAAACTGGCGATCGTGACGGTCGTTGCTTCTCCCTGCGGCCTGCATGCGTCGTATCCATTCATGGGTCTGGTCTCGACCGTGTTCCCTGTACTGTAGATCCTGGGGCAAGTAATTAGGTACGCAGATTGAATTTAAATTCATTCGCGCGCTGGCAGTGAAAGAATAAGCAGCGATCATCTTGCAATTATGATGAATGCTCCGTCCGGATGGTCTGATTAACGATAGTCTCAGAGAGGCAGACGCTGGTGACAGAGAGGCAGGCAGAGGCAGGTGCGCCTGTCATGTCCTGCCCGTCCTGTGCCCCTCTACCACGTACCTTATTACTGCGCTCGTGGTCTAGACCCAGTCCGCCATCGCCGCTCATCGCCAGCAGGCAGAGCCTCCAGCAAGTATTTCATTAAGCTCATACCGATGCATCGGCTCAGCGTGTCTCCATCAGCAGATCAGCAAACTGGCAGGACCGGCTTACGATGCATTCCTGTCTCGTGCGCCAACAACTATCCACTTGTCAGTCTCATCTATCCTCTTATGACTGTGCTTCTCCCGATATCTGCCCTATGATTATTTCCTGTGATCAGCGTCCTTGCTAGGTCAGGATAGGACTGCGACATACGCCCCGCCTCTCTCGCTCTCTCAAGGTACCTTGCTTCTTACTTGCTCATCTCACCCCGATGGCAGATTTGGAGCCGCGTCACTTCACGATTTGTATTGTTCACAGCAGATCGAGTCCAAGAAACTTTCCTGGCTCTTCCGGTAGCTCCAATGGTTCACCTGCCGCCGTCGCGTCCTGATTTGTGCCTCCACTCGACCTAGCAGCATCCGTGCCTGTTCTGATTTACGCCTCCAACCATCGCCCCCATTCCATCTCGATCGTCTGCCTTAACTTCGATTCATCCCTCGGCCACCCACCCCCCCGACCGAGGGGCGCTGCTGCAGCCGTGCTGTCAACAGTCTCGATCCTGAGCGCTTTTCACACCCTTGCCCTGGACTGGACTGAAACTGGAAGTCGCAGGCCCGCCGTCTTCGCCCCGGCTCTGGGTTCAAGCAAGAAAACGAAAAAAAGGCCTGTGACTTGGGACCCCGTCCTTGGCGCCTTGATGCAGCAGCAACACATCGACGACCCGGTCCCGCCGCCAGGTTCTTCCACTCCTCACATCGACACTCCTGCCAGTCTCAAGACAGCTCTCAATCATAGTGCTCCTGCTGCTCCGCAAAGTGCCATCCAGACTGACCAACACCCTTCACCGAATCGAGGACCCCGGCACTCATCCACCCTCCAGACCAGTGACCGCTTGGGGTCATGGCAAGCTGAGTACTACCGCCCTGGCTACGGCCAACACCGAGGCCAACTACACCGATCACCGAAAACGCCATCCCACGAAGCCGGAGGAGCTGTTACTAGCGAAAGTACTCATCCTGAGCCTGGAGCAACTTCGTCGCAGACCTATCGCAGAGTCCCAGGATTGAGTCGGAAGCCCAGCTACGGAAAGAGATCTTCGTCCGGGCAGACCGTGCACGACAGTGCCATGGTACCGTCGCCCGTCAAGAAAGCACGTACAGGAGCATCACCACCCCGCATGGCCGACATGCCAGCCCCAGTCCTCGGAGGAGGCCTCAAAAACCCGTCACAGCCTGAAGGGGCTACATCGCCTTTGTTCTTCTCGCACTCGGCTGGCTCGAGACACTCGTCGCGGCATGCCAGCAACCAGTCCAGTGACACGTCCACGTCCACGTCCATCCTCGCCAGACTCCACGACGAGCCGTCCGGATCTGTGACGACGCTCAAGATGCCGCGCGCCAGGGTCGACTCTGCCAGTGGTGGGCGCTCAGGCAGTACGCCCGGGAGTTGGGGTTCGTCCATGGACACGTCTGCACCGGCTCTGACGCCCGATTCGCGCTCGCTGGCGCCTGGACTCCAGGGCCTCAGTGGGATTGATGTGATCGAGCTGTTGGATCAAGATGACCGTCCAACATTCCTGGTGGATCTGGCCAATCCGGTCAATTCCAGCCGCCCTGGCATGCACATTCTTTTCTACAACACGGCGCTCCGGACATCTCGCAGCGTCCTCCGCCTGCTTATCGTCGAACAGGACGGGTCCACGGCCGCGACCGAGTTTGGAAACTTCAAAAGCTGGGTCATGACATCGGTCAAGTCGACCGAGGGCCCAGACCCGCCTCTGCCGCAGCATACGTACGGCAACATAACGTGGGCGTGCTCGACGTTGAGGAAACGTCTTCGCGTAGTGAGCGCCGTCACACCTATCCCGTCCGACCGCGTCGACTCGCCGATCCCTTTGACTGAGGAGCCGATTGCCCTCGACCAGCAGATCGAGGATCCTTCTCCAGACATGCCACTCACCCCTGGCACGGAAGCGATTGATCCGCTTGACTACTTTGGTGAAGCTCCGACAAAGGCCGACACCGTTGACGCGATCACGGTGAATGGCGTAGGGACTGAGCCTGCGCTCGATACATCCGACCGGCACCATCCCGACGAGTTCACCAATGCGGTCCTCCAGGCTCAGCCGGCGAGGTCCACGTTTGACTGGACGAGAATCCCTGTCACGGATGAGCTACCCGAGCACATCAAACTGGCAAGGTCGAAAGACTGGTCCATGACGCCACTGGGGCCCATTGAGGATTGGCCGCACGAACTGCGCGCCATGTCAAACATGGTCATGGGCAGCCCCCATCCGGCAGCGTTGTACTGGGGACCTCAACACTATGCCATCTACAATGCGGCCTATATCGATCTGGCAGGTCAGAAGCACCCCAGTTTGATGGGGTGTAGATATGAGGATGCATGGAGCGAGATTTGGCCGCAGATCCAACCCGTGTTCCAGGCTGCATGGGAGTCCGGCCAGGCCACCATGAAGCATGACAACCAACTCTTCATTGTACGACACGGCTTCCTGGAGGAAACCTTCTTCTCCTGGTCAATCGTGCCACTGGTGGGCGCCGAGGGCGAAGTGGTAGGCCTCTACAACCCGGCGTTTGAAAACACACGAAGAAAGGTCACAGAAAGGAGGATGCTCACTTTGCGCGAGACTGGGGAGCGCATCGCCAGCGCCACCACCGTGCAGGAATTCTGGCCGCAGGTGAAGAAGGGACTCGAGTACAATGAGTACGATGTCCCCTTTGCACTCATCTATTCGACTAAGGACGACACGACGGAGAGCGAGGTGTCCTCCATGCACTCGTCGAGCACTTTCCACACTCCACAGCTCGTCCTCGAGGGCTCCATCGGCATCGGCGACAACTACGACGCAGCCCTTGACTCGCTCGATCTCAGAACGTCGGACGAGGGATTCGCCCCGTACATGCGCCAGTCCATGGCCAACAATGGCAGTGTCGTCGTGCTCTCGGCTCACGACGGCACTCTTCCCCAAGATTTGGTTCGAGGCGTGGAGTGGAAAGGCTTTGGCGACCCCTGCAGCACGATTGTGGTGTTCCCCATCGTCCCCACGACCACTGGGGAGTCGGTTGTAGGTTTCATCGTCATGGGCGTGAATCCCCGACGGCCGTACGACGATGACTACAAGCTGTTCATCCACCTGCTCTCTCGGCAGCTGGCCACGTCGATGGCTTCTGTCCTCCTTTTCGAGGAAGAGATCAAGCGTGGGCAGCGAGCGGCGCGCCTGGCCGCCCTCGACCGCCAGCAGCTATCCCTGCAGCTCCAACTCAAATCGCAAGAGGCGAACGAGAGCGAGTACAGGTTCACGCGTATGGCTGAGTTTGCACCCGTCGGCATGTTCATTGCAGACCCCACGGGCTACATCAACTACTGTAACGACATGTGGTGGCAAATTTCACAGGTACCGCCTAGCAAGGTCAAAGCGAACGACTGGATGGACTACGTCCGCGACGAGGACAAGCCCGCCATGCAGGCAGCCTGGCAGAAGCTGCTGCAAGACAAGGTCACCGTCTCTGTCGAGTTCCGCTTCAAGTGTGACCAGAAGAGCGGCGATGCCACAATTGACACGTGGGTACTGATGAGTGCCTATCCGGAAAAGACGTGCGAAGGTCACCTCAAATCTATCTTTGGCTGCATCACCGACATCTCCTCCCAGAAGTGGGCGGAGAAGGTGCAGAACGAGAGGCGCGCCGAGGCCGTCGAGCTCAAGAGGCAGCAGGAGAACTTTATCGACATCACCAGTCATGAGATGCGTAACCCCCTGTCGGCTATCCTGCAGTGTGCCGATCAGATCGCGAGCAACGTTACGTCTTTCGCCTCCCACCACATGAAACACGAGGTCGAGAGCCTGCTCGAGGGCTGCCTCGACGCCGCCAACACAATCAACCTCTGCGCCAGTCACCAGAAGCGCATTGTGGACGATATTTTGACACTGTCCAAGCTTGACTCGAAACTACTTGCTGTCACGCCCATTGACGAACAACCTGTTCGTGTGATACAACGTGCGCTCAAAATTTTCGAGTCCGAGCTGGTGGCGCACGACATTGAGTTCGAGTTCATTGTCGACGAGAGCTTTGAAAAGTACGGCATCAAGTGGGCGAAGCTTGATCCCTCCAGGCTGCGTCAAGTTCTCATCAACCTGATGACCAACGCTATCAAGTTCACGCAGTCTAGAGACAAGAGGAACATTACCGTCACAATGTCAGCAATCAAGGACGTCTCAAAGGTGACGCAAGGGCGGATGCACTACTTTGAGCGCAACGAGCGCGGGCGCCCGTCATCCCTGGACATTGACAGGTCCGACGACTGGGGTGATGGCGAGCTGTTCCACATCCATTGCTCCGTGGAGGACACCGGCCCAGGCCTGCTCGAGGAGGAGCTCAAGGTGCTCTTCCAGCGATTCCAGCAGGCTTCGCCCCGGACACACGTGCAGTACGGCGGCTCCGGCCTTGGTCTCTTCATCTCGCGCATCTTGACCGAGATGCAAGGTGGTCAGATTGGGGTCCTCTCCACGCCGGGACAGGGCAGCAAGTTCTGTTTCTACATCCAGAGCAGGGTCTCCCTTCACCCGCCCTCCGAGTACGAGCACATTTCGCCTTTTAAGATTGCGCGCAAGGTGCAATCACCCGCGGTGGCTGGCACGAGTCGCACGACGCCCTCGCCAGGCGCAGTGACGCGCATCAATCCACCCGATGCCAAGGCGAGCCCGCTCTTTGACGTGCTCATCGTCGAGGACAACATAGTCAACCAGAAGGTGCTGCAGCGACAGCTGCGCAATTGCGGCAATAATACGTTTGTAGCGAACCACGGGCAGGAGGCCCTGCAGACACTGCAGCGCTCGCGGTTCTGGTCGGGGCAGGAGAAGGAAGGCGTGGACATCTCCGTCATTCTGATGGATCTCGAGATGCCCGTCATGGACGGCATGACGTGCGCCAGACGTATTCGCGAGCTAGAGAAAGAGGGTACCATTGTCCAGCACATCCCTATCATTGCTGTCACGGCATATGCTCGACCCGAGCAGATCCAGAACGCGAAAGCTGCCGGTATCGTGAGTGGACCCTTGACTATGCCGAGTGAACCTGTTGCTAACCCTTGACAGGACGATGTCATCTCCAAGCCCTTCCGTATCCCTGAGCTCCTACCCAAGATTGAGGAGCTTGTCAGTCGGTACAAGAACCTATCTGTCGCCTCAGAGTGAATCAGACCCCTATATACCTAGCAAGTTGTGCTTCTACCGCGTCGAATTACACTACAAGCATCCTAGCACCCAACAGCAGCAGCAACGCATCCGAAGGAGGATATTCATACACACACCTATATATACCCAGGCCACTCCCACCGAAAAGGGTTCGGCTTTCCACATAGCGGTTTTTTTTTTGTTTTCTCTTATGTTTACCTGTGGCCCTAGCTCGGAGTTCATGGAGAGTGCGGGCCTGGAACGGCGAAATATACACGAAGCGCATGAAGACACGCATGGTCTGGCTAGGCGCAAATTGGATGGCAATTTTGGGACAGCAGCTGTTTTCGTTACGACCTTGGGTGATGAACCAGGTCTCCTCCTATACTAGCGCAAACCCTGTAATCAATCAATCACAACGGGGGCTTCTCATCGTAGTAGCCCATACTTTCAACTTGGCTCTTTTGCAACGACTGCCTAAGATGGCCTTGAAGAATTTTACAGAAGCTGACTAGATGGCCGACGCACCATACATCAACATGCTACGATCCGAGGCGTGTTCACCAATCCCCACCTCCCCATAGGGCGGTGATAGTCAGATAATGCGTTCACAGACGGATGACCAAATGTAGACGCAACAGGTGTATTATTAGGCATTACTAAGTATCTCTTCTCTCCCTCCATCGGGTATCAGACAGTAATTGGAATAATGCAGGGAAAGCACGAGAGGGCTGGAAGGGAACGGGTTGTGGCTGGTACGCCGACCGACAATCCCGGTCTCACCAGAAACCCCCCAATGGTCCGTGGACCATGAACGCATAAAAGCAGCTATGAAATGTGGTATCAGTGTTTGAAAGCAGCCTCAAAGACAGGGTATCTTGGTATCATGTGAAGAAATGCAGAAACCATCCTTCCATCCGACCCTTCCATGCATTTCTTTTTTTTTTTTTTTTTGGATTTTCGTTGAGTTTTCTGGTATTGCGACTTCTTGTTGGTAATTGTGCCGTTTAGAGGTGGTGAACTGTTGGCGTCATATTGTCTTTCAAGTCGTGAGAACGCTGTCACGTCCGACGCGTTTCCTAAGCGGCAGCAGTGACGGCAGGGGTGGTGGTGGTCACGTTCTCGGGCTTGGTCTCGGTCTCGGCGGGCTTAGCAGCCTCATCCTTGACGGGCTCGGCGGTGGCGGGCTCGGGGACGACCGGGGCCTTGTCATTCTCAGCCTTGGTCTCAGCAGCAGCCTCCTCGTCCTTCTTGGACTCCTCAGCGGGCTTGTCCTCAGTCTTGGCAGCACCGCTCTTGCCCTTGATGGTGGCACGGAGCTTGGAGAAAGCGCTGTGGGAAGACTTGGTCTCGCCCTCAGCAGGGGCAGGGGACTTCTCACGCTTGCCGAGGAAGGGGAGGGAAGACTTGCGCTTCTCCTTGGGGTCCTTCTTAGCCTCGGTGGCGGCGGCAGGGCTCTCAGGAGTCTCCTCAGCAGGAGTGGCAGCAGTGGTGTCCTTGTTGTTCACGTCAACCGCGCCGAGGGGAGTGGTAGCCTCGACAGGGGGGATGACGGGAGCAGTCTCAGCGGCAGGAGTGGTGGCAGTCTCGCCATCCTTGGCGGCCTCGGTGGCCTCAGTGGCAGGCTTAGCCTCGGCAACCTTCTTCTCCTTCTTAGACAGGATGCCACCGAAGAAGCTGTTGCGCTTGGTGGTCTTCTCCTTGGGGCTCTCGGCGGGCTTAGCCTCCTCAGTGGGCTTCTCCTCGGAGGTCTTGGCGGCCTCGACCTCAGGCTCAGTGGCAATAGGGGCCTCAGCCTGGGGCTCCTCAGCGGGCTTGTCGGCGGTGACAGCAGACTCGTCAGCAGCGGCGGGAGTCTCCTCCTTCTTCTCGACAGGCTTGTCCTTCTTGTCAAGGAAGCCGAAGAAAGAAGAGCGCTTCTTGGCCTGGGGCTTGGTCTCCTCAGGCTTCTCAACGGTCTCCTCGCCCTTGGCAGCCTCGGGCTCCTTCACAGCCTCCTCGGTCTTTGCCTCCTCAGTGGTAGGAGCAGCGACGTCGGCAGCGGCGTCAGGGGTCTCTCCAGCGGGCTTGTCGGCGGCCTTCTCCTCCTTCTTGGGGGTGAAGCTCTCAACGGTGCTCTTGTAAGTGGCAGACTCGGTGACGGTCGCGGCGAGCTCCTTGGCCTCAGCGATCTTGAGCTTGAGCTGAGCGACCCAGTTGTCGCGCTCAGCGGCGTTGGCGGCCTTGAAGCTGTGCTTGTTACCCTTGGAGGTCAGGGTGAACTTGTTGGCGCCCTCAGTCTCGGGCTCGGTGGCATCGGACTAGGCCTAGTTAGCACTGGCATGTTGTCATTGTGGTCGTGGTTTTTGCATACCAGGTTGATGATGCCGGTGGGGGCAGACTTCTCGCCAATGAAGAGAAGACCCTTGCCAGTCTCCGAAGCCCAGGCAACGTTGCTCTGGTAGGTGGCGGTGGACTTCTCGTTCTTCTGGTAGCCGGTCAGGGCCTTGGGCGCGACAGCGTCGGTGCCGAAGAAGAAGAACTCCTTGCTTCCGATCAGGTTCCTGGAACCAGGTATTAGTGACTGTGAACGGCACACGCGAAGACGTCTGGCGCAGACTCACTTGGGGAAGCTGGCGCCCTGCGCCTTGTGGCCGAGATGACCCTCCTCAATAGGCTTGGCCTCCTCCTTCTTCTTCTCCTCCGCATTGGCGTCGGTAGTGGTCTCCTCGGCGGGCTTGGCCTCGTCGGCGACCTTGTCCTCAGACTTGGGCTCCTCGGCAGTCTTGCTCTCCTCGGTGGGCTGGGTGCTGGCGATGGGGGTCTCCTCGATCTTAGGGGTCTCGACGGCGGCGGTGACAGCGGGAGCAGTCTCCTCGGTCTTGAGGTTGCTGACCTCGGGGGTGTTCTGAACAGCAGCCATTGTAAAAGTTGGAAGGGGGTATCTCAAAGAGTTGGTTGGGTATCACAAGAAGCAGCAAAGGGTATTATTAAAAGAAAATGGAACTGGAAGCTCCAGAAAAGGCGGCCGTGGATGCAGATGAAGGTGGAGGGTATCTTGAGGTTGTTTGGAGAGTGGTCAGAGAAAAGACAGAAAAAGGGAAGGGAAGGAGGGAAAGGGCTTCCTGTCATCGCCAGGCAGATTGCTTATATATGCGCCGTGTTTGGGCCTCCAGGGCCACCAGGGTCTGAAAGCCCAGCCCAGCACCCAAGGTGCAGCCAGAAGCCCCCGAATCGATCAATTACTGGCCTTTCAGGAGGCTCAAAGGGTTTCTCGGTCATTGGACAGGGCTCGCGCTGGCCCACCCTTGTTTGATGAAGGGCCCCGAAGTGACATGAAGGGGGTGGTAGGATGGGGAATTTGCAACACTTCACTGGCAGCCAGGCCAGCCCAGGCCAGCGGCAAGAGAATCAGACGGTGGTGCCCTGCCCTGTATGTGCTGTAAACAATAAATCATGGGCCTCGCACAGCACTAAGCGACCACCTGAGTCACCCAGCAGCTAATTACTACGGGCGGTCCAGTCATTTCGCCTGGAACACTGGGCGAGCGAGCTATCTATCGGTGATACCAGGACTGGGCTTGGCCCAACCCTCCACTGGCGCTGTCTATCACAATGACCAATACAGCCTGGCTGACTGAGAGCGACTGGAATCTGCTCAACGCGAGACAGTGGCCTGATCTTGCTGCCTACCTGCCTGCCCGCCAGCTGATATCTGTCAGACCATTGCTGAGCACACCCGAGGCTGGGAAACAAATGTGTGAATCAAGCTTAGCAGATGCCAAGGCCCGGCTGGCTCGCGCGAGCCTGCGGCGATGGTCCAAGCTCCTCCCGCAAGGAGGGTCCCAAAAAAATTGGAACGAATCGGTCGCCCAGCCAGGCGCTGTTGGGTGAAGTCATGGCCCGTGCTTCATGTCGCATTGAGCGAGTGGATCCAACAGAAGAAAATCAAGCGTCAGCACTCTAGGAGACCGGCGTCGATGGCGATCATTATGTATTGCGGCACTTCATGCGCCCATGCTCTTTATGAGCAGAAGTGCAAACTACCGAGTTTCCCCAGTGAGACACTCAGCAGCGACAAGCCAACGGACCAATCTCACAGGCAGTGGTTGTCTTCAGGGCCTCCAAGCAGCCTCGCTCAGTTTCGCCAAGTGTCGTTCCTGAATGACCATTTAATTCTGTCGGCCAAGCTCCACTCCGATCATCTGCTAGCGCCCGGAACGAGCTCGACGGCAGTGGATTCATCGACAAATTTCATATCCCATTTTTAAATTTTAATTATCCTTCATCTTCCCTGCGGAATTCCGCACCTCACCGCGTCGGCGCGTCTACAGTGGCCCCTTCCCCTCTTGAGTACCGTTTATTGCTATTCTCTAGTCCGCTGCTGCACATCATGTTCGTTAGCTAGAATCTGTCCGAAAGTTGTGGTGGCAATGAAGCGTCAGCCACGCCACATGACCTTGATAGCGAACGCGTGAGGAAACGTAAAGGGGGGGCAACGTCATGCTGGCTACCCTCCATTACGGCGCCGCACGTGAGGCCGTCCACCCATCCATCGTGAGAATGGGCACGCTCCCAGGCCAACCAGATGAAATCTCTGTTCGTGGTGTTGCTCTGGCGCGGGCTGCTGGCTGGCCAATTCGAGCGCACGACTCGACGTTATTTGCGAATTGCGCTGCACATCTCCTGCAGGCTGGGTGGAGCAACTCAAGACCCAAGTACCGGCCGGACGTCGACTGCTGCAGCTTCTTGTACAATGCACGTACCAACAAGTACGTGTACAGCACAAGGCCCACTGCTTCGTGGCAAGCACTTAGAACGCTGTTTCTCTCTGATAAGTAAGAATAAGAATACTCATTTAAGATTCCAATTGACTCGCGAGCTTGCTCGGCAGTTTTGCCGTAGAGATCCTATGTGGTCTTCGAGAACCGTGGCGGTGAGGGAGTACAACGAGTCGACGAGTACAATGGGGTACACATCTCGGCCGCGTTCTGATAATGCAACGATTTGCGCTCAGAATTCCTCTCCTCGATCATGCTATCGACCCTCACGGCACGAAGAGGAGTTGCATAATAAAGAGGGTTGCACTCCCTGCATTCTGCTCGCCCAACTGAACCTGCGCTCAGCATATCGCGCCGATGATAGCTTGTCCTGAAAGAGTCGCGAGTTTCCCAACCGGTCTCTTTCGCTGCCCGCGCCGGTGGAGATAATTGACGCCATGCCCTCTTCATGCAATGGGTCCCACTGCGGCTGCGAGTCTGTCGTCCATGTGACTTGTGCGTTAGTGCAGTCCAGTTTTTGTGTAAGTGGACGGCTCCCGTGTCATGTGCATGATGCTTTTCACAAGCTTCATGGCGTCTTTCAGGTCTCGACGCACTCGGTTCAGGAGAGGCATGCCAGTCTCACATTATGCAGTGACATTGGGCTGGACAACAAATTGCACCTCGTGTTCCGCGGCCCCGATCTCGCACGGCACGGGCAGCAATGGACTCTCTAGACAGTCTTCAACTTGAATCATGTATCCGCAGTACGGAAAGTTGCATTGTTTATTAGTATGCTACGACAAGGAGGGGATCATGTCATCTGAGACATTGCGGGGGTCATTCAAACGTTGCAAAGATCAAAGGGGTCAACAGTCACGAACGAAAAGGGAGCGAACTTGGGTGGATTTTTTAATTTTTTCTTTTTTTTTTCTCCCATGATGCCTCAGACCTGTCCGATCACCTTGGCTCTGAGTCTAGGGGAGGAAGCTGCGGTCGTATCTACTGAGAAAACAACGACACAGTACCTCAATCAAGTCCCCGACGCTGAGTATCGCAAGGTATAGTGAATAGGCTTGAGAGTTCTTTCATTGCGAGACGACACAAGAAGCCAATCTGGACTCTGCTGTCCTTTGGCTCTCGTCCGCAGGTCGCAGATGAGAAGCAATCATAAATCGCGATCCACCGGACCCATCGCATCAGTTCGGGTGGCTTGGCGCCAGGGGCCCTCCCCTGTCACAATATGCTGGGCTTGCTGCGCGGTCTGCACCAATCTAACTAAGCTTTGCTGCTGATGATCTTCAGACCAATCCGTATCTGCTGTATTTGCCGTCGCCTTACAGTAGAGAGTGCTCGTTAGTGACCCTGTAATTAATATCACTCTTCAAGACAGGTGACAATCGAGCGATGGGTTTTCCAAAAGGGTTCCAAGTAGAGTGTGGCTATCTTATCGAAAGCTCGTCGCAATAAGCTTTGGAAGTCTCATGGTGGACATATGACCACGCTAGGCCCCAGATTGGCTTACATCTCGTAAACGAGCGGTTTGGCGCCGCCACTATTTAAGCGTGGCTGTAATTATGAGTCAACCCACAGGAGACGAAAAAGTTCACCCAGACGTATTGTTGATTTGATAACAACAACAAAGCCGCTCACCACCGAACCTAGAACAGAAAATGCCCGCCGCCACGAGCATCAGAGTACCACCATAGTAGTCGAGCTCTAGAAGCACCCCCTTTATCAAAACCTTGATCAAGTGCACAGGAACTTTCCGCGTTCTGGTTGCAGGGTAGGTAGTAGAGTGCACAACACGTACCTTGATGTGATTTGACCGGATGAAAAGCTACAAGTAGATCAGCACACGCTGACCATGACTCAGAGGGGCAAGAGGAACGCGACTGGCGTGTCCCTCGCTTGACATATTGCGGAATTGTGCGGCAGTGGCAGCGGCTGGCCATTCATCTTGGACATGCTGAACTGTTTCGACCGAGCGCTTGCGCTCTCGCCTCTATCAGCCCACCCCAATGCAGTGTTGGCATGTCTTCTATCCGTGCAGTGCTTCCAGGCTTTCTTCGGATTCTTCGCCGAGATCGGGTTTGTTGATGCGTTGGTCCTCACGTAAAAGATCACTGTGCCTTTCCCTATTTTCCCATACAAATGACGTCAACAGTGGGTCTGTTTTCAACAGGAGAAACATGCAACTCCTATGGCTCGCCGCATAGGCAAGTGCCATGATATTTCAAACCTCACGCTGCAACTTATAACGCGCTTTGGCGCTTCTCTGCACGCTTTTGCAGTCAATCAATCTTAACAGGCGATACTGTGAGGTCCACCAGGCTGAGCTGATCCCGTCCACGTCTTTTCAATGCCGTTGCACCGCTCCAGATGTAGGACCACATCGTGCTCACCTAGTTCTATTGTATCATCGCCCACTTGAACCCCTGTCTCAGTTCGCTTGTTCGAGGTCTTTCATGATGTTGGTAGGCAAACCCACAATACTGTTCACCAACAACGAAGAACATTGCCCGCTCCGTGATGTCACACAACACTCGTCTTCGGGGCTTCTCTCTTCTATGTGAAGAGAGTCTTGCTCATCGGGATGCCAGTGCATCAGTGCTCGGAAACTCAAACGCCAAGACGCTCGCCCAAGCTGCGGGGGACACTGTCTATCAAGGATACATACTTAAAATCTGGCAACTCGAGACAATCCTGCCTTGGAAAGTTTAGTAAAGTAGCGAGACTTTCTCTTAGTAGGTTAGATAGGTACCTGCTTTAGTACTTACAAGCCCAACTGTGTCTCAAGGTTTTTGGGAAGGTTAAGAAGGCCCGCAAAGTACCACGCAAGCACAATATCAGAACGATTGCTAGATGCCGTGGCCTAATCAAGGCAACGAGACATTCGATGCTATCACATGCTCAGACTACTCTGCCGTGCCTGGACCCAGTCTTTGGTGTCCGATTCTGGTGCTGGCAAGCACACATCTTCAGATGACCCAGTCTGTGACTAGCTGTGGCGACCTTGGGCTGCAGGCAGAGAAGACTCATCGATATCGATATCTTCCAAGAGTTGGCTAGACCGCATGCATCGCACCTTCCTCGCTTCCAATGGTCTTTTGCACACTTGTGATGGTTTTATTCTCGATGCAATCGCCGCCAAGTAGCGCTCAACAACTCGCTCACTTCACCTAGCACATGGGCGGTACCGACTCTAACTTAGGCTCTGATTCAGAGTTAAGAGTAAACTCGCATCTTCGCTTGCAAGCGCTCAGCGTTGACGATAAATACCACTCCCCCTCCTGCCCACTCCACGCTTTTCAGGTACCAATCTTTCTTGGAAGTTCGCTGCATCAAACGTTGCCCTCCCATCCTACAACATCTCTCCTCCCTGCCACTGAGCTTACTTACTACCCAGACCTACAGTTCTTATACTGTCGGTTTCGTCTACCATGTCTCAGGCTACCTCTAGCAAAGGGAAGGGCAAAGGCGCTACTCGGGAAAAAAAAAGCCAGCGCAGTCAATGGGCAAAACCACAGCGCATGCCCAAGGACCAGGCCAAGGCCCTGACTGATGCTAACAATGCTGCACTTGTCGTTCGGCAGAAGTACTCTGCTTGTATGAGGGCTGCCCAGAAGCAGCAGCAATCACCCCAATTCTACAGTAACTATGTGTCCGTGCAGCGGCTCATGCGAGAAGGTCTCCATCCCAAGGTCACGACACTCTCCTTCGCAGCATACGTGGCTCGATGTGACAATGCTCAGATCTCGCTCGCAAAGCCTTGCTGGGAAGGCGACGTCCTCAGGGCCTGTCTGGCAAAACGCCACGTTTTCTCAGTACGTTTGCTTCCAACCCCCCTCACAATGTATAACGCGGACCAAATCCTTGGCAAATTTGACCAGCACTAAGTGCTACATCTGACTTCTTGACTTTGCCTAGCTAACCATGTATCTAGGCGCCCTTGGTCATGAGTCGAACCTTCATCGAGGCTAAAATTGAAGATTTGATGAAACCGTCCACGCACAAGTTGCTCGTGCTCCTGTCGGACGAGAGCATTGGTCCGGAAATGATGGAGGCGGGTTTCGCGAATAGTCTGATACGACTACACAACCTGGCAGTTAGTTCCATGGCCACATGGAATGCAGTAACCAAAAACCTTGTAGGTGTGCGCATGGCGTTTGGCTATGCTCAGCTGACTGTAACTAGCGCGTTCACAATTTTCTGTCTGGGGCATACGACAGGCCAGGCCGCAGTGGAATCTTGGTCGTTGTTTGTCCGGAATACACCAACGAACGCATGCTCCAAGGCGGATCGGCAAATCCAGCTTACTCGCACGTTGAAGTATTCGAGAGAAATCAATGGTGGGATGAAGCCGTTTATTCGAGAAGCGGCCTGCCCGAAGAAATGCGACATTACGTTCGGGAGGTCGTAGAATTACCTAGACGCGAGGCCTTGAAGCGCTGTCGAGCCGCGGGATGGGTTGACGACGAGACGTGCGAAGTTCTTCGTGCTATTGCGAGTGAGAGGAAACTGCACCCCGAGGAAGCACAGCACCATTACCTTTCTCAGCCGGAGCGTCCATTCGAGTTCACCTACATGTTCTTGGGTCGCAAGATGAAGAAGCTCCTGAGTCACATCTTCGACAAGAGGCTGGCACTAAAGGCGCTGCATTTCAACGGAGTACCTCTTCTTGATCGTCGGCTGCTGGCAATCATTATGCGGAGCTGCCCCAATGTTGCGTCTGTGGGGATATACAACTGTCCACTCCTCCATTATGGCGATTTCATCAGCATCCTCGATCTGATTTGGGAAGTCAATCAAACACGCACAGGCCTTACTGCCCAGAAGATCGCGAGCCTGGACTTTTTTCCCGCGTTCTGGTACGGGACTCAATTTCCGACTGATAATCGATGCCCCTACACCGACCGAACAATGCCCTCTTCAGCGGTGTATGGCGTGTCGTGGGATAGACTGCCCTTTGACCTCTCACACCATGGATTTAACCTTATCTTACTTCAGGCTTTCTTCAAAGCATCTAAAATAGGGATCGAGACTTTGTTTGACGAGGACTGCGGCTTGCGTCGCTTTTTGGCCATGGTCCCTCGGCCATTCCTCGATGTTCCCTACCTCCTGGACGCAATGTATCGGATGACGGAAGCCACCCCGGGCCATAAGGGCGACCGACAGCGGAAAGAGGCCACTTTTGACTTGATCAAAGCGCAGACTATGCGTTTTGACGAGCCCAAGTACGAGGAGCTTGACTTCTTCGATGTAGGTATGGATAAGCAAGCAATGTTCTTCTGCCGGTCTTGCGGGTACCAATCGCTTGAGGGATTCTGGCCCGCAAAGAATGTCGACGCTGGCGTCGCCCATCGGATCTGCTGTGGGTGTCATCTGCGAGCCACTCTAGATCAGGAGACGCATCACCTGCTAGCACGAAAGCGGCATTGCCTCGACACACTCTTTCCCGAACACCAGGAGATGGCTTTCAATGAGGACGCTCCTTTACATCCATCGGCCCGTGGTGTATTGCACCTGAAGAGTATACACGCGACACCTGGTCCAGGCCATCTGGAGCGAGATCAGGTGCGAGGACTGAAGATTGTGAAAGACTCTCTCCAGGGGCTTCCGGGCCTCGAGGAGCTCCTTCAGCGTTGGGACCTATGGTATGATCAATTCGATTTACGTCTACATCAGCTCGATTCGTTCCGCACGGCGACACAAGATTTGGTGGCGCTCAACGAGACAGCGCCCACGAAGCGGACCAGAAAGCTGTGTGCGAAACATTGCCCTCGCGGCAAGCCGGATCATGCAGAGGAGCTGCAGATCCCCAGTGCACATGGTGCGGACGACTTACACTCAGCGCGCGGCGAGTTTGCGAGGCAGATTAAACATCAGCTTCACCCCGGCGAAGCGTATGACTACTTCCAGAAGGACAAGTGGGATGACTGGGAGGAAGAACATTACCCCAGCCCAGGGTCGACCTTCTGGTGAATGTACAAGTACTTGAGTGTAGGATAAGTCTGGTACAGGGGGGAAACGTTACCAGGCTCAGCGGTGACGACGAAAGGAGGGCCAGTCGTTGCCCGAAGACACCAATGCGGGTTGGCTTCTGGCGGTACAGTACTGGCTTGAGGAAGATTAACAGATATGCATAGCAATAGAATTCATTAATAGTGACTATTTCAATGCGCAAAAGTTTCTGTGCTGTGCTCTAGATGTGACAACATTGAAGTTCCCTTATACCATGCCTGGGAAGGGCACCATGAGTTGTTGTCGATTCTGGCGGTCACGTGGACGTGTAAATCCACACCCGAAAAGTCCCAGGCCAACGCCTTGCTTGTCTCCTACCTCGTCATTGCGAGAACACTACAACCTCTCGCTGCGATCCGAACGAACCAAATCGCAAATGGCGTCAATATTACGATCCTTTTCGCTTCGCGCGACGACGATGCTCAGCCCTGCGCGAGCGCTCAGCTCCGTCTTCACGTCCGTCCCGGCCATGCGACCTATGCTCGGTGGTGTGATGGCGCAGGTGCAGCAGCAGACGAGGGGCATGAAGGTGCACAGTTCGGTGAAGAAGAGGTGTGAACACTGCAAGGTGCGTCTCTATGGATGGCTTCTCCACAGCGTGCGTGGTCGGGATGAATCGATGGGATTGTGGCGGGTGCGCGTGATGGCCCACGCGCTTGAGAATCCGGCGAGCATTGACTGACTTTGGGGACTGAGTAGGTTGTTCGGAGAAAGGGCGGCAAGCGACACAACGGGTACCTCTACATCATCTGCAAGTCGAATCCGAGGCACAAGCAGAGGCAAGGCTGAGCGCGACGGTGATCCGAGGAACGGGTGCGAGGGGCTGTACACTACACTACGCTGCACGAGCGGACAATTGTACGACTACGAGGGGAGACCGTGGATTCGAGGGTACAGACGGGGCGCATGACCGAAGACGAAGCCCGCGCAGGCCTCGACAGCTGTACAAAAGAATATTTCACATACTTGCTATGTACCTCTCCATGTTCTCCCACTCTGTCTTCCCAGTGGAGAGCAGATATCGTATGTGTGACTGGTGTGAGACAAGTCAGCTTCCCCAGACCGCGGGTTCGCCATGGATGGATGCATTGTCAAGTTAAAAACTCACCAAGTCGGTGACATGGCGATGGCGCTCAAACTCGGCTCTCGCGAAGCCACGCGATTCCTTCTTGGTCGCGGGATCCCTGATGGCCTTTGTGCCGCGCAGAATTTTCCTGTAGAAATGAATGGTGCGCTGTCTCTGCAGAAACTACGTACGCATCCGGAGTCAGCGTTGTCCAGTCGTGTTGCAGGGTGCGTCAAGCCGGGGCGTACGTGATCCAGGCTCATTGTGCCCTTGAGCTTGGAGGGACGAGTATGTGTGGCGTAGCCACGGGTGGAGAGCAGCACCCGAAGACTGAATATCATTTCATTGGGAATACGAGCAAGTATTACTTGTTGGCTGGGGTGTTCTTGCTCCGGGAGTGATTGTACGACGTCAAGAAGGAAAATGTGGCGGGGAAAGTTCGGCTAACGCGACGCGTTGAGAGCTGCCCGTGACGGAGGCACGCGACTGACTGCTTTTACTTGCCATTGATTCATTGCACTTTTGTCTTGGTCGCCCGTCTCACATTCGTCTTCTGGCTCATATTCTTGGCTCCCATGTCTGCGTTGAAGCGCATGCGTGAGTCGCGGAGAACAGCACTAGCCAGAGCCGTCACAGAGGAGCAGGCGATTGCAGCGGCAATCAAGAAGTCGGATGCAGACTTTGTGAAAAGTTATCTCGGTGTCAGGTAAGAAACTTACCTAAGGCAGCGCTTGGTTTACCATTTCTCATACAGCCAGCTGTCAGGATTGGCGCTCTTGGAAGAATGCCCAAACAGGGGTTGAGTACATCCTCGACCTCATTAGCTCAGTAGATCTGCGCGAGGCCGACTTCCAAACTTGCTTTGATCTCATTGATGAGACCAGCGGAAAGGCCTATCACGAGTCTGTGGCAGGATGGCATCCAGAGGTGAAGAAGGAGGAGATGCGGTCGCCCGAGTTGCGGTACATACTTGTCAAGCAGAAGGACGATCCAGCAGGCCAAGTCCTGGGCTACACATCCTTGATGCCTACCTTTGAGGACGGGCGACCTGTGATATACTGCTATGAGATACATCTGCGGGAGGCGCTCAGAGGGTGAGTGGAATGGCGTCGCATCCTCGTCTTGGTGCGCATCGAGCTGATGAACACACCCAGAACCGGTCTTGGCCGGCGGATGATGGAGTTGTTGTCCACCATTGCGCAGAACATTCCCACCATCGAAAAAGTCATGCTCACGTGCTTCCTGAGCAACGAGGCCGGCATGGCGTTCTATCGACGGATTGGGTTCCAAGTGGACGAGTCATCGCCCAAGGAGAGGAAACTGAGGACCAAGGTTGTCAAGCCGGATTTTGCTATCATGTCAAGACGGACATCCTCCTGATATGACAACCGAAATGATGCCAGAGATGTCTCCAACCCTCAAAAGACGTGTGCCACTTTGACCGCGGCAAGGCGCAACAAGAAGATCTTCTCAGTCTCACTTCGGCGTTTCTGCTTGTTTGTTGCCCTTGGCTGACATGAACAATGTGAGCTATGGCGGAGCTCGAAGATGGCTGGCAATACTCGGGAGTGACTCGAAGTCTGGGTGTTCCTGACTGTGTGGGCCTTTCTGCAGAAGGTCTATCATAAATGCATGCGCAGCGGCAGCTGATGATGCAGGGACTGCTCGCTGTGCTGTCGAGTCGAATGCGGTGGGGCTGGGATGACAGAACGGGCGGGAGGGTCCGCCAATTTTATTGCCAGTGGCTCAGGGTCCAGCGACGTCACGTCCGTCAATTCAGCATCTAAGACGTTCAACGCTTCTACGTACCTTACCCACTCGAAATGGAAGGAGTAGGATTCTCACCTGAGTGTCGCATCCCTCTCGCACGCGGATCAGTCTACCTACGTATGGATCCAGTAGGGCAATGTCATCCGCGGATCCCTTCCCTAAACCCCAGCACAACGCCAGGGTCCTTCTCCGTCACCAAGCGGTGGCATGACGATCATGTGGCCAGCGCCTCGATGGAGGATGGACTATCTTAAACAGCACGCCGCCAGGGGAAGGGCCTAGAGTCTAGTTGGTGTTTCCCTTGGATCTGTCTAGTTTCTTATCTCTTTCATCTATTTCCTACTCATTGTCAACACATCATCTTTGCTTCCACGAGCCTTTGTGCTGGACACATTGCAAACCACAATCATTAATCAAAGCACCGCTTCATACCGAGTAACGCATCTTTCCTCACAATGGAAATGAACCAAAATGGTCAGCGCAGGGCAGGTCAGCCCCAGAAGAACACAAACTGGAACGTGGACCTGTTCCACTGCGGCTCCCTCTTTGACGCCATCTTCCGTCCCTGTGCTGGTACGTCCCGCCCCGTTGAACAATTCAATTTCGTAGCCAGCATCACCTCGCTAACGCAGTCCAGTCTACAGCCGCGCCGAGGAGCGCATGAGGAATCCGTACCTCGAGAACTACGAGGACAGCAACTGCCAACACTGCGGCCAGGTCGGCGCCCTCGGCTGCGTCTCCGTCAAGAAGCAGCGGGGCGCGCTCCGCGAAAAGTACGGTATCGAGGGGTCCGGCGGCAAGGACTGTTGTGTCGCCTTCTGCTGCTGCGCCTGCGCCCTCGCCCAGCACGACGCTGAGATTGAGAGCCGCAATCCCAAGAAGCGCCAGGCGGTCGACACGGCGGGCTACCGTCCCAACACCACGAGCATGTACATGCCTGATGTGGATCGAGGTAGCTGGTATGCCACCAACGACATCCGCGCCTCTGGATACAGGTGATCTGGATGGTTATGGCTGTGTGTGCGAGAGACTACGATATTGTGCGTTCATTTTTGCGGTAGGCGGTTTAGATGCCAGCGATATTTTGATACCTTGACGAATTTATTAAGGTTTGGGTGGATTTGGGTAGCAGCCCTGATATTTTGGATTTTTTCCGTAGACAATTGATACGCCATCATGTGAACGAGACAGCATTAGGCTATGTATGGGTGATCAGTGTCTGGGGATGTCTTTCAAAGCCTCCGTCGGGGTTAATGTTGATGTCTTCACAACCGAGCACCCCGACTCAACCTAATTGAGTGAAGCAAATTGGGGAATCCCAAACACTGCAGAAATACTCCCCATGACCAGCACAACAAGTCATACAGAATAATGGTCTCACGTCCCATGATGTGAACCCGAGTCATTCCAGGGTAGCCAAAACACCCGCAACACCACCCGCAAGCCGTCCGTCTGTCACATCCAGTAGGCGCATGATACGATTGTCAATCCCTCATTCACGAGGTGATTTCATTGATCCAGATGCTTCGAACTAGTCTTCTTCCGAAATCTGCAGGCAAGCAACTGCTGCCACTATACGAGATATATCCCCCAAACTCCGAGCCGTGTCAATCATGTCCCATCCTTGCCAGATATCTTGTTTTCATTTTGGTACTCCGTCATTCAAATACCCACCTCTCTTTCATTCGTTACGCGTAAAGCTTCTTCTCGTAGGCCTCCATGTTGACGTTGCCCTCCATCTGGGCGCTCGACGTGCGGAGCTCGAAACGGAGGGTGCCGTTGGCCGCGCACTCGTGTAGGGTAGACAGGCTGGTCATGCCGCAGTCCTGCAACGAGTGCTTGAGACCAGCAGCGAGGTAGGGGACAAACTTGTTGATCGAGCCCCTGTGCGCGACGGAGCCAGACACGCCCTGGGCGACGAGGACGCTGTCGCCCTCGGAGAAGTAGCGAGCGGTGCCCGCGTTGCTCTGCTGGCTGTCCTTGCTGCCGCCGCCGGCCTTCTTGTCCTGCATGGCGTCGATGCTGCCCATGCCGCGGTAGGCCTTGACAAGCTTGCCCTCGCGGGACACGAAGGAGGTGCCGGGGGACTCGGTGGTGCCGGCCAGGAGACCGCCCATCATGACGGTCGAGGCGCCAAGGGAGAGACCCTTGACAATGTGGCCGACGTTCTGGACGCCACCATCGGCAATGGTGGGGACACCGAAGCGGGCGGCGAACGAGCTGACGCTGTACACGGCCGCGGCCTGAGGGCGGCCGACGGCCATGACCTCCTGAGTGATGCAGGCGGAGCCGCTGCCCATGCCGATGCGCAGACCGTCCACGCCGGCGGCGATGAGCGAGGCAGCCTGCTCGCGCGTGACGACGTTTCCGCCGACCACGTCGAGACCGGGGAACTCATTCTTGATCCATTTGATCATCTCGATCTGGTACATGCTGTTGCCCTGGGAGCTGTCGAGGATGACGACGTCGAGGCCGGCGTCGACGAGCTTCTTCAGGCGGAGCTTGTCCTCGGGGCGCGTGCCGATTGCGGCGGCGCACAGGAGCTGCTTGCTGTCGGGCAGCTTGGAGGCGAGGGGGAAGTGCTGGTTCTTGGTCAAGTCGGAGCGGGAGATCATGGAGACGAGGTTCCCGCCCTTGTCGACAATGGGCAGCTTGCCCTTCTTGGACTTGGCGAGGATGCGGTTGGCCTCGGCGAGCTCGACGCCGTCCGAGGCGGTGGTGAGGTCGGTCACCATGACGGTCGAGATGGAGGCGCTGTCATCATCCTCGAACTGAAGGTCGCGGTTCGTCACGATACCGAGCAGCCTGGAACCCAGCTTGCCGTCCTCTGCAGCGTCCTTGTTAGCCACGAGATCCACGACAGGGGGTTTGTGACAGTGACAGGGCGGAAGTGTGCGAGATCAGAACTTTTGGTTCTCCGCATGAGAGCGACGTCGTTTCAGTGGAACGAAAGTTATTTGCAATATTGTGTGTAATCATATCAAGGCAAGCAAGTGGCATGTGCAGGATCGAGACAGAACGTACCAGTGACAGGGAAACCACCAAAACCCCACTTCTCCTTGAGGGCGCGGGCCTCACCGACGGTGGTGTTGCGGTCAATGACAACGGGGTCGAGGATGAAGCCGTTCTCGTAACGCTTGACCTTGCGGACCATGTCGGCCTGCGCCTCGGGGGAGCAGTTGTGGTGGATGACGCCCAGGCCACCCTGGAGGGCCATGGAGATGGCCATCTCGTGCTCGGTGACGGTGTCCATGGGGCTCGAGACAAAGGGCGTCTTGAGGGTGATGCGCTTTGTCACGGGCGAGTCCAGGGCGACCTCGGAGGCAGGGAAGCCAATGTAGCCAGGCATGAGCAGGAAGTCATTGTAGGTCAGGCCACCGTGCTTAGTGGTGTCCATGAGCTGATGGAGGTCGAGACCGTCCGACATCTCGTACTCCTTCAAGACCTCGAGGGCCTTGGTGTGGTCCAGGGCCTTGGAGACGCCGTTGACAGGAGTCATCTTGACAAGGAGTGGGGGGTTTGTGAGGTTGAAGGCTGAACAGTCGACAAGAGATCGTCGTGTGAAAGGAGATGACCTGAGCGCAAAATGACTTAATCGACTGCCAGGATTGATGTGACGCTTCTTCCCGAGAGGAGAAGGGAGGGAAAAAGCAGTAGGAGGCGGACCATCACAGATTTTTTATTGCAGCCCAGCGGCCAGACTGACGAGGACCCACCGCGGGGCAGCCTGCAGCAACTGACAGGTGCATGAAACGTTATCGGAGCTTCTTATCTTATCACCATATTATCGCAATCTCTCTCGTTATCGCCATTACTATCGTCATCGCAGGAACATGGTCATAATCAAACAGACATTGTGCATCTAGGGATCTCATTGTAGCTGCTCGAGTCATGGGCATCATGAATTATTTACATTGAAGTCATCATCCACTCCGAGACCGCGCCTACCAGTTCTCGCGGAGGAGCTCGGTCACCTCCTCGAGGTCCAAACCCATGGCCTCCTCGAGATACTTGGGGATATCCGTGTTGTCGTGGGCACCAGCGAGGTCGACCTTGAGCTGCTCGCCCATCTCGCCAGCAGCGTAGGCGTAGAGGGTGGTGTCCACACCACTGTGGCCGCCAGTGGACCACTTGATGCCAGCACGCGCAGAGAGGAACTCGGCCAGGTTGGCACCGACGTCGCCCGACTTGAGCTCGGCCAAGTCGCTGTCAGAGACATCGCCCAGACCGTACGGGGCCATGATCTCCTCGCGGAAGAAGGCGTCCTTGTCGTCGCCCTCGTAGGCGGCGTACTGCTCCGCGAGCATCGGAGCGCTGTGCTTGGAGCCGATGAGCTTACGTGGGTCCCAGCCACCAGGCAGGGTGATGCCGCCGGTCTCATGGTCGGCGACCGAGATCATGGCAGTGTCGGGGTGCTCGTCAATCCATTGGGTGACTATTTCAATGACCTTGTTGTACTCGAGCACATCCCACAGGTGGGCGTTGGCGTCGTGGGCATGGCTGGCGTGGTCGATGCGCGAGGCCTCGATCATCATGAAGTAGCCCTTGTCCTTGCAGTGGGTAGCGCGGTGGAGAGCGTTGAGTGCGGTCTCCGTCATCTCAGACAGAGAGGGCTCACGCACATCCTCATCCTGCTCCTTGCGGTCGGCCTCGTAGTGAAGGTCGGCGTCGTTGAAGAGACCGAGGATTGGGAGACGAATCTCACCCTTGCCGAGCTCAATGTCGTCAAATTGGGAGCGGTTCTGGGCCACGTAGTAGCCCTGCTCCTTCGCAAAGCCGAAGAGATCGATCTTGTCCTCGCGGCAGGAGTCGCTGTGGGTGTTTGGCCAAAAGTTGCAGCGACCGCCACCGAGCATGACATCGACGCTCTGGTTGAGAGGGTGGCTGAAACCAATCTGCTGTTCGGCAATGCTGTTGAAGTTGTTGCGGTCCTGGACGTGCGACGAGAAGGCGGCGGGGGTCGCGTGGGAGATGGGCGAGGTGACGACGAGACCAGTCTTCCAGCCGTGGAGCTTGGCGGACTCAAGGATGCTGCCGACGGGCTGGCCATCGAGGAGAAGACCCAAGATTCCGTTGCCAGTCTTGTGGCCGGTGGCCAGAGCAGTGCCAGCGGCGGCAGAGTCGGTCACCAGGCTGTTGGCGGAGTGGGTAAAGGTGTTTCCAATGGCCTGTCACAGTCAACTTGTCTGTCCAGCCCTCAGAACCATGCATGTCAATGACCTCACCAGAGCGTCCACGGGAAGCATGGGCATGATACCAGGGTTGCTGGGCGTGGAGTCGCCCTCCGCCATGGCCAGGTAGGTACGGGCAATGGTTGACGAGGCAGGCGCCAAGCCATCGGGGACCACAAAGATGACGTTCTTGGGCGCAATGGTGCCCATGGCGGCGCCAGCAATGGTGCCAGCAAGGACGGCGGAGGTCTTCATCTTGAAGGTGAAGTAGTAATGACACTTGAGGTGGATGGTTCGGTGGGTGTGAGATATTGGACGAAGGACGCCTGCTGGACAGAGAGAAGCTCCAGTCTCTCACTCTGGTCCTAAGCAGCAGCTGGCGGGCAAGTGCCTCTTTAAAACCTCCTCTCAGGCCCTCGCTGGAGCCTTCCCCCTCAAGACCAAGACCGTCCATCAGGTTGCATTGCATTTGGCGAGCAATACCAAATGGAGTACGTCCTGCTTCTCGTGCTTTGCAGGGTTGAGGTGATAAAGTCGTCGGAGCAGCTCCGCACTTACGCATAATAAGCTACGGAAACAAATGTGCGATAGTAACAGAGGCCTAGCAGCCAAGAGACCTGGCCCTGCGTTGTTGGTGAGTGTCCGGGTTCCCAGGTGGTCCCTCTCCAAGAAGACTGGCAGACGACAACCAACAAGGCAGCAACAAGCCACGATGGACGAATGAAAGGCTTCACGTGCCTCAAATACCCCAACCCTACCCCTGCACGCCTCATCCTTCAATTCTCAAGTCGTCCTCTTAGCTCCGGCAATGGCAAGCCACCCGCAGACGAACCCCCCTCGAGACGTGGGCCATCACACTTGGATACGTTCCGTGATAATCCCCGATTGGTTTCCTGTCACTTTTACATCCTAGGACTCGGTCTGTATGTGGAATGATTCGGAGTCGGACGCAAGCCCTCTCCGCAGTTCCCAAGGAGCTACCTACGGCACTGCTGTCACGACAAGCGAGCTACGTACATACGTACGAGGCATCTAGCTCCCCACGACGACTACTTGTATCGCCGGCAACGAGCAGTACAAGCCTCGTAGGCAGAGCGAGCCCCGACGCAGACCGGTGCCAATACGTAAGGTGCTTGGCCATGGCATACATCAAATCCGTCGTGATCCCCCTCCTCACCTCCCCGAAACCGCCAACGCCACCGAGCCTGGCACCCCACGTGCATCTACCCGGCGTGCGTTCTTGAACAGGGGGTGCTCGCACCTTGTTGGTTCGATTGTTTAGTCTCTCATACATGCCTGATGTTAAGCTTGATCATCCGTGAGGGGACTATCGGACCTAGCCTGGCGATTTATGATGGTAGACTGTGAGCCCCCAAACTCCATCGTCCACGATCTTGTCCCCAATCCCAAGTCAATCAGAATCACCGCTTCAAATACACACACACTCGCACAAGTTTCGAATCTTGTCTAGAGAGAGAAACCTTTTCATATTTTGATATGCTGACACCGCCTCTCAGCCTGGACGCGCCTCATACGTACCCAACAGCCCGATGACCTAGACTAGTCCTCCTCCTCAAGAGCCCGGTCCATCTCCATGCTCTCCTTTTCCTTGCTTGGCGTCGTTGTCTCCTTGCCCTTCTTCTTAATGAAGCGCCAGCCTGCCATGCGCCCCTCTTTTGTCTCCTTGGACTTGGCGGAGCCGATGGACGCCGCGGCGGCGGCGCCGCCGACCGCGCTCTCGTAGCTGCGTCCAAACAGGCCCGGGTCCTCGCCCAGCTCCTCCAGGTCGCCGATCGAGGACCGGTGATCCGCCGAGGCGTTCCTGTCCGAGTTGGTGGCGCTACCGGGGCCCTTCTTGAACAAGCTCGAGTCTTTGCCCAGTCGGCTCGACAGACTGAATTTACCAGAACTGCCCTTGCGCAGGAGCTTCCGAATGCCGTTCATATTGTCAGAGTCCCTGGAACTGGACGTCAGACCGGACGTTAGGTCGAGATGAGGATTGGACGAGGTCGGATCCAGAGACAGAGAGTCGTGCGACTCGGACACGGATGTCTGCGTGTGGACCGAGTAGGTGTCGCGCGACATTCGTGAGTCAGAAGGCGACTCATCACCACCAGGCGGCAGTTCGATGCTCGGCCTGGCCTCCTTTCCCTTGCCCTTCTGCTCTTTGCTCTTCTCCCTGGCCTTGCCCTTGTCTTTCTCCTTCTCGGAGGACACCTCGCGGTCCTTGGTACGGAACAAGCCCATGAATGTTGGCGCCGCAGGATTGAGGCGCTGGCTAAGTAGCCTGGCGGCTGCTCCTGGTGGCCTCGATCCTATGACGCCCACCTGACTAGGCAGCGTGTTGTTGAGCTCAGTGTCGTACAAGATCTCATCGTCTGCGGAGGCGAGGGACGTTGTCAGCGCCGAAGGGGACCCGTGGATACTAGGACGTCGGGAGCCGCTTCTTGAAGCCCAGCGTCCCTCGTTCGGCGACCACAGACGGCTTTTGGCCATGGAACCATCTCCAATCGTCCCCCAGATGGAGCCACTGTCCGTCGAGGGCCGAGGTAGGTCGGCCGATGCAATAGAAGGCGGCCTCGAGGTGGTCGGGTCGCGATCGGCATACATGACGCCGCTCGAGCTTGCAAACGGGTTGAGTCGCCTCCCAAGGAGCGATTTGGAGCCGGCGAAAGGGTTGGGGCTGTCGAGGCCTGTCGAGTTCCGGTGGCCCTTGAGTGAGAAGCTCATCCTACGCTTGCCACTTGCAATGTCACCATCGTCCGTGTTGCGGGGAAAAGACTGGCTCTGGCCGGGCTTGAGAGTCCCGATCGGCGGGCCGGCGAGCTCCTCACCCTCCGGTTTTGTCGTTCGGTTGCGGTGGAAGCTCGAGAGTAGGCTGGAGAGGCGGAGACCGCCAGTCGAGCCGAGCGCAGGAGGCGTGTAGTTGAGAGAGCCTCGCTCGCTCTTGTCTTGATAAGAGGGGAAGGGCAGATTGAACGTAGACGAGTGCGGGCTGGAGAACACGCTAAAGGACCGGGGGGAGGATTCTGGCGACTGGGGATCGCCCTCGCCGGCTGTGACAGATTCGGGTAGCAGAGGAGTGTGAGGTGTCTTAGTGTCCGACTCGTTGTCAATGATACCAGAGGGTAGATACAGCTGTGCCGACGGACTGAGAGGGCCGCCTGCCGATCGCATCTCTTCCTCGGTCTGAGCCTCGTCGGACTCCGGCATGAACAGCATCGGCGCGAAGCCAGTTGAAGGCCGATTCAGGCCCGGAGGAAGCTGAGAAGGCGAGTCGGTCATGCCAAAGTGTGCTGAAGGCGACATGTGCATGTCATTGCTGTTGCGACTCAGTCGTTTCGTCTGGGTAGAGGGCACGTGGTCCATGTCCATCTCGGCGAGGGGATCACCAGACTGGCCGTAGAAGACAGCGTCGGGATCCGCTTCGACTTGATGCTGCGAATGCAACTCGATCTGCTCGGCAAGCATGTGGATTTGGTGGTCAAGCTGGTGCGCCACCTTTGTCTCCTCGACGAGTTGGTGATGCAAGGCCTGGCGGGCAGCTTCCCACTCCCTTCTCGTCTTCTCGTCGCTCGCGCGGGACTGTTCGTCATCTGCACCAGCGAGGTGCTTCCTAGCTTCCTTCATCTCGTTCAGTTGCTTCCCCTTGTTGCTCAAGTCCGCCTCGAGCTCATTGTGGTCTTCCTGCAGCTTGGCATTGCCGTCAAAGAGCTGTTGCACGTCTTCGTCCCGCTGCCTCTCCAGATCTGTCTTTTGGGCCTGGAAGCTCTCCCGCTCCGCCTTCATCCTCTCCATCTCCTTCTCGAGCTTGACAATGTGGTCTCGCACCTTTGACTTTTTGGCTTCCTTCTCCTTGAGCTGGCCCTCCTTCTTGGCCTTTTCTTTCTCCGCCGTGCGCATCAGCTCCATGGTGGTACGCACGTTGGCCTTGAGCGTCGTTGTCTGTTCCTCCTTTTCTTTCAAACAGGCCCGTTTCTGATCCTTTTCCTGCTTCAGCTCGCTTTCTGCTTGCTGAAACTCGGCCTCATCGGTACTGATCGTGGCCACTGTATCATTGATCTCGGTTCGAATTTCCTGGAACTGGCGACTCAGCACGTCCAAAGATTGCTCTGGCCCATCGTGGTCGGATGCAGAGGGGCGCACAGACGGCTGTTCCGAACTTGTGACGGACGGCGAGTGGCGTCGGTTCAGAGTGTTGCGGCGCTGGCCGGGCACAGTGGAAGCGCCTTCCCGAGCCGGGTTGGCGTTTCTGTCGAGAAGCTCAATGGAGGCCGCAAAAGAGCACGCAGCGGGCCCACTGGCGCCACCATCGTCCACAGCTCTGGCCTTGGATGCGTACTCCTCGACGAAGTTGGTGGGGACACGTGAGTTGCCAAGGTACGGTTTTCCGTCTTCGCCAAAGGTGCGAAGACGGATAGTTTCGCTCGCCGCTTGAAAATTGTTCGGACCCATGGCCACGACACGGATATTGTAGAAGTGATTCGGCTTCAGGCCCGTAACGGTGATTGCAAGATCCGTACCAGGAGATTCCCCGACTGCATGTCAATTAGTACACAGAGTTGCGACAGGGGCAGCATGTAGACGCACCGTGAATGCCATTGACCTGTATCAAGTACTTCTGGACCGGACGATTGGGTGCTGGCGGCGTCCAGCTAAGAGTGGCAGCATCCGCGCGGATGCCCGCGAGCGAGACATCCGGGGCTTCGGGGACATCGACGCCGAGCACGTTGATGAGTTCGGGTACGGGCTTCCACAGAGTTTGCCATGAGCGGTGGATGAGCCTGCGGGAGGGAGTCAAGTCAGTAAAGCTGGCCTCGCGTCGACGGCAGGTGCTGAGCTCACCATACTATGGCACCGACTGTCAAAACCATCCTAAAGTGGTTGGCTAGCAGGACATCGGGTCGCAGGGCGTTGTATACGTCGTGCGCAGTCGGCTGCTGAAACGACTGCGTGAGGGACCGTACTTGTGCGAGCCAAATGGCGGAGAGGATGGAGAGGAAGATGGTAACAGCGCCCCTCGCACGGGGCCTCCAGGAGTGCGTCCACGAGCGGATCCAACACGAAGCGATGATGATAAGGGTGAGCGTGGTCAAGAGCGGGAACGCCCATGACATATTCCCAGCGAAAGCACACTCTACAGTCTGGTTGACGACGCTGTCGGAGGGTCGAGGCAGTACCGCCGGGGGTGCGGCTGCTGCATTCGCGAGATCGTGCTGCGTCGGCTGGGTAGCAGGTTGAGTGGCTAGGAAGTGCGAAAACCGAGCGAGTATCGTGGTACGCGATTCGTGACCATCAACAGCAGTCTCGAGGTTGCGTCGGCCCTATAGTCGGTCGGTCGTGCGTGGGGAGGGAGGGAAGGGTTGCGTGCGGTGCTCTGCTGTGGTGGTTGCGAAAGGCTAGAGAATAGAGATGGAAAAGACTTGGCGGACCCCCAAAACGCACGACAATTGCCAAAGTCACGTACGTACCAGAATTCTCGGCAGTGGATTGGCGGCGATCCAACTCGGGAGGGGGAGCCGCATATGGTTCAGATGCTAATAGACGTACGTACGTGAAGGATTTGAGCTCGTCACCCAGGGCGTGATTCATTGATTAGTAGTTGATTAGCATGAATTACTGTAGGTTTACTACGTATGACTGTCGGTTTATCATGCTTTTCGGCAGCAACCTTTGGGGTTTGCTGTTGTTTACCTTACTGTTTGACTCGCTGATGCTGACATACAATTTTACCTGGTACCTTTTAGTCAATTGTTTTTGATTGCAGCAGGCTGCAGCAGGAGTCAGGACCCTGTTTTTGAAGCTGCGCCTTAGTTCTAACCTTCCACCAAGGAGTGCCGGTGCCCTTTGCCCTCTTCCAGTCTTCCAGGTTTTTCCTCACCTTACGCAGATCGACAGGGACAGCAAACTCAAATGCAGTGTGCCTACGAGTTGGAGTGCTCTAAGCCCAGGTATTAGACCTGCAAACACCAATCAGGCTTGGATTCTAATGCCGTAGCCTCAAGCTTGCTTCTGCGCAGGGAGTAGGTGCACTAACATGGCTAGATGAAATGAACAACTCATTTTGGCGTCCACAGATTGTCCCTTGTCCGCCCAGGACTCGGCTTGCGTACCCTCTCATTATTGATCTTTTCGTCGCTGAAGCTCTGGATGGCGGCTTTCCTTGTGGGCATTTGATTGTAGTCGTCTCCCTCTCAGCCAAGAAACTGCTAAAGAAAGTCACGGCTGCATCCAGCGAGCCACTCCCGCGACAAGGTGTAGAATTCGTCGGTGGTAGAGGCCTGCTGGCTGATGCCCTTGACGTCGCCAAAAACAAAAAACAAAAAAAAAAAAGGGCTTTAAAGTCTTCGAGGGGAGTAGCGTGGGTGTGAACTCGTCGAAAAGCAGACTAGTCAGTGCAGTCATGTCGGGGCCGAATTCATAGGCGGGTTAGTGCTATGGTTCGTCGAAAAAGTCGATATTCGGACGGGCTATTGTAGTGTGTGGACTTTGGGTAAACGCAAAATGCGCACAGTGAGGATGATTGAGATCAAGGTCGGTGATCGCATATTGTCGCCATGGGAGAAGTGCTGGGCAGCGCAACACACGACCAAGAGACAAGTGAAGCGCCTAGATTAGATCGTGTAACACAAGCCACCAGTACTTAAGTTCAGACATTGCTTGTGCTCAGAGCACTGTCGCACTATCTCCTGGCGAACATCGCAGCCCAAGACTCAGCCAGGCCAGGCAATATTCCTCCCAAAGTGTCACGTGAGCCATTATGGTAAAGTGCAATAAGATCGAAACATTCACCCGCGTTTGCAGTGTTTTTCCTCGACCGTTGAAACAATGAGAAGTGACGGTACTGCTAAAGAGTGTACCGAGGCTCGTGGTCGTCATGAGGTCACTCACTCACCTGGCTGGTGTCATACTGTGGGATCGGCTGTAACATGACAGGTCCCAACTTTCAATGATCGAGATGACTCAAGAGGACGAAATGATGACGGTGGCTGCTACCCGATGTTAGATAGCACGAAGAGACATGTGGCAAGCAAGATAAGTGTGAATGTAGTGGTTGGCACATGATCGTCCGAAACCGCATTTTGTTGGCTTCCCAGGGCCATGGATGGGAAAGATGAAAACCCCAGCCAGTCTTCCTTCAAACAAGGCAGCGTCACATGCCGCAGGAAACGCAATCGGTGCGTTTTGTCCGTTGCGGAAAACGCTCGGCAGCCTGTGACAGGCTCCAGATGGCTCGAAATAGAAAAATGCAGTGGTTTGAATGGATGGATTATGGGCGCGAGAGCTGCAAATGGAAGGCTTGGCCCGTCACGGACTGCCCGCCTGGCTGGCTTACTGTAAAAAGAAGAGTCAGGTACTTACGTACCTCACTCAACCTCAACAAAGACAGGCAAGCGACCGGCGCAGGGATTTCTGATGGATCGATCAGCCTTTTCCGCCTCAAGAGTTCTAAATCCGTCCCTTCTTCATCAGATACTCTTCACCCTCGAGACGTGTGTCCCTCAACTTGCTTCAAGCGTCCGCGCGGAAAATACCCCACGACAGCCTGCCTGCCTGCCAGTACCTCAGGTCCCTCCTCTGAATCGATCCCAGCCAGCGCGCGACCCATCCAGCCCATCATCCGTCATTACGTATTGCCCAGCGTCCCAAAGCCGCTCAGCCGACCTGGAGCATACGATCTTTCCCTTGTGTTGCCCTTCGTTCGCCGTCTCGCTTTCTTCCGCTCCTTATCTCCCTGGCATTTGTACACAACCTACGACAGCCACCTAATTCGCCACGGCGAAACGACGACACAAGGCATTCGCGATTGCGACTTGCCAGGCTTGCGCCAACAAGTCCCCGTCCGCTGTCACTCCAGCCTACGTTGCGACGCCGACGACCCGGGCGCGCAACACGACAAGATGCAATATGTCCGCAACCTGAGCGATTCCGTGTCGACTGCATGGAATTCCATCAATCCCGCTACCTTGAGTGGCGCTATTGATGTGATTGTCGTGCAGCAGCAGGATGGCTCTCTCGCCTGCTCGCCTTTCCACGTACGGTTCGGCAAGTTCTCCCTCTTGCGTCCGTATGAGAAAAAGGTCGAGTTCAAGGTCAACGGGGTCAAGCAGCCGTATTCCATGAAGCTTGGCGAAGGTGGCGAGGCCTTCTTTGTCTTTGAGACGACCGAAAACATACCACAATCCATGCAGACTTCGCCCTTGGTGTCACCAGCGAGCAGTCCACCGCTGGATCCGCAATCCGCCACACCCGACCTTAAAGAGCCTGATCACTTCGAGCTCAATGCCGCGCCAAATGGACGACCTTCAAGGCCACCACCTGCAGTGCTGCACACCCATACCAGCGCCGATGAAGGTATGCACAGAGCCCGTCTACGCGGACGGCAACCGCCTTGACTAACTGGTGCGCAGCAATGTACACTCCGGCATCGACGTCAGCTGGGCGGCCGGCCTCGGGCGACTGGTCAGGCGCCCTGATGCGACCGCATAGCGACGACATGCTGCGATATTCTGCCCGCTCTGCCGAGAAGAAGGACGAGGACCCAATCACCGACGACGACCACGCTGGGCCCCTCTCCGAGCGTTCGCAAAGTCCACCTCCCCTTGAGCTTAACGAAGCAATAGAGCGTGCCATGACCTTGTCCAAGAGATTATCAACTGTCGGGATCCCCAGCAAAGTCAACGACACAGGCGATCTCACGCTCGACTTGACGGGGTTCAAAGGGAGCGAGGAGGAGATGATCCGCGCCGAGGTGCTAGCGCGCAAGATTCTGGCAGAGGAGCTCGAGGGGAACTACGATATCGGAGCGTTGTTTGGCTTCGACGCCGAGGGAAACCTCGTCATCTACAGCAGCGAGGAAGCTCGCCAGGCTGCTATGAAGCGGACAATGGAGTCCACGATGCAGGGCCACGGCCTGAACTCGGATGCTGCATCCGACCCAGGATACCAGAGCGACGACAGCGAAGTCACAAACCCACCTTCCGCGAACAAACACCGGCGAGCAGAGTCGGACGCAGGCCCGTGCGACATGCAGACGCCGCCGAGGACGCCGACCGGCACCAAGCGAGGGGGCGACTCGACCCGCAACTACGCAAAGACCCTTCGATTAACCAGCGAGCAGCTCAAGGACCTGAAGCTGAAGCCCGGTCCCAACAGCATGAGCTTCACGGTCAACAGGGCCACGTGCTCAGCCAACATGTACCTGTGGCGGCACGAGGTTCCTGTCGTCATCTCCGACATTGACGGCACGATCACAAAGTCTGATGCCCTCGGCCATGTGCTCAACATGATTGGCCGTGACTGGACGCACGCTGGCATTGCCAAGCTGTACAGCGACATTGCCGCCAACGGCTACAATATCATGTACCTGACCAGTCGATCCGTTGGCCAAGCAGACACTACACGGACCTACCTGGCCAACATTGTGCAAGACGGCAGCCGTCTGCCTGCGGGACCGACCATTTTGTCTCCCGATCGTACCATGGCAGCCCTGCGCCGCGAGGTCTACCTGCGCCAACCCCAAGTCTTCAAAATGGCCACGCTTCGAGACATTAGCAACCTCTATAATTCGGAGCGGAGTCCCTTCTATGCTGGCTTTGGCAACCGACTCACGGACCAGATCTCCTACCGCACTGTCGATGTGCCTCGGAACCGCATTTTCACCATCAATTCCAATTCTGAGGTGTCCTTGGACCTCCTCACTCTGAACAAGTTGAAGATGAGCTACGTCAACATCAACGAGGTAGTTGATCACTATTTCCCTCCGATCAGTACGCTGGTCACGGGCGGCGGGGAGGAGTTCACCGATTTTATGTATTGGCGCGACGACCCCCTCCCTTTGGATGACTTCTCTGCCAGTGAAAGTGACGAGGAAGACGAGGAGGAGGCGAGCGTATATGCTGAGGATGACGAGGACGAGGAAGCAGGGGAGTATCTCGGCGATAGCTACATTTCTCGCGAATCCTTCGATGACGCCCGCGATCAACCTCGCATGTCCATCGAGAGCCGTCTGGACGAGGAGTACGAAGAAGCCCACGAATACGACGAGCATCTCGCCTACACCAACAACGACTACGACGACGACAAGCACCTTGCCTACGCGTCGGAAGACGACACTCAGGTCATGGAGTCCTCTGCGCCACAGCGCAAGAAGCTCGGTGCCGAGGACGTCAACGCCGAGATTATAACCGGGGTTGGTCATCTCTCACTCGGAAAGGATTGAAGCGTGACAGAGTATGCTAAGACATTTGGTCAGGGTGCCAATGGCACGCCTGCTGCGGATGCGCAGTACGTGCTCGAACCCGTCAAGATACGAAGCGAATGAGAAAAAAACGAAAGACAAAGAAGAACAAAAAGAACTGCATAATAGAGCGGCGTTTCCTGGGGACTGAACACTTACAAATGGCATATTTTCAGCGCGGGACCAGACGTATTGGCCCTCAAGAGCATGGCGTAGGGGGCAAATTCGAGGGGTCATAGCAAATGTACACAACACTTGACTTGTTCCATTCACAAATGTTCTGAAATTAGATTTCATTGTTTTGGTCCCTGGTCTCTACTTTTGGGCATCCAGGTATTGCAGGCGCAATTCGACGGCCCTCCGGTGGGCCTCGAGCTCTTCCACTTTGGCGAGCTGCATCACCGCGGAGCCCACGTTGCGCAGACCATCGGAGGAGAGGTTGGAGCTTGTAATGTGTTTGACGTACGAGCCCAGGTTGACGCCAGAGTACTGCTTCGCGAAACCATACGTAGCTGCAAGACGTTAGCTTGATACTTGCCTCGTACTAGAAGGGTGAGAACTTACGAAGCGAGTGGTTGACGCCGGCAGAATAGTCGCCGACACTCTCGGGGGTCCATTGCCCAATAAAGACACTACCAGCGTTCATGACCTGGTCCACGGCCTTGGCGGCGTCGTCAATCTGGAGGATGAGATGCTCCGGCGCGTACTCGTTGCTAATGCGCATGGCCTCGTCGAGTGTCTTGACCTGCACGGTGACAGAGTGGGCGATGGCGCCACGGACAATGTCCACACGCGGCAGGGCCATGGCCTGGTTGTGGACCTCGTCGTCAATGGCCTGTTGCTGTGCCGGGGTGAGATCGATGGCGATCAGGATGACCTGGCTGTCGACGCCGTGCTCAGCCTGGGAGAGCAGGTCGGACGCGACAAATGCCGGGTTGGCGTGCTTGTCGGCGACGACGAGGACCTCGGATGGACCGGCGGGCATGTCGATGCTGACGCCTGCATTGGTGTCGTTGCTGACGTGCATCTTGGCGGCCGTAACGAACTGATTGCCCGGCCCCAGGATCTTGTCGACCTTGGTGATGCTCTCCGTACCGTACGCCATAGCGGCCACGGCCTGGGCACCGCCGGCGAGCACGATGCTCTCGGCGCCGACCTTGTGCGCCACGTAGACAATCTCTGGGGTCACGCGCCCGTCCGACCGGGGCGGAGACGCGAGCACAATCTTCTTGCATCCGGCGACCATGGCAGGGACACCGAGCATGAGGGCCGTGCTGGGCAGTACGGCGGTGCCACCGGGAATGTACAAGCCGACGCGCTCTATGGGTCTCGAGAAGCGGCTGCACACGACGCCGGGCATGGTTTCTACCTGGAGAGTCTTGTCCTCTTTCTGGGCCGCGTGGAACTTGCGAATGTTCTCGTACGAAACGTCAATGGCCTCAATGGTCTCAGGTGGCAGGTCCATGAGCTCCTTGGGGAAGGGCGCCTTGATGACGGGGGAGGTCAGCGAGGTCGCCTTTTCGAACTTGTGGGTGTACGAGAGCACAGCCTTGTCGCCACCCTTCTTGACGTCCTCGATGATGGGGTGGACAATCTTGAGGATGGCATCAGGCGACTTTTGCGAGGGCCGCTTGAGGGTTTCGAGGAGCTCGGCCTCGGAGGCCTTGGTCGAGTCGATCCGTTGCATCACGATGCGGTCCGTGACCGGCTTTTCAACGGGCGCCACCTTGGGCGGCGGCTGCTCGACCTTGATGCCTTCCTTCTCAGCCCACTTGCCCTTGGCGTTGCCCGTTCGCCTCTTGACCTTGAGCGCCTTTGCGTCGAGGTTCGCCTCAATGTCGGCGAGGGAGACGCCAGCACTGACAGCCTTGGTTAGGGCAAAGTAGATTAGGTCCGCAGCCTCAAAGGCCGTGTTCTCGGGTGTCTCGGCATCGCAGAGCTCCTCGGCCTCCTCCATGATCTTGGCCCGCAGGAGGCTGGCGTCGGAGAAGAGGCGCTTCGTGTAGGATCCCTCGGGCGCCGACTCCTTGCGCGCCTTGAGAGTCTGCTCCAGGGCCGCAATACCTCTTAGGTCGCCGAAGCAGCCAGTCTGCTCCAGGTGGCAGAAGCGGTTCGTCTGTCTGACCACGAACTTGAGGGTGTCGTTGTCGCAGTCCAGAGCGAAGCGGATGAGCTCCTGGGTGTCGCCCGATGTCGCGCCCTTGATCCACAAACCCCTTTTCCGGCTTTGGTACACACCGCCTTGGGTCCGCACAGCTTCGAGGATACTCTCCTCGCTGGTGTAAGCGAGACCAAGTGCCACGCCTGACTCATCTGTGACGACGGTGGGGATCAGCCCGTCAGGGCGATCCGACTTCCAGAACCCAGCGATGACCTTGGACAGCAACAAGCGCTCTTTGTCGTGCTTGTTGGTCGTCAAGGATGTCGAGGCCAGGATGGGAATGGCACCGCATTGATTGGCCACGTCGAGAACCTTTTCAGCGGAAGCTGTCGATGTGGGCTTCAGGTACAAGTTGCTGACTTTCTTCTCCTTGGCCTCAGCAATGAACTTTTCGATATCTGCCGATGATGGGTCAAATTCTTTGATCAAGAGACCGTGCTCTGAAGCGGCGGATAGGTCCAGCTTGGAAACTGTTGGGATCACCCTCGATCCAAACTCTGTGTAAGCGGAGAGGTTTTCTGCAGCGACAAACACCTTTCGTGTTCCTTCGTTTAGTAAAGCCACGACGTCGTCGACAGATTCAAGGCTCGTGACGTCCATGTGAGCGTAGAATTCATGGTTGTGACGTCCCAGAAACCGCGATAGCTTGTCCATAATTTTGGGCTGCGCTTCGAAGAACGGGACACCGAGCACGGATACTTCCTCGCGCGTGAGGCCCTCGAGCTTGGCCAGCCCTGGGGGCACGGCCACACTGACGAGGAACGGGAGTGGGAGTGTCGTCTCCATGATGATTGTGAGTTTTCCAGAGTTTCCTGGCCAAGAGGAGAGGTCAATGTCTGGATATTGTATTACTCTATTATCAGGGAAAGGCTGACTCAAAGTTCCTGCATCGGCGGTTTGAATTCGATGAGCAGTACATGGTGGGGCAGAATTGCCCCTCCATCCATCGTTTTGTCCTTGAAGGCACGAAAGAGCCAGCCTAATTACTAATAAGACACGTACCTATAGTACTAAATTAACCCAACAGCCGTGCGCAAAGGAATTTAGGGGCAATAACTGGACACGTCCAGTATGCTTCCCGCATTCATCCGAAGGAACCCGCCCCGCCACCCCGGCATCCGGACAAAGAAGGTTCCGACGTACCTTGCTTGGCTTCCCATGTACACGGTGCATCTCACCGAGAGCTTCAATGCCCACCAAGCAGCACGCATATACGCCTAATAACTTGGAGTCTCGACCTCAAATCAGCATTCCAACACCACGAGCTGGGTCGCAAGTCGCCATATAGGACCGCATACCCGATTTCATCGCTATCCTCAGCCGATCAACCTGTACACTCACACCACCGTCGCAGTCGCGCGTTCCGTCCACCATGGCCTCGAGCCAGCCTCAGACGAACGGTGGTGCTCCTACAGCCTCAGCAAACAGCTCGCAAACTGTGCCTAACACCCAGACAACTCAGGCGACAGCGCCAGCATCTACATCTACGCAATCCCAAGGGCAATTGCCCCCGTCATCCTCCAACGCAGCTCCCCGACCACGAGATGCCAGGCTCATCGAGCTGCTGCTCACGTCGCAAGGCGTCACATCCTACGAGCAGCGCGTGCCCCTACTCCTTCTCGACTTTGCCTATCGGCATACCTCCTCCATCCTCAATGACGCGATACACCTGTCCGCAGACCCCTACATTCAGCAAGCGGGCTCAAAGGGCGCCGGCGCCTCCAGTGCAGCGAATCTAGCAGCAGGCGACGCAGCCGTCACAGCCAATGCCGTCAAGCTAGCCATTGGCGCGCGTCTGAGCTACCAGTTCCGCGGCGGGAGCACAGGCGGCGGCATCAGCAAGGAATACATGCAGGAGCTCGCGCGCGAGAAGAACAAGGTCGCCCTCCCCAAAATCGTACCCAACGAGTGGGGCGTGCGCCTGCCCGGTGAGCGGTTCGTGCTCAGCGGGACGAGCTGGGGCCTGAAGGACGCGTGGGAGGAAGCCGATCGCATGCTCGACGAGGAAGGCGATGACGCGATGGAGGGCATTGAGGCCCCGCCGCTCGAAGACGAGGGAGGTGATCCCGTCGAAGGCGGGACAGTGGAGGACATGTTTGGCGACGACGTGGACGCTGAAATGGCGGAGGGTTCTTGAGAAGCACACAGTTGCATTTCTGGGCAGTCCGTACAAAGCGATTGGCCGGCAAAAGTTCATGGGCGAATCTTGGTGTTTTCTTGCAAGGCGTACAGGAAGGATTCACGGCATTGATCAGTTGGGTGCGGCAGGCATTCGTATCAGACCCTTGGTAATGACGATTGACAATGCCACATAATTCATGTGCTGTTCAGCCCCAGTCATCACCCACAGCAGAATCATTGGGACTAGCATGTGTTTGAACAGAGGGAAAAAGATTTATGGTACACTAGGCCTTCGCGGTATCTCATACACTCTATACCCAGCTCTACCCAGCAGTTGCTTTAATTCCACATAAACGTCACCGTTCCTTTAAAACTTGGGCTTCATCGTGTTCCTCAGACGCTGGTAGTCGAAGAGGGCCTCGATGCCACCGACGGCGCTGATGGCAATGTCCTTGTCCCATAGCTTGCGGTTGGCAAAGTCCATGACCTCCTTCTCGGTAATGGCGTTGATCTTGCGCTCGATCTCACCGGCTTCGACGCGGCGGCCGGTGGTGACGATCTGGCGACCAATGTCCTCGGCCACGGCCGTCGTGCCGTCGAGGGACAGGAGCATGGAGGCCTTGAGCTGGGCCTTGGCGCGCTCCACCTCGGCGGGCGAAACGTTGGAGCACAGGCGCATCCACTCGCGGATGGCAAAGTGCACGAGGTCGTCCACGCGGGTGATCTTGTCCGTGGAGAGGTAGATACCCCAAAGACCGGTGTCGCTGTACGAGGTGGAGAAGCTCATGAAGCTGTTGGCGAGGTCGTGCTTGTGGACGAAGCCGCTGAGCTTGCTGCCCTGGTGGGGAGCGTTGCCCATGGCCTTGTCGTAGTTGCCGACAATGGCCTGAGTCACGAGAGCGGTGAAGTAGTCCTCCGAGTCCCAGCTCACACCCTCGACGGCGAGGGCAATGTTGGCAGTGCCCATGGTGTCGTCGCGGACGCGCACATCGGAACCGATGAAGTCAGCCTTCTTCTTGGAGAGCTGGTAAGCGTGGTTCTCGGGGCCCTTGCTGGGCAGGCCAGAGAAGTGCTGCTCGGCAAGCTCGACCAGCTTCTCATGGGGGACGCCACCGGCACCGACAAGAACCATGCGGTCAGCAGTGTAGTTGTTCTTGATGTAGTTGGTGAGCTCGGAGCGGGTGATGTCGCGGATGTTCTGGCGGGGGCCGAGGATTGTGCGGCCCAGGGCCTGGTGCTGGAAAGCAGTGGCGTGGAGGTGGTCGAAAACGACCTCCTCGACCTGCTTCTCGACCTCCTCGGACTCCCTCAGGATCACATCGCGCTCGCGCTCAATGGCGGACTCCTCGAGCCTGGAGTTCTGGAGGATATCGGAAAGGATGTCGACAAACTGGGGAACATCGGAGTTGAAGGCCTTGGCGAAGTAGACGGTGTTCTCGCGCTGGCTTAATGTAAGCATTGTGTCCGGCTGTGGTTGATGTTTTTTCGGAATGTACTAACCGAAGTGTAGGCGTTGAGGTGACCGCCGAGGTTCTCGACCTCGAGCTCGAGCTGGTGCTGCGAACGCTTCTGGGTGCCCTATAATTCGCCGTTAGCATTTCTCGCGAGCGTGGATGCGGTCATTGGTGATGTACCTTGAAAGCGAGGTGCTCGAGGAAGTGCGCGGTACCGCTGGTCTCGTCGGTCTCGGCTCGGGAGCCAGCGTCAATCCAGACACCGACAGTCGAAGTCTGTGCCCATGGCGAGTACTCAGTAGCGACCTATGGATACAATCAATCGCTGCAATTTTTCAAAACGTGGTCTGCGAGGCCAATGGGCCCTTGCGCACGCGCAACCTACCGTCAAGCCGTTCTTGAGTGTCGTGGTCTGAGTCCTGAGTCCCGAGGCTGCTGACGCGAAACCTCGCTTCCAGGAGGCGGCCGTAAAGCCAGCTCGGCGGGTTTGCAGACCTCGCGAGAGGTTGAGTGCTAGTCTCCGAGACGCCATTGCGGAGGTTGGAGGGCGAACAAAGGTGATGAGTTGTTTTGCTGGGTTAGAGTCTTCCCTCCCGTAAAGCTCCGTCAACCTCGAAGCAGATTTCCAGGCAGGCGGATCATCCATGTTCCGGCGCCGCATCCACCAATGGAATCCTCCGCCTTATTCATCGGGGCGTCGTCCACTACGGCCATTCCGTCATCACCATTATTGGCCTTTGAGCCAGGTCACTTCATCATTTGGCAACTTCGTTATGCCAGTCCATGCTCAGACTTTTCCTCCACTTGGAAAAGTCACTGTACTTGATCGAGATGTGCTCGATTTGACTGCTGTTCTCAAAGTCCCTCACACTCAACCCGGAAATCATCCGGAATGGGAAGCATCACTCTGGTACTCAGCAGACGGAGCTGCTGACTGGAGTGAAGCGCGGCTGAGTCCTTGCCCTAAGGCAAGCAGACCATGTCCACTTCAGCGACAAGACTCGCTGACAAGGCGTCTTTACTTTCGCTCTCCTTTCACGTTCAAACGTTGTATCACTTTCACTTTGAAGTATCGCAGTGATCGCGCAGACGACTGGACTTGGGTCAGGGACGAGTCCAACCTAGAAGATGGAACTGCTGTCAGACAGTCCTCAGCGAGTTCTTCTGGAGATATCACTGTAGAGCTTCCACACCTTGGTGCGGAATGGGAGATCGAGAAACGCCCCTGCGATGTTGCGCACCTTTGGTCCCTTCAAGCTGGAGTCCCACGACCTTGCCCTGGGCGAGGAGAACCGGATGAGGATACTTCTACCATTCGTAACTTCCAGCTCGGTCTTCCCCGCAAGCCAGTCCTCAGGTAGGTTTCCGGATATGCTCTCTGTGACCGTACGTCTTGCGGGAAGTGGCTGATGCCCTCCCCAGATGGTTTGCCCTTGTGCGTCAATGTGCCTCTTGGCTTGCGCCTCGTCACGGGCGATGTCATCTGGCTTTGGATAAAGATGCCGTCTTGTGTGCGTTTCTGCTGGAGAACGGGCGTTACCTTGTCTTCTTCGCAGTCAGCGGCTTGAATAATGTGATGTCGGTGTTCCAAAGTACGCATGATGGGGTGCTCACAGTTCATGTACGGCAAGATGAGCTCTTGTACAAGAACTACTGCTAATATGTTCAGGCACGCAGTGATAGTGATGGTCCATACCCTGAGAAGGCGACTGTGCTGATCGCCGAGTCCTGTCGCTTAGAAGAGGCCATCCAGGAGATAATGGCATTTGTTCGTGGACAAAGTGATAATTTACCCAGAATCGGAATGAACCCCCGGCGGGAACAATTCACTTCTCACTCTCGAATGTACAAGTCGTCCGATCGCGACGCTTGGCACGACGGCCTGGGCTTCTGTGAGTACTCAGCATTGCCCATGAGGCATTCGGTGTTCATCGCCCTGACGGTAGCTAGGCACGTGGAATTGCTTGGGACCGGAGATGACAGAAGCAGGTCTACTTGAAGTATTGGATGACCTCCAGAGCCACGGCATCCAAATCACCAACCTCATCTTGGACGATGGCTGGCAGCACATCAGCGATGGCGACACGCCGTTCTCAAGAGGGTGGACGGACTTTGAAGCCGCTCCAGAGAGGTTTCCCTCGGATCTGAAAACAACAGTTACTTCAATCAAGCATAAATACGGGACCATTCGCCACGTTGCCGTGTGGCATGCTTTACTTGGGCACTGGAGCGGGATAGATCCCAAGGGTCGACTTGCCACAAAGTACGCCAGTCAGGCACTTGCTCGCAAGGATGACCACCTTGGACTAGACGGCTATATGACAGTTGTTTCCATGGATGACTTGGCAAGGTTTTACGGCGATTTCTACAAATTCCTGCAGGATGCTGGTATCGACGGCGTCAAGACTGACGTGCAGAGCATGGTAGAGTGTTGGAGCAGCGCCAGAGCTCGTCGCGAGCTCCTGTACTCCTATCTCGACACATGGAGCCGGGCTACACTTCGACATTTCGAGATGAATACTATCTCTTGCATGTCCATGTTCCCCCAGGCCCTATCGTACACACATGCCTCTTGCAACCGGCCGATGTACCCTATGCGAACATCCGACGACTACTTCCCAGACGAGCCGGATTCACACGCATGGCATATCTGGACAAATGCACACAATTGTGTATTGGTACGGGAAATGAACGTGTTGCCTGACTGGGACATGTTCCAGAGTGTTCATGACTACGCAGATTTCCATGCCGCTGGGAGGTGTATGAGTGGTGGCCCAATTTATATCACCGACAAGCTCGGCGAACACGATCTTGGATTGATCGACCAGATATCGGCGAGGACGCCTCAAAATGGTACAATCGTCCTGCGGCCAAGCGGTACCGCACGAGCGATGGACCCTTTTGCTGATTCTAAGGACCTTTTGTTGCTCAAGGTTGGAAATCATTTCGGTAGGTTCGCAGACTTCAGCATGGCTTATGATCTAACACCTCAGACAATGCGGACTCGAAAGTATCAATTCTAGGACTGTTCAACGTTACGAGCCATCGCATCATGGAACTCGTGGCCCTCTCTGACTTCCCTGGTGTTGAAGAAGATAAGACATATGTTGTCCGTTCCTACCGGTCCGGCTTAACGTCAACCCCAGACTGTACCAAGAAGACACCTGTTCTGTACAATGTGTCCATTGATTCGCATCAATGGGACATTTTGTACGCTCATCCCCTGGTGTCTTTGGTCAGCACAGTCAAATCCGGCGTGCAAATAGCGAACCTCGGGCTTCTGGACAAGATGATGGGGTATGCTGCTGTTTTGAACACCTCTTTCCACTCGGCAGCCGACGGCAAGATCGAAATAACGACCACGCTCAAGGCACTCGGCGTGCTCGGTAGGCTGTCCGTTCCCGACTTATTGGAACAAGAGCTAATCTTGCATTAGGTTTCTACATCAATTGTCCGTCGCGCCTCGACCTTTCAGAGAACATTGCTGTGAAGCTGCATGCAGAGGATGTCCCTGTCGATTTTCTCCACTTTCCACGCCAGGAGCCCGTGATAGAAGTCGACGTGCAGAGGGCTTGGAAAGAACTGGGCTTGAAATGCGGTGCAGAGGAACAAGGCACAGTATATGTATCGATACATTTTGAGTCTTAAAATATAAAGACTTCAGCTTGGAGACTACCTCTACATGAAGAGACTTTCAATATATTACGAAGCATGTTAGAAGAGTACAATCCCGACGAGCGCACAGTGAAGAAAAATGTCAATGCCCGTATAATTGAAATATCCTAACATGATTAAAAGGCAACTTTATTCACACGAAAAAGCATACAAAGGACATATGTTATGCGAGCTGAGCTTCAGCTAAGCATCCATACAGGGTAAGTCAATTAGCATGCGACAGTCTCCACTCCGCGGACCGGAACCCCTGCATGTAGCTTCCAAACACCTTACATACAACGATTCAACATACATCCCGCTTGTGAATCTGGCGTGAACATGAGCGCCAGGTCGGAGGAGACAGCCCTGGATGCTCGTAAGCATGACAGATGATACCTCGAAAGGCAATCGCTAACCCTTGGCTCCGTGCGCAGTGCACTACGACCCCATCGACCACCTCAACCAGCTCTTCTCCCACCCGTCGACCGTCTCCTCCATCAGCCAAGTGTCCCATACACTACGACATCGCCAACATGAAATCTCAAGCGACATTTCCCGGCTGGAGCAGCAGCAAGCGTACCAGCCTGATTCGAGCCTCGAGCGCATGCAGTCGGCCCAGGCTGAGCTAGCGCAGCTCTTTCGCAAGATCGAGACGGTCCGATCGCGGGCCATGGAAACGGAACAGAACATTACGAGCATGACGGCCGACATCAAGAGGCTGGACGGCACGAAACGGAATCTGACGCTCAGCATGACAGCACTGAAACGGCTGCAGATGCTGACGACCGCGTACGAGCAACTGCGCGGACTGGCGAAGACCAGGCAATACCGAGAATGCGCTGGGCTCCTGCAGGCTGTGATCCAGCTGATGAAGCACTTTAACAGCTATCGAAGTATTGAGCAGATTGCGACACTGAGCCGAGGGGTCGCGGATCTGCAGAGAGAGCTCCTGGAGCAGGTCTGCGAGGACTTTGAAATGGCTTTCGCCAAAGCTGAGGTATCGGCACGCAGGGGGACGCTCCAGGAAGCTTGCCTTGTTGTTGATTCTCTGGGCGACCAGGCCAAGTCAAGGCTCATGACTTGGTATGTGAACACGGAGCTCAGGGAATACCGACAGGTCTTCAGGGGCAACGACGAGGCGGGCAACCTGGACAACATCGGGCGGCGCTACGCATGGTTCAAGCGAATGTTGAAGACCCACGAGGACGAGCACGCGGCTATCTTCCCGCCGCATTGGAAGGCGAATGAAGTCCTGGCGACGGCATTCTGCGACGGCACACGAGAGGACTTTAAGCTGATACTGGAAAAGAGCATGCGGCGCGGCGAGGGACAAAACGTCGACGTCAACCTGTTGCTGAGCTGTCTGCAGGAGACTCTCGATTTCGAGCAAAGCCTAGAGAGGCGCTTCGGGCGCGAACCCAGAGCCAGCATCGACACACTGAGCTCGCAGGACGAAAGGCCCCATACGTTTAATGGATTGGTATCTGTGGCCTTTGAACCATACTTGAGCTTGTGGGTCGACTCGCAAGACAAGCAGCTGGCCTCGGTGATACCCAAGTACCGCAACCAACCACTCGTGGCGGAGGATGAGGAGTTCTCGCCATCGGCTGTCATACCGTCGGCCATTGAGCTCTTCCACTTTTACAAGCTCACATTATCGCAGTGCGCCAAGCTGTCGACGAGCGATCGCTTACTGGACCTGTCGAGGGTACTGGCAAAGTACCTGGACGAATACGCCCAGCAAGTCCTACTGCACATCTTGCAGGCGGGTGGACAGCAAGCGCCGGCGATACAAGATGTGGTGCTGGTGCTCAATTCGGCAGACTTCTGGCACGCCAACACGAACCAGCTGGAAGAGAACATCAAGAAACGTATCGACAGCGAACTGGTATCCAAGGTAGATCTGACATCTCAGTCCGATGCGTTCCTGGGCGTGGCGAGTGCAGCCGTCCTGGCGCTGGTGCACATTGTCGAGGTTGAGTGCGACGGTGTCTGGCGCGAGATGCGCAACACCAACTGGAGCACAATGGACAGCGCGGGTGACCAGAGCTCCTATGTCAGCGAGCTTGTGCGGCGCGTGAACGCCAAAGTGGAGGAGATTCTTGGGGTGGTGGCCAAGCAGCAGTACGCGAGAGCCTTTTGCGACAATCTCGTCGAGCACTTGGCTTCGGCGTACATTAACAGCATTGTGCAGTGCCGACCCATATCAGAGGTCGGTGCGCAGCAGGTGAGACTATACTGGGTTCGGTGAAACCCGACCTTGGCTAACGATTGCAGATGCTGGTGGACAAGTACGCGCTGACGAAAGCGTTCAACAACCTGATCCTGTTTCACAACCCGTCGCCGGATCACCAGACGCCGTCCGCAAGCTTTGTCCGCCGAGTCGAGCAGTGCATGAATAGGATGGACCCCCTTCTCAAGACACTGCAAGTGCGATCATCCCCCCCGGAAGGGCTCGTGCAGGCCTATCTGATCCACATTGGCGACCGGTCCGACACCAACTTCAAGAAGATTCTTGACCTCAAGGGGATTCGCAAGCAAGACCAGCATCATCTGGTGGAGCTGTTTGGTATCCATCGAGATGGCAGCGGCCACGATAAGCTTGTGGAGAGCTCACCTCTCCTGACACCCCTAATGGCTGCTTCTGCAATGGGCCATACGGCGGGCGCAGGATCCATGAGCAGCAGCAGCGCCCTGAGTGCAGCCACGGGTGGTGCCCGCTTTGATACGGGGTCCCTCGGGGAGAAGCTTCTCAGTGCGGCGAGGGACATTAGCACAGCTACGGACCGTGCGGGCCAGAGTGGCATGGAGAAGGCCACAATCAACGAGAATCTTCGCAATTTTGGGAAATTCTTCAAGAGAGATATTGGAGGACTGGGGGCGCGGTTTGGGAAGAGGGATGGGAGTGAGGAAGGCCTGGGGCTGCGATGAGCATACACCACACGGGGGTTTTCGTATATTCACTGCAGTACGTATTGGCATAATCAGCGTGTGATGGTTTTTGTGCAGGAAGATACAGTGTTCCTGTATCAATCACGTTGTGATTCCAGATTGTGAATGAGCGTGCGGTATGACAACCGTGGACGGGGCTGCCTAGAGCAATAGTACGGAGTACGGGGATATGGAAACAATTGAAATCCACGACGCAAGTAATCTCCAGGGCATTATATATGCCCATAGTGGAAGCTATCAGCTTTATAATCTCCTGCAATCGAATCTCATATCTCATTAATATGAGAAACGTGTGCAAAAGCACATGGTTCTTCAACTCCGCGGCCGATATCAAATTTGTTGATTCGCAAAATGTCTTGGGTAGGCCTTCAGACTAGGAGATTCGAATGTGGTTCGAGGCCGCAGATGCAATGTTATTTTACTAGTACGATTGAGAAGTACAAACTGACTCGAGGGCAGTTACTAGACTAGTGTCCTGCAGGGCTGGAACTCTTGCGAGGTGGTGAGGATCTAGCTCTTTGGGTGGTGAATGGCATTGTACGTAGGCCCCGTCTCGTGAGTTTTCGTGGTTTCTCGGAGTCTTCGGCGGACCTTTGCATTGTCAGACTCGCAATGCAACACTGCCTAGGAATCAGCCCAGGGCCAAGGCTGCCTCGCACCCTGCCTGGCCAGACCCGCGACTGATATCCAGGCTGTGGCGGCTCTAGACTGAGCTACCCATGCATTGATACGTGTCACAACCAGGCTCTGGACTGAGCAAGCCACGCGTGACGTGTTACAGCTGAGCAAGTTTGTGCTGATCAAGCGACGTACGGTACAAGGATAGATTCTCGTTGTCTGTATAAGGGCTACTTTTAGTTGTTCTATATAGCGGTGTCGGTTCCTTGGTCATTGATTATCTTCAACGAGAAACCCGATCGACAGCCTCTTTATAGACGCCCCTTGCACAACAAAGAAAGCGTTTCGGAGTATCCGTACTCTTTCGTAACTCCCGATGGCGCCTCAAGTCATATGGACTATCCCCAAACCAAATTAGGGCGGATAAAATTCGACCAACACATCGGTTTGACGATTTGGACAACATGGCACAGTGGCTGCATCCTTTTGATGATCTGACACTGGACCACGGATCCAGGGCCGAAGTCGAATACGAGAATGTTGATTCTGCGGCAGTGTTTTCATTAACATCCCAAAGCAGACTTGATCTTACCGCCTTCCTCCAGTCACAAAGAACCAGGGAGAATCTAGACCATGGTCAGGTGCTCTTACTGCCGTACCGGCTGTGGAAGCTCGCCACGACTATCGACAATCTCAGATACCTTGCCGAGATTTGGAACATACCTAGGATTGTGTTGAGATCACTATTCACGGCGGCACTACCAGTCACCTTCCGGTACCCAGGGAGTCTCACATGGCACATTTGCCCTCTTCATCTTCCGTCCGAACGTGGTGAATGTAGCATTATCACTCTGGCATATTCGATACCCGAACAGTCGAACAGCAGAGGGCGGAGGAATGACGTGGTTCCCAGTGTCGTCATCTTCTGCCCGGAAAGGCTGGTTTCCAGGGTCGAACCCACGATACTGTCGTATCGATCTTCCGCACAAGCACGCGATGCTGACCACAATGCGGTGGCCCTTGGACTCGTTCTTTTCATCCTGGAGATGATCATCACATTCGAGGGGATGGTTGAACACGAGGTCATCGCACAGACTGGGGAGGCAATGGTGCGGAACAAGTTACCTAGATCAAATAGTCACTAACCGTGGTTTAGATCACATCAACCATTTCAGCTCGGGATACATTGCTTTCTGGAGAGGGTATCTGGAACGTCGAAAGCCTTATTAAGTCGATTCGAACGCACACGACCCACCTAGGAGAACTACGGGAATCGTTACAGTTTTTGGAGAATGTAGCGTCGGCGTCTTTTGGACGAGACTCTAGATTTCCAGTTGCACTCTCCTACTATAAACGACGAATGATGAGGGAATCTCGGGAATTCGCAAAGATGAAGCTTCATTTGGAAGCAATGAACCGAAACGTCAGTCCAAGAGATATCCACGTCGTCCAACTGATACTAACTGAACGGCTCTATTGCATAGATTGGCAATGTGGTACTACTGAATAATACGCAACTCCTCCGAACAAACATGATTGCAATGCGTCGTTTGGCAGAACAAAATGATCGACACTCTGTTCTAGTTCAACGGCAAACTCAACAGTCTGCTGCAGACGCCAAGGAAATGAAGAGACTCGCGTACCTGGGAATGGCTTTTCTACCGACTACTGTCGTAGCAGCAAGTGCTCGTGAAAACAAACAGATATCCACCTCGCAGCTGACTTCTGCTTCCAGGCAATATTTTCGACGCCGTTCCTGGACTTGGACGATGGTATGTCCTTCAATGCACTTCCCAAAATCTGGCTGCTCTTGATTCCCTGTGCCGTCTTGACTGCGGCAACATTCGCAACTTCGTCCGCTTGGGATCGATGGAGACAATCAAGACCCAGAACTCTAGCACAGGAGGAGGTTCATCCGAATGAGATGCCAGAACGGATTATTTTGGAACCTCAAGCACATAATGTCCCTCGAGACTATCGCGCTCTGATGCTAGAGAGAATTCTCAGGAACAAGCAAGGAGGCCAAGATCACGAGGATGAGACCGCTGGAGAGGGCCTCACAGACGAAGTGCAGCAACTTTTGGATGCCCTATCGGTACATACGAATCAGGACAATGATGCCGAAGACATAGGCACCGCAGTCCGAAACGTTGCGGAGCAAAGTGGCGGGGAATCGATGGAATAGTTAAGTGATTGAATGCGACACCAGGTGCCACCGTAGCCTACCCGGTACGGAGCTATGCCTATTCGGAATCAGGTCATCTTAACCACGCGGCCAAAAATTCGAGCCAAAACGGACTCCAAACAGGCTAAGGTAAGATTCAGTCCATCAAGGCCGCATGACCGCTGCCGGGTAGCCCATTCACGTGCCAATCTGGCCAAACCAAAGATCCATCATCCAGTGCATTCCGAATTTCCGCCCCAGGATAGGAGTCCAGGACCCCTTGGGCCGCTCGGCCAAAACCGTGACCAAGGACTGGAGGCCGTTCCTCCACACCACCCAAAAGCGCCGCAGCTTAGAAATCGACAGCCCAATCGCGTCGCGGCCCGTCGTCGTCGTGCATGTTCCAGAAGACCCCTCGGACTGATTTTCAGTGATACTCGTTCATTACTGTACGAATTGCCCCTCCGAAACCCCGCCGGCCAGAACTTCTCCTACCGAGTCGGATCACCACTTTCCCTCCCGAGTCCTCTACAACCGCCAAACTGTTTACCTCACGACTTTTCAGCCGGACCCTTCGCTCGAGCGCTGGGCTATCGATTGCGGTTGCGGCAAGCGGACTACAAAAGACGACACCCCCGAAAGAGTTGGGCGTCCGAAACATGCACAGCAAAGTTGTCAGTACGTACTTGCACATCCTTCTGGAAAGGAACATGCCCTGACATAGCTGGCAGTTATCGGCTCTGGGCCCGCCGCCCACACGGCGGCCGTGTACCTGGCACGCGCCGAGCTGAAGCGTAAGCAAGCCTCTTGACCGAATAAGCGACCATTAACCAGGACAGCCGTCCTGTACGAGGGCTTCATGGCCAACGGTACCGCTGCTGGTGGCCAGCTGACGACGACCACCGATGTCGAGAACTTCCCCGGCTTCCCCAAGGGCATCATGGGCCAGGAGTTGATGGTACGCGAGCCTGACGCGGAGGGAGAAGGTCATTACGGCAGCTAGCTAACGCATGCCAGGACAACATGCGCGCCCAGTCCGAGCGCTTCGGCACAGAGATTGTCACCGACACCGTCACCACCCTCGACCTCTCCTCGCGTCCCTTCAAGTACTCGACCGAGTTCGCCCCGACCGAGTCGCACACGGCCGACGCCGTCATCGTCGCGACAGGCGCCTCGGCGCGCCGCATGAACCTCGTCGGCGAGGACAAGTACTGGCAGAACGGCATCTCGGCCTGCGCCGTGTGCGACGGCGCGGTGCCCATCTTCCGGAACAAGCCGCTCTACGTGATTGGCGGCGGCGACTCGGCCGCCGAGGAGGCGACCTTCCTCACCAAGTACGCGAGCCACGTGACGGTGCTGGTGCGGCGCGACCAGCTGCGCGCCTCGCGCACCATGGCCAACCGCCTGCTGGCGCACCCCAAGACGACGGTGCGCTTCAACACGGTGGCGACTGAGGTCCGTGGCGGCGAGGACGGCCTCATGTCCCACCTCGTCGTCAAGGACACCCAGACCGGCCAGGAGGAGGTGGTCGAGGCCAACGGTCTCTTCTACGCCATCGGCCACGACCCGGCCACCGCGCTCGTCAAGGGCCAGCTCAAGATGGACGAGGAGAACTACATTGTCACCGAGCCCGGGACGACCCTGACCAGCGTGGCGGGCGTGTTCGCCGCGGGTGACGTGCAGGACAAGCGCTACCGCCAGGCCATTACCAGCGCGGGTGAGTTCTTTTGGGCTGTCCATGTCTATATGTGATGCTGACTATACTAGGAACCGGCTGCATGGCGGCTCTCGAGGCGGAGAAGTACCTCGCTGACCGCGAGATGGATGTGCGCGACGACGACCGTGAGTCTTAGATACCAGAGAGAGAAAAAGATAGACCCGAGACGCAATATAGAGTAACCATGTACAAGGCGACGATCACACGGCGGCAAGACTATAGACAGTGCAGTGATGGGCTGGTACAATTATTCTTTTGTTTCACACACAAATCCTCGCTACCACGTATATCCTGTATGTTGACATGGCCTGCATAGTGGCATTTCTTTTCGTTCGCAGTCTGCCGTCCTCCGTGGAACGCCCATCCCATTTCTACTTCTCCATCTCGAGAACCGCTGGCGCGGCAATCTTGGTGTCGCTGAGCTTCTCCAGACCCTCGCCGCCCTACCATTGTTAGCATTGTCTGGTTGAAGAGCAAGACTGTACGCACGTAGCTCATCAAGGGCGACACCTCGACGCCGCCGTCCTGCTCCACGACCGCACCGGCCTTTTCGACCCAGCGCTGGCCCTGGCCCATAATGTCCTGCTTGCTGGTGTCCGGGTCGTCCTCGCCGGTGCCGCGGGCGTTCTTGAGCGGGGAGAACTCGTCCTCGCGGCGGACCTCGAGGCAGGCAAACTTGTCGAGGGACAGCATGGGGAAGACATCAAAGACAAACTGCTCGAGCTTGATGCCGTTGGGTTTCTCGGGCTTGACGGTCTCGCCGGTCTGCAGGTCGGCGGCGGGGATCTTCTTCTTGGCGACGTGGTGGGGCAGCTTGTGCGCCCACGAGGGGATGGACTCGAGGAAGCGGAGGGAGTAGTAGTGGTTGACAATGTTGGCGGCGCGGAAGCGGAGGACGTCTGGGTTTCTTGGGTCGCGGGCCTCGGCGGTGGCCTGGTCAATCTCCGAGTACTCGACAACGTCGGGCTTGCCGTTCTTGGCGAGGATGAGGCCGACGGACTCGGTGGCGCTGCGCTTGCGGACGACCTTTGTGGCAATGTCGACGTCCTTGCTGGCGCTGAAGCCGATAAAGACGGGGTCGGCCACCTTGACGAGGCAATTGTCGACGCAGTAGGCGTGGACGTGCTGGACGCCGCGGCGGCGCATGTCCTCGAGCACGCCCGAGAGGACGAGGGCGTTGTAGAGGCCGCCGTTGCCGTCGGGGGCGACGGCCACCTTGCCCTTGGACTCGAGGAGGATCTTGCCGTCGTTGGAGATGCAGGGCAGGACGCCCTGCTCAAAGATCTTGACGTTGGCCGGGTCGAGGCCAAAGTACTTGTGCTCCTCGAAGAAGGCCTCGGTGGGCCCGCGCGTCGGCCCGCTGGTCATGACATACCAGGGCACGACGGCGGCGCCGTTGCTGGACAGGGACTGCATCTTGCGGATACGCTCGGCCTGGATCTGGAAGAGGGACTTGTGGGAGGGCAGGCCAATGTCGAAGCAGCCCTTGGGGGCGGAGGAGCCGAGACGGGTGCCCTGGCCGCCGGCCATGAGGACGACGGCGACCTGGCCCTTGCCAATGAGCTCGAGGCCGGACTTGTACCACTTGTCGATATCGGCGGCGTCCGAGTCGAGGATGCTGGCGGTCGCGGACTCGGGGAGGGGCTCGAGGACATCCTGCTGGCTGTCGTCTTTCGGGGGCGGGTGGAGGGCACGGTCTGTGATGGCGTTGACGTGGTCCGGGTCGATGGTGGCGAGCTGGTGGTACAGGGCTACCTTTTCGCTGTCGGGGAGGGCGTCGTAAAAGGTGAAGACCTGGTCCTGCTTGGCGGCGGTGAACTTGTCCTTGAGCTGGGCGAGCTCCGTGTCGGTGGGGGGCTTGCGCCCGGCGGCTTGGCCCTTGGACCCAATGTGAAGCTTCTCCTTGATCTTGTCCATGTTTTGTGTGTGTGTGGTGGTGTAGAAGATGGGGAAGAAAGAAGCAATGTCGGTGGGAGAAGAGTAGCTAAATATGTAGGTCGAATACGAGGATCTTGGTTGCTGCGGACGAGATCGCCATGTGGGACTGGACTGGTCACTGCCTGCCCACCCGCCCGCGCATGGAACAGCCCAAGCCAGCTGTGGCAGGCTGACGTCGTGGCCGTGCATCGATCTGACTTAGCGTCCAGGGGTGATGAACTGAATTGGGTATCTCATTGGTTCATTCACGTCTGGCCAGGTAGGTCAGGTACCTGTAGCTTTGTTTACTCTGATTTCTACACGTTCTTGTTGCTGACCTTGTTTGCGTCTGTTGCTGTGTACAGTCACTTGCTCGTAGCTAGGTCAGCCAACCCCTCAAAGCCAATACTTGACAAATTGCTGAAGATTGATCACTCACAGTAAGTTTACCTGGACTCTGAGTAACTTGTGGCAATCAATCAATGGCTTGTGGTTGCTTGCATAGCGCACATGGAGCCAGGATGGCAGTGCCCCTCCATCCTCCATGAAGAAGAGGCTTCTGCCCCGCATCGACAAGTTTCTATGGCGGTCAAGATTTAAGCGACTGCACTGGAGTCAGCCTGTGTTGAGTCTGACCTGAGTAAGCATGCATCCTCGCAGAGCTGAGCTCTGGCGAGTGTCATTCTGTTCTAAATTTCTCCATGATCACCAATCCATCAGCAGTAGACATGCATAGTATCTACATCTCTACTGGCTGCCAAGAATCTTATCGATATCGGTTGCCTGCCGATCACGTATCTGTGACGCGTGAGTCGTGATCTGCTGGTGCTTGTGGCCAGGTCGTACTCGTATTAACATAAAAAAATAAAATAAAAACCAGGTGAACCCTGCCATCGGTGGTACCGTGTGCCCTGAAATCGATGCAGTTGTGTTTGTATTAGTATTGATTACCGACAGGCTCAACGATCAACGTCTCGCTGCTCAGCTCAGCTCACTCTGAAGCCAAAGTGGGGCGCGGCTCAAAATAGCAACGGAGGAATAAGATCGACATGGAGCCTGGTCAGGGCCTGTCTGCCTCTTGAACGATCCCAGACATACCGACTGTGTTCAGAACTATAGCAAACCTGTATCGACTCAGCATCAATGCCAAGGACAATATGAGTCCCAAGGACGAAGAGCAGATCGACCACCAGGAGTCAACAGAAGCCACCTTTCACGGTCACCTTGAGCTACAAGACTTCATGTATACATCCCCAGACAACGACTCATCGAGCATCTCACCCAGAAGGAGCACGCGGTTATCACAAACCACCTTGGCGCCGCCATCACAAACCTCCTCAAAAGACTCCTCGCCATCCCCTGCGAAACGCAAACCATCAGCAGCAGCAGCAGCAGCAGCAACCTCATTGCCGCCAAAGCGACCCAAAAGAAGTCGCCCTCCCGCCTCTTATGCGCCTCCCTCCACGTATGCCCACCTACCACCCTTGCCAGACGCCATCAAACCCAACCTACTCATCCTCTTCGTCGGCCTCAACCCGGGCATACAGACCGCGCGAACAGGTCACGCCTACGCGCACCCCAGTAACCTCTTCTGGAAGCTGCTCTTCTCCTCGGGTCTCACCGACAGGTTGTGCCACTACTCCGAGGACCGTGACCTCCCGGCGCTCTACTCCATGGGCTTTACCAATATCGTGGGCCGACCCAGCCGCAATGGCGCCGAGCTGAGCAAGCAGGAGATGGACGACGGCGTCGAGGCGCTGCACGACAAGGCCCGCACGTGGCGACCAGAGTGCATGTGCATCGTGGGCAAGAGTATCTGGGAGAGCATCTGGCGGGTGCGACACGGCGGGACGCCCGTCGGCAAGAACTTTCGCTACGGCTGGCAGGACGAGAGCGAGAACATGGGTGTCGTCGAGGGTGACTGGCCGGGCGCCAGGGTGTTCGTGTCGTCGAGCACGAGCGGCCTCGCGGCGACGCTCTCGCCCAAGGAGAAGGAGGCCATATGGAACGAGCTGGGTGTCTGGGCCAAGCAACGAAGAGAGGAGCGTCGTCGCTGTCAAGCTGAACAAGAACCATGATTTCAAGTGACCATCTAGAAACCCTCTTTTTTTTCTTCTTCTCATCTAAATGAACCCACACCCCTTGCCAACGCCAGTACGCCTTGACCATTTTCTGCTTTCTGCTTGCCTGCCTGCCTGCCTGCCTTCCTCCTACCCACCTACTTGCACCTCTTCTCAACGATGCCAGGGCCATTCTCCTCGTACTCCTTGCGCGAAATCCACATCTGGTGGAATGTGCCCAGACTCGACAGGATGCTGCCGCCGACCCAGGCTCCAAAGCGCCTCTCGCTCGTGAGACCAGCCGCGTGGATCTTGATCTTCACACCGGGGTACATGCCAATCAGCTCATTGTTCAGACGGTCATTGAAGCCGTTGATCAGGCTTGTGGCGCCGGTGACGACGACGTTGCCCAGCAGGTTGGGGCGCAGGTCGACATCGACCGCCTCCAGCGCCGTGCGGATAAGGGACGGGATCGTCTGCTCCTTGGTGATGCGCTCCGCCTCGGGGAGGGGGTACCCGACGCTCTCGTCAAACATGCCCTCGCTCGCGCGGTACCGCTGCTCGCGCCACATCTGGTTGTAGCCGTCCGGCATCTCAAACACGCGCCCGGGCTGGGTCTTGATAAAGTCCTCGGTGCCCTGTGCGCGGTACGGGCCCGGGTTGCCGCGCCACACCTCCACGACGGACTCTTTGAACTCGGTCAGGACACGCTCCTCCTCGTACCGGCGGAAGCTATCCGCGATTGAAAAGGGGAATTTGCGCAGCCGGGCCTGGGCGGGCGCGAGGGCGTCGACGGGGGTCTTGTTCTCGATGAGGTAGGTTGGCGTGAGGGCCACCTTGGGCTCCGCGTGCTCGAACATGCTGCGGATCTGCGAGGACAGCCAAAGCCCGCCGACGGGCGAGCGCTGGATGGACCGCTTGAGGACCATGCCGTCGTGCACGGCGGTGACGTTGGTGTTGGAGCCCCCGACGTCAATCACCAACGCCGTCGCCTTGCCGGCCGCAAATGCCGACAGCGTGGGCGTGCGGCTTAGCCAGAAGGCCGGGCAGCCCCATGTCTCCATGATGACCTCGGTCGTCTTCTCCCGCGCCTTGGACGTGTTCCACGGCGCCTCGGTCACCAGCAGCGGATTCTCCTGCAGGGCCTTCTCCTGCTCCTCCTGCGCCTCGGCCGCCGCCTCTTCTGCCGCCCCGTCCATCGATACGTCCCCCTCGCCGTCCTTTTTGGGGTCGTCGTTTAGGCCGTTCTTGCTTGGGGCTGTCGGTCGCTCGGGCTGCAGCCTCTTGACGAGCATATTCTCCCAGAACTTGGGCGCGACGTCCCAGTCCTCGACCACGCTGTCGCGATTCATGTAGTTGCGGACCTCGAGCCCCTCGCGCGGGATCAGGTACTCATCGCCAAAGAGGTTGGTGTTGGTGCTGCCAATGTGGCCGTAGAAGGAAGGGAGGATGGACTTGGGCACGTCCTCGCCCGCCCAGCCGGCGCGGGTGCTGCAGTAGCCCGGGTCGAGCACGAGCGCGGAGACTTCATCTACACTATAGTGTCAGCCAAATTGTGTGCCGGAGGAGGGAGGGGATGCGCACCGCCGCCGTAAATGTCGGTGGGCGGGACTGCCGAAGAGAGCGGTTGTTGCGCCATGGCGGCGTCGAGTCGTGACGAGCTCAATGTGCGCAATTGAGGGGTGTCTTGCGTCGGGTCTGGGCTATGGCGACGCGTGATGGAAGGCTGCACTGGCTTGCTGTCGCGTGAGAGGCGGCGCGACGAATTTGTTTGTGGTTGGTGATGTTGAGGCTGAGGTGAGCAAGGAGGAAGGACTGCTGCAGCTGACCGTCCGGCTCACCGAGAAATTCCATGTCAGAGCGCGGTTTGGCCTACCCGGCAGCCTCGCTCCCCTCCTATGTTCTGTCTCGCCCTTGACCACCCTCCAATCTTCGTTTCCTGTTACTCTGGGTGCAACTATCTGTGCTTCGTCTAGGCAGACCATTTGGCTGACAAGGATACACCCAGACGACGAGAACACGCCAGCTGACAATTGCCCTGGCGAGCATGGCGCCGCCGCCCACAACACGGAGGGGATGACCTCCCAATCTGCAGTCTTCTGCGACAAGAGGTGATGACCGGATGGAGACCATGTTTGACGATGGGATCGAGCTACAACTTGCCCTGGACGGCCTGGCTGCGGGTGACATGGAGCCCCTCAAGCACTACTTTCTCGACCTCGAGGCCGTCGAATCCTGCAAAAGTCACTTTGCGTGCCAATCCTTGGCGGGCTTCTCCAGAGACGACGGAGGACTCCTCAATCTACAAATTCGAGTACCATGGGAAAGTGGACAACGTCCAGGATCTCAGCGATCAGACAAGTGCGCTACCCGAGCGGTCGCTGGAGAGACCGACCGTCCGCTTCGATGCCACGTCCACGCCTTTCACGTACTCCCCCCTCGGAAAGCGAGAGTTTCGACTGATGAGGCTCGCGCCGCCAGATGCGGAGGACTTCACACGCGAGATTGAAGTGAAGACGTCCCGTCTGGACGATGCACCACCTTTCTACTGCTTGTTCTACGTGTGGGGCAACCCAAAGGAGTTCTTACCGTTGACCTGTAATGGCGGAAGGACACTTGTGGTCCAGAACCTGTACCACGCGCTACGCACCTGTTTCAATCGATCGAGCAACGCGTGGCTGTGGGCGGATGGGCTGTGCATCAACCAGGAGGACCTCCATGAGCGGTCACAGCAGGTCATGCTCATGGGCGAGATCTACAGCAGGGCGTCCGTGGTGCTCGCCCATCCCCGTCACTATTCGTACGGGCTCTCTGAGTCGGAGGCGGAGGCTGAAAGTACTAGCAGCAGTTGACGGAATAGGATAGGACTCGAGGGGTGAGGGGATCTGTGTCGAACATGAGAGTCCCAGGTAAGCCAAGACGACCGCCCGGTAAATCCACGGTACACTCCAACCCCACTGGAGCTAATTAGCAGGCCAACTTGAAAAACTGAGACGAGCAATGGAGTTCTCTTCTACAAGTTCAACATCCTTCCATTATCAACATCTCCAGTTCCACTTGGATCGGCCACCTTGACTGGTGTCGCAAATCCACGCATTCACTATGCTTGTATGTCACACTGCCCTACCACGCCTCTCCATTTTCATGATGAACTTGCATTCTCGCTTCAGAACCGCTGCGATTGATACGGCTTGCCGTGTGTGATTATAACACGCCTTTGTCTGATCTTCTCCCGTCTACCTTGCTTCCTTTGCAACCCTTCCGCTCGAGTGGTGGCTAACAATACAGGCGTCATGACCTACGCGAACTGCCTTCGACTGGCCAGTCGGTCTGTACGAACACACATACACAATGCCCGGTCCTCCGTGACAGTAGGGGCCCCGCCCTTTGGGCACACCCTCCGCAACTACTCGGACAAGCCCGACTCCCGTCTTGACTCTGCCAATCCGGAGCGCGTCTCTGCGTTCAAGAAGCAGCGCATTGCGGATCTACGCAAAGCGCAGCACGATGAGAACCCCGAGGGCAGCGGTCTGTTTGACACTCCCTGGCCGCGTCTACCCTCCCGCGACGCCAAGTTTCGACTTACTCCTGCCGAGTTTCAGGAGCGCTTCGATAGCCTCGGCGACAAGGAGGAGGTTACCATCATGGGTCGCGTGCGTCGCAAGCGCGTCTCGGGGTCCAAGTTAATGTTTATCGATATTGTCAACGAATACCAAAAGGTCCAGATCATGGTCAACGCCGGCGCCATCAGCGAAAAGATATTCTCCAAGCAACGTTTCGCGCTGTTTCGCAATCTGATCCAAGTGGGCGATCACATCGCGGTGACAGGCCGCAAGAGTGTGACCCATTCGGGACAAATAACGCTCACGGCTGTCGATCTGCCCGAGCTCCTGTCCCCGGCCATGGAGCAAATCCCTGAGCAACTGTCAGATGCCAAGACGAGGATGCAGGAGCGCCATGTTGACATGCTTGTCAACCAAGAGTCCACAGACATACTCCGTCTGCGGGCTGAGGTCACCCGCGGCATGCGTGAGCATTTCTGGTCCAAACGCTTCTTGGAGGCGCAGACGCCGATACTCTCGGAGAATGCAGGCGGCGCCACGGCGCGGCCCTTTGTGACGCACGCGACCGAGTTCAAGAACCGGGACCTCGCGATGCGCATCGCACCGGAGTTGTGGCTCAAGCGTCTCGTCGTCGGCGGCATCGACAGAGTCTTTGAGATCGGCCCAGCGTTCCGCAATGAAGGCATTGACGCCACGCATAACCCCGAATTCACCATGTGCGAGTTCTACAGCGCATACACCAACCTGACCGACCTGATCAGCGAGACGGAGGAGCTCATCTATAATCTGGCTGCCAAGTCGAGTGAACTCATCAAGACGCAGCTCACGTCCCTCCCTCCTATCGATCTGGAGGTCTATAAGCGTCCTTTTCGCCAGGTCGAATTTGTGCCGGCGCTCGAAGAGGCTCTTGGCCTGCGGTTGCCCAAGCTTAGCTCGGAAAATGCTCTGCCCGAGCTGCTTGCCGTCCTCAAGCTACGCAACATCAATCTTCCCGGCGAGACGCCCACCACGCTCCCCAAACTCCTCGATCGTCTCGCGGCAGTCTACATTGAGCCCCTCTCGCTCAAGCAGCCCATCTTCATCACGCATCATCCGTCTTGCATGTCACCGCTGTCCAAGAGCTTCCTCTGCGAAAAAACTTTCCAGCTCGTATCGGCACGCGCCGAGTTCTTTGTCGGCGGTCGCGAGCTGGCCAACATGTACGAAGAGGAGAACGACCCCGAGGCGCAGAGGACGAAGCTTGCCAACCATCAGAAGATGGTCAATCTGCCGGATGGCGAGATTGGCTTCCAGGAGCCCGAAGAGGCCGTGTCGGATCCAGACAGCGGCTCGCAGATTGAGACCGACGTCGATGGCGAGACATCACCACTCGACTCCAACTTCCTCAAAGCCCTCGACTATGCTCTCCCGCCGACTGGCGGCTGGGGCTGCGGCGTCGAGAGGCTGGTGATGCTGTTCTCGGGAGCCCAGAGAATCAGCGACTGTTTGAGTTTCGGCAGCTTGAAGAATGTTGTCGGCTTATCCGCCGAAGAGAGGAAACTCGGTGGCAGTGACCCGTCGAAGCACAATGACGCTGCTCACGACGACAAGAAGAAGTGATACCCCCTCTGTGTACCATGTATAATATGTATCAGCACCAGTGTATCTTGAACCAGTATAGACGGATAGCTGGGCTGTCATGACGAATATAGCTAATAATTAAACAATCATGGAACCTCGCTCTCAGGATCACTAGTTCAGTCGTCAAAGCCACCCCATTCCTCGTTCACAGCCTCCTCCCCGTTGCTCTGCTTCTTCCTCTTCTTGCTCGCCTCAATCGCCCCCTTGCGGTTGTTCTCCTTCTGCCTCTCCACACCACTCGTGCTCGTAATCTTGTGGTCCGTTCTCCTCTTCCCGCTCTTCTTCAGCTTCTTCCGCTCCTCCTTGCTCACGTCCGGCAGCCGTTCGAGCAGCCACTTGGGCACGGCGCTCTCTTCTTCCTTGTCCATGCCGGCCTGCCGCTCGCTGACCACGATGACGTTGGCGACCGTCTTGAGGATGGGAATATCGTCGTGCGTCCACATGGTGACGGCGATGCCGCCCTCGCGCCCGGCCCGCCCCGTCCGGCCAGAGCGGTGAATGTAGGATGCCGCGCTGGTGGGCACGTCGTAGTTGACGACGCCGTTGACGCCTCGAAAGTCCAGACCGCGGGCGAGCAGGTCGGTGGTGATGAGTAGCCAGATCTCGCCCGCCCGGAACTTGCGCACAATGGCGGAGCGCGAGGCGTCGTTGAGACCGGAGTGGAGCGCCGCGATGCGACCGGAGCCGCCGGCGGAAACGGGAATGTCGTACCGTAGCTCGTCGTGCAGGGCTGTCGCGCGCTCAATGGTCTCGGTGAAGACGAGGAAGGGCAGGCGGATCTTGAGGTCGTCCTTGGCGGTGGGACGGATCAAGGAGCGGATGGCAAGGAGCTTTCCTGCCTCATTGCCTGTGAAGAGGAGTTTGTGCGTGACGTTGGGCACGGCCGTGTCTTTTAGGCCGACGACCAGGCGGACCAGCGGCTTGGGGGTCGTCTCGAGTGACTGCGCCCGGGTCTGGATGGTGGAGGTGACGAGCGTCTCAATGTTGGAGCCCATGGTAGCAGACCAGAACGATAATCGTAAAGATGGATGGGTGCAGGAGGTCCACAGCGAGAGCGTTTGGTCGCGGAACAGGGGGTCGAGAAGCACATCCGCCTCGTCGAGGATGAGGTCTTTGACAGTGGACAGCGTCCTTTTCTGCTTGGAGAGGAATTTGATGAGAAGGCCCGGCGTGGTGACGAGTATGTCGGCATACGTAGCCTTCTTTTGTTTCGGCGCCGCGTTGTCTTCGTCAGACTCGGAGTCTGCCGCATCACCGTCGTCCTCATCTTCTGGGTCGTCTTCCGGGGGGTTGACCTCCTCAATGACCGGCTTTGTGCCTCTTCGCATGCCCACGACCTTGAGACCTGTGCCTTGTACAAGCTTGTTGCCCTCGTTGACGATCTGATGTACGAGCTCCCTTGTCGGTGCCACAATGACAGCCTCTAGCCCGTGCTTTCCTCCTTTCCCTCTCCGCCATGTGATGTTGTTGATCGCAGCAATCAGGAAGCTGACTGTCTTGCCGCTTCCCGTCGGTGCGACGGCCATGAAGTCCACACCATCCTGGAGTCCTGACTCTTCCTGCAGCGCGACACTCGGATCCAGGAGCGTGGGCAGGCTGCCTAGTTGCACCTCTGTCGGCTGTCGGAATCCCTGATGTACCAGATTCTCTGCCACCCGTCTCGAGAGACCATATTGACCCCTCAACTGAGAGAAAGATTCCAACGGTTGCGGATTCAGCTGCTTCTTCTCGCCCTTTTTGCTTTGCGCCACCAGCTCCTCGAATTCGTCCGCAACCTTGCTCTTCTTCTTTTTCGACTTTTTAACCGTCTGTGGCTCGGCAGGCTTGTACATGAGCGTCACCTTGATGCGATGCGACTTGAGCACGTGGCGGCACTCATCGCTGCTCAGCAGCTGCGCGGGCTTCCGCTCCGGACTGGTCTGGCGCTTGGGCCTCTTCTTGTCGACTTTGGCCTCGTCCTGCTTGGGCGCGAAAAAATCTACGACGGGTAGGTCTTCGGCAACAGGTGCTTCGGCATCTTGGCTCGGTCGCTTGCGTTTGTGGCCTCGAACTTGGTCGTGGTAGAGTTGGGGATTCGCCTTTGCGCCAGCGGATGGGAGGACGGCTGTGCTCGCTGGTGCTGATTTTCGATTGGAGCCTCGGGTCAGGAGCTTGAACACGTCACGAGCAGAGGATGCTGGGGCCCCAGACTTGGGATTTGCAGGCGCCATTGCGATGGGATATGAATGATGGTCAGTGAAATATTGTCACAAGCAAGTGTCCATGTCAGAAAAAAGTACAGCTGTCTAAGATAGAGCTAGCGTGGGTGTCAATGACCCCACCATGTACCTTTCCTATTGACATTGTCAATTTGGCACCTACACACATGGATTCACACCACCTCAGCGAGTCTAGCAAAGAAATGCAGTAAGCTTCTGATAGTTGTCACTTGATTAGTCGCAAGCTCAGATGGCAATATTAACTTCTGGGAATGCCTGAAAGTCCAATTGCATGGTCGCTCGGACCACGGGTTGGGGACATCATACAGCCTGCCTATATCAAGATCCTGGACGCCATGCTACCTTGAACGATGCGACTTCTACAACAGACAGTCAAGTGTCCGCAAGATCACAAAACCCATCCGTGGCGACGTTGCTTCTCCCTTCGCCATAGAGAACCTCGCACACTCCTCCGAGTGGCACGTCCAATACTGCATCTGTGCTCTCACTCCACACCTCCCTCCAACTCACATTTCCATCCTCATCCACCTTCTTCTCCCCTCTGCCCTTATTCTTTCCCACCATGAGCCGTCCTTGGCTGTCGATCACGGCAATCTGCCCTGCGCCGTCGACGACAGTCTCCACATCCCCGAGCGGCAGCGTGAGCATCTCGGTATTGTAGAGCGCCAGCGCGACAAAGATGTAGACCACGGTCATGACGAGAAAGGCGGGCACGGCGAGAGCCCACCAGCGGTTGGGGTAGTAGTAGATCCCCAGCACATGCAGGAATGGGCTGGGCAGGTAGGCCCACAGCAGGTAGATGAGGAATGCGAGGCTGCTGAAGAGGTAGAGCACGAAGCCGTAGTACTCGTATGTCGGCACCTTGGGTGCTGCACGGGGGACTACGGTGGCGAGCGCGTCATCGTCCGAGGCGTCGGGCGTCGTTGGTCGTGACGGGCGCAGGAGCGAGGTCAATGAAGGGGACGGTGGCAGCGGCGTAGGCGGGCGCCCGTAGAAGGGGGGTGCGAAGAAGTTCTGGCTCGGCTGCCGAGGGGGCGATGGGGACGACTGGTCGGAGGAGAGGTACTCCTCGTCGTCATCCGACGAGATGGAAGCCATGGTCTACATTGGGTTGGGTGGTGGTTGTGAAGCTCAATTGTGGGAGATGGGCAAAGCGAGGTGGACATTGAGGAGCGCGTCGCGGTGGTGGGGCGCGCATATACAGGGTAATCAGAAGAAGAGCATGTCCTTGGTCAAGACATCGTGAACTTTGGCCACAATTACACATAAGCACACTCCAGAGTCCGTACTCACGTCCACACCTGATACCTCTCCCACTCAGACCTCCTCTCTCCATCGTATCGCCCAACCCCCCTTTGCAAAACTCGGCTCCACGACCTTTCCACCCATCACAGCCTCACACTTCCTCCTCCGGCCCTCCTCTTCGTCACTATCCTTGACGAGCAGCCCGAACGCGACGCCTCGCCTCGCCGCACACCGCACCATCTCTCTCTCCTTCGCCTTCCGCTGCCCACTCTTCCTCTTCTCCACCATCTCCTCCGTCTCCACGATCCTCTCCGCCCTGCCCTTCTCCCCGCCCACACTGCCGTTGACGTGCGACACATCCTGCGAAGGACGGATACGCGTGCCGCTGCGTATGGACAGTCTCGCCAGGATGTCCCCGTCGACACTGTCGTCCTCCGCTCCCTTGAGCGTGCCGTCCGTATTGTACGGCGTGCTTAGTGCCTCGTCTTCCGAGACCGAGGGCTCAGGTGACTTGGATGTGCCTTCTTCTTGCTGCGCGTGGTGTTGAAACATGTACTGCTCGATTGTGCCCATGGAGACTAGCACGCGCGTGTCACCCTTGGCTTTCTTCTTGGCCCCCTTTCCTGGCTGCTTGTCTTGCATGCTCTCCTCACCTTGTAAGAACTTGACAAAGGCACTTTCAATCTCCCTGTCGAGTTTGCCGACTTTGCTCCCCCGACATCGTGCGGAGCAGTACTTTACCGGTGTCGGGTCTTTCGTAGTCGAGGAGGAAGCGGTGTTGTTCGTCCTGCGCTGCCCAATGACCCGTCCGCAGGACCGACAGTATGGCGTGTTCTCGCCATTGGAGAGGAGGTAGTATGGCGCAGGTGTAGCTTGGGACTTGGACGGCCGAGACCATGAATCCATCCAGCTCATCTTGGAGGATGGGTCCGTTGAGAGGGACGCTGATGTCGTGAACAAGCGTCGCTGGAGCGTGACTGCAAGGGGACTGTTGACACCGGAATGGCAGACGCGAAGGGTGAAGCGCATGGGATAGTAGCCGAGGATAAAATTGTTCGAGGTTGGCTCGAGAGGAACAGTTGGCGATGAATGATCTCTCCTACACGGAGGGAGAAAAGACGATGATGTCATGAACCTTCACGGGCGAAATAGACGAGAATCGACACTCAAACATCAGCTTCGTCATTGACCAAACAGCATGCGTCCATTCGCTATGCCTCAAATTCGCAGATATTTACGTTGCACCGCTCATCCGTCTATCGGACACTTGTACTCCCTCTCACGCCCGCCGTCCCCTTGTCTGTCTTGCACCGCGTCCAGACAGACCTGATGATACACATGTCGACAAGCCAGCACCACTAGCGAACCCAACACTTCCTTCTTCGTCTCGGGTTCAGCTTGCGCCGCCTCGGAATTCTCTTGCTCGAGGAGCATACTCGAGGGCCGGGGGGCAAGGCTCTTCCCCTTCCCCTTCCCACCGGCGTCGACAACGGAGCCGCTGGCGCCTTTGGCACGCTCATACGCACGAGCCCTTCGTTCTCTGTGTCTGTCCTCGTCGTGCGCCTGCTTGTCCTCCCATGCGTCGAATATGGCGCCGCCAGGGACACCCGGACCCCAGACCCGACGCCCACAGGCCTCACACGTGGAGCCCCTGGGCCGCCAACCACGTTGCCGCAGTTGCACGGCCTGCTGGACATTGACATACAGGCTCCGCTCGAGTAGGCGGTTGGACAGCCTGAGGATCGACTCCTCGTACGCGTAGGCGGCGAAGATAGACGCCAGCACACCTCGCAAGTCAGCCAGATTGGGTGACTCAGCGGCGGCCTGGGTCAGAAAAGCCCGCAGAATACGAAGGAAGGATAGATTGGACGCAGTGTTCGATATGAGCTTGGACCCGGGTTTAATAGAGCCGGCGTGGCTGGATGTAGCTGTCAACAGTGACGTAAAAGTGTGTTGGACGAGCGATCGCAGCAGAGCCAAGAGTCGGTCCCCGTCTATCTCGTCGACCGTGTCGGCTTGGTCGGCCAAGGTAGTGATTGTGGGCGATAGACGTCTGGTGATGTGCACACAAGCATCAATGAGGCCCAGCCAGAGCTGCTCGTCGGCAGACAGCATGTCAGCCGCTTTTTGCTGCTGCGTCTTCGACACGACATTGACTCGCTTAGACATCTTGGTCTGACCTTGACAGAGCCAGATGCCAACGTGCACATACTTCTGCAGCCCGACCAGCAACTCTTCGGTGGCAGACGGCACAATGTACGACTCGGTTCTACCGCTTGAACCGCCCAGGAGACCTTGCAGGGCAGACTCGAGACTGCCCAAGTGCTTCACTAGGCGGTCCATGGCCTCCTTGACCTGACCGTCCTGTGCCATTAGGACGACGGCAGCATCGATAACGCCTGTCTCTTCCATGGTAGGTAGCAACTTGTCGAGGCGGAGATTGGCGGACTGCACCACCCCCACATACTCCGATACGTGAGATGGCTCATATGAGCACATGAGCTGGACATACTTCTCAATGAGATCGCGATTAGGGCACTCTCGATCTTCTTTGCCCGAGATGTTCGGCTCAAGCAAGGCCTTGAGGAACCCGTACTGCAGCTCCTGTGCGTCGTCAGCCGACTCTAGTACGGCCAGGTGAAGCTCGTGCCCATGGCTGGCGAGTGTCCGCGCCGTCCGCTCAGGATCAATCTCAAGCAAGTCCCTCGCATGGCGGCGGACCACCTCCATGACCTCATTCAGCTGACGATTGCTAAGTCCGCTCTGTTTACGGAGACAGTTGGTGATACACTCAAACACCGCGTCTTGCTCTTCCGGGTCCTCGAAGTAGGTCTCGATCAGTTTGCCGTATTGCTGCTCCGCTTTAAACGTCCTTTTCAAGATTCGGTAGAAGCCTGCTCGTTTGAACAAGGGCATCAACTCGGCCATGTCGGAGGGACGGTACACAGACAAGAGATACTCAGCGCTGAGCTGCGCATCCTCTGCCAGATCGTCGCCGGGATAGTTGCACAGACCATTCAGCACCTTCGAAAGGGTCGATCCCGAGAATAAGAGATACTGCTGGAATTTGGGCAGATTTCGCGCCACAAACATATCCAGGTAGATGGTATCCTCGGGCGCAAAATCAGTTGGGTTCATGACGCCGAGAAGAATTGACATGACATATTGGCGATTGATCGTTTGCCCGAATATCTGCTCCTCGGGCATTTCCATCCGGTTGCCGTTGATGTGCTTGTCCGTCGAGTCGTTGAGGAAGCTATCCTCAAACGCTTCATTCAGAGCACTGAGCAAACTGGGGGCGTCGAACTTGAGAATCAGTCGAAGATATGGAAAAGACGGCTGGTTCTCGTCGCGCGGCCGCGTGAGGAACTCCTGCCCACCATTCTTGGGCCAGGCGATGGTCTTCCCTGAGAAGAGGAACCAGTAGATTTCCGCCTTGGCCTTTGTAGCAGACTCCTCGTCCATCGGCTCGCCGTTGGGGTATATCCTGCCGGTCCAGGTGTATGCCAGGTACGGGAAGATCTTCAGCGCGTTGACACCAAAGTAGTCTTCTCCAATGTCCACGTCCATGCCGTCGTTAGAGATGAACGGTATGAGGAGGGTGAGCAGGTCGATCATCGGTGTGATGTAGTCCCCGATCGCTTGATTCCATACATATGTCAAGGCGTCGTACAGACCGTGCTGCTTGCACAGCAGCGTTGTCTGGTCCAGGTCCATCGTCGCCGTCTCCATGTGACAGAGCATCTCTTCCAGGCGGCCTTCCCACCCTCTGGACACATAGTAGGAAACCATGTCCTTGAGAACTGTGGGCGGCGCCATCGTGATGGTACGCTCGAGGATATAGGGCTCGAGAGCTTCCAGAAAGATGCCCTCCAAACCGGCTTCTTCGTACCACTCGTACATCTCGTCAAAAAGATAGTCCGTGTCGCCAATACGTTGGCAGGCAATAAAGCAAGTTTCAGCAAGCTGCTTCATCTGCCGATTATCCGTGCCATTAGTGGACTGCTCGCGCTGATTGAAAGCATACTTTAGTGATGCGGTCATGATTTCCATAATCTTGTCGCGCACCATGCCCTGCCGTGTTGCCGTATCTTCAGGCAACCCTACGGTGAGCTTGTCCGCGTCGCCTGTGTAGTAGGACGTGGCTAACTGAATGGCGGCAATGTAATCACCATTTTCCATAATGGCAATCAGGCGGTCTGCCCAATTCGACAGCGCACCTATGGACACATCGCCAAACCCCAAGAGGAATATCCTCCCCTTGTAGGCTTTGAAGCTCATGTAGAAGGCGTCCCCCACTACGCCGTGCATCGTGGGATCCTCCTCGTCCAGTTGCTCGACCAAGGCGTGCAGCTGTCGTGAAAATAGGTCTACATGGTAGACATGCTTCTGGATCAGGTCGAAGGCTTCCGTCTGCCGCATACTGCGGTCCTCCAGCACAATCAGCCGCTGCGAGAGCGTCAAGACGACAATAACGGAGCGGCTGAGCCACTGCACCGCGGCAATCGCCTCCTCGCACTTCCATCGGCTCCGTGCTTTGAAGCGCAGTGTCGACGGTTGATCCTTGTCCTCGCCTGGAATCTCATCCACGTCGAGCACCGTGAGCACGTTGGACCAGCAGTACGCGAGCTTCACCAGGGAAACGTCGCTGCCGGTGTGGGCATCGGGCACCTTGAGCTTCACGGCCGGGAACCAGGCCAGGCAGCCGGTCATTGGACTATGCGCTTGAATGTCTTTGGGGCGTGCTGACTTGTGCTGCGTTTGCGCCACCGGCGTAGTCGAGACGATAACAAGTAGGTAGGGCGTGAGCATCGCCGTCAATCCCATTGTGTCTGTGGCGCGCTCGACGTTACCGAGAGGCAGAGGCGAAAATGCCAGCACAGTGCTCGGCTTGAGCGACTTGCCGGCCGCTACAGGCGCGTTAGGATAGCGTCCCAGGATCCTGGTTGTCTTCACGGTGCGTCCTAAGGATCCGGTCCCGCGCGTCGCCAGGTGTGAGAATGCCATGCCCTTTTCATCCGCGGACACCAGGGCCGTATGCCTCGTGCCCAGGAAACCCAAGTGCGTCACCGCTGCGTTGGGAAAATGCCCATCTGCGGTCCGACGCTCTGCCTGTGACTCGTCCAGGTGAGGGATGGTCAGGAAAGGTCTCGATGCGCGGCTTGTATCCCACGTAAATATGCTGCCATTCGCGTGTCCACCCGCCACCGTCGTGTGATCTGCCGAGATGGCCACCGACGTAATGGACCCTGACTCGACGGCCTTGGTCCCTGGCCCGAGGATCATCTTGAGGTTCTGATTATAGTCGAATATTAGGATGATCCCCTTTGATGTCCCAAGCACTATGGACGCCGAGACCGCCAGACAGGTCGGGGAGCCAAAGTTTCGTTTCCCAGCCTCAGAAAAGGCCTGCCCGTTGAGTTTCTTTAGACGCGTCCACCTGACAACCTCCCATGGCGGTGACGACGTCTCCGTTTCCGAGTGGTCGAGTACAAAGTTGGAGCTGAGAGAAGCATGGCGGCTATGTGGGCTGAGAAAGGCGGGCGACTGGGCTCGAGGGCTCAATGTGCCCGAGGAAGATATTCGCGATTTGAAGCGTCGGTCGAAAGGTCGGAAAGAAGGGTTCGGACTGCCGAGGCCAGAGCGCGACGCGACTGACGGCAACACGCTGCTCCCGATGGAGGACACGACGGAGCCCTGCAATGTTTAGACACTTTGAGCATTTCCATGGGACGGTGGATGTGCGTACCTGTACGGATGGTGTCTCGTCGGGCCCTGACAGTACAGAGTCAATGGGGCTGTCCACTCTCCTCGGTAATCCCTCGACAGATCCTGTATCAATCGATCCCATTTCTGATCCCTCTTCAGGCGCGCCGGCTTGTGGTTCCGTCCTCACAGCCACGTCTGCGAGCTCGCGCGGCGCAGGCTCACCGTGCGACTCCAATTGCGGGACATCGTCGTGATCAGGCGCACCATGTAGGGACTCGCTGTCGCTGCTCGAGCCGGCGCGAGGGTCATTGACCTGTGGTGTATCTTCGGGTTCGGCCATGCTGGCGGATGGCTTCCCATCACTCACTCCTCTGGAGCTCTTATCGTATCGAGGTCATGCCTGGCGGGTTGCGAGCCCAAGTGAAGGGAAGCGAGGCGTTTCTAGCTTGTAGTTTTCGTCAATCAATCGCCCAGGACTGAAGAGAGATGCGTTGCGCAAGATGATGTCGGGTTACTGTCGGCTTCGTGCGAGGCTGGACTGGAGCTGTGGGAAGCTGGCGGTGCACACTGCAGATCCGCTGCCTAGACGTGGAGCACTAACGTCGGTGATGCGTACCCGGTACGCAATGACGAAGCCGGATATTAGCCGGGCTTTATATGTCTAGGACATCAAGAAGATGACAGATGGCAGGGTCATCAGAACAATTCAGGGGTAATGTGAAGTCAATAATAGAACAAAATGTTTGATCCTGGAGCCACAGTCAATTCTGTCCTAGAGTTGTCTTGATCGTTGCAGACGCCCTTCACTAACCGCGACCCCTAGAGTGGTGGATTCCAACTCACCTCAAAAGTGACGTCGCCAAGTCCGCACTTTACACGTCGCGTCTCACAGATCTCCATCACTCATCGATTTGGACGACACAGCAGACGACGCCTTACAAGAGACCCCCAAAGGCCACACTCAAACCCTTCCCAAGATGTCATCAATTGGACCCCAACTACCGCCTTCACCGCAGAAGCGCAAACACACGCCCGAACTCGACGACAGCTCTCCATCCTCCAAGGCCCAACGCACCACTGGCCCTGTCGCAAACCCAAACACCGACGAGATCGACCTCGAAGACGGCTCAGATGACGACTACGGCCCTGCGCCTCCAGCGCCAGCACCAGCAGCGGCACCCTCCAAAGGTCCTCCGCTTCCTCCCGCATCCGCCTCCCCAACAGCACAACCTCCCACCCAAAACTCCTCCTCCGACTCGGAAGACGACTACGGCCCCGCCCTCCCCTCCGCCTCGGGCGCTCCCATCATAGGCCCCTCCATGCCCCCGGCCCCTTCCACCGGGGAAGAAGCAGCCCCCCAGCGTGATGACTGGATGCTCGCACCTCCCCCCTCGGGCGGCCCCTTCACCGAGCGTGACACCACCAAGATCCGCGCCCGCAAATTCACATCCGGCAAGTCGGCCGGGGCCAAGGGCGGCGGCGGCGGCGGCGGCGAGGTCAACTCCATGTGGACAGAGACGCCGGAGCAGAAACTCGCCCGGTTGCAGGACGCAGTCCTGGGTCGCTCCACCGGCGGGGCGCAGCAGGATGGAGGCGCGGGCGGTGATGACAGTGTTCGGGAGAAGGAGCAGGAGGAGCGTAATCGGCGGATCGCAGCGAATATCGAGGGGAGTCGCGGGAGGAGTCTCGTGGAAGAACACACAAAGCAACGCAAGGAGAGTGGCAAGGCTGATGAGGACGACGACGACCCGAGTAAACGAGGTTTTGACCGAGAAAAGGACATGGCACTCGGCGGGCGGTTGGCATCGACGCAGAGAAAGGAGCTACTCAACAAGAGCGCCAACTTTGGGGGTCGCTTCTCGAAAGGGTCATTTCTGTAGATCAATCATCTGTAGATCAAAGACAAAGAAATGCATATCGTGAGGATGTGTACTCGATTGAATCCGTAATGCTATTGAACCGACAACTCCAGCGCTCCGCATACAGAAAAGCCATGCCTGCCCCAGAATCAACCCTGGCACCTAAAAATGCATTTTTACAGACGTTTCACGCCAAACTACAGGCGCCGCATAGTCTACGCGCCGGTCCTTGTGTAGTAGAGCTAGGGATGAGGGTTCCTGGTAAAAAAGGGAGGCAAGCCTGCCATCATAAATAGGTAAACGCGTCACAAATGTGCGCCGCCAGAGAGAGTGTGTATAAACAAAGTAAGGATTTTTGCTGGAAATATCAAACGTATGCCCCGTGAATCATGTTGATGAGTTGTTCGGGCGTATCCCCGACTCTAGCTGGGACGGCGTGACACTGGCTGTGGTCTCCTGCGATGTGTTTGCCGGCGGTCCGCTTGCTTGGTTGTCACGTCGATGCCCACGTCGCAGAGCTGACCGCATGCCTGACAACAGTCCCTCAGTCCTAGTCTCCGCGACTTCTGGTGTTTGCGGATTACTAGCATTCGTTGTCGCAGCATCGGCCTGGGCCTCAGGTGCCGGATCAGGCGATGCATTCTCATATCTCCTGCGTTGACGTCGTCCTGCCAGCCTAGATAGGGTGCCTTGCTGGCTACCTTGCTGAGAACCCCCCTGGCCGGCCGTCGCCGCGGTACCATCCGCAGGAGCGCTGTTGCGAGCGCCAAACACGTTGCGTAGCCTCGTGGGCAAGTTCAGACGAGAGTTTTGTCTCGCGTCAAAATTCAAGGTGCCGGTGGTGTTTTCGTTCTGAGCATTGGCGGGTCGTGGCTTGGGTGTGTAGTAATCGGCCTTGCACAGCGGGCAGCACGCGCGTCTGCTAGTTAGCCAGGGGTCGACACACCCGGCGTGGAATGCGTGCCCGCAGGTCAGGCCTCGAACATCCTCATCATCCTCCAGGGGCTCAATGCAAATGGCGCAAGCGTCACCCGGGGCCTGCAGTGCATCGGGCGGTAGAGCGGCGTCAATGTGATCGTCGCCATCCTGATCATCACTCGTGCTAGTAACACGCTGAAGTTCAGGTCGGTTGTTGTCGTCGGCCTCGGATCGTCGAGAGGTCTCTATGGGGGCGGGCTCCGTTGCGGCTCCGCTCGACTCCCTCTTCTCGTTCCCCTCATCTTTGGCCGTGTGCAACTGGTCCGGAGCCGTGGTGTCGGCATTCGTGGTGGCGTTGGTCTGCGAATGGCGGTCGAACGAGGTGCGATCATCTGACATGGCTGGCAGGATACCCTCGGCATCATGCAGGCTGTTGGCTCGCGACGCAGAGGCATCAACACCGCCAGCGGTGGGCAGACCTTCCCTCGCGCGCTCTGATACCCAGGCCTTATACTTGGTAAGCGGGAATTTCTCGTTGACCTCGTCAATTGTCATGAGCTTCTTTTCGCGGCGCCTGCGGTGCGGCCTGTTAGGCATGTTCTCCATGTTGATCTGATCGGGATCTTCGCCGTTGCGGATGGCTCGGTTCCTGGCGTTATAGCGAAAGCAGTATTTGACACCAACAATGATCCTACATATGATGTTAAAAAATTGATTCTTGGAGCCGCACGCCGCTCAGCATCATCTCAGCCCAACGGCCGGGCACCGAGGTTCTTACCAAAGGTTGGTGAATACGACGCCGAATCCCAGAGCGACGAAGAATAAGAGCGGCGAACTCGAGTTGTTGTCGCGATTGTCGCGATCGTCGTCCTGAGGTTGACCAGTCTCGCCTGTCAATTCGGTGGTTGACGTTGTTGCGGCATCGGCGGTAGCGCGGGCAACGAGCCAGACGGCGTCGCCCACATAGTCCTGGACGGCAGGCATGTTGACGGGGCGTGCTGGCGAGGAAATGGCGATGGCTATGGCAGCCACATCCAGGGTGAGTACTAGACTTTGGATGGAAGTGGACGGTGATGCCCGGTTGAGTGGTTGAATGATGCCTCGACTGGGTCGGATGCACGGATACGGATACTAGGGTGGGATTCGATTCAACTCGTGCGGCGGCAGACCGTTGGATGAAGGAATTCAATTGTCGTCGAGCGGATTCTCCGTGCGAGACAATCGAGACTGACTGCAGTGCCTACCGCAAGGACCGCGCGTGTCGAGAGCGATGGGACTGAAGATGGCAAAAGGGAGAAGGAAGGCTGGAAAGATGGGAAGGCGGAGTGCAGATGCAGATGCAGCAGGCCTGAGCAGGTTCGGGCTGTTTTGGGCTCTTGGCTGGATGCAGTGGATGGGCGCTGAATGTCGCTGATCAGTGCAGGATGTTCCAGCGTTGCAGCACTGCACAATGCGCTTGCAGGGGGGGAGCGGGGGCGATGTTTAACCGCGGAGGCCTCGCACTGTGAAGGTCTTTGTCTAGTCCGAGGCTGCGCTGTGAATGGCTGGGAAATGAGCTTTGGCCACCGGATACGAATGTGCGAGTGAATAAATCATTGATGAACGATACGTTCCGGGAGAGTCTTGAGGATAATTATAAGGTACTTTTCATGTTGCTTGATCACTGTCGCATACGTAGTGGATGTGGAATCAGCCGGGTTTTTGGCGGTGGCTGATGGCTGAGGCTGTGTAATGAAGCCTCATTCGTGCACAAAGAGAGCAAACGGCGAATAGAGCACGACGACTTGACCCAGTGATCCGGCAGTGCACTCGGCCGTTGCCATACTATATAGTATATGACGGGCACGACTTTTGTAACTCTAACGGACGATTGAAATGGCGACTTATTAGAAATCATGCCACAGCGACCGACGCCAACTCTGGCAGCAGAGCCTAGCCACGCGTAGCACAAACTTCCCTCGTCCAGCTCAAGGTCTCCCCGGTTTTTCCCCGTGTCGATGTGGCTGACTTGTCGCGCTCAATGGGGAAGCCGCTCAGCGAACGGCCTCCACAGAGGATGCCCAGAATCTTGAAGACTGCAACGAACAATTCTTGCGATGCGGAGTGCATGGCGAGCTGCGAAGCAGACAAAGGGAGGTGCTTGGCCAAGCTACTCCGTACAGGGTCCATGTCTTCTCGCGCATTGCCAAAGCGAGGCATAGACTGTACTTTGAGGCTGCGCACGACGTTCTTGCGCTGCCTGCGCTGCTCAGCTCAGCTCCGCGCACTCGCTTGGCCGCATTCCTCGCGAGCGGCCTCTACATAGTAGTATTAGGACGGCGCGGCCGCCAATCCCGCACAGAATGTCATTCTGTCCCGACCACATGCTGTACAGCGCCCATTCTACGACAGGCACACGCGTGAGATGGCGGACGCTGGCGGCTGTTCCGTCCGTCATGTCTCACGTCTCGCGTCTCACGTTCTGGAACCCTCAAATTGCGGCCAACGCAGCCGCCACAGACACGGCGGCAGTGACAGCTCGGATCCTGAAGCGCTTGACTTTATGCAAACGGGGACTGGCCTCGTTTTGGGTCTCTACCAATCATGCCCGCGGCTGAAGACCAGTCTCGAATTTTGCACTGATGGGTGAGCCAGCCACAAGACCCGGGAAACGGAAGTGATGGATAGTTGGACGCGTGTCGACACCTTCCCGGAAAGCTTGTCTGTTCGCAAGTGCCCCTCTCGACACTTTCTGGCTGGACGGTCCCGTCGGCGTGGGTGTGAGTGGGCGCAGTGAGCGAGCGGGCTGACGACTGGAGGATGTGGAGGACTGGAGTCTGATGATCCAATGGAGGGTGGGGGTGGAGACCTGCACAGTTCAGGCGTCGCACTGTCGGTCCCGCCGATGATGCATCGACTTTTGGCGTGGTCTTCGCATCTCTTCATCGTGCAGTAAGTAATCGTAGCAAGTAAGTAGGTAGTAGAGCTCATGTATGTGTTACGCAACTTTGACTCCATTCGCATGTAACCGCTCGACACAGGGTGATTAGGGTGTGATAACGGGCTATGTAGAAACTGCATGAAACAGTAAGGGCTTCATCATCTCTGCCACATACTTGTTACAGCTCCTGGAGGATCTAGCTTGGCATACTACGTACGTGTACTCGGATCACTATTTTCTAGCCGTCCCCATCTCATCATCGTGGTCATCGTCATTTCATTACTCGAATACGTGTAAGGCCATGCTTCCGCCGATGACAGGTCATCCCGCGATATGGAAAAGCCGATGACACCGTTCCTGAATGACGAGCCCTGACGACCAAGCAGCCGTCACCACTTTACGCCTTCAAGCTCACCTCCCGCGACCACAACATCCGAGATCCAGGCACCCGAGCACACAGCCTGCGGGAGGGGGGCCAACGTGGCAATGTCGCAGGGCCCTGGAATCCGAGGAACAGGCAGCTCGCACGAGCACATGCCAACCGCTGAAATGTGTTTAATGCTGGATCGCGGGAGTGGGCGGCTTGAAGGCTTGAAGCGGTGCATCATCTCACCCAGCCCAGCACTGGGCCGCCGCTGATCGACGGGGCCCTCATGTCTCATCGTGAGGCTTCTCGAAGCTCGTCTTGATGCCGTCTCGAGACATTTCATTTCGAGGCGACGCGAGTTTGTCCAAGCCCAAGTGGCCACCACCGCCATGGCTCAAGGACTTCTAAGACAGAGTTTCGTGAAAAAGCCCACAAACGTGGACTTTGCGTCGTTCGCCTTTCGCGGCCTGAATTCCCAGCAACAATGCGCATTTCAATATAATCCTCCATCCAAATGACGTGATGCCAGTCGTGACCACGCCGCTGCTACTGCTGCTGCACCTCGCAACGCTAATCACCGCCCACTGCATGTGCAATACGGTATATCCACACGCGCGCCCAGCGGCCAGCCTCAATGACGATGGTGCATGGCTCCGTCCCGGCCCCGACCAACTTGTCCTTCTTCAACCATAGCCTGCCCGGGCACAATAACCCCACCGTCCCTGATACCAACCTGACAATGGCGCCTGAGCCTCTTCGCGAGCAGTTTGCCTACCATGGCGCAGACGGCTACTACTTCAACAACAACCTGTGGGGAAAAGACAGCGCCTCGTCAGGCTCGCAGGTGCTCCACGTCAACAATGCCTCGACGGACGGTAGCTCGTGGCACACGGAGTGGTCCTGGGACGGGGCGCCCAACAATGTCAAGTCGTACCCTTATTCGGGGCGTGAACTGGGGAATGGCAGGACGAAGAAGCTGATCAAAGACATTGGGAGCATCTGGACCAAGGCCGAGTGGGACTATCGCGGGGACAGTATCCGGGCGAATGTGGCGTACGACCTGTTCACAGCCAAGGATCGGGACAGGGACACGAGCGGCGGCGACTACGAGCTCATGATCTGGCTGGGCAACTATGGGGGGATGTACCCGATTGGGTCCTCGACGGGCCATGTCACGATCAACGGCCGGTCGTGGGAGCTGTACGTGGGTATGAATGGCGACATGAAGGTGTTCAGCTTCCTGGCGGGCGAGCACGTCAAGGTTTTTGAGGGGGATTTGCGCCCGTTCTTTGGGCACATCACGGAGAAGCATGGGTTTCCAGCCCATGAACAGCATCTCACCAGTACGTCTGAATCAACTATGGGGGAACGAGTACTGACGATATAGCCTTGCAATTTGGCACAGAACCCTTTACGGGGAGCAACGCAAGGTTCGATGTCTGGTACTGGATGGGTGAGGTTGACCAGGGCTCCTGAGCAGCAAGTGACGGATGCTCACCGTCAGGTGGATACTGAGATGCTTGAGATTGAGGTATTGATTTTATGAAACATATCTCGGTTCTTTGTCTGGTTTCATCACTTGTATGAAGCGCGCCCATGAGCCAGCCCTGCTGAGCCCCACAGGACATAGTCAGTGATCAAGGCGTCGCTTGGAACTGCTTCTTTACCATATATATATATATATATATAAGCAAGCATAGCGTACACAGAGCTCTACTCTATCAGAAACACAGTCTTTGTCCCTTTGCTATGGCGGTCAATTTGGTCCGCTGTGAGCTCGTGAACGATTGTCATAGGCGCCCCACCAGCGAACGACCTTGAACTTTGAGCCTTCACCTCAACTCACCACCAACAAAGATCGCTCATCCCGACCATCTCAATCGCGCCTAGTCCACGCTCTGTTCATTTTGCCAAACTACCGTGACCGAACCCAATGCCGCCCACCAAGCTCCCCGAGTCGGGGAATCCGCTGTACGTCAGCTTCCCAGCTCATCTCGCCTGCGTGTCACGGCTAACACACAACCAGCGTCTTCTTCGACATCACCCTTGGCGGTATTATGCTCTCCATGCTTCGTCACGTCCCCCGAACGCCAAGCTGACTCCGCCAGGCGAGCCTCTGGGCCGCATCACTTTTGAGCTCTTTGCCGACGTCGTCCCCAAGACGGCCGAGAACTTTCGCCAGTTCTGCACGGGCGAGAGCAAGAATGGTGCCGGTCGACCGCAGGGCTACAAGGGCTCCAAGTTCCACCGCATAGTGAGTCTGCCATTCCTTGTCACTGTTGGCAATCGACTGATACGCGCCGCAGATTCCCAACTTCATGTGCCAAGGTGGCGACTTTCTCCACGGCGACGGCACCGGCTCAACCTGCATCTGGGGCTTCAAGTCCTTTGAGGACGAGACCTTTACCCTCAAGCACGACCAGCCCTTTCTCCTCTCCATGGCGGTACGCTCTTCCTCCCGGGGGGTCAATGGGGCACAGATAGACTAACATGAGGCAGAACGCCGGCCCCAACTCCAACGGCAGCCAGTTCTTCATCACCACCGTGCCCACCCCCTTCCTCGACGGCAAGCACGTCGTCTTTGGCAAGGTCGCGGACGGCGTCGACGTCGTCAAGAAGATGGAGGCGACCAAGACGGGCTATCGCGGCAAGGACGTGCCCAACATGGACGTGGTCGTGTCGCAGTGTGGAGAGATGTAGTCGTCCGGGCCCTGTTCACAGAATGCATCACACGTTTACTTTAAAAAGGCGGGCGGGAGGGAGCAAGAAAAGCGATTTATTTTCTTCCGATGAGAAGTGATGAAAAAGTCAAAAAAGTTGTCCATTGGAAATGTCAAACCGGGCACCATGCCTAGTACCTTTATCCCCCATCCCATGGCTTGCCAGCCAGCCAGCCAGTGGACCATTCCATATACCAACCCAACGCCGCCGATATGCTTATGACCTGTCCGTTATCCATGCATTGAGCCTCACCGCCTGGTGCCTTGTATATGCGCCGTAAATCCAGCGTTAGTATAGTACCCATGTACGAGCCGTCCCGTCTGCGTTTAGGCGACAAACGGCAACTTGACGCGATTGTGCAGAGGTGTCGGCACACTAGACGCGACAGTAGCAGTCGTCGTCGTGGTAGACTTGGACGACGGCTGCTCCTGGCCGATGAAGCCCGGCAGGATGAAACCCCCGCGGGTGCTGGAGGCGGGCATGGCAGCGTTGTTGACCACGACGGGGGTCTCCTCGGGAGCCGCCACGGTGACATACTGCGTCTCCTCGACAATGACGGTGGACGTGCTGGTAGACGTGGACGAGGGCGAGGGCGAGACCGTGGTGGTCTGGGTAACGACCTCGGTGACAGTCGATGTCGACATGGCTGAGGGGCAGGACGCAGCGGGGGTGTCAGTCACAGTGACAGTCACCGTAACGGGGTCAGGCGTCACCATGGACGCACCAGTGCAGCTAGCGACAGGGTCCTCCGGCTGCGGAGCGACAGACTCCTCGGGAGTGGCGGGGGCCTCTGACGCAGCTGGGACGCCAGGAGAAGACTCGACAGGAGCTTCACCGTCGCCCGCCGCAGGCTGCGGAAAAGACACGCCATAGTCCGTGCTGAGCTGCTCCTTGATGGCCTGAGAGTATGGCTCCGCCTTGCCCTGGAAGAGGGTGTTGGCCGCGGCCTGCTGGGTGCCGATGCTCGCATTGCCCATGCTGGGGACGATGTTGATGTCAATGGTGCTGGTGTAGCTCTCGCCGTTGAGAATGACGTCCGGGTCAAAGCCAATGTCCTTGTCACCGCGGACCCAGCTGCCGGACCAGGGGAACTTGCCCTCGGCGGTGGCGGCCATGTCGATCTTGGTCTCGTCGAGAAGGGGCCAGTCCCAGAGCCAGTAGATGGTGTAGCGCGAGTTGGGCGCCAGGTCGGTGGGCAGCTGAATGTCCGCCTGGCAGGGGAGGCTGTCGGCCTGGTCAGTGCCGATAGCACTGGCGCGGGTGCGGGCCAACTCGTCATCGGCGCCGGCAGGGCGGCCCTCGTAGCACTGCAGGTCGTCAAAGTTGCGCGTGGCCAGAAGCTTGCCCTTCTTGTTGCCGCCGGTGCCGTCCGCGTTCCACTTGAGGTGAATGTCGGCGATCTTGTCATTGTCCGTGGGCTCGGCCGTGCCGTAGAGGAAGAGTGTACCGCTGTTGAGGGGGCGACCCGGTTCTTTCTTGGTGACATGGCCGTTCTCCAGGTGTTGAATGGCGATCCAGTCGCCGGGGCTGGCGTCGAGCTCCATGTCCGCAATGGCCGCGGACAGGGGTTGCTTGTTGATGTTCTCGTCGCCGTTCCAGCCACCGTCGAGCGGCAGGCGGTAGATCCATTCGGCGTCCGTCATGCCCTGCGGCACGAGTTCCCGGAAATCACCGCCACGAGCGTAGCCAGGGGAGCCGAGGAACTGGCGGGTGTCAGGGTTGATGCGGAAGATCCTCTCGACCCACGAGTGCGCGTCGACGGTCGCGGGGAGCGCGCAGAGGAGCAGACCGAGGCCAGCTCGGTCCAGGTTGCCTGTGAACTTCATAGTAATGACGGTTCTTTTGTCTGTCAAGGATTGTTGTTGTTTGTGTGGCTGCTCAGAGCTTCTCGCCAGGAGAAGGGTTTCAAAAGTGGCTGCTGGTTGTTGTGCTTGCGGTAATGTGCTGTGCAGGAGAGAAGGAATGAAAGAAGAGAAACTTGAGTGAGAAGAGAAGAGAGAGAAAGTTTTTGCTTAAAAACAAAACCAGCTTTCTAGTTTCTACCAGTGTCGTTGTTTTGATTGTGCTTGAGCGATCACTCGCCACTTATTGTGCTGAAGTATATCAGAGAAAACAGTGAGCCGCTGAGGGGTTGGGTGCTATTTAAATGGTCAGCCAGGGGACTTGAGCACTTGATGGGATATAAAGAAGAACAGATGAGTGCTTTACTTGCATTGTGAATGGGTGAGTGGTGAGTGAGAAGAAAGGTGAACTCACAGTCAAGTATTGTGAACAGGCAAGATGAACGTATTCTGGTGAAGGCGGTTGGCTCAGCAGCCGGAGCCAGCGGCGCGAGGGTGCCCGAGAACAAGAAGAATCGTCCCTGACTGAAGTGTCCGCAGGAGACGGGCTGTACCTGGGCGTTCGTCGTCGAAGAACAAGCGAACAGCCACCCAACACGCGATGCTTCAACGTCCAAGGATCCTCCGTGATTGTGTCTGTGTGCGCGTACGCGTGCGTTCGTTCGCAGAAGCTGTGCAATAAGAGGTTATAACGGCATGTGTCGAAAGAAGAACACGAAAGAAAATAGCGTTGGTCGTACGTCGGACATGGCTCTCAGTTGTTGCTCATCTTGGGTGTCGTGTGCCGCAAGAGTGAGTGCGTGTGTGTTCCTCGATGCGTGAGTGACAGGCGAACGGGTGAGTCAATCTAAGAATACAGATCACGCTTGGTTCAAGAGAGAGCTTGCGGGAAACATGTTGAATCATATACGAAGAGGCGCCCCATCACGGCCAAACCTGGCCCTGGCGCTGCCCAGCCCGGCTCCCGACCGGGACGCTGGCCTCGTGGCCGAGTGATCGGCAGCCTATCAGTGCCATGGCGACCTTGCCATCCACGGCAGCCCGATGCAAGAGCAGACGTCTGACGACCAATGTAGGTCGTCGCGCACGGGGCGCGTTGAGAAAGAGCTTGTCGTTTCGAGTGGGCGTTTGCCGGGACGGACGAGAGTCAGAGAGAGACCACAGGATGTCGTTGAAACAAACTCGTTAGCCGCGCAGGGTCAAGTCACTCGCACGCAGATTTGGGTGGGAGGTACTTCTGGCTGGCCCCATCGTTCCAGGAGTGGCTTGCAGGGATGCAGCGAGTGGCTGAGAAGCGCCCATAACCGCCTTTCATGGTCAGGGATGGCACATCATACTACTTTTAACTACGACATCTTGCTCAACGACTTTTTCGCGCCATTCTTTGATGTCGCTGTGGATTGGTTTTTTGTGCACCGCCGCTTTATGCCCTCTGCTATACACCTTGGCGCGCTCTGTGGACGCACGCAGCGCGTAGTGCGACTGTTCCAGTTTCTGGCCCGCTGCGTCGCAAAGACACAATCGAACTGAGCCCTTAATGTCCAGATGTACAGGCAGGAATCCATCCATCCATCCATCCATGCGCGCAGATGCCGACTCTCCGTGAAAATTATGCATGTGGTTTGAGGAAGCGCCCAATCTCGCCCACTATCCGGCCTGCCTGCCACGGCCTTGACGACGGATTAGGGTGTCTCACGTGACCTTGTTCAACACTCACTCGACAAAGGCTCAAGCGCTGTGAACAGCATCTAGCTAGCTCACTACTACTACATGTACGATCCAAAGACCTTGTCGTGCTCGATATCGGCACCGCCTTTGAAAAGAATACTGGGCAGTTCGTATCTCAGTGAATCCATTGAAATCCCACCAGGGCTCTGTCCTTGGCGCCAACACGTTTGCTCGCCGTCCTACCAGCTCGTGCCATTGTGCCACGGTGCCACCAAGCTTCGTCGCAGGCTCGGCTCAGCATTGAAGACAATCCAATCGATTATATTCCGTCTTTATATGTCTTGAACCTCCAGGATCCCGTCGCGTCGTCCAACAGCCCGTCGGTCAGGTACGCGCTGCATATCTTGGTTCAAGAGGCTCCGTTCCAAGACATGCATATGTAGTTGGGGTCGCGCACAAAGCAAAAGGCCGCACCAGAAAACCTCATTCAGTACGCAAAACTTGCAAGCTGAACATGTGATATTATATCTTTACATCGTCATCATCAAACAATCGCGCCGCCATCAGTCCCAATCCCCAAACGCCGGTATACTATGCTGTCCTTGTGTTCTTCCCTCCATGTCCCCCCCTTTGCGCCAAATGAGACAGATTCATCAAAACCTCACCATCCCGCCGTCACGGAAATCCCGTCTAGTCCGTCGCCCCTGCGTCGCTTCACAGGGCGCGGACTCGTGTCATCCCTCCACTGCACATTATTCCATACACTCGGCGGCGCGTCCATCTTCCCTGGCGCGGCGGACCACTCCTTGCCGGGGCCCGCCGACCAGTCTGATCCCGTTGGTGTCACGCTAGGCGGCGCGGTAGGTGGCGCAGACCAGCCCTCCAAGGAGCCCATGTCCCAGCCCTGCAGTCCACCAGCGCTCGACGGCTGGTGATGGTGCGCCCCAGCGTCGTAGGGCAGTTGCGTGCTCAGATCCAGCTGTGGGGGAGGGCCGGGGATGTATGATGTCGCGACGCTGTCAAAGTACTGCGTCTGAGGCGCCGTGTGGCTCGCGACCAGGCTCTGCGGCTCCGATGCGCAGGTGGACGATGGCAGGAAGCCGTTGGTCGCGTCGAAGCTACCGCTGGCCGAGTAGGAGCCATGCAAGCTTGCACTCGGGGGAGGCGTGGCGAGGCCACTAGAGAAACCATCAAACATGTTGCCCATGCTGTTGCTCCCCGGTACGGCGGAGAGTGCACTGCTGTCCCAAGCAGACGAGAAGGTCTCGTTCATGGCGGCCGTAATATGCTGGCTCACGCTGGGGGTTGGGCTCATCACCGCATCCCTCTGCGCGGTGGCGTTGGGGTAGATGAGTGCCTTGGACTGGTGGTACTTGCTCATGGGGTCATTGACCGTCAACCAGCGCCAGACGGTGCCAGCGGGTCGGAAGACGGGGTTGTACTTGTACCACTGGTTCGTGGTGCTGAAACGCCAGAAGATTATGGCCTGGCGTGTCCACTTGCCGTTCTGATCATCGGCGCAAGACCACAGCTCTTGATACATGGCCACCTTGCACATGAGATCGCTGCCGGTGTACTCACGACGCGCCCACTCGGCAGCATCGCCCTCGTCTTCTGAGCCGCGCTTGCGCTTACTGGAGGATCGTTCCGCGCCAGACGACTTGGCGCGCTCGGCCTTCTTGCGCTCATGCTCCACATCGGGATACTGCACGGCAGTGCTGAGTAGGGAAGCCCACTCAACGGCTGGGAAGGGAACGTGAATGTTGGCGCGTGGACGATGATGGCAATCGCAGTTGGGTTTGGAATCGTTGCAGCCAGGGTGGTGGATACCAGACTCATTAACGTAGACTTCCGGCTTGGTGCCATCCGGATCCAGCTCAGCCGGCCGCGTCAACTTGGTGACACATTTCCAGCGGTGATGCTGCAGGTGGGGCAGGGTCACGCTGACCTCGACGAAGCCTGTCAACTCCGAGCCAGAGGGAAACTTGGCTTCCTTGTGGAGGTCGACAGTCGAGCACATCTCTACCAAGAGGCAGTCCTCATCCCTGGCGGGCAAGTCAAGAGTCTCATAGAGCGCGGGCGCATCCTTCTGCCACCGGCGAGTCACAGTCTTGACGCAAGCGGACGTTGTGCTGTCAATAGACCGGGTGTACTCATGCAGGAGAACATCCTTGCCAAGCACATTCGACCTCTCATCAGAGTTGAGATGCTTGGCCAGATGAGGGAAGGACTCTGTGCTCAGGGGCTCATCGTTGGCATCGTAGGCAACGTCGTCCTTGATCTTGACGTCGGGCGACGACACGAAAATCTCCACCGCCTTGGGTCGGATCGTGATGCTCGACTGCAGAGCAAGCAACTGGGAAAAGTACTCATAGTTGGGCCTCACATCGGGCACACGGCCCTCGGCAAGCGCCGTCAAGACCGGGTTCGCCTTGAAGCTCTCCTGCTCTTCGTCGTCATAGTAGTCATCCGAGTTGGTCGTGCCGGGCTCCTTCTTGTCCTCGGCGGGGAACAAAAAGTGGAAGCACCGCAGGTCGTCAAAGAACTTCTTGACGACCTGCATGTGGGAGGACACCTGCTTGCGGCCCATCTGCTCGATGCTGTCGTTGGAATTGTCGATGCGGAAAATCTCCTTGCTGCCGAGCAGCTGCACGCAAATGACAAAGATGTACTCGCTGATGAGCATGTTGCGCCCGTGGAGCTTGCCGCCCATGGAGAACTTGCGGCGGCCCATGTGTGGCATCAACAGCACAGCTGTCCTTGGTCAGTCCATAGAGTGGCGCCTGATGGTGTGGAGAGACTTACAGTCGACAAAGGCATCCTCCAACTCTGTCCGTCGCCACACGCCGCCCTTGTCCTTTTGCACGTCCTTGTGTGCTTGCCGGTTGCGGTACTGCTTGAACGCCTGCCAGAAGTAGAGAGGATTGATGCTAGCCCTCGACTTCCCCCTCGGCTGGACCTGGCCGAACCGTTGCAGGGGGGGCGGTGGCGGACGCTGTATCCGTTGCAGAGAGTCGAAGGATTGTGAGGGCAGTATCGAAGACGGCGCATGCTGTGCCTGGGGCGGCGGCGGCAGAGTCAGGGCATTGTGTGAGGAGGAGGACGGCATCGATGACGGTGAGAGGATGCCATTTGGTGGGTAGCAGTTCACGACACTGCTGTGATATGAGGACTGGCCATTGCCCGTGGTATCGCGGAGAGGCAGGCGGTTGCTGTCGATGATGCCATGGAAGCTCCTCCTATGATCAAGAGGAGGCTGTGTGTGGTGAGTCTGAGGCTGCTGTTGGTGATGGTGGTGGTGGTGGTGATGTTGGGAATAGTCTGAGTGGTGCGTAGACAGCATGGGCCTGCTGGGGTGGTAGGCTGTGGATGATGACATGGTGGGTGGTGTATCGAAGATTGGTCGATCACTCCAACCCAAGAGCAGTGAGGTATGACCCAGGTGGTGAGAGGGACGTATGTGGGCGAATGCCTCAACGCTCTACTTGCCCCGGTCTGGTGGCAAAGGTGAAGTAGGTAGGGGCAGTGTCACTTGGACCCAAGACCTGATACTCGCTGCTGACTGCTTTCGGCCTCCTCCTCGAAACGAATGGGAGTTCTCTGTGGGAGAGTGTGAAGGAGAAGAAATGCTGTGAGGAATCTTCAAAGGCAGAGGAATGGGTGGGATACAAGTATGTATGTATAAGCTTGTTGTCGTCCGGGCGTCGACTGGAACGAAAGGGGATGGATGGACCCTCGACATATCTCTTGGCCCAACAGGACGATGGAGCGCATATGGGCTGATAGATCCAAGACCACCACTCCTCAAGATTTGCTTGCGGATCATATTGGAAGGGACAGACCCATAAACCCAGGCCAGTGAGCCAGCAGCCAGCCGAGAGGTCCAGTACCGGAGCAAAGCAAGCCTGGGGCAGCACCGCTGAATCTGACTGGAGCCCTCGACAAGGCTTGCCCTCTTTCGTCGCCTGGGGAGGGGGGCTGCCTAGCAAGCCTTGTCCACAAGAGGACAGGACTTCACCTCGATCGAGCCGTTCTGACAACACCCTCTCAACACAAAGAGGGTCCTAGTGCAAAGTCTGCTGAGCATATCGGACGTGTCGCGGACCAAACATAAGCTGTCATGGCCCTGGGGCTTGCAGAATTATCCGCCTGTACGTAGCCTTGTCAGGGCGGAGGGGGTGATGGCACCTGGGCAAGACATCGATCTCGCATTCTTCATCTTCCTGTCAGAGGGGATGACAAGCAGGCAGGCATGCATGTCTCTGAACGGCCAATTGCCTGAGACATGCGCACCCGCGGGCACATGGCATAGGAGATTATGAGGGCAGATTGAACCTGCAAGAGTATCGAATCCTAGTCCTGGTGTATGCAAGGGAGATCTGATCGTCGTCTGCCCGCCGTTACCTCTACGCTGCTGCAACCCGGGACAAGGTCACATCTGGGGGCGCCGCCTCTCCTAACCGCCGCCAACGGCTATTTGACAGTCGACTCCAGTCACAGTGGGGTTGTGACTTCGACGCACACGGGTCTCGGCTTGGTGTTTGGGTTGTGCTGAAGATTACAGCCACCTCAGTACGCACAAGATACGTACATAATTCCGTGGCTCCAGCACGGATGTATCCCGTCCATCCATCATCTGGCCTGGTGGAGGAGATGATGATCCGACGACGATGCGCTGACGATGTTGCTTGCCATCATGAGCGCGTCGGTATGTGGATGGAATGACTATGAGACAGGCGTCGCGGCCCCTGAAATAGTCAGGACAGCGTTCCTGTGAAGCCATGGACCTTTAGCTAGAGCAACATTCTCCCGGTTTGCTAGAAGGACTCTGTTTCGCAAAATGGCAGCCTAGATGGGCTGGCATCAACGGATCTGTCAACCGTGTTAGCGAGTATCCAGTCTGTGGACTCGTTGGGACTAATTACTGTGGACACGCACACACACACCCCTTTGGCAGGGACCGAAGGGAGGCGACCAGCATCATCGCCCGTAGTCAATCCAATCCTACGGCCGGGTACTACCTCGCCGATAATTGACGGGAGAGGGACAGGGACGGGAAAGGGAACGTGATGGTTTGATGGTAAAGAGCGTGAATGAAATGAACCTCATTCTTGTTCAACAATATATTGAGTGACTAGAGCCCCTCGTCCTCCTCATTCTCGCCAATGGTCACCCTCGTGCGGCCCTTGCCCGTGAGCTGCTGCAAGGCCATCTTGTTCATCTGGCCACCGACCTTGCGCTGCATCTTGTCAATCTCCTCCTCAGCGTCTGCCGCCTCTGCCTCTGCAAAGTCCAGCACCAGCTTACGCCCGAGAAGGTGGGTGTCCCGAAGGGCCTCTAGTGCGTTCTCCGCCTCACGGGGCGTCACAAAATCGGCAAAAGCAAACCCCCTTGCGGTATGGTCCGCCTTCTTTGGAACGCGGACGGATCGTAGTTGGCCGTACGTCCCGAATAGCGCCCGTATGTCCTTCTTGCTCGCCTGGAAGGGCAAGTTCTTGACGATTAGCTTGGTCCGCTGCCCCGCCTGGCTTCTCTGCTTGTCGCTGCGACGCCTCTCCTCAGCCGCGTCCAGACCCCGGTGTGACGCCTTGACTGTGAGGGTGTGTCCATCCAGGACGTGCCCGTCCATGACCTTGATCGCCTCACCCGCCTGCTCCTTGGTCTTGAACTCCACGAAGCCGAATCCCATGCTGAGCGTCTGCCCTGCCTTCTTGGGATCCACCTTGGTCTTGACGCGCGCAGATACAAACCCGTCGACGCCTTCAAACGCCTCGGCCAGTGCGCTCGTCGACGTGTCAAAGTTCAAGTTGCGCACAAACAGCGATGTGGTATCCACCGGCTGGTCCGCCTGCTCCGCTTTGTCGCCGCCTGTCAAGAGGTCGCCGACGCTTAACTTCTGGGACCCCTTGGTCTTGGCGCCAATCGGCCGATCCGCCTCGTTCGTGCCCGATGACAGGTCGGTCGACGTGAGCAAGCCCTTTGGACCCTTCTCCAGAAACAGTACACTGTCCTTAATGCGGCGATAGGCGAGCTTACCAAATGCAGCCTTGGCGTGGGTCGCCTGCGCAAACTGCACAACCGCAATCGTCCCGCTGGGCGGCATCAACACACGCAGCACAGGCCCTGACTCCTCAAATAGGGTTCGTAGCTCGTCAATCGTCGTTCCGTAGGGGAAGTTTTTGACCAAAATGGTTTCGTCACGTCGCTTATGCGATTTGAATGCGTTCAAGTCCACGCCATTGTTCGCAAAATAGGCCTTGGTCTCCTGGATGACAGTGGTCTCTGCAATCGCCTGCTTGACTGCGGCGTCCGCCGATGTAGGGTCCAAAAGCTCCGACTTGCAGACGCCGAGGCGGTTCGCCACCGACGTGTTCACAGCGTCCTGGTTCATGTACAAGGAGTTCCAGTTGAACGTGCTGGACGCTGCCTCTGCCCGCTTCCGGATCAGGTTCTGCTTCTTCAAGGGCAGCTTGGAAATCTCAAATTCATCCAAGCCTGTCTCCCTTTTGGCGCTGCCTGGAATGATGTGGATGATGCGTCCCTGAAACGTCGATCCATCTTTGGACTGGAATGCTTCGACTGCTTCTGACCCATCGGCAAATTGCACAAGGGCGAAACCTTTGGGCGTCCCGGCCTTATCCACAGGCAAATGTACCTATCAATCTTGTTAGATTGTTTGACTGTAGAAAATATGCCAACTGAAACAATGGAAGTCGAAAAGCTTGGTTCAGAGAGTCGAAGCATCTACTAAAATATTCGCCAGGGTTCGCATCATATACCGTAGTATAAGCTGTCCCTATCTGGGTTCATCACGAAAAGCTGTGTGTGCAAATCAAGAAAAAGACATGTTCGTGAACTCACCTCTTCCATAACCCCAAACTCGTCAAAGAATGACCGGACGTCGTCTTCGGTAGCACCGTAGGGGAGGTTCCTTACAAACAGCCGCGATGTGCGCCGTATAGTATCCACCGTGCTGTCGCCCTGCTCTTGCTGGTCAACGTCCATAGCATGCTTGTCAACGTGTGGTGTCGAGACACTCTCTTCAGCCGACACCCTAGGGTCTGCTGCTGCACTGTCTGGTTCCTGCGTTGGTGGAGAAGGTTCTGTCTCAGCCTTGGGTTGTGGCAATTCGTCAGGGTCAACAAGATCCAAGAGACGGTTGGTTCGTGACCTGAGCCAGTCATCGTCAGTGGCTGGCGGGGCTGTGGCAGGCGCAGTCTGTGATTGTGCCTGAGAGTCCTCTGGTTTCTCAGGTGGGCTTTCAGTCTCTGTGTTGAGCTGCGGAGGCTGCGTATCGTGATCGCGTGAGGGCGCCGGGGCATGTGAGGTCGAGTCATTTACTCCAGGCTCGGCCCGCTTGGGCTTCTCCCGACGTGAGGGTATCTGCTCATACTCGCCGTCGCTCTCGCCCTCTGGGACGTCAAGCTTGGGTACTGGCTCAGCCTCGTTAGGATCGGCCGCAGCAGGGTCCGCGAAGACTGCCTCCTTGGTGGTTCCCATGACCTGTAGGTACTCACGCAGCTTGCCGTCAGGCAGACGCTGTGAATCATCGTTCTTGGTCTTCTTGTTCGAGACCGAATCACTCGGGTCGGTGGCATCTTCGGGTGATTTCCTCTTCCCTGGTGCAGAGGGCCCGACCGACCGGGCGTGTCCCTGGTTCTTGTTCAGTGACGGATCTGAGATCTAGCATTCCTCCGTTAGAACACGCGACGCGAATCACAGGGAGAGGGTAGGTGTAGCATACGGGTTTCGCCGACTCAACAGCAATCTTAGACATCCGCACGTACGACTTGTTGAAGTACTTGACGGCCTTTGAGGCGTCCTCTGCCGTCTTATAGCCGACATAGCCGATGCGTCGCTGGGGGATCAGCTTGATGTCTGTGATCTCACGGCCGCCGGCGGAGAAGTGCTTACGCAACTCCGCCTCGGTGATGCTGGGCGGAAGGCCCTTGATGAAAATCCTTGACGTAGCCATCATTGAGGATGAGGTCGTCGCTTGGTGTGGGTGAGTCAATGCATGATGGTGTTGGGGGTACGTTGGTTTTTTGTTTTGGCGAGCGAGCTAAAACGACGATGGTTCTGGAGGGAGGAAAAAATTCATATCGATAAGGTGGCTTGGGTGGTGTGGCTGAGTGGGGCTGTGGCTCAACTGTCGGCTGGAATTTGGCTACCCTACGCAGTTCACATACTCTTCACGTAGACGCTATGTGGTTGTGGTTGAGGTTTGTTCAGTTGCCATTCAAGACTTAAGTAATAGAAGTGATTATGGTGTGGCATTTTTATTATTTGGACTAGGATTACAATTTGCAACTAACGGGGTTAGGTCCTGTTTCCGGGTACGTCGTGACGACCAACTACCATACTCAACTCGTTCCTCCAAACCTCCGAACATAACGTTCACCTCTGTTCATCAAAGCCTTTTCCAAACATACCCTCGAATGCTTCGGCTAAGTTCACTAATGTATGAAAACAAAAATCAACATCCATCGCTTGATGCGTCCCTTGTGCGCGGATTCGGTGGTTCATCATGATCCCGAGGAGGCTGACGCGCAGTGTGACTGCCTCGTAGATTGCCCGAGGCGGAATCATCCAGCCAACGGAGCTTGTCCATTGTTCTCAGGATGTGCCGCCAAATGCACACTGCATTGAAAGTTCACCGGGGCAAGAATAGACCTAGGTCTTCTATCAAATTGCAGATTGCGGCTTCGGCGTTCGCTAGCATTATTGTCCTTGCTACGTACGTGTGCGCTGCGCTGACAGCTTTGGCTACACAAACAGACATATCGGAATTCGTAGATTCGCTAATTGGCACCGCCGACGGAGATGAAGAAAGAAGGCCTGCTTATACAGTCATTTCAATATTGGCCAGAAGAAGGGTATGTCTTCCCTGGAGCTTCACTGCCCTTCGGAATGGCTAGGGCCGTTGCTGATGTCGACAAGGAAAGCCAGGGCGGTCTTGCTTCATGTTCAAATAATGGACTCGGCGAATGTGGCCCGACTTCAACGCTGGTAGCATAGAGCCGATGGGTCGTCCTAGTCACCGGACTCTCCCACACACATGACAGCGGAATTGCTAGTCTAAGTCGAACCGCGAAGCCCCTTCCCCCGCAAGACTCAACTGACAAGCTCCAGGGTTCATCGCTAGACGATACCCGCCTCCTCAAACAGACTGCTCAGACGAGGATATGAGTGAACAAGTCCTTTTGAAAGGCATGTTCTTGTGTCAGTTGTCTTTCTCCCATAGTCCTCCTGGCAGTGTCATTGTTTGGGCGTGTTGCTGTCAAACGTATTGACTGGCCTGGAAGCGCAGGTATTGGGCGATTTGGGTTTCATTTTCTCGGGTTGTTGACAGGCGGGACACGGAAGTGATGCTAGACTACACATATCTACTTGTTACACGCGGCCTGCGCAGCTTTCCGGGAACACAGCTGTGTGAGTGAGATTGGGCAGTATCTGTCTCAACATGAGTAGCTCCAGTGGCAGAAAACGGACATGGAATACCAGCCGCGTTTCTACCTCTGTAGAAAGGACGTAGCGCCGAGAATGTCTGCTCATAAAAAGCACTACAACACGCCCGCGGCGTAAGCCCACCTTATTAGTGATCCTTGAGCTTATCTACGGTGCCTCGGAGCTCCTGGGCGCTCTCCCTTGATGCTCTTTCAAAGCGCTCTATGGCATCAAAGTCAGGTTTTGGGACAGCCATGAAGGAGAGATGCTGAATATGCCTACTATCAGGGCTTCCGTCGAGAGTTATGGCGTGCCAGTTCCCCGATAGCCAGAGCGTGGCAGGGCTCACGTCACGGTATGTGCTTGACTGCTTGGGCAGATCCCGATTTCAACCCGTGGTAATGGTAGCGATTCTGCACGAGAATACCATCGGCGTCAACAGACAATGGGACGGAGGGTAAGTTATAGTATCGGCAGTGCGGAAAGGTTGCTTGCCTTACCGTGAGCAAAGTGATGTGATCCATGATGGAAACTCAACGGCATTCTTTTCCAAGTGTCTGGTTTCGGGCCCAAACCACCCAAAAGTTGCGCAACCGCAGACTTAGTAGCGTTGCTGACTGCTGGTTCGACATACACGTACGCTTCGTGGGTGTCGCCAAACCTGATCTCCGTCGTGTATGAAATAGGCACGTTACGTGAGAAAAGCATTGCGTGCACGCCTAAAAGACTGAACTGATGGGAGTAATCAGGCTTGCGAAAAATAACGAATGGAAACAACCTCGCCATCAAGGGGAATCAATTCTGTCCAACGTCACTCACAGCGTGTCAAAGGCACGGCCGGGCGGGTGGTCTGTGCGCATACCCCTGCTTCCAGCTTCCGCCAAACTTCCTCGAGCAACCGAGCAAGCTATCAAATCGCAACCCATCACAACACGACGTGGCTAACAGCACACGACCTTGCAGATTGATATTGGCAGTCATAATCGCCGACCCACATCTCCCACAATCGCCCAGAACGCGCTGCGTCGCTCTCCCGAACTTGTGCGTCACGATGGCCCAACCGGCTCTGATCTCGAATAGGGGTCTCCTCTTCCATTTCGCGGTGGACGCAACGACTGACGCGTCCAGAATTAGTCCTCACACCCCGAAACTCTCCAAGCCGCAGCGCCGCCGAACCGACCAGCATGTCCGACATTAAGAACGAGAGCCCTGCGCCGCGGGAGAAGCTTGAAGGTGGGTTAGAGCTACAGGCAACGTGGAATGAGCCATGGACCACACGGCTGACTTGCGGGACACTACAGCTCAGATCAAGTCTGCGGACATGGTACGTTGATGCGCAACGTGCACCGAGCTCGAGACGCTGATGGGTTGGCCAGACCGAGGATATGCAGCAGGAGACCGTCGAAGTCGGTATGTGGGCGCCGAGGATGGCCATGCACGCGTCAAGAAAGCTTACAATCTGCTAGCACAGGAGGCCATGTCCAAGTTCACAATCGAGAAGGTCAGTTGCCAGGAAGAAGACCCCTTTGCACCATGGCAAGCTGACACTCGCCAGGACATTGCCCAGCATATCAAGCGCACGGTCCGTCCTCCAACAGCGAAACGAGTACGCGCCGCAGGGCACGACTGACAGCGATTAGTTTGACGAGCGCAAAGGTCCAACCTGGCATTGCATTGTGGGCCGCAATTTTGGCAGCTTCGTGACACATGGTACGTTCTATTGGACCCAGCCATCAAGGCTGCGCTGCATGTCGCAGCGGCTGACGTTGTGTTACAGAGACCAAGCACTTCATCTACTTCTACCTCGGCCACTGCGCGATCCTCCTATTCAAGACTCAATGAGGGGAAAGTCAAATGACCATGTGACGGGGCGTTATGAGACTATGGATAAAAACGTGAGGGCACCTTGACTGGGAAGGAGACGTTTTCTTTTCGGAGCTTGGGTTGGTCGAGACGGAGTTCCACGGAGGTGCAACCTTCGTTCCACGATTATCTGAACAATATCAGCATGCGATTTACTTGACAAGTGCCACTCAGATGTACGTGCGTCTACGTACGCTGGCTTCTGTCACGAAGAGGCAGTAGCGTCGTTTCGAGTATCGATGCAGAGCCTCGAAATGGATGCCAATCGCCGAGGAAAGCATGTCTCAGGAACATGAGCACATCTCGGTAGGCTGACAAAACACGAACTCGTTCCTTTTGCTTTCCAGCCAGCCCCCTCGCCCGCCGCTGTAGCGCATGCTGCCCATTTGGAGGCTACCGTACTCACTCGACAAAGTCGCTAGTGCTGGTGAGCAAGATCTAGCCGCCTATGTTTTAGTGCGGTGGATATGCGCCGGTGCGAAAGTGCAAATTTCTCGGACAATTCTCTGCGCCAGTTGGGGCAGCACGGCGAAAAGCACGACACATGAAAATTGAGCAAGCATCCATCTCATCATTCACGTGGTGATCGTCTGTTGACTAGCTTGGATCTCATCAGGGGGCATGTATCCGTGTCCATCTCAGCAAACACTCTCGACCTCCCCCCTCCCCCTGATGGTGCCGCACAGCCCGGGAGCTGTACTAACATATCACACCGCATTGCCACTCAATTGTATGGCAGAGACTCATGGATGCAGTTGTTGAAGTCGAGCCACTCCTCGAAGAGAATCCACACGAAGGGGCATTTGTCACGCCATACCGAATTGTAGAGTGGGAGGTCGATCCAGTAGAAGTCTGGGGGCTGGCGGGCTTGGAGATCCTCATTGGACCAACCAACTCAACAAGCCCTTGGGAGCATGCCACCCAAGGCCGAAGAACAGGCTTCATTGCAGCTCAATGGGAACAGGTGGGATGGCGAGTTGCGCCGGTTCAACTGAGCTTTGAACACATGTGGGGGAGATCCTGTCAGTGAGCGTGTGAACAGAGGTGAAAGGCAAAGGAAATACTCAAGCGACGAATGACATCTCGGATGTGATACTCCGATTGAAGACCCGAGAGAATCTCTTTGGTCCAGAGTTTGAAAAAATCCTCACGAAACTCCGGTAGTTCATCGACATCTTGAGACAGCTCCTCGTTCGGCACGTCGGCCAGCTTGGTCGGGGGGCTGGGACTAGGTGGTGATGACGAGCCCTGTGCATTGGGGACAGTGTGGTGAGACGTGGACAGTCCTCCGGCCGGCTTGGGGGGCGGATAGAGGCAGGTTTGTGGACGATCGAGTCCACCACAGGTTTGGTAGAGACCAGCGCCGGTTCTTCGATCCTTCTCGCAAAGTACGAAGACCAAAGAGATGGTCAGGGTGGTTAACAACCTTTATTGAATGGTCAACATCGCCGATTTATTGTAGGATAATTGTCACTCACGGCCAAACACTAGTTGACGTACAGCCATGCACGGGACGTCTCTTCATCCATGCCTCGCATGTCGAGGTCCTTGCGATCGATGAACAGTACTTTGATCCAGGGGTGATTGATGACATGCTCGGGTGGGAGATTTCGGAGCATTTGCCACTGCTCGCCCAGCTCGAAGGGGAACTTCATTGAAGTCATGATGGTGATGTGATTATGGGGTTGTGAATAGTGTAGATGCAAGATTCAGGATTACAGCCGAGTGGTTCTTGCCCTCACCAACCTTTAAGCGATGTGGATTTATTCATGCGGAATACTTGCCCTAAATTTCACGTGCTATCGCCTGTGTGGACGTTTCCTAATGGTAAGGTATTGTTCCATGTACAGTTGTGTGACTTGTGTCACCGAGACCTCAGGAGGTAAGGCTAACATACTTCCGGATTAAGCCTAGCGCAACCGAGGCTGGGATTTTGGGACTGGCGCCGAATCACTCAGGGGGTAACAACATAGTGTGATTGAATCAGTACTAATTTCAGCAATCAGTTGAAATTTTAACAGCTTGATATACGTGGATAATGGATTCTTTGGTCACCGTGCCCAAAGCACAAAATTGCTCACTGAGTATTCAGTTTCATGCAAGCCAGCTCATCGGATATCTTTTCGAACATACCAGATAACCAGATAAAACGATGCGTCCACTCAGCTGTCATCACGTTTGGAGCCATGGTGTACAGAAGTCTCCTGATGTATTATGCCCAGACTTCAATAAGATGGGTAATAACTTGGGCAAGAGTATGGTACGTGAACCACAAGTGTCATGATCTAATCGAGATTTGCGGGAGTGTGACATGGGAAGGCAAGCCCTGCGGTTGGAATATTCTTCGGACTGCCCTTAAAATGAATATAATGCTTCAGGGGGGTCGATAACCAGAGAGGACGTCATGGAGGATGCTAGTTGCGACATGCGCTTTCCGTTGCAAGGCGATGCACCGCAACTGCAGTGCCAACATTCCAATGGAGCGACGGCGACACCAGGGTTGGATTGACTTGTACTTGACATGCTAGGAGATACTTAATACCCATGGCTCGAATATTGAATGCGATGACGCGAGTGGCATATGGTTGCACGCACAGAAGGTGCCCAGCCTTGCATGACTTTGATACCTGCACGGTGTTTGTTGGATTGCATCGATAGTCCATACAGGGTGTTTGGTTTGCTTTAGAAGGATCGAGAACCAAATCAGTCACTTGTCTAGATTACTAGATATAAGGCACGGAATGCCTCGATTCTCAAAAGATAGATCTTAGTTCTTTAGTCATTTCAAGACATTCAATTGGTTCTCTCAAGATTCGAGTCACGGTGTTGATGCGAATGGGAAGCAGTACCCCTACTTGCATTGTCTAACCCTCAAGAGCGACACTCTACGGTATCGATAATATGTGATCAGAGGAGATGACTGCTTCAACTTTGCAAGGAATCACATGTCATCAGATCAAATGGTCCTCGCCATGAACCAGCCAACACATCGTCCCTGTGTCCTTATCTGCCTCCCTTTACCGAGTTTTTGTCACTGTAATCAGATTCTCATCGCTTTGATACTACCAGGTCTGGTGGACTACAGGTCCTTTTCTCGTCTATCGGCACCTGATAGTTCCTTCTTTCATCACAAGACAGGAAGGAGGTCACACTGGACAAGGAAGCCGTGCTGCCTTTCCGAGGTAAGGTACCTCAGGAAAGAAGCATGTTCAATTAATCCTCGAAGAGCCTTCTGTTGTTCTACATTGCTGGACCATCTTGTCCTTTTTTCACCTTCTTCGCACAATCTCGACCAGCAGCGCCGCCGCCAAGTCTTGTACATGTTGGTACCCACAGCGATTTGACTCACTCTCACTCTCATCTCACCTTCGGATGCTTGAGCAAACCTCTATTCCACAGTCTACCGATCCAAATCATCTCTCGGTAACTCTCCGACCTGCTTCCCCATTCCTGATACTGGTACGTCGACATCTATTACTCACATCGCTGGTTAGGCATCTTAGAAGGCCCCAAGGCGACAAAACCACCACTTGGCCCCTGGGACGAATCAATTTCCCGGAAGGTCATGCTCCTTGGTAGATTGGTTGTACGTATGTGTGCTTGGATGCATCAAATTCTCTCACCAAAACCTGGGGTAGGTGGACGAGAAGGGCGAAGGTCGGACCCGCCGTGCCCGCTCTCCACTGGAGGCGGGAAGGCGGGGTGTGGCAGACCGCGGCAGAATCTAGCCACCTATAGTCTAGCAGCATGTGTGATTATAAAGGTGCAAACTTTTATAGCCTTGTGTAGCTTTTGGGCCTTGGGGCTGTACTTATTGCTAGATATTGGCATCGCCTTGAACATGAAGATCCATAGCCAAGACACACAGTTGAGATTGGGCTGCGGCATTATGTTCATAGTGTAAAGTTGCAAACATGAACCTTTATCCTTGTGTAGCTTTTGGGCCTCGCATTGCTTAGAGGCGCACTTATTACTCGATATTGGCACCACCTTGGATATGGATATTGACAGCCAAAAAAAAAATAGTTTATGATGGGGGCTGCGGCATTATATCAACTCACCAAGAACCTTGGACTTGTAGGTATCACAGAGCCAAGCTTTCAGTAAAGTAAATTCTCAATACGTACCAAAAGCACGAGCAGACCAAAATTCACCTCGCAGCACCTCCAGTCCTTCACTTGTTGGGCATCAGTCGCAGACTCGCAGTCACTCGCGGCCGTGGAGGAGGGGCCCTGAACTACGTGTACGGCTAGTGAATGTGGCTTGCCAGCGCCATCTTGGATGGCCATCACTGGTGAGGGCTCCAGCCATCCATCTAGAAGCTCCAATCAACGGCGTGGGCCAGCGTGTACCCCCGCGTTCGCAGACTTTTGGAAGTTTATCCTAACATGAACAGGTTACAGCGGCAGCGTGATGTGGCCAAGCTGCCCGATGCCCTTTCGGAACCTCGGACTGGGTACCACCGCAAGTTCATGCGAGGTACCAACCGTCAACAGCAGGTTCGTCAAGCAACGCAGGTGACCGTCATGGAAGAAGCAAGACGCAGTTACAGCTGACTCTGCGTTTACGAGAGTCGATGCTGAACACACTGAACCCATCCTGCACTCAGTCTGCCCAATGGGGCCTGGATGGAGGAGTGAGAGTGCATGGCGCTATGCCGCGTTGGGTCGTTGTGCAGCGGGCCTATCCGGGGAATGGAATGGATGATTTCCAAGTCTCAGTCTCTCAGACAGTTTGAATTAGATCATCAAGGTGAGAATGAGAGAAGGTGCGATCCCCAGTACGCGCAAGATTGTACGATGGCAGGCACTGAGGAGACCAAGAGTACTGGCACATAATCACCTCAATTCGTAAATGCCAGCGTGCTTTTCACGGAAACCATCCGCCATGCATCGTGCTCGGCAACAATTACCCTGGAGCTGCGTTGGCTGATTACCAAGCCATCCCGCGTCTCAAAGGGAACAGGACCGACATCGCGGGCTCAATCAGAATGGCACGTGCTCGAGCTGCGATATGATCATACCAACAGCTGGATTCCTTCAAGGTGTTCTTCCATTGTTGATCGAGCCTTCGGTTGACACCCAGATTGGGTGATACGCGATACAGCCTTCAACGTTGCCTGAAGAGACATCTGCAACCTGCCATTGCGCGTAGCTCTGGTGCAAGAAAAGAGAAGCGCCTCGGGAGGACGGGTCCAGCCTGAGCAGCCTGTCATGCAGGTATGATCATGCTCGCCCAAAAAAGCCGTTGCACATGCTGCCCGCATCGTCATACCGAACTATGAATATGCCATATCATCGCTTGTCAACGAATCTGCGCTCTTCCGCTCGGGCCAGCGTACTACGTTTTGTAAGCCCATGGACACTTGCTGTTTCATGTAAAAAGCCCAGTGGCGATTTGTCGTGTTGGACAGGTGAGAGTAATTACTACTTGGATTCATCAGCTGACGGGTAGGCTCAAAATGACCAACGCTAACTATGGCGAGGAAGATGGGGGCGCCCGCGGCTGCGGAATATCCATCAGGGTCTTTTTTTCGGCTATCACTCGTCACGCAGCCCGGCACGTTCCTGACACCAACACCACGAGCGGGCGATCTGCCATGCATGGAAGGATCAAATGGAAGGCTCATGCTTCAGTGTTTCCCGATGACCCGATGACCCAAGGATATTGAACTGATGGAGGCTGGCGATTTGGCCCAGCTCATTAGGAGAACCGCAATTGTGCTGATTTCGTGATCCGAGCCATGTGTCGAGAGGACTGGACCCCGGAAGCCACATATTTCAGGCGGATGGCGAGGCCAAGACAATGGACCCACGGGCCACGGCTGCGACAAACGACGATGCGTGCCAAGCAAGTAGTTCGGTCAAAAGATGCCCGCCGCAAGCGGTGGGAGACACCAGAACAGCGCTGTGCGCCGTGGAAGACCACTGAACTTGTTGGACTTGGACGCTGCGGCCTGCAAGATGGTCTGCTAAAATGCACCCTCCCCTCCCTCCGCTCGGAGCAGGTGTCCGGGCCCGTTTGTGTGATTGTGTCCTCGCTCGGAACGATTCGTCGCTGGTAATGATTAATAATTAATGGAGAAAGGCGCAGGAAAGTCGAAAGAGACCCAAGCACACTGACAATAAACGGTGGCAGAGAATCGTCAATATCAAAAGGGGTGAGGCTGAATCTACTTGGTCTTCGTGATGCCATCGCCCCAGGCGGCTCGAAATCGGGGCCATCGCAAGAGCGTTCCAGGGTCGCTGCTTCCTTGCCTCGCTGGCGCCGCTAGCGGTGATGTCAGCCATCGGTGGCCCGGTGGGCGACACATGGTTAAGTTAGACCAGCTACGACCGTACGCCTTGCCATCAACTATGGCAGAACGGAGGAAAGGCTTTTTGGCAGAGAACGTGAAAGAATTGGGAAATTGAGTGATGGGGCTGCTGATCATGTATCTGGACCAAGAAGCCTCGCGTGCGCGAGACTCGGTCTTGTCGATCTCCCTCGGGATCTTCCACGCCATTCATTAACGTTGGGAAGATCACCCCACTGCTACCGACGAATTCCGCGAGGCCTGTCAGAGTCCAGCGAGGAAAATGGATATATTGATTAAGGTACCAACAAACAGCAGACTAGCGCAGGGCCTGACGCTTTTTGAAGTAATACTAGTAGTGGTGTTGAAACCTTCAATGTTCCTGTGCAGTTTGTTCTCGGTACCTGTGTTTCGCCTGGCATAATAGTGGCGGTTGTTTCAATATCAGGGCCAGACAGGTACTCATATTGGAGGGATGGGTTTGCGGATTGATTCAAATCCCCTCGACAACCCACATCATCTCCGTCAGCTTATACAGACAGCGATAGCAACTCAAAGTCGATTTTAGTGAGTTATTATTGATACCATCAAGACCACCCAAGGCGATGTTGCATTTGGCTGGACGCTAATCGTTCGTTGCTCCCACTGCCTTGGTCGGACGCGAGTCGGAAGCCAAGACCTGGTTATCGTGCCGAACAGGGCAAGTCGACCTTGCCATCATTAGGGAACTACCCACCGAGGCGTTTCGACAGTTGTCATTCCCTCTAGTGCCACCTCAGGATCATCAATGAACGAGGCGAACAGCAAATGGCAGTCTCGTGTCGTCAAACACCGCCTGGTTGATGCCTTTCCGTAGCAAGGTGCTGGCGGTGTTGCTGCTGACAGTCCAGTCCCTCCTGCCCTGTGCCTGACAATTAAGTTAAGATCACGCCCCTCACCCGGCCCGCCCCGTACGCTGTGCACCGCCTGGGCAAGAGGAATACGGGCTTTCCCCAGGGCACTTGGGCGCCCTCAAGGTGAGGCGCGGATAGAGCCACGCCTAATGTACCGCCCCACTCATGCATTGCCTCACACCCCCATCAGTCATTCCGCGGTGGTGAGTGTTCGCTAGCCCAGTCGGCGCAGGTCCACGTCTTCCCAGCTCTCTCGTCATGAAGCCTGTCTTCGCTCTTCAACACTTTCTCCTTCGCCCAACAATGCATCGTGTGGCCTTTGTGCCCTCTTTGTCGGTGATTAATCGTGCACATACTGTACCTCTTGTTATAGAGGTCTATACCTCATCACTGAAAACTCATTGTCTGCTGGATCATCGTCCATTGTCCAACGTAGCGGCCTGTGAGCCAGCAGCAGCTGGCTGCCAGTGTCTCCAGGCCGCCCCTGCCACGACAACGACGACGAAGACGACAATTATACGGTCACAATCGACAAGTCGATGTCTGTGACGAGTTTCGTTCGATCCTCTATATACAACGATAGCATCGTCGCCATCTACGACTATTCACAGATCACCGATCGATTGCCTCGCCTCGGTCCTCACCTAGCGGTCGAACCACTTCCACGAATACCCTTCCCCTAATCCGCTCGACTACAATTGTATACAAAAACGAGCCAAATACACACCGACGGCATGAATTCTCTCAAGATCCCCGACAACGGGGTGCAGCTCAAGGGCTCGTCTTCCGAAGACACACACCCGTTGACGCAGCAAGCCTTCACCATCTCCCTGAGCGACAATGTAATTGAGGGCATGATCAAATGCGTTCAAAATGGCGGAGATATCTCGCTTGCTCTCGGGAGCGACCCAGTACGTTGCCATTGATCGCCGTTAGACAATAGTCAAGACCGGAGCTACGCCGCTCAAAGTGAGCTAGCAGTCACGCGTGCGAACGCTTCCTGGCCTGATGTCTATATACCTCGAACTTGATGATCATGTTTTGAACTTTCTGCGCAATGCACAAATGCTGATTTACTGCTTACAGACCTTTCATTACGACTCGACATCCCACCGCATACCCTCTCCTGCCGTCGCAGAAGATGAACCGTACGACCTCTACCTCACACAGCCGTACAACTCTCTTCGCGAGGGCACACGGATACCAAGCATGCCTATTTTCATGAGCCCCAAATTAAACCGTACTCCGGGTGTCAAGAAAGCCTCTTCTGCTGCCAAACCCAAGGCAAAGGCGTTTTCTGCCTCGAGTCGCGACTCTGATGTTGGGAGGTTGCAGAATGATTTGAGGGCGGCGGAAGTTTCCAAGGAAGGGTACGATTGCTTGGGATTCTTTTTTTTTTTTTTTTTTCGCACACTGATCTCCTCTAGAACCCGAATCCTTTCCAAGCCGCTGATCAATGGTAAGAACGGCAAGCTCTCGGCAGTTGTCAAGGATAGCGCTTCACGATCGCTCTCGACTTCACCAGCACTGAAACCGATTTCCTCGCCGATGCTCAACCCGGCTAAAGAAGCACGAGCCGCTCTGGTTCACGAGCTTGCCATCCATGACCGCACGTATGATGAGCTGAAAGGCAAGTGGGATGGAAGGCCAGAAGACCTTCGAAACGCTCTCGAGAAGATTGCCGATCAAGACAAGGACAACAAGCAGCTTTGGAAGATGCGGGCCAAGGGGTTCAAAGAGCTCGATGTGTGGAACTATGACTATAGCGACGCGGATCGGGAAACAGCCATCAACAATGCCATCAAGCAGTACGACAAACTCCGCCTGTCGGCGTCAGACCCCGAGTGGGAGCGTCTCAATCGTCCCGAGGACCGTGGCAAGGGTATTTTCCTCAGCAAGCTTCAGGCCAACATTGCTCGAGGAGCGCCCAAGATCAAAGGTCAGAAAGTGGAAGAGAGCTCGGCATCGTCGAGGGACGACGGCGATGGCAGCAGCGAGAAGTCCAAAAGCAGCGATACCAAGAAGAAGATCAGCAGCTCTGAGGCGCAAGTCAAGAGACTGCTGAACGGCAAGTCCAAACCCTCTACTCCTGTCCCAAAGACTACCAAGCCTTCGCCCACCAAAGCAAAGGCGGCGTCGACCACAAAAGCGAGCAACGTGAAAGCCAACAAGGGGCGTGGGCCCCTCTCAGCAGAGTACATTGATGACTCGGACTCTTCCGGCAGTCGAAGCCCGGCTCCCGCCAAAGCCAAGCCTACTTCGCAGGCTGCCAGGGACAAGGCCAATGGCAATGAGAAGCCAGTTGGAAAGGTCGAAAAAGTCTGGCGTGGGGAGAAGGCGAAGGAAAAGGAGAGAATGGAAAAGGAAAAAGCCGAGAAAGAGCGAATTGAACAAGAAAAGGCTGAAGTGAGACGCCCGGCTACAAAGACTGCCCCGGCACCTCGCTCCCTCCCAAAGCCCATGGCGAAACGCCCGAGACCTGAGGAAGACGAAGACTCTAGTTCAAGCTCCGGCACACCACTTTCCAAACGGATCAAGTCGAAACCGTTGCCGGCCCAACCACTGAAGCGTCCTGCCGAGACGCTATACAACAATAAGAGCAAGACGAGATCACCTAGCAAGTCGTCCCCATTGGGGTCCTCGCCTCCCACCAACGCCTCGGACATTTCGGATCATAGTAGCGAGCCGCCAAGAAAGCGCAGGGCGGAGGATGAACAGACGGCCCCCAACTCCAAACGCCAGACTCTGGATCTCAGCGACTCGATCATGAGCCAGGCACAGGATTTCAAAAAGTTCTACAGCGCGTACGAAGCCCTTCACTACGAGGTGGTAGCATTGGTCGACCCGCCCCAAGAAAAGTTGGACAGTCTGATCGACATGCGGGAACGCTTGACCCAGATGAAGAAGAAGATTTACCGGCAGTGCAATGTTTGAGCGCGGTCTGCTTCTCGCGACATGTTGCTCTGCCTGATCAACTTCCGAATCCCGGCTGCTGACGCTATCGGAGGGCTGCTATCTTGATATAGGGGGAAGACATGAGGGCAGGGGGTTTTGGCTTGTTTTACAGCTTTGGGCACATGGCGTTCAGGGTCTTTACTTGGATTGATACCACGAGACAAGGAAAAAAATGCACATGGCAACCGAGGATCATCAGGTTGATGGGGTTATTCTGTTTTAAGCCATCCAGGGGATGCAACAGCGAATTGGATTGATAATTATCACATACTCTTTGTTCGTGTGACGTGAATTGCCTATGCCTCTCGCTCGCTTTGTTCTGGCAGCTTTACTACAAACTGTAGTCGACATGATGTACTCTTTGGAAGCTATTGGGTGCGCGACGCCTTCTGATATTCTAGAAGAGAACTAAGCCAGAAGAGGAAGAAAAAAGTGGAATAGGCGTACACGTCAAGATGTCTCGGGCATACCATACCGGTTTCTTCCACAAAGAGAACAAGAACAGCTTTCAATACACTTCACTTTCTTGTGAATCAGATTTTCCTTGTGGTCTGACCGAGTTCCTCGACAGCGCCCCTCTCCGCCCATTGTCTAGGCGTAGGTCACCCCCCAAGGGTGATTGTCAGCTGGTAAAACTTCACATCAGGCTCAGCGCCTCGCCTCGCCTGCCTTTTTTTCGGCACACAAACAACGGGAAGCCCTCGTCCTACAATGGCCCCAATAGAGGTTCTTGACCTACCACAGGTGTGGCAGCAGCCTGCTTACGACGCCCTCGTAAGCACACTTGAGTCTCTGGAGCTGAGCCCGCCCATCTGGAAGCACACACGCAGGCGCTCGGAAATTCTCCACGAGCAGGAGAGCCTGGCTTCCCAGAAAAAAGGAGAGGTCACGCGTTACTTGTCCTCCATCATTAAAAGCCCGCTGGATTGGTTAGCTGATGACGATCAGCGCGACCTGGTCTGGTCGTATGCCAGTAAAAGGATGACTGAGCGCTGTGGACGCACGGCGATGGGCGAGGTGGTGAGGCAATGGCCGTTCAACGAAAGAGACGGAGACGACGCATTCAAATTGGTCATCCGCGAGCCGGCGTTGACGGGTGATTCGCTGGGCTTCAAGACCTGGGGGTCATCCTACGTTCTCGCGCGGCACTTGCCACGACTAGAAATGTCTTCATTGTCAAAATTGTTTGAAGGTCCTTCAAGAGAGCGCGTTCTGGAGCTTGGTTCAGGGACTGGACTGCTTGGAATTGCTGCTGCCGCGTTCTGGGGCGCTCCTGTTCTCCTCACTGACCTCCCCAATATAGTAACAAATTTACGCGCAAACGCAGAGAGCAACACACCCGTTGTCACGGGCAGAGGCGGGTCTCTCACCGTCGGTCCTCTCACCTGGGGAGGGTCGGGCAATGAGGAGGTCGATCAAGATCTCTTTGGCGAGCCCGGCCAGTTCAAGGTCTGCTTCTCCCCGTGAATGTATTTGCCAAGATGCCGCTCGCTGACTTGTGCTCGTGATCGCAGATAGTCCTTGTTGCGGACCCCTTGTACGACGATGACCACCCCCGACTCCTGGCATCAGCTGTGGCCACGCATTTGAGTCTGGACCACGAAGCACGTGCCGTGATCATGGTGCCGCAGCGTGACGAGACGACCAAACGGTTGGCAGCTACCTTGCGGCATGAGCTCTCAATGGTGGAGGGAGGGCCGGTTGCGTGCATCGAGGAAGACATACTGGCAGGGCAAGACGACTGGGGGACTGACGATGATGGGGGTTGCGTTGATTGCTGGTTGGCCATTTTTGCGAGGTCCTCACCGGGAAGCGTGGTATAGCATGACGCATCGAACTGGGCGCGGAGCAAGCGCGGTCACTGACCGCCCATCCGACGGACTGTGAAGCATGGCCAGAGTCCCGGGCGGTGAGGAGTGCGCATGTTCAAGGGACGGGGGATCAGATGACCTTGATGGCCTGCGGGCCGTTCTGCTGCCAGGCAGACGCCCCTCCCCCCCGGGAGTCAAAACGGCCACGACACGTGCGAGGCTCAACAATCACCTATCTTTGAGCAGTCTTGACGACTCAAGAGACTCCATATCGTCCATTCACACACTTTTGCTCAAGGAGATCTCCCCTCAATTCTTGCTGTCTACGTCGATCGGCACCATCATGTACCTGTCCAAGTGCTATCTGCCACCCTGGGGGATCACCAGGGCCCAACATTGTCAGCCCCTCAACTCCCTCACACAACGTCACGAGATGCGACAAGTACGTGGAAGTTTCCAAACCTCGTCTTACCGTTGCTAAGTTTAAGACCCACTCTAGACACATCGTCCCGACATTTGTCCTCAAGGTCACATCCGCCCCGAGCCAATGGCTCCATGATTGCTCATTGGCACTGGCACACCACGAACACATGTCACGACTACCCCTATTCCCGTCGTCACGCTGCTTCGTACGTATCCTCTCTTCAAAAACCCGCCCTTGCTCATGGCTCGGCACGTGGCAGTAAATCACCTGCCTGCTCGAGCAGGACTCATTGCCCAGGCTTTTCGCATTCACTATTCTCATTAGCCATCAGCAGTCTGTCAATCCCCAACACGTGGCAAAATTCCACCGCCGTCTTGGCCAGTATTCATTGCTCCGCCTCGTCGTGGAAGTCACGATTGGCCTCACTTGTACTTAAAACACCGGTCCGTCAATGGTTTTAACAAGCGCGTATGCTCACACAAACAACCTCCGAACATCCCCTCACCCATTGTCGACATGGCGGGCCTACAGAAGTACAACAAACGGGAGATTGTCTTTGTAATGTACCGCATGATCAACAAGGTCAAGAATGAGGACATTGTCAAGCAATTCCACTCAGAGTTTGGCCGGCAAGAGTTCGACGAGACCCAAGTACGCTACATGAGCAACAAGTATGGCGACGATGTCAAGTACGGGTGTGTTTCTCTCACAATCTAGGCTAATGATTGCGCTGACCTGTCCCAAGATCCCTCAAAAAAAATTTCAGTGGCGCGGTTGCTGGGGAATGCCCTCTAAAGTACGTCGAGATGGCCATAGCCAGAGGATCAAAGACCAGGCCCTCGGCGAAGAAACAGCGCACGTCTACCAGGAATAGCATAGCCGCTCTGTACGCCAAGGCCATCCCCAAGGTTCGACGCCTCAAGGAGACTCAACAAGCCCGAAAGACATCCACTCTGAACTCCATTTCTCTCTCGTCTCCTGCCACTCAGTCTTCACCTAAGACAGCGCCTGCGGAGAAAGATCTCGGACCGGCTATCGTTGACACGATGCACACAAAACCTCTAGAGGATGCCAGTGTACAGTTTCAATATCTCCCGAATCCAATGCTCAACGCTCCTGCCATTCCTCTCGAGCCGATGCCCTACCTGGACTTCGACGCTGTGCCGACCTTTCGAGATCCTCTGGCTGACCTAAACAAAGCGCCACTGTCTTATCAGCAGCAGAATACGTTTCTCGAGCCATGCCAGTTCTCAGTGGTGGATACAGATCAATTGGTTGTGCCGGACCCGATTGAACACTTTTCCCGAGCATGGGTGTCGCCGACACTGCATGAAGATCACCAGCCAATTCCTCAGCTGCCAACTAACTATCAGCCTCTTCTTCCGCAGAACTCTGTTAGCTACCATCACAAAGATGACGATGGCTTCTTTGCGATGCCTCAGCCAGACCTTGTGGGATTGGCAAACCCCGGACTCTCGTGGGCGCAGCCCGATTACCTAGGAGACGACTTTGAGTTCGGCATGGGCGTCCAGTCACACGACGGACCTTACCTGTCTGTGACCCAATAGATGGCGCCTGAAGGCAGTGGAACCAATGGAGGTGCTGTTGAGTTTTGGGGATACCGCTGCTCGCATGACCGGGAGGATGACATGGGCGCTCGGTGCTTGGAATTGCTGCAATAGAAGTGCTGAGGCCAGCTAGTTTGTTTCGTATAATCTTTTTGGGTTGTTCAAGGGTGTTCTGACTGTGGCAGGGGTCCGGTGTCAAAGCTGGTTTCTGCTGACGGAGAGAGCAATCGTCGCTGCTGGGTGAGGGTGAATGAGTTGGAGAACATGTTAGTCAATATTGAGACAATGGAAGTCCTTGAACTTGGAAAATCTTCTCACTGATGAGTAGAGCGTACAGAACTCACTTCATTACATCTTCCACGGTCATGCTTGCCTCGTGGACAGTACTTTTCCGACTCCACGTCGTGACCCAAGCACATCTCACTGGACCCCTCAGTCACGAGTACCTTTGATTGAGTACCCCAAGGCCAGTGACATGCACGATCAAGTGTCTGAGGTAGGTACATTCGAGCGAATGCATTTGCATGCAGCGTGAATAAAGAAATTGACGCATATCCTTGTATAATGATAGATGCAATTATCTTGGCCTCACGGCTGTAAAGTAGGTGCCAGTGAATCATTCCCTTGTCAATTGTTGCAGCGTATGTACGCTAACTAACCACATTCAGAACACAAATGGAATTCCCTTTTGGCCTGTTTGATACCATTTTCCTCTTTCATCGTGGTCCTCCGCAATCCAAGGTCCCCAAAAGCTGTGTGCTATCTACCGAGACTATCCCAAGCACAACAGACACTGCCACAATCGATCTCGCTCTCCTCTCCACCTGCCAACCACGCGCAACCCAAAGCACCGCCAAAGTTGTCTGCAATAACGTCCCCTGACCTGGACCTGTAGCTGGGTCTCTTATTGAGCCGTCGGGTCAAAGTAATATAGTTCTGCACCATGATCCATTTGGCTGGATGTGCAATTCCCATAAACAACACGGCCTTCATGGGCCTCCTTGTCGTACCAAAAGATGCCGATTCGGTGCAAACCCGGCTCGAGTCTTGACCTCAGGGGCATGTCCATCCAACACTCGTTCCTGGTCATCCCCCAACACAGGCGAGATTCTTTGGCCACGACGGACTTCCATTTTTCTGCCCGTTTCTCCGACAATGGGAACCAGAGACATCCAATTGTGAATGGGTGCTTGAGCACCACATCCAGAATGAAATGGCTGTCAGAACTGAGTGAAGAGATGCTGTGAAACTTTCAGCTCATTGAAGAGAATCAAAGCACGCTGTACATACGGTGGGCAGTTTCCTGGCACAAAACCCCTTTCCCACTGACACGTGCACTTGAAACAGGGTGTGTTCGCTGATCTTCTGCTCAGGCTTCCAATTTTGGACGTTCCCCAAGTCCGAGCCTCCGAGAACAAAATCTGCGTGGATCTGGGGAGAATCAATCTGTGGCATGTTAAATGTGTTTGTTGTTGAAGTCCATGGAAGTGCATACCTCCAGCGTTGCGTGGACAGTGACATGCATCCATTAGATAAGACCCGACTTGGCATGAGCTGGGAGTCAATCGAATGTCAACATCAAACACAGGGATCCAACCATGTCGAAGCCGTCAGGCGTCTCCGGAACCCTTGCAATCGACTCGGAGCACTGGTCCGAGTTGGCAGCCTTGACGTATGTGACCTGAGCATGAATGTAACTGAACGTGGTGACTTGTGTAGACGCAGTCATGACCGAGAAGTGGCGTTTGAAATCAGTCTCAGCTAAGGCAGCCATGGTGCAGAGTGGCTGAACGAGTCAGACTTGTACGTTGTCCAAGGACGAAGTCTTGGTAGCTCTGTGGGGAGTCGAGCTGTTGCATGTTAGATGTGTTTATTAGAGTCCATGTAAATGCATACATTGAGCGTTTCAGACCCGGCTTGGCCTGTGGCAAGAGCTGATCGAATGTGTTCGTGCAGGCAGTCATGGTGCAGGGTGGCCGTGCAAGGCAGCGGGAGAGAGTAGAATGAGATGGAAAAGAAAAATGTGCTCTTGGAAGGGGGAATGACCGCCTTATACACTCAGGAACAGGTTTCCTGGTGGTTCAAGCCGACAGACGCACGTCACACCATGTAGCGAGCACTGAGAGGAAAACTTTGCTACCAAGCACGTTTTGTACGTTCAAAGACCAAGGGCAGGCATATGGACATGTCTATCTTCGAAAGCATCCGGGCGCGCAAGCTTCGAAGACGTTGGTCATGGCTTTGCACGAGCTCCTCAGCCGGGCTGTTAGAGTTGGTCTCGAGGACCGGAGGGCAGGAAAGCAGAGTGTAAGATGGCAAGGTCCACAATCGCAAATGCCACATAGGGCCTTGGGAAGGGATATCGGAAAGGCGTTGTGGTTTGTATTTATCCTAGAAGAGACAGTCAATCAGAGTATCCTTCTCGCTCGCAAACAAGTATCGGAGAATCAGGTAGTTTGAGGCCTCCGAACACTAAATTTGCAGGCCGCCGCTCGTTTAAGTGTTTGCTCAAACAACTCTGATGGGACAAAGACCCATCTTGTTTAGGTCGGCATCAGTAAGACTGTTTACATCGACGTCAACATTCAGAAGCGTCTCGAACCCAGTGCGAAGATACTATTGAGCGGAGAGCGGGGGGAATCAAGAAAGTTGTTAGTGCAAAGATTTGAACGAAAAGATTCTGTTCAACCTGGGATGCAAGATGCCTGGGACTTCGCCCGCGGAAGCGAGCACATACCAGGTACCAACGGAATACAGGAGTCTCTGTCCCCGCCGTGACTTTTTAGCTCGTATTTTCCAGTGCCGCTGATCTTCTGATAGGCTCATCTCTAACAGCAATCTGTTGGTCGTTCTGTAAAGACATGGATAGACGACTGGCTGCAATTGATGTCGCTTCGGCCAAGCGCAAGAGCCCAATACCCTGTACTGCCTTGGTTCATCATACTCAATGCAGGAGCTCAATACCCCGACGAGGAATCGTTCTCTTTGAGCTTGATATACCGTACTCGAACTACTAAGTAGACAATATCTTTATTGAGGGCGGCGCCAATTTCGGGCAATACTTACAGCCTGTGAACACTGTTATACCTGACCTCAAGTCCATCCAGAGGGGCTCGGATGTGATTGCCGGACAGGAAAGTCAACATATTCCCGCACCTGGCCTAGCGCAACCAAGATCCAGGGTCTCGAATCCAGTTCCAAAAAGTCCATCTTTTCCGTCGCAGCATTTTCCCCTCCGCCGTCTCGTCGCAATCCAGCCTGTCTGTGCATTTATTATTTTCTCGCAGCCGCCCACCGCAGATAGCCTCAACGACCTCAATACACTTCTTCCCTCGGAACAAGCAGTATCGTCATTCATCATGGGCAACGTACGTAACCGCGCCATCCGTGAACCCACCCCACATGCGCTGTGCTGACAGAGAGCAGGGCGCCAAAGCACAGCAGAAGCGCGAGCGTGCGGCCAAGGACAAGACGGTCGCCAAATCACAGCTCAAAGTCGTAAGAGAGCCCAGCTTCTGGACTAGCACCCATCACTGACGTTAACCACTCGATAGAACAGCCAAGCCTGCGACATTCAATGCGTGATCTGCAGGTCGACCTTCCTGAAGACCAGCAAAGCCCCTCAGTATGCCGCATGCCTGACATTCCGCGATCGCAGAGCCCCCGACGCTGACCCTTTTAGGTTGACCGAACACGCCGAGAACAAGCATGGCAAGGCCTTGACGGACTGCTTCCCCACGTTCGTACAGGCGTAGAAGAAGAATGACGAGGTAGACGACGATAAGACGAGGGATTGCACAGCGAGGCGTTTATGAGAGATAGAGAAGAAGCGATATGCGATTATCGATAAATACCTGCTTTCAAGCTGCAGCCTGCTCTTCGCGTATGTCCTTTAGGATGTCAGGGTACCAGCGCTCCCCTACATCTGGGTGGCTCTTGACCCGGTTCCTGAGGGTCGCCTCGCCTAGCGTCTTTGACTTGCCGCCCGTGCGAAAGGTGAATTCTACATCATCCAGCTGAGCACCGCCATTCCTCTCAATGACCTGCTGGCGTTGCTGACGGGTCTCCTCCGGCACCTTGCCCACGCCGACCTTCTCCAGGTCGTCAAAGTCGGTGTCCAAGTCGACGCCTTGGAAGAAGGGTATGGAGAAGCGAGGACCTGAGCCTGCGGCGGGCGAAAGCACGCGGTGCGTTGTAGATACACAGACACCGCCCGTCAGAGCCTCCAGCCCCTGCCCGATGGTCACGACGACCGTTCCAGCTTTGGGTGGCGCATCGATCCACTCTCCCTTGATATTCTGCACCTGCAGGCCGCGATGCTCTGATGCCTGTAGGAGATAGCTGCTCAACATGCTGTCTTTGTGTGGTCCAACGCCTTGCCCCTGGCCCGTCTTGCCGAGCTCGGCGAGGTCCGGGTACTTGACAATCTTCAGCTTGTGGTGCTGGTCTTTATCGGCAAAGTATTTGTCAAAAGCTGTGGCCGGGAGGCCAATGGCTTCAGCAATGAGAGACGTGAATCGCACACTCATGGCGCCCATGCGTCGCATATACTTTTGGTACACGGCTCTGAATCCAGGAAGGACAGACTCGGCGGGCCACTGGTTTGGTGCCAGTAGGTGATAATACAGAGGGTCCTCCGACTTAGGCAGCGGATGCTCGGTAGCAAGATCAATCTGTTCTCGATAGTCAACGTCCCCTGCTGTGATCTCAGCTGCAAGCCGGGAGTAGCCGAGGAACGACTGCGCGTTCTTCATTTCGATCATGTGTCTACACCGAGTCAATCAGCCAAAGAAGGCAGATCCATCTCCCAGAAGTACCTACTTCTCATCTTCTGGTATGTCAAAGAAAGCCTTCCCCTTCGTGATCACCTCATCGAAGAGCTCGGCTGGCTCGCCGACGTTTTTCAGATACAGAAAGCCGACCTCGAGCAAGGCATGGCGCAGCTGCCGCAAAAACTCCCCCTTGGTCGCCGGATCGTCCGCCTGCGACAGATCCAACACTGGGATCGACGTGAACGACATGGTGTGCACAGTACTATGGGAAGGATTGAAGATACGCTTTCAATTAACAAGATATTTGTTTGATGCTTTATTGCGCCATCGTCCGTCCCCGCTTCCCCACACATTCACGCGGCTAATCCGCTAGCAATGGCTTTGCGCCTAGTAAGTTGGTCACCTTGTAGAACATTTCCTCGATGGATGGTCCTGCGAATGCAGGTGCAGCATTGAAAATATCGGCAAGGTGCTGCGGCGCAATCACACTGGGGAATTTGTCCTCGTCCACGTCCATCTCGTTGTCCTCAGTCGCAGGCTCGTCGTCCTCGCTGTCCATTGCTTCGTCATCAATGACAGGCGCATCCAGCTGGAGCTCTTCTAGAGGCTGAATGGCAGTCAGTGACGAGGGATCCGACTCTTCAGCCAGTGTCCACACTTGCGCAGAGTCGTCCAACACCACAAAGCCACTGGTATCGGGTGCAGCGACAAGACTCACGGCGCGATGTGGTATGCTGCGCACCATGAGGGGCTCCGAATCTTCTGGGTCGAAGATGCCAATACTGGAGCTGTCACCCATTGGCATCGACACCGCAAAGTGTCGTGAGCGACGATCCACCTCGAGCAGAAGAAGATCGTGCATACTTGGGATGTCTGGGATGTCGAGCCCGTAACGCAGCTCGTCACCCACAACGTCAAACACCCTCAAGTCGTTCGACAAGATCACCAAGAAAGGCGACAATGAGCGGATGGACTTGAGCTCGCCAGCCCACAGACCCTCCAACGTCTTGATGATGTCGCCCGACATGGCGTCAATGACAAAGACCATGCCCGTGTCGACACCACCAAAGGCGGCAAAGATGGTGGAACCGTCCTCGGAGAATGTGACGGAGCCCTGAGTGGCGATCCGAGTAGCATGCACCAGATCCACAGCAGCCTCCTGTCCCAGTCCGTCCCCAATGGCGATGACCTTGGCGCAGCTCCATGAAGACAGATCGCGGCCGTCGTTGCCCTTGGCGACGATGCCTTGGCTTTGTCGGACTCTGGGGCGCCACAATCTGACCATACCGTCACTGCCAATCGTAGCGAATCCAGACGCCACAGGGTCCGCGGCTAGGTCCAACACCGTCTCGGGCTGTGTTGTTGCGTGCGGTGCGTTTATCCTCGAGACCAGGGCAGCCTGGGTGTCATCGGAGCCGACCTCCCAAAACTTCAAGTACACCTCGTGACGTTCTCGGATGAACTGGTCGCGAAGGTCAGGGCTGATATTCTCCACGTCCCTTTCCGCAGGCTTCCAGTCATCGACGCTCGCGAGCCACTTGCCGTCCGCTGAAAAGGCAACGTGTGTGATCAAGGGCTCGTCGATGGGCGCACCCTTCTGGGTGATGTTTGATTCGGTGGGCTGTGTGCGTGCCAGTGGCTGTTTTGAAACGCTGGTGAACGTCTCGAGATCGAAACACTGCAGCAGGGGGGCCGAAAAGTCGCCACTCATGGTAGCCTGACGTCCGTTACCGACACAGACATGTAGTTTCGACTGTTCATGTGCTCGGATGGCGGCAGGGATGGGCCGACGGACATTTTCGGGTGACGACCAGACACGGTTGACGAGGAGATCTTTGGGTATACTGGCGTTGATAGAGGCGGACTGGATGCCAGATACGTAGGCTGTGGGCTTGAGCTCGGCGGTCGACACGATCATGGCTGAGTTGTCGTCCAGGTGGACGACGTAGGACGCGCCATTGGTTGACACCACAATGTTCTCAACGCTGCCTGACAGATGTGGCAAGAAGTTCTTGTGCGAGGTGTCCATCTGCCAGATGACCATGACCTGCTCTGAGCCACCGGAAATCATGTAGTTGCCTGACAAGTTAGTATGATCTTCGAATCCAAAGCGAGGCACTCACCATCGCGCGACCATTTCACCGAGTGCACCGCCCTCCTGTGCCAGTGGTATTTCTGCGCCTGGACGGCCTCCTTCTCCGACTTTTGTTTCCCCAGGGAGAGGAATTTGGCGATGGCGTCCTTGTAGACGTAGATGCCACCGCGCGCGCCACCGACCGCAATATCGACCTTGGCCTTCTTCGACTTGGACACGCGTAGGTCGATTGAGGTGACAATGTCGGGCGCGTCAAAGGACACAAACTCGTAGGAAAGGTCTTGGAGGCCCTCTGCCTGTGTAGAAGTCGAGCCGATGAAGAGGCAGTCGTTCAGGGCGCCCACGAGCACCTTGCCGTCACTGCTCGCCTCCAGAAGTTGCAGACCGCTGCCTGATTTCTTGAGACTGAGGATGTTCCGCGACTGAGGCTTGCCATCCGTCTTGAGGTAAGCGACAATGTCCATGCGCGAGGACTTGTCCGCCTCGACCACCACAACAACGTCCTGGGCCGACTTGCCGCTGCCGACAGACACCACATTCATGGCTTTTGCTGTTTTTGACTGCGTCTCAAAAACATCCATCGAGGCCGAGGAGTTTGTCCAGTCGACGTGGAACACGCGGCCATCTGAGAGTGCAACCCAGACATGGCTCGCAGATTGCTTCGACGCTCGCATGCCCACAATCGAGGCTGGCTTTGTGTTCTTGGGCGCATTGAGGGCGAGGGTGGGGATGGGGATCCTCCGTACGAGAAGCGAATCGACGGCCGCGTAGATTTGTATCGACGTGTTGTATGCTAGAATGAGGTACTGGTCGTCGTCGGTCAAGATGGGGTCGAGGTCGAGCATCCTCCCGCCCATTGGTTTCGAGATTCGCCATCCGCTCTCGCTCTGTCCCTTTTGCACGCCATTGAGAGTATTGGATTGCCCATTCACGAGCTTCCTGGCCGCCCCGGCATCGGCAGCCTGTGCATCCTGTTGCGCGGGTGTCTTCCTCACGCGCTTCGGTTTCTTGTCCGTCTCGCCCGCTTCCCTCTTGCGCTTCTTATTGAGATCATACCTCTCCTTGGTGGAGATCTTGTTGCTGGCCATTTTCGGGGAGGTCAAAGGAGCGTACACGTAGGCGAATGTGAAATGACCTGGCTGCTGCGCTGGTGAGTGAAGCCGACGTAGTGGAAAATTCGGCTGGCGCTGCCAGACATTTTTTTGGGCGGGCGGGTTCCGCGATAAGATAAGGAATTTTCAGGCTGGCAATACTTCGGTCGATAATCTTCATGCTCTTTCTTGCCCATCACGCATCAAGCGCATCCAACGAAATTTGTCACGCGTCGTTTCCCAACTCTCGCAAAATGATCATTCCAATCCGCTGCTTCTCGTGTGGCAAGGTATGTTGCGCGCACGGGCGACTGGCGATGCTTTGTTTCTGACGGGCATAGGTCACTGGCGACCTCTGGGAGCGCTACCTCCAGCTGATATCCGAGGGCAAGTCGGATGGGTGAGTCTGGCCACTATCACGAGTAGCTTGTGGTCACTAACAAGGAAAAGTGACGCGATGGACGAGCTCGGCTTGCGACGATACTGCTGCCGCCGCATGGTGATGACCCACGTCGACCTGATCGAGAAGCTCCTCAAGTATACCCCAGACGGTCGCAACATCAAGAAGCAGGAGATGAACGAGACCGCATCACGCTCGAACGAGATATAGACGCCCGGGGGGTGGGAATGCATATTGGCGTTTGGGATTGATTTCTGGATAGGCGCAGGTACGGATGCCAAAAACAAAAAAGACACTGAGCTATCGCGGCGACGCGTGTTTCTTCCTCTGGTCTGGGTGCAATGTCTGGGCGCCCGGATGTGCTTCGCTTTGAGGCACACGGACGTGACGAGGGCTCTGAGAGCTTGCAGGGCAGCATGAGTGCCGCACGGTGGACTGTACCGTCATGGCGGTCGTCCATAACGCCGGCTTCAATACCACCCGTGGCCGGCAGTACATCCCTTCGCTCCCTCTTCTTCTCCGGCATGCTGGAGCCAGCCATACTCCTATCGAAGCGACAGCCGCAGAGTTCCACGGTAGACCACACTCAATAGGAACAAACGTGCATGAGCGAGTAGCAGCAACAGCCCCCTCTTCCTCCCAATATCTCCCGCGAATCGGTGTCTGTGTTGCCTCCACTGTTGACGCACGCAATCTTTCCGGGTTTGTCGTTACACCGTCGAAACCCCAAGTGTCTTTGAAAGGATCCCCCGAGGTGCCCGATACGTCTCTGTGCGTCTTGGACATTCATTACATGCCGGGCTCTGGATCGGGCATCATCAGACCCAAAATGCCACCCCGCTCAAGGGCGCACGAACTGTACCTGCCGTTACAAAGTGCAGCACGCTTTGTGCGTGTGTGCTTGGTGCATGTCTGGTTGCAAGCGAGCCTACATGTATGCTGGCGTGAAAGTACAATGTCATGTGAGCCACCCGATATTGGCACTACACTTGACAAGGACATTGCCTGCCAAGACAGACCAGCGCTAGCGACTTTGTCGAGTGAGACGGTAGTCGCGATCATATATGGATTCTATGAAAGCGATTGTATACAAGGTGCTGTGTCACATGTCAGGTGATACCTACAGCTCGACATCGGAACCCTGTCTCAGCCCTACGATGACTGACTGTAAGATTGCTCTGGCCTGAACAAGAAGCAAGGAAACTGCATAAACCAGGTCACATAACCAGCCTTCTGCGGACCTTTCTCAAACTATCAAGAGCTCTGGGCCTCCGACTCCTATGCACGCTGCAAGAAAGAGCCTATGCGGAAAGTCGGCCACTCATGAACCCTTTGGCATCGAGTAGCGTGGGGCTGATGGGCTCCAACTTCAGTCTCCAAAAGACGTCGGCGCTTAAAGGGTCTCGTCAGCCAACGGAAAGACAGGGGTGTCTGGTTGCTCCTCCCGATCAGCGAACGCTGCTGCATTGCTAAAATGATTGACACACACTCTGCAGTGTCACCTCTTTAATCCGGCAGGCTTGGACAGGACAGAAGCATTCCGCGCGACTGGTAAGCGAAAACATCTTGGTCGCCGAAGCGATGGCAGGAAGAGCTTTGGTCTGAGAAGGTCAATATCCACAAAGACCCAACAAAGCTCGTGCTCAATGTCAGCCTCGATTCGCAAGTGCGCCTGGCCGCCCAGCCGGACTCTAAGAGGCGCCTAGACGAGGAGGAACAGGTGGTTCATCACAAAACCCTCCCTGTCAGTGGCTGAGAGCAGAACCCGAGGATCTGGTTTTGGCGCCAGATCGTGTGCTACGCGGGTTCGAGAGATCATGCTACACGAGAGAGGGTACGAAGAAGTCGAGCTCGAGCGAAATGCTGGACCCCACCGAGAAACAGACAATTAGCTAGGTACTTTGTGTGTTGGCCAGGCAGACAGCAGGTGGGACATGTTCTCCGCCATCGCGCCTTCAAGCTGAAGAAAACGTGTTGGTCGTGAGACAAAAAGTGCTGGGCATGCAGCGATTTGTCCGTCCAAGTCGAGGGGCAGGACGGTGGCTCTGGCGTCGACAGTCCCGCACAATAAAAAGCTGACCGGTCCCGTCGATACCTGGTAGAACAACATGAGGACAGCGCATCAGCAGATGGATGATATGTGCATACATAAAAATGCTTGGTTTCCCCGACTTTGCAAGAAGAAACGACTCGAGGCATGCTCGAGCAAGGCTCCGAGATGACTAGAGTCAATGGCCCCCCAGAGCTAAGGCCGAGGTGCAGCATGGGCTGGCAGAGGGACCCCCGCCCATTGGTCCTGCGGCTCCTCCTTGATGGGACCTCCAGTCGATGGGAGCGCGTAGCCGCCCGTTTGACGGTCTTCGACACCATCTCGAGCAGCATGCGGCTCCTCCAGTCCGTCCGCTCTCGCCATATCCCTCCCTGCGCGCCGCCAGTTTCTTCCCTCTTCCACCGCGCCTGTTTCACCTGGGCGATTCAAGCGCGGCCTCTCTCGATGCGACCACGTTGCCAGTCTAGCTGCTGTTGAGCCTGGAGGACGTGCTCAGCCCGGCAGGCATTCTCAATCATCGGACCACCGTCTCTTCTGCGGCCCAGCGTGGCTTGTTGCATTTATTTTCCTGGACCCGGAGAAGACCATCGTGTACGATAAGGCTCCCTCTCGACATTGGCAGGGTCGGGCAGGCATATAAGGTCCTGGGCGAAACGGTCCATCCGCAAAGCAAAGCAAAGCATGGCTCTCGAAGCTCCCCTGCGGTCGTCTCTGCAATTCCCGTTTGGCGGAAACACAGGAAACACAGACATGTCTACAAGCTCGGATCTCGACAGTTGGAGGTCGCCCTCGCGGGTCGTGTAAGAAGAGCTCAGGCTTCGGGAAGGGTGGCACAGCGTTAACAAAAGTAGATCCTCCCCACCCCCTGCGACAGACTCGAGCTCCTTACGCCCCAGCTCCGCAAACCGGTATCCCTCACACTCCATGCATATCATGAGCCCGAGCGATCTTGTCGGCCCATCTCCAGTGACATCTAATGGAACAGAGACGACGGAGATTGAGGATGATGCCACCGACGAAGTGAAAGAGGCGTCGCTTGCCGATGACGCACACGAAAAGCGCAGGTCCGATGCGCTGATGCTCACAACCGATCTGCCCGAAAATGTGCGTCAGGGCAGTGAAGAGGCAGTTTCGGTCATACATGCTCCAGAGAGCTTTGCCACCTGGGTCAGTCGCTCCCCACGCTTCGCTCGTTGGACACGAACTGACGTCGTCTAGAAATCGGGCGCGAACCTACAGCAGCATGAATTTGGGCGAGCCTCACCAAAAGCAGACGACAGCAGCCTCAGAGCCGACCATCTGCCCTACAGACCGGCCATCTCGACCAATGTCCAGCCAGTGCGATATTCTCTGGACAGCGCCACACCCCGCGCGCAGGACCTTCAGGATATGCTCAGTGACAGCAGTCGTCTCCGATCTTCGAGCACGAGCAGCCTGGAGAGTAAGAATCCTCGATTCACTGTATCGAGTCCCTGGCTAACGCCGCGCAGAAATCGATGAGCAGACGGAGAATGAGGACAATGACCTAGACGACGGCTTCGCCTCGCAGCACACCCCGAGCCATCTGCAAGCGCCAGAAGTGGTGGCCCTCAAGACGGCATTTGACGAATGCTGGACTCTATGCAACACCTTTGGCAACCTGAGTTCCTTCCATCGCACGCGAGTGTTCTCCAGCTCCGGGACGCCAGACGCCCACGAGAGGGCATGGAAAACGTGTTGGCAGCTGTGCCAGAAACTGTACGCCAGCTCAACCGAGGACACTAATTCCTTGAACGCCAGACTCAGCATTGACATGTGCCGAGACTTTTGCCAGGCCTTGTTTGACGTGCGGCATAAGAAAGACGAGGCAGCCGACTCGGTGTTGCGGGTTAGCTTTGAGTTGAACAACCAGTAAGTGATATGACCCAGTCATGTCACAACCGCTAACAGAAGCAGCCTCTACAGCGCGCAAGACAGCCGCAATCTGCCCGAGGAGTTCAGAGAGAGGACACTCGATTTCTACATCACCCTTTGCCACCGGCTCATGAAGCAACGCAGCGACTTGACGGAAGAGACGGACCAGCTGTTGCGGGCGTGTTGGACCTTGGCGGAGATGCTCTTCAGCTTACGGGAAAACAAACGTGACAGGCGATTGCCAGACGAGGAGCTCCTCAGCTCGGCTGTTCAAGCGTGCTGGGACTTGACGGAAATATTCCGCCGCGGCTGGACACAAGTTCAACCGGACCGCAGTACCCCTAGGCCAGGTCATCCCGGCTTCAGCTATTCACATCAATCAGAGCGCGCCGAAAGCCGCACGTCCAATCGGTCCAACCGGTCCTCGCGTTACTCCAAGCGTGACCGCGAGAGTACCAAGAGCACCAAGAGCAGCCATCGCGAGGAGCCATCGAAGCCACCGCCATTCGTCCCCGAGACGCCAGTGACCGAGTTTGAGCACACGCCCGTGTCACCAGGGAGTCGATCACCTCAAATGCCGAATATTATGGTTCTCGGCACCGACAGCAACCGAGGAGGAAGGTGGTCCAGCAATGCATCCAACCTGTCCAGCTATTCTCAGAGCACGCACAGTAGTACGCGGACCTCTAGCACAGCCACGACTACCGCGGCCACTGAGGACCCCAACCTGGGGCGTGCCCGCATGCTGGTGCTGCGAGCGGCGATGAACTTGGGATTCGACCGTGATACCATTACAGATCCTGGCTCCGGCTCTATCATCCTCCAGAGGTTCGTGCAAGCTCTGCCATCGACGGCCTTTGGACCGAGCGCGAGCAATGCAACATTGGTGCAACAGTATAAAAACTCTGTGCTTACCGACGCAATCATACCGCGGAAGCAGACGCTTCCGGCAAATGGCAAGCGCGCTACCGCATTGGAGATGGCCAAGAGCATCAATGCCGTCAGCAAGCTGTCCACGCGTTATGCGTACCTGCGGGATCTTTTCCGGTTTGTCTTCCAGTTCCCGGTGGAGGAGGTCGAGTCACGTCGAAACGTCAGCATCGTCGTGTGAGATGCTTACATATACACCATACACGTCACACTTTTTTGCTCTCCCTCCCCGTCTACCACGATTTACGAATTCTTGCAAGCAACGACCTATCGTTTATGCGAGCGTCAGATACCCTGATTTCAATGTGCGAGCTAGGTGAGATGGCAAATTTTCGGCGGCTTCAGCGTTGAGTGGGAGGGGTTGGTCACGAGCACATGTACCGTTTGGAATCTCTCATACATTGCCAGACATAGCCTATCTCTGTGTGATGATAGAGTCAATCACCTTGGCTTCACCGCTGTGAAGTAGGTGCCAGTGCCTTGCCTCCCAAATCAAATCATCCCCTTGCCCATGTCTCCTTCCATCGTAGTCACCCCGCACTCCCAAGGTCCCCACACCAGAATGCCCGGCGTTGTAGACAGTTGTTGTTGTTGTGGTGAACGAGGAGGGAAAGAGATCGCCCATTGGAGGGTGACAGAAACAACTGAACGCATTGGTTGAACTCAAGCCACTCATCGAGAAGGATTCAGGCGGGCGGGCATTGTTCGCGCTATTTCTTTTTGCAAAGCGGAAGATCGATCCAGTAAAAGCCCCCAAGCCTGGGACTAAGTGGAAGCTCTGCCTTCGTCCAGCCAACTCTCCATACCGACGGGAGCACGCCACCCAATGCTGGTAAGCAGGCTTCGTCGTAGATCAAAAGGGAAAAGGCGGGAGGTGGAGGCATTGCGTTCCTTTGGCAGAGCGTCCAACACGCGCTGAGGAGCGTTTCCCGGACGTGCCTGTTGGGTTTGTGAGCTGTGTGAATGGAGATTCAATGACAAAAAGAAACACTTCCGCGACGGCTGATATCTCGGATGTAAGACTCCGACGTGGAGCTTGACATCAGTTCCTGGCATCACCTGGCGTGGAATACTTGGCGGTAGGCTGGTAGACCATTATAGTCCTAGGGCAACTCGCTTCTCTGTACTTAGTGGGCGGTCCGGCCTAGGACGACGAGGCCAGGGGCTTCTCGGGAGCAGCACCCTGAGTCGTCGATTCAGCTTGCAAGGGACGGGGATTCACAGAGTGGTCCGGACGATTGACTACCTATGACAAATGGTCAGTATTGTCAAAATGTTGCATAGTAACATCTCTATTTACGTCTAAACACTATTTGGCGTAAAGCCAAACGCGGAACCTATCTTCATCCGTGTTTTGAACATCGACGGCCTTGATGGCGATGAATTGTTCTCTGATGGCGGGCGTCTGGATGACAATCTCTGGCAGGTACTCGAGGATCGCAGGCCAAGGCTCGTTGAGCTCAAAGGGGAATTTTCTTGTATTCAATGTGGTAATGTATTTAGAGAAGTAACCTTGCGAAAGGGTGATGGTGATGTGGGAGGGAAGGTGGTGGGAAAGGGGGATAATGGATGGAAACAAAAAGTGGCAGCCGTGTGCATCCGCCATCTTTCAGCAACATACGAGTTCAGTTGTGCGGGTTGCCGACCCTGATATCACGTGTGGAAAGGTCTGCCCAAATACATCCATCTTTTCTTGTGTACTTGCTGTAGAATGTGCGCAGGTCCCGCAGTTGGGTGAGAGGGAAGTTAGGAGGTCAGGTCAACAGACTTCCGCGTTAAGTCTAGCGCAAACGAGAGGAAGGAATTTGAGAACCGAGGACTGGCGCCTCTCCCAGAGGCAGGACGGTGAATGAAAGAAGAAGAGGAATTTCCTAAAGGAATCAGACACTGTTAAAATTAGAACGGACATGGTCATGCATGTTGTTGGGCGAAACGCCCCTGGGTCGCAGCCCAATGTTGGCTCGAATTCAGTTATAAGATCCCAGGCATTGGCATAGGGTCTCACGCAGATTGCGCCCTGCCATCGCTATTTAGCCATTAGACGGGACCACAGCGGCTCACTCACACCTAGAAGTATTAATTAATTCTTTCACATATTACTTGTGATGTAATTTCATGGTGAAGATGTGAGTTCGTTACTTGCTGCAGTGACCGTGCTAGCGCCAGACCGGTGCTATATCGACCCGATGCCCCTAATGAAGCTCTCCAGGTGACGAAGGGTTCGACACGTGACTACGCAAAGTATCTTGGAGCTGAAAGCCCTTTGTCACGATGCACACCGTTTTGAATGATGCCTTGTCTCGCTCTCCGGGTTCGACGTACGGAGCGACTCCCCTTACTCAGCAATCAAAAACACGTCTCGCTCCTTCCTCAAGCTTGAGCCCATTGTCTAGCATCTCCCATTCCTTGACATATGTGTCAGATATATTTTTTTTTCGTCCCGCGAATCTCTCACCAATTCCGATTCCTACGTGGACCCAGATGTCTAATTGGCGATTCCCACAGAAATCCCGGGCGACGACGTACCAAGCTGGGGCCTTGCAAATACATAAGCCCACCAGTTCTGTCCGAGCTCCAGTTTTATGAGCAGCCCCTGATACACGATTTGGACATGTTTTAGACGCCTGCTCTCGCTGTATATGGGGGGTCCTGGAGGGTTTACTATATCTCTGTGCTCAAAGCCAATGCCCCTCAATGTGTACGGTGGCACCTACGCACGTGGGTTGCAAATGCTACAAATAGCTGTAAGTGCGCACTACATACTTCGACGGCGATAACCTTACCACGCCCTTTTTTAACTTATTTAGTAAACAATAATAATAAAAATAGGTTCTTAATAAATTTAAGTACTTAACTCCTTTTTATTGTATATTATTTAAGAAAATTATGTTTATATAAAATACTTAGTATATAGCTATACCTCCCTTATAAATAGTATCTTAGATTATTATTGATGTTATAGGCTAGGTCCGGTTGGAATAAGTTAGTAGCTTAGATTAAGTCTATCTAACGATAAGGTAAGAAAAGAGATATAACACCGTGGCCGAAGGAAGTCAGTGGTGTAGTCTAATACACTTTGGAGGTTATGAGGCCATTTAACTAAGATACATCTGCGCTACGTGTGAGTGCCACGTGCTAGTCACGTACACGCATAAGTACGATAGTGATACACTTTGGAGGTTGTGTGGCCATTCAACCAAGATGCATCTGCGCTGTGTTCAAGTGCTGGTCACGTACACGCACAGGTACGATAGCGATAAGATAGCATTGATAACGCCGCAGCCAATCAGGCTGCGCGC